GTAGTTATAGTATATAATACTCGCTTAATTTATCTTATATCGTAATAATTAGCTTTACTTAGTCGATTACGAAGTTAGTTCATCGTAGCTAGTCGTATCCGAGAATAATTTTAAAATCTAAAAGATCGAAAATTTATACGATAATTCGAGATTTATACTATTTCATTCGTAGCGTAACTAAGATACTTTCGAATACTTTAGCGAATACTTCGTTCGCGACTTTAACTTAGTCTATATCGTTATTTCGTTTCTCGACTATAAGCGAAGCTTTATAAACGAATATATTCGAGATATATTATCGGTCGGCGCCGAAGTCGATTAGAATACGAATTCTATACGGTGTGCTCCGCTCTATAACTATTCTCTATATTAAGTATATCGATATTTATTTAAAGCGTATTATATTAATAACGAATATAAGATCGTATTATCGTAATTTCTCGTATTCGTTTAAAAGACTTAAAAGAATTTATTTTAAAATAATTTTCATTATTTCTAAACTACGTTTTTTTCCGAAAATACGATCTTAGAGAGTTTACGACTTCTAGAGCGAGATCGCGAAGAATCTCGATCGCGATTTCTTACGGAGCTTCGACTATTATTTCGTTCTTAAGTCGGCGTACTAAGACGTACGTCTACGCGAATATATAGTTCGACTAGACGAGCGATTCTTTTCGCTCCGTTATATATAGTTACGTACTTAGTACTCTACGGATTCATACTCGAAGTAAATATCGTTATCTTTATACTATACTCGTTATTCCTCGATATTTTTCATAAAATAAGTACTTAAGAAGAACTCTTATCGCGTATCTCTACGAGAGTTTCCGAATACGATATAAGCGTAGTGAGTAAATTCGAATCTTATTATATTACTACGTTTAATACGTTTCGCGATCTCGATTTAATAGTATCGATTAGTCTAAGCTACGTATACTTCTAAGAATAATACGTTATATTATAAGTTCTTAATTATTTTTAGTCGTAATTCTATATTAAGATTTATACGAAACTACTTCTTAATATTCTTATTAAACTTAAACGAAATAATTCGTAAGCTAATATAAACGAGTTTAGTAACGTATTAATGAACGTTCTAATTATTCTAAATTATTACGTTCTATTTATCTCTTAGACGTAATTATTTATTAGCGCTCTTAAAGATTCGTCGAAGTTAGTCGTAATAGATATTAAAGATAGTTAAGAAGTATCGATAAATTTTAAAGAGACGATATATCTTTTTCGTAAGATAAGAGAATAACTATACGATCTTTTCTCGTTTATCGGCTTATTATCTACGAACGTTATAAAAGTTAACTTAGTTTACGAGATTACGTAAGTAATCGTTAAGCTTACCGTTCGAGAGGTCTTCGTCGTACGATTTCGGCTTCTTTAGTTTAGATTCGTCGCCGCGGTGTACGCGTTAACCGACGTTATTCTATATTATTACGAAGTTTTCTAAAGCTATAGCTAAATAATTTATTTACGATTAACTATTAATCTAAGTCTAAGCTAAAGTTTATAGGATAGTAGTTTAGTTAGATTAAGTAGATTAAATATTATTACTTATAATTATAAATAGTTATAATCGTTCGTAACTATTCGAAGTATTTAATGATAAATAATTCTTTATATAAATATCTATTTCTTAATATTTTTCTTTTCTTATCTTAAATCTCGATCTTCGAACGCTAAGTATCGTAACGTTTCGTAAGTTTTCGTAAAAATTTTAGTTATCGTAACTATATATAGTTATCTTATTTCTCGGTCTATAGCGTTATCGTTTCTAATTAATCGACGATGTATCGGGTAATTCGTAACTAGATTCGATAGATATAAGCTTTTTTCTTTTTAGTTAGTCTCCGTTCTAATATATAGTTTCTTAATAATTAAAGTCGATTTTTTAACTTTTTTATTACTACTAAGTAAGCTTTTTATATATTTTTAATACGTTATAAGAGCTTACGAAGACGAAAGTTCTTCTCGAATTAATAGTAATCATCGATAATAACGTATCGAGAAGAAAAAAGAAATAGTTTCGAAGAACGACGATACTTCTATCTTCTCTTTAACTTAAGTTCTCGTACTATAGAGTTAAGAATCGTAAGAGTTCGTAATCTCGACTTTTTAAAGTTATAAAACGAAGTACTTCGCTTCTATAGAGTGTCGTTTAAAGAATTATAAATAGCGTAGCCTTAAGGCGGTTACCTCGAGGCTTCGCCGTCGTTCCCTTAAGTCCGTAACTAGTTGTAAGATTACGTACTAATGGAATAAGCGTTGCTACTGAACTGGGACGAGGCTACTAGCCATGGGCATCAACTCGTACGGCGGTGGGCATAGCCTCTTCCTAACACGCACCCTCAACCAAAGGGAGTTCTCTCTGTTGGTAACTTGATTGATTGATTGATTGTCCATTCTATAAATGATAGCCCCCCGAGAACTATGTAAGAAGAACCCTAGTCTAGTGTCGACGCCCCAGCCAATCATAAAGCTACCCACCACTTGAAACTTCTCCCATTACACTACTAACTGTGAAATGAAGTGTAAAAGTGTATTCGACTATTCTCAATCTATCTGGTCGGGGAGGCTGCTTTTATAGCTATAATTACTAGCGTCTTGGCGTATTTCACACCGCGATGACTATCACGTATCAGCTGAACTTGAGGCTATTCGCGTCAGGCGAAACCACCACGCTACTGATAGAGTCGGAATGACCTTCAAGTGGATACTGACTCTTCACCCTTCTATAAATGAGGAACCGGTTAAAAATTCTTCTAACGGGTCATCAGCACGGACATAAGCGTGTGCCTGGCCCAGCACTGCATTCGTCATGGCCATTGGACCAGGCTAATAAATTCCTTGCTGAATTAATACCTCTCCTTATTGAGGACATCTCATCCCTCAAGGAACACCGCAACCCTGTCCAGAACAATATTGCCTTCGTGTTCGAACCACTTTTGGATCATGAGACCCCAATTCTTACTAGGTGACACAGAGCATGAATAACGCCGAGCCGTCGAATGAATGTATGCACCGTAAACTGTGAGTGTCGACACTGTGCAGGTCCTTCGGCTTGGTTGCTTGACAACGGCAGAGGATCGGGACGAATTATGTTGCCAGGCCAAGTTTCAGTACTCGCGCGGCTATGCTGTGATAGGTCGGCGGTTGCACCTAGCTGTTTGCGCTTTCACTTTACCCAAAAAGGCACGGCTGAGTTTGAGATTTCGGAGCCATTGCTTTCCTGCGCGCTTCTAGGTTTCAGGAATAGTTTCACTGAGTGACCGATGTTCAAACCAGTCTGATTCGTATCGCATTGCGCCGGAACTTGCTAACATTCCAACATGGGATAATTCACCAGATTACGCTGCCGAGGTATGCAAATCACTTGGATTTCTTTTAAAGCTAAACTCAGTGAGCTTCTTGTGAACATTCTCATCCTCGTTCTCATTCTCAACCATTCATTATCGACCTGAGCGAGTATCCGAAGGAAACTGTCACTATACTCTCAGCGAGGCCGAGACGCCGATGGGCACCTGGCAACCACATTCAGGGGTTGATCACATCATCCCACATGTTGCTCGAAGCTGAAAGCTAACAAGACACTAGAACTCAACCCGAGAAGACGAAACCAACACCTCCACAAAATTCACCGAACATGGGAAGTCTTGCATCATGAGCGAACCAATACAGCAGAATCGTAGATACGATTCCATGGATTGCTCACACCTGGGGCCAGACGAGGTCCAAAAATCTCTACAGGAACTGTTCTGGGTTCTTGCAAACGCTCAAGACGATCAAATAAGCGACCTGTTCCTGAATATTCGCAATGGAGCGTCATTCAAGGAGATTCAATCGCATATTAGTGAAATCTGTGGAAGCATTACCAGTCCTAAGAGCAAGAATCAATGATAGCAGCAGAGATGAAGGCGCTCCCTTGCCTGGCGCTGTATCAAGGCTGAAGAGCAACATCCACCATTGGCAGTTCAAATGCAAAGTCCTTCATCCAAATCTCCATATCATCCGTACGTTTAACGACCAGTCCGGACGGGATACGCCGCAGACAAATCGATGTCAAATCCGCTTCTCGAATGATTTCTTCGGTGAACGTCTGACACGGGGTTCGTTGCTGGAGATGTGGTGCTTTTCTTTTAAGTATCTTCATGCACCTGGTTCCAGAGTACAATAGCTTTCTGCATTCACTGTCTTTCATGGTGTTTGCTCCCACAATCTCCTGCGATTCTGGTGTCCAAACTGCGGCCGCATGTGCTTCAATCGTGGATTGCGCAGCACAATACGTACTGTCCTCTAGATATTGTACATCTCGTTGGTATTTCCAGTAGTCTTCTTTTGCGAAGAAAGCGAAGCCCATGGGAGCCTATCTCATAAGTAGAGGTGCAGAAGTGCTCAAAGTAGCGGAAAGAGAACGGCCGAATCCTGGTGTGGAAAATGTTTGTCCAAGGTAGTCTGCAGTATTGCTCTCTCGCATAAATCCGACTGCAAGTCGAACATAGCATTATCCTCACGGCTTCCCAAATGTGTTCAATGACAGCCGCGCTCCCGGTTTTCGTAAGTGGCGGCCTTGCATATGAACCTTATGCCTGTTGTTCGTCTAGGAATACGCAGTCACATCCGAATTGTTAAGAGCGTGGTGATTAGCTGTATGTCTGAAAGATATCGTAATTTTGCACTCGCGCTTCATGGTTCTTGAAGTGCATTCTGTCCACGAAGGACGACGGCAGAAGCTTGACATTCAGAGTCCGGGCACGGGATATCATCATTTTCCTTTAAATTGTTTCAGTCGAGCTCGCCACCAGGCACTGATATCCTGAAATATTAAAGCCGCGTGGGCAAAAGCGAGTCTTGTCCTCTTTAACCCAACCCGCGTTCTGCAAGACCTCCAGCGACCCGAAAACAATCATGTATCCAACCAGGTTGAACTGATCCAGACTAATGTTCCTGCCACTGAAGTTCCCTTAGCCACGCCCGTGACTGCTGAAAAAATGGCCTTCTTGCGAGAAAAGCTGGAGGAAGAAACACAGTCTCTTGGGCAAGACTGCAAATTTCGTCTCCAAAAAGCATTCAACGCCGCAGAAAGACTATTTGCAATATTGGGCGAAGAGAACCGATTGCTGTTTGAGCAGAATAATGAGAAAGTCTCTCGAACGTCCATCAAATGCACGGTGGTCGGCAATGCCAAGATCATGAGTTACGACGACATAAGTTGAAGCACAACGGAGGCGTGAAGGCAGAGAAATAGCATCGCAGAAGCAGCCGCTGTGTAGTTGTCAAAGTCATCTATCAAAGAGATCAATTGCAAGAACGGAGACAGTAGTCACGGAGATGGACAAGGGACAGCGGGAAATTGAGGCTTTGGGATTGACGAATTTCTGTTCTATCTTACATTTTCCACGATGATTGACTCGTCTATTTGTCTTTAGGATTATCAGAGTAGACAGGTGTAGCTACAATACTATAATGAGAAATTCCCTATATTCTCACAGTCCGCGTCTGGTGCTTCACCAGTTGAATCGCTTGGTCAACGCAATTGTACGCTTTGCCCATAATGAAAGAATGTCTTCCTGCCACGTTCATAGAGACACATGTTCCGTTGAGAGTAAGTTAGTAACTACGTACTAAGAACCAGGCGGGCTATTCTCGAAAAGTTCGAGCCATTCCTCAGAAGCCACACGATCATGGTGGTCGTGGTCAAGCACTCTTTGGCGGATCTCCACAACATGTCTCAACATTTCCAAGGCTGTAGAATGCTGGCCGATCCTCCAGAAGATAATGGCCAGATTGTGCTGCGACGCCAATCGCGAGGGATGATCCTCAGCCAGCGTCTGCCCTTCAATCCGCACCACCTCCTCCAACAGTGTCACCGCCTTCTTCACCTGTCTATTCGCCTGATTTGCGATTGCCAGCGCGTGCTGCGAGGCCAGTCGCGAGGGATGATCCTCCGCCAGGGTCTGCCTGCTAATCCCCACCACCTCCTTTAGCAGTGTCACCGCTGGATTGCGATCAATGACAAGTTTACGCCGGATACCCACCAGTTATGCCGTCTAATCTTTGGATGCTGGTTCGTTAGCTGCCTTCCCTCCGTCACCTTCTTCGCACGCCTCCCCTTTTAGACCGACCCCTATGAACGCTGCACAATCTGGGCAAGTGAGTACGGCCACGAGAAGGTGGTGCAGACACTCCTCGATCGTGGAGCGGATTTCAATGCTCAAGGAGGGCTCTATGGCAATGCGCTCCAAGCAGCATCAGAGGGTGGTCACGAGAAGGTGGTGCAGCTGCTGCGTGACAAGAAGTTGTGAAATTAATTGTCTTAGTAAGTTCTACTACACCCTTGAAACACGAGAAGTCTCTGTAGTATTGATTTATAATGAAGGCTTCAAACTTTACTAGCCACACCCTCTCCTACATATAATAACGGCAAAGGACCAAGATCACGTGCAGGTTCCTTCTCGAGTCGACAAGGAGATAGGGTGTACCAATGCACGTGCTTGAGGCGAGTGAGAATCCTATGGCGGTTTTGGGGGCGTTTGCGACTGCCCTGTTACTACAGCTTTGCGTACTACCATACCTGGGCTGGTCCTCGGCTGTTTGTCGGTCAGGGACCGAAGTACCTGATAGCGGGTACTCGGTGGCACGAGATATTAACACTGGCCCTAGACGGCGGGGGCGATGGTTGAGAGATGTAACTAATCTTTAATTGGGAAACGCGCAGAGCGTAAAAGGCAAGTTGCGCCAGTGTCACTATGGTTGACCGAGATTCCATTATTCACGAGGTAGAAAAACAAATTTCGCTGGGGCATCGGGAAGACACTGAACGCACTATGGAAATGCTGTGGTCAAATTCTCCTTTGCATACAGTAACCGTTCTCCTTACAGCGAAAACGATCCCTAAAGAGGGCCCATTCCGGCTCTACCATGATCTGTGGTTCTAGCTTACCTCGTCGGACATAAATGTTTCTCGAGGGCCCCCTTTTAGGCTCTCACATTCCATTCACTTCCAGAGAAAACGGTACCGTATTGTACTTACGGACTTACTATTGGCTCCCAAATCGATAACCCTTTTGAGAGAAGGTAATGGCCTATTTCTGGTCCCCTCCGAAAGAGAGGATATCAGGGCCACGATAAATCTTTGATACCAGCGGGCGATCGCCGCCGTCGATGCGAAAGATATCTCCTAGGCTTACGTCGCACATAAGAGATGATGTCTTTAGTATCCGTAGCTCATCCGACTCTGTAAGCTTTTAAAAAGCGAGATAAAAGAGAAGAAAGTGTTAAAAAAAAGACTGATGAGCGAAGAGCGAACGAGAATTTCGAAAAACGTAAACGTAGTCTCCTTAAAAAATATAATGAGACTATTAAATTATATAACGTAGATCTATATATCGTTATTCGCCGGAAGAAAAAGTATACCGTATATTCGAGTTATTTCGTTTTCACTTAGTCTTCTTATTAAGAAGATATAGTGAGCTTTTACTCTTTATATTTTACGTTCTAATTAAATATATTGTAACAAGGCAAGGTGGCTGTGCTGTGATGGGCTGTGCTGGGCTGGTAGAGCGGTGACAGGGTGAAAAAGTTGTCTAGTCACATGTCAAACCTAAATGGGCTGGCAGAGAGGGAGTGCGGAACAGTTTACAATGCTGGCAGTGTGCCATTCATTACAGTTTGAGCAGAGTATCATGAATTCTATGGTTTTTGACGCCGTCTACCTAATTCCTGAGAGTGTTTTGTCAGTCCTGTCCTGTTCCTCGATGCTGCCGCTGTGCTAGGTGTTCGTAGCCCTAGCCGCTGCCCCTCTGGGTGGTGTTGGTGGTGTTGTTGTCAGTATCAACCAGAAACGCGTTCTCGATTCCCGATCTGCTGGACAGGCCTCTGTGCGTTGTTGCACATGCACGCCGAACCCTGAAGTGCTCTGTTACAGTACAAGCTCCTCTCTGGAGGCCGTGTCAAACGCTGCAGGTTCTGGCCCATGACTGCTCAAACAATTGTTCAGGCTGGCTATATAAGAACTCTGGATCAGACCCTTGAACTCGCTCATACAGTTGCGATGATAGAACGGGGGATGACAGGCGTCTTCGGCCACGAGCCAACGAGTCGGGAAAATGAGAAAGTCCGCGACGGTGGTCCCGGGATGGGTATTGGACGTCGCGGTTAAGATAAGTCCAAGTTCCAGAAGCTGGAAGTGCCCATTATGGGTCTCCAGTGCGAAGCCCCTGATCCAGTCAACATCCGTGCAAACGTCGAAAGGATTCCATCGGAGCTGACCGAAATGTAAATCAATGTTGTTTCCATGCTGTTGTCACAGGGCACAGCATCGAACGTGGCGTGAGATGCTGATGGAATAATGCAATAAACCCATGTCTGTTGATTCTCCCATCGTGGTGCGGCGAGTGATGTTCCTAAGCCCTTCTCAGCATATAAACCGTGGGGACTTTTTTGAGGTATGTTTTGTCCGATGAGCAACGCTCTTGGGATTGCCTCCGTTCTGGCCCAGAGAGTCAGCATTATTACATTCATTATCCCGGTTTGACACCACCCATCTACATTGGCAAGGAAACCAGTCTGAACGGATATATCTCTGGTATCTCGAAATTTGTGAAAGGCGTCATGATTCCCGATCAAGAGCCATCAGCAACGATGCTCGTGTGCCTTGGTCCAAAGTCAGAAGAAGGAAGATCCGGTTTTTTTTTTCGCTTTTGACCGAGCACACCACGAAAAGTCCACCCAGACCATCAGCCGGACTTGATATTGCGTCAATATTACTCATCCCCGAAGGCATTTAGCAAGATATGCGCTTTGGTTGGCCTGCTTTCGTCTAATTTCACCGGAACAAAGAGGTCGCAAAGAGCATCCGCCGGAAAACCCGGGTCTGGATTTCTTGATCGACTAATAGCACTTTTCTGAGTCGAAAGTCGCAACATCGTTAGATAGGATGGATGCAAGCTCGGCATTGCATCTTAAGAGTCAGTGTATATCAATACGAGTGTTCAGATATAGCATTCAACAACAAGAGTCATGGCGAATCATGACAGCTGGCTGGATATTCCCAAGGGTTCGCACTTTTCGCGGGCAAACATACCGTTCGGAATCATTACAACTTCATCTTCAGTCGAGAAGCACGCGGCAATCGCTATCGGAGACCATGTCCTGGACTTGCATGAGTTTGCGCGCCACCAGGGCTTCATGGAACTTCAAGACTTCCCTGCTACTCATATTGCAACCTTCTCGCAGCCCAGCCTGAACGATTTTGCCGCACTTGGTCAGGATGTCCACACCAAAGTGCGTAGGTACTTGCAAAATGTCTTTGCAAAGGAAACCCCCTTCCCTGGTGTTCTAAGAGACAATACCGAAACCCAACGCGCGAGTCTCTTTTGGAGAGATCAAGTCACACTACACCTACCCATGAAGATTGGAGGGTACACCGATTTCTTTGCCGGCAAGAACCACGCATACAACTGTGGGTGCATATTCAGGGACCCCAACAAGGCCCTGCAACCCAACTATCTCCATTTGCCTGTGGCCTACAACTCACGAGCCTCATCAGTCGTGCTTTCGGATACAGGTATACATCGGCCCCTGGGACAATTCTTGGACAACCCGTCTGCAACCGAGTCAAGCTTTGGACTCTGTCGTCGGCTTGACATTGAGCTCGAGTTGGGTGCGCTACTATGCAAGGGAAACCAGCTTGGGGAGCCCATCGACGTAAATGAGGCAGAAAAACACATCTTTGGCCTTGTTCTACTGAATGACTGGTCCGCTCGGGACATACAAGCCTGGGAGGCAGTTCCCTTGGGCCCTTTTAACGCCAAAACTTTCGCAACCACCATCAGTGCTTGGGTTGTGCTGAAAGACGCCCTGGACACGTTTCGTACTCCCGGAATGTTGAATGAGACGAAGCTGCACCCCTATCTGCGGGAAGCGCTCAAGGAGAATGTTTACGACATGAATTTAGAAGTTGAGTTGACAAGTAGGTCGAACCCCGTGCCCGGCCTTTTTGGTGGATTCAAATACTGACAAGCACTCCCTCAAGCAACTAATGGTGAAACGGCAACTTTATCACGCACAAATGGTCGCAATCTCGTGTACTCTTTCGCGCAGATGATTGCTCACCACACAATAGGAGGCTGCCCTCTGGAAGTGGGTGATCTCATCGGGTCAGGGACAATCAGCGGCGCAGAGCCCGGAACTCTAGGCTCCTTGCTCGAGGCTTCCCATGGAGGGAAATTGAGTTATGATGTATCTCCCACGATTAAGCGTACTTTCTTGGAGGATGGCGATCGTGTCACCATTCGAGGCTGGTGTGGGGGTGACCATTCGGAGATGGTAGGGTTTGGTGAGTGCTCAGGAACTATTCTACCAGCGCCCAAGCCGTTATGGTTGGACACCTGACAGACAGAATTTCAACCTAGAGCTCGCATCCTTAGTTATCATAAACGAGCTGAGAGTGCTAACGCATAAGCCAAAGAAATAACAGAGAGGTGTGATTATTGTCTCTTGCCCGCCCACCCGCCCCAATGTAGAGGAACCAAGGCTTGATGCCACCGGGTCAACCGGGATGCTTGCGGGTCTAGAAGCCTGAAGCGACGTCTGTGACGGACCTAATTGCCTAGGGTAATCCAGTTCAATCTTGGAAAAATGGAGCCTGTCTAAATCTAGAGAATATGTCCAGATATTCTGGCTGATCGAGTCTGAGCTATCACTTCCGACAGAGAACGCAGCATGTACAAACGCCTCAAAATAATATTCGACAGACTAATAAACTATCCATCGATGTGCTTTGTCGCGTTCTCGGTTTCCTCGAACCACTTCTCAAGACACGCGTCGTCTCGCACGCGAAACCCGATCTTAAATGCCTTTGGCTCAATGGACAGTCCCGATGGGTTGGCGTTGCACTCGAGGGGACCCGTCAAGATCGGTCTTTGGCCTGGGTCGGTGGCAGGCAGCACTTCGAATGCAAGAAGCATGCGTATAAATGTGACATACATCTCCCTGTACGCCAAATGCGATCCTGTACACATGCGCGAGCCCGCTCCGAAGGCAAAGTGTTCCGTCCCTGACCCTTCTGCAATGTCCAGGAATCGCTCGGGGCTGAATTCTTGGGGACACTTGAAACGATCAGGATCAAAGTCCGCCGCCCAAGCGTTCTTATTGACACAAATACATGTCAGCACACCATGAGAATTCTAGTAGCATTTTGATCACACGTACCATAAGGAATGTAGTACCAGCAGGAATGATCGCACCTTGCCACACGACGTCTTTGATGCTTAGGCGGGGCAGAGACATGGGGATGACGGTCCAAAAGCGGAGCACCTCTTTGCAAAAGGCTTTCACATACTCGCATTTTTCGTCCTCGAGGCACTTTGCCCAGGCCTTTCCTTGTCCATATACCTTGTGAACGTCGTCGAGGAGTCTTTTCTGAAGCAAGGCACCTTGGGGGCCTGAAAGAATGGCAATACCGAGTAAAAGACAAGCGGGCGTGGTGTCGAGGCCCCCTGCGATCATCGTCACACAGAGCGATTTTATTTCTGCTGTATCACATATATTAGCAGATGTATGAGATGAGAAACCTTGTGGCAACAGATTACTTACCATGGGTGAGCTTGCATTCGGGATCTTGCAGGACTTTGCCTGTGATACAGGAAACATGATGTCCCATTGCAATCCTGTCCTTGAGCTTCTGCAACAAGTATTCGAGATACACATCCCGCCGGCGCCGAAGATCTGATGCTTCGTTGGTTCTTCTGGAAAAAAACCTCAACAACGGTACAAAGTCCTGCCAGTTGTTGCTTGTGCTCCGGAGGGTGCTAATTCCGCGTTCCACAGTGATGATCTCTCGCAAGAGCTCGTTGTCAACGGAGCCATCGATGCGAAATCCATAGCCAAGAGTCAAGCTGAGGTTGAGAGCAAGTCGTTGAAACAACGGATAAGGGTCGAGATCCACCTGGGCTTCAGTGTTACCTAGTTGCTGCACCAGTTCTTTGATACTGACACAGGATTCCAAGTCAACAAGAGGCATGTAGCCGACAACAGACGGCCGATTCAATGCAGCCGCAGCAACTTTCCGTCGTCGCTTACAAGACTCGTCCCATGGGGAGGTTCCGATGGTGAAGCCTTGCGAAGATGAAAGAACGTTATGAAATGTGTGCAATGTAGGCCGAGATATCAGACTAGATTGGTTGTTGATCCAGAGTTGCTTGATCGACTCGAAGCTGTTTGCAACAACGAATCGCTGAGACTAGATTAATCACCGGCGCGATGTTCACCGTATGAGAGGACTTGCCTTATTTCCCAATCTGACCTGGAATACGGGCCCATACTTCTTTGACAACTCTGCTAAACGTCGTGGCTGCTCCGTACCTAGCTGGAGGAGGTTCCCCACTATTGGGAGGCCTGGAACAGAAGGAAGATGGTGAATAAAAGGTACATCTGTCCGATCAGACAGCCAGAGAACAAAAACAATAAGTGCGCCGCAAATGAACACCCAACTTGAGAATGTGGTCAAGCGGTCGGCTAATGGAAGCATCGCTCGGAATTTGCCTGCTGTCACCGGGAGCACCTCTGGAATCTTGTCATTCATAACTGGTAGAAATAAGCAACCTTGGCTCGTTACTCTTCCATAGGATATTGGCACCGCGAGGCTTTTGAAGAATCAAAGTTCAAGCACTGGACTGCACACCGGCAGGTCCGATAAAAGGATCTTGCGGACCAAACTGAACTATTTCGTGAAGCACCAGTGGATTGCCCTCGCATACACGGGATATCCGGCGGCATTGCCCCAAGGAATGCCAGTCAGGTGGTCCGGCAAGTCGTACCCTTGGGTCCGAACCTTTTCCGTTTGCTCCCATTAGTTCGCCCGTCTTTTCATAATCCAGGAATTATAAACCAACACCCTCGGTTATTATACACAGTGGTGGTTTCGGATAATTGGTCCGACTTGATCGATTGACTGACACCGAGAACCAATTAAGTTACGGGAATACAGTTATTCCGCTCCGGTATGAGGAGAAGTAAGTAACTAGCGAGCTAAGTACTGGGATTCTTTGCCCATCGTATATTTTACGCAAGTACCCCTTCATCGACTCTGGAAGCCTTCAATTCCGAAACAACTAACCGCACGTCTTAGGCGGAGTTGACCTATCTGATCCAAAGACTTTCCTAATGTGATTGTAACCATGTCAAACCCTTCGATCATCTTTATCCCTGGCTCTTACGTTCTATTGCCGGTCTATCAACCACTCTTTGATGCCGTCTCTGAGGCAGGCTACGAGATCAAAGGCATCCATCCGCCTACCGTCGGACTAAGCAGCCGACAAGGCAGAGAGAGCCCGGCACCTTCCATGTACGACGATGCGGCGGTGATTGCACAGGCAGCTGAGAAACTTGCCGACCAGGGCAAAGACGTGATTCTTATGGGCCACTCGTATGCTGGTATCCCGATGTCCCAAAGCACAAAGGGACTGGGAAAGGAGGAGAGGAGGGCGCAAGGAAAACCCGGAGGGATCGTCCAGCTCGCTTTCATATCCTGCCTTGTCCCTGCAATTGGAAGCTCTGCTGCTTCTCTATTGGGTAGGTTCCCGAACGAGAAAAGGCCCTTGGTGTCCATTGACGTGAGTGTTTTAGCCAATCGATGCCTGCCCCTCGTCTATGTCTGACCATGATCCCTAGGAAGATGGGTGGATGTTAATGGAGGATCCAGAGGCGACCGCTAGAATGATTTGTCAAGAGCTGCCTCCTAAGGAGGGCGAGGCTATTGTCACAGGCTTTGCAAAGCATTCTGCGCAGAGTTTCGGCAACCAGCTAACACACGCTGGATACAAGGACATTCCAGTCTCATACTTATTGTGTGAGGAAGACTTGGCGGGCCCTCCTGATTTTCAAAGAGAAATGATCGCTATGATTGCTGAAGCGAGTGGTCGGAAGGTTGATGTCACAAGTATCAAGGCGGGCCATTGCCCCAATTTGACCGCAAAGGATGAGACAATCGAATGGGTTCTGAATGTTGTTAGGAAGGCAGAAGAGAGCCGGCCAACTGTTTAAATACTAGCAGCTCTTTGCCGTAACAGATCGGGCAGGGAGACTCGGCTGTGGGCAGCGTGTCACCGAAGTCGAGGAGGACTTCGCTAGATGGGCGGGTAATACTGTAATTATTGCGCCAGAGGCAGGATGGGAGGTGTAACCGATTGCTAAGGGGGCTTAATTTAGCCTTGATTGTGTTGCTCAGGGACCTCTCAGTGGTGGTGTTGCCGTTTCTGCAAAGGATTTAAGCGGATTCGCTGTTGTACAAAATCTCTGGTTCGGTCGCTGTACAGACTCATTCCTAGTTCAGATTTTTGCTCAACGCCAAAGCTTGCTAAACCGTACCTTATAAAGAGCCAGAGAAACAGTGTTAGCATTCTTCATATGCAAGGTCATGCTAGATTTTCCAATGCGGCTTGTTGCAGCATGTTGGTTTAATAGTTTCTCGGCTTCGTCGGTATTAGTGGTAATAGGGCTGATCAGGGCTGATGCAGTAGCTTGGCACGAAATCATGTGACAGGCACCAGGTGCAGGTTTGCGAGGGCTTGGCACCCGAGATCCCGAGCTGCACGTCACTACCCCAGTACTGGGTACCTCGTATTGCTCGTACCAAGCCAAGGCAAGCCAAAGGTTGTACCCAGTACTGAGTACCAGGTTCTCGGTAGTGATTAGTTAACGGATCCCCAGCGGCTTCGTTTACAGACCTCCCCAAGGATGGCCTGAAGTTCTTATCGCATAATAAATAACTCTGCAACATCTCCACACTCAGTTCTAAGCCGACTTTAATGTTTATTCAGATCTAGACCTCATAGGATACTGCGTAATAAGCACAAAGGCGCGTATTTCGATTGATCTTCGCCTGGAACCCTGTGTCTAATGCCTGAAACCTGGTGAAGGGCTTTGCTGCGTAAGCGCCATATTTAACTCCATCCCCAAACTTTGTGCGCTGATGCTCCAAAGAGATTTTGCGAAGCGGGTGAAGAGATCCCACAATAAGGTGAGATCGGGATGTAAAACTTGCCAGGTCCGGCGCGTGAAATGGTGCGTTCCTTCTTAAAGTCCATTCCTCTGTAGTAAAACCCTCTTCTCAATCGGCTCTACTGATGCCGGCGCTCGCTGACGGACCCTCTCAGTGTTGAACGAAAACCACAGTTTCGACGCTGTGTTTCTGCGGCAAGAATCTGTGGCGGCTATGCAGATGACCCCAAACCTTGGATATTCGATCCATTGGTCGACCGTGCCAATCGTTACTGTGAAGATGAAATTTCGATTATTCAATTAGAAGGACCTGTGTCTAAGATTCCACCATTCACCAGCATGCTGGTTCCTCCATCCAAGACTCGGGAAGATCAAAATGCCCTGCAATACTGGCTGGCCATGACCAAAGATTAACCTGAGGGCGCAGGTAGTCCTGTTCACCCCGCCTTTGGGACTTACATTCCACAAGCAGCTTGGCACCATGATGCAGTTAGACACGGTCTGCTCTCTGCTGCGACAATTGCATACGTGCTTGAAGCCCGAGCTAAAAATATGAGCCCCGAAACTTAGTCAGTCTTGTCGAAACGGTCTATTGAAGACTGCATTACAGGGCTACCGCGTAAGGATGATTTGGATGTTACGCCAATGGCAGAAGTATGATCATTTTCAACAAGAACGGTTTGAAGCCAGCCCGATCGGCATCGGCCAGACGCCATTTTCTCTGGGCGCACAGTACCTACGGCAGTGGAGACGCGATTGTGCTGACTTCAGCCTGCCGTTGCTCATGACACAGCTGGCTCTTGGTCTCAAAACGACGCTGCTGTACGGAACCTACGGAGATTATCAAAAGATGCGTGACACCGCTATTGCTTGCCATATTCCAGTGGACTTAACTTGTTTCGACTGACTCGCTACTCTCAACCATATATCTAGATTCTTAACACAAAGAATGTAGCCGATGCCCCTGTACTCTTTGTCAGCTTGGCTGATCAAAGTACTTACTCTCAAAAGATTACTCGCGAACTCCTTATACAGTTTCATCCTAAAAGGTGAGCGAAGGCCGGTCGAACTTGAGATTGGACTGGGCCTTTAGCGGAGCCTCACTGAGCTCAGAAGACCCTTTGCGTGAAGAATTCTTCAGTGCCAAGCAGACGTGAGCGGAAAACTGCCATTTAAGGTAAGGTTTTGTCCAATATGGCCTCGATGGGATTCAAGCCGTCTGCCGCGTGTGAGTCGGGTGGCTTCAGGCTCGTTTCTACAAGTATACCAGCACGAGATACTTCATCACACAGACTGACACAGCAAGCAATTGGACCTCCACAAGCGAATAAATCCAACCCGAGTTGTGGAACTGGTATGAATCCTTTCCAATAGTTGTCTTGGACAAACCAGAGCCCGAACAGACAATCAGAGCCATACATTGGAACAACGGTAGCTGCACAGGATTCGATCAAGCATTCCACAAGAAAGTCCTCCGTATCTTTCTAGCTCCTAAGCGACAAACGCTCAAAGCTCAGAATGTGTCTTGATGTGCATAATTCGCATCACATTATGCCTCGCCCAAAAACTTCTGTACTTCTTTCCATAGACATAAACCAAAGGTGTTGTTGCTACCAGGCCCAGAGTCACCCCACCAAAGACAAAGAAGACATAAGCAGGGCCTCTTGTCGCCGTCCAGCTATTTACGAAGTAGCTAAAGCCATAGAAGAGGAAGTTTTTGAAAATAATCGCACTGACAAAGATCTCGCTGCTCATGTCCCGAAAAGCGTCCAAGGCATACCCCGCGGTGCCAATCGCGACAGCGACAATGCCGAAAATGGTGATTCCGTGCAGCACCGCCGTGGCATAATAGCTTGCCTGCTGTTGACAAAGGACACCGAAGCCCATCAACCCTGCGCCGGCGGCCAAGCCGCCTATAGTAGGGAGTAAGCGGAACTCCGGTTCGTAGATGCCGCCGTTTTTTGCGGAACACCACTTGGCCGTTGGATTGGCAATCGTGCCAAAGACGAGAAGACCAATGAGACCTCCAGTGAAAGGGCCCAGGAAGAGATATCCGACACCTGCGGCAGACAAGGAATACGGCGGAGAAGTGAATATCTGAGCAAGAACATACGCCTGTGCGACATAGGTTGCAACAACGTAGCCAGATATGACTACTACCCAGAGAACGAAAAGATTGGTGCAGACAGCAAAGGGAGCAATGACCAATTGAAGAAAATTATCGTCGCAATATTTTCCCGTGAAGACGGCGAGCTCTTGAAGGAAGGTCTTTTCTTGGCCAGGTCCATTGCTGGAAAAGACTCCTGTTGTCGTTCCCAACTTGTGGATCTCCTGGGATTCAATGTGAGACGCATGTCGCTTTTCGATTTCTGCAAGTTCTTCGAGGTTGTCACTGGCTAGCTCGTCGATGTCCAACCGGTGGTCGCGTCTAAATTGAGTCTCGGGGACGAACAAGAAGAGGAGGATGAATTGCAATCCTGTGAATAAGATACAGAGGTGAAAGAGGTATCGCCAGCCGAGATTCTCCGTAATCGGTCCGCAGATAGTAGGTGAGAAGTTTCCCGCGCTGGCCAGGAGGAATTGCACCGCCGACATGTAGCTCCCTCGTTCATGAACACAGTACAAATCGCCGACCATGGACACAACCAGACTCTCGTAAGCTGCAACAGAGAGTCCTTGAATGATTCGTGCCGCTAAAAGGGTTTCGTAGGAGGAAGAAACTGAACCGACAATCGACCCGACGATCCCAAAGAGCGCAGAACCCAGGAACACCGGACGTTTGCCCCATTTGCGAGAGCAAGCAGAGACAAGTGGTGCGGTTGCGCCGGCAACAAGCAGCATATAACCAGATATCAGGGTGATATCGCCAATCGGGCGATTAAATTCCACAGCGAGCACGACAAGGCCTGTGTTAAGTAGCGGACTAAATGTTGCTGCATATAGGCAGGTTCCGAAACAGACGATGACCAAGGCTCGGAGCTTTTTGAGAGGGCTCCAATTAAGCGGATCGTTGGGATCATCAGAAGGTTGTGGGACGAGAACAATGTGCTCGTCTTTGCCCTTTCCTCTTTTCAGGTGGGAGGTGACCGTTTCTGAGTGTGCAATTTGTTCATTAAGGATGACAGAAGCCGGCACATGTGGAAGTTTCGTGTCTTCAAGAATACCTAGGAAGCCCATTGTCGTTGTCTTCAAATATAGAACACGGTGGTTGTATTCAGTACCAATTTCTGCCTAATGGAGGCTCGAGGGAGGAATTCAAAGTATTTAAAAAGAGTTGCAATCAAATCCAGGAAAAGTGGGGTGGCGAAGGATAAGGAAGAAGTCGTCGCATTCGCGAGCTTCTCGCCACTACCAATTGAATCAAGTGGGAGTTCTCTTAAGTTTGCTAACTAGCAACCCACATACTCTATCGAGGATAGTTCGGCGGGTTGAGCGCATTCAACAACTACTAGCTACCACTCAAATTCCGACCCACCAATGGACAAAAGGAAGCTGTTCTTAAGTACTGATTGCCGAGAAGACCACTTCCCGACTCGTTATGTTGTTGTAACTGTAAGTTGCTATGTGGGTTACAGCGGAGGCGCAACTCTCCACTTCAGGAAGATTTTCTTGAGCAGAGCGAGGATAAGCAAATGCATCGGTCCGACAAGTTGGAGCACCGCGGAACGGATCAAATACCAATCATATTCGAATTGGGAAGGTTGAGGCCTCACTATCTGGTGGAAAGCACGTTTCACTGATACATCCAAACGTTACGGTAAATGCCGGATATAGTAGTTGCGGGGTGTTAAACAGTTGGTAAGGGTAGACCGACTCTCAACCTTGAGAGCAAATTCGAATTGTAAGCTTGAGCAGATGAGGGTGCATGGATTCACCCTGATACAATAGGCAACTGTAAAGAGGGTTGTTGATAAATAATCTCTCCCTTCCGCACCTACAGCGGGACAGCAACTACAATACATCCGCCTTTGCTCTTAGAGACTTTGGGGGGGTTTTTTTTTGAGTGAAGACTTTCCTCCATTTACTTGCTGGAGGCTGTGAAAACCCGGTCAGATATTTCTATCCCTTTCAATATGGACCATCCCACTCAGCTTCCAACTAGTGAAGTTGATGTAGTCATTGTGGGAGCTGGGCCCGCAGGACTCATGTCAAATCTTTGGCTGTCCACTTTCAAAGGCCTCAGCGTCCGCATCATCGACAAGCGGACGGCGACAGTTTACGCAGGGCAGGCTGACGGACTTGTTGGAAGAACACAGGAAGTGTTCAATTCGTTCGGATTCGAAGAGCGAGTGTTGAAAATCGCACAGCCCATGGCCGAGTTTTCCTTTTGGGAGCCCGATCGTAATGGTCAGATATTTCGAAGTTCTCGTACGGCTGACGGTCCGCCAAATATGTCACGCTTTCAAGGAGCAGTCTTACATCAAGGATATATCGAAAGGTTTTTGAAAGATGCCATAAAAGAGCGTGAAGGTCCGGATGTGGAGTATGGGATGCAACCAGATTTACTCCAAGTCGACGAGTCTATGGTCGAGGGTGATGATAGCCATCCCATCACTCTTCGAATTCGCCATCTTTCTGAGCAAGAGTCAGCTCCGTCGCAGTTCGGTCATACTATAGCCAATGGCTTATTTCGTTCCACCAATTTCTCTACTTCAGAAGAAGAGGATCAAGCGATAAATACGATCGCGAAAGCTGGAACTCAGGAGATTATCAAATGCAAATATCTCCTTGGTTGCGATGGTGCACACTCCTGGATTCGACGTCAGATTGGAGTTAACATGGAAGGGGACCAAACAGACTTTATATGGGGAGTCCTTGATATTCACCCCCTGACAGACTTCCCAGACATTCGAAGCAGATGCTCCATCCACTCGGCACGGAGTGGAAGCTTAATGGTGGTTCCCAGAGAAAACGAGCTTGTTCGTCTATATATTCAACTCGAAGATCTCGAACGCAATATGGACGGAAGAATTGACAGAAGCAAGATCACCCCCGAGGATATATTAAGAGCGGCGCAGAAAATCATAACTCCATACACGTTACAGTACGATTATTGTGACTGGTTCACTGCCTACCAGATTGGGCAACGAGTCAGTACTCGGTATACAAAATTCGACCGCGTCTTTATCCTGGGAGATGCCTGCCACACTCACTCCCCGAAAGCAGGTCAAGGAATGAATGTTTCGCTTATGGATGCATACAATCTAGGGTGGAAAATCGCTCAGGTCCTACAACACAAAGCACCTAGGTCAATCTTAGCAACTTACGAGGCTGAGAGACGACCAGTGGCCCAAGAGCTCATCGAGTTCGACCGTAAATGGTCCAGTCTCTTCAGCGGCAAGCTTGAACCAAATGACAATCAAGCGGAAGACGGCCTCCTTGAGGAATTTAAGCAAACCTTCGAGGATGCTAAGTTATTTGTGGCCGGAATCACCGTCACCTATGCGCCATCAGTTTTGGTGGACAAAACCAGTCATCAAAAGAATGATCATTCCACTAAGGTACTATCGAAAACGGACCTTGCGAAGGGCATACATTTAGGAATGCGAATTCCTTCTTACCGCGTTCTGAACCAGGCCGATGCTCGTTCATGGCATCTCCAGGATCGACTTCCGTCCAACGGCCAGTGGCGCTTACTAATTTTCGCGGGCAGCATGATCGATCTAGCTCAACGAGAACGAGTTTTGGCCTTCGCAGACTATTTATTGTCGCCTTTATCTATTTTGAACACCTATGCGTCTGAAGATATCCCTTTGTTCGATATTATCACCGTTCATTCTGGCCCCCGGACTGAAGTTGAACTATCACACTTTCCTCCGCCCCTGAGAAAAATGTCGGAATACAACAACGTATTTGTAGACGACCATTCCTACTTGGAGCCCTTCGGTGATGCTTACAAAAACTATGGAGTGGATTCGATCAGAGGATGTGTTGTTTTGATAAGACCCGACCAATACGTCTCATGGATAGGAGACCTTGAGGACACTGACAAACTGGAAACTTTTTGTCGAGGTTGTCTACGTCGTTTGCCATCTTCTTCTTCACTCTAAGATGGTCCATCAGCAGACCATATTCATGGCGGCTTTTCGTATCTAGTTTACTGTGACACCTCTAGGTATGTGTCAGAAAGGGTGGTTACTAGCTCCCGTAGTCTAGTCATATGCCTTGAGTCTTCGGAACACCTCCCCCGTCTATCCCTTGCCTTGGTCGCATAAAAGCCTGTTCGTAACACCAAGGTGGTGTTAGGAGGATCTTCAACGTTGTACTAGGTCGCCTTTTTCGCATTGTAACTATATCTAGAGAGGTTTTCTTCACGTATTCGCCCATGATAGAGAGTTGATTAGACGCCACACAGACGATACGTCCGTACTTATTGTGCAATTCCACAACGTCGTCATATATGCCCCTTTAGATACCGATTACTATGTTACAGACCCGAGAACTTGGCCAGGAAGAATCCCGGAAATCATGATAAAGGATGAAAGAAAACACGATAAGTAACCAAGGCCCGAGTAAGACAGGGAGAAGATTGTCGACTGCCCAAATGGTGATTGACTGGTGGCTCACAAGAGGCCAGCTAGCATAAATTTGGTTTGAAACTCTCGAAGAGCCATCATTGGGAGTGGGATCAAGTCTTCTAGCAAAATGCTGCCCACGTCCAGCCCAGGAGTAGGAATCGAAGGGAAACGTTCGAAGAATCTCCAGCGTTGAGAGATGCCTAAACCATCCGGCGTGTCGGGCGCTTCATGGGGAAGCGGACCTGGAAAATTCAGAGTTGTAAGCAGAGAACCAAAATGTGGAGATTGGTGAGAGAGAGTGGACCTGATAATGCTCTTACATAAAGAGGAGCTTGGTCATTCGCAGCCCCCGCCGAAGATTTCAAGTTTCAACCCCACAATTTCCGCGTTCTACAAGACACAAGGATTCCCGGAGCCGAGAACACGACAAAATCACCACTCGTGTCTAGGAGACGGAAGATGGAAAATCCGAAATATGCCTTTCATAACCCTGTACACAGTCTGATCGTGCCATGAATGCCCAAAACACCCAAAATCATGACAGATTCCCTGAGAGATGGATGTGGGGTGGTTTGATGTACTCTGCATTGGATTCATTGTCACAAAGGCCAGTCGACTGACTGAAAACCAACTCCACTTCCAACATTGATCTCTGCCCTAGGTGGGGGGTCAATGCAATATTTTCTGTCAACGGACACTCACAAAGACTCGATACTGGTTAACGCAAAAACCACCGTGGGCTATATGAAGTATCCCACTAGCATATCCTCCTCAATCTTACCGTCTCAGCCTTGCAACTCGGAGAGAAAATTAAGACGAACCATCGATCAATATCATCCAATAGTCGCCATGAACGTAACAGGAACGCTGATTCTCGGCTTTGTGGTCTTTTTTGTCGCACAGAGCTGGTTTCGCTCATTCCGCAAAAACGCATCATACAAGTTACCTCCGGTCGTCCCAGGGATCCCCATTTTTGGCAATACATTCCAGATACCTGCACTCCAGCAGGGGCCATGGGCTAAAAAGCTGGCAGATAAATATGGGGAGATGTAAGCAAGCAGCCTTGTCTCGGGCACAGGATTTTCGAGACGGGAAACAAAACTCACATCACTTGGACTGTTAGGTTCACCTGCCAATTCGGATCTCAGACTTGGGTATTCTTGAATTCGTCTCGGGTGGTTAATGACCTCATGGAGCGACGAGCGGCAATTTACTCGTCACGGCCGCCATTTCCCATGACACAAGGAATCATGTCGGGGAATTCCAGAATCGTGCTCATGCCCTACAATGAGGAATGGCGGACACTGCGTAAGATTATGCATCAAATCCTGACCTCTACAAAACTTTATATGCCGTTTGAAGACCTGGAGTCCAAGCAGCTGCTCTGGGACTATCTGGAAAAGCCGGACCGATGGTGGTCTGCTAACGGTCGATATGCGAACTCTGTCATTATGAGCGTTATTTTTGGGAGGAGATCTCTTCTCGACGATCCCGACGTCGTCGAGCTCTTTGAAACTTTGGAACTTTTTCTAGAAAACCAACAGCCCGGCGTCAATATCGTGGATGCGTTTCCCGTCCTAGATCGCTTGCCAAAGCGACTCCAATGGTGGAGACCTCGCGGTGAGAGAATCTTCGAAAAGACAAAGAAGTAAGTAGCCAAGCTCAGGCCCGAGGCTTCAACCAACGATAAAATATAGTCAGATTATTTGCTGACGAGCCTTTCGGTAGAGTCTATGCTAGAGAGGAAGAGAGACTCAGACGCAAGATGAAGGAAGGAAACCAAAAAGAATGTTTTGGCACCGCTTTCCTTCAGACGAAAGAGGTGGCTGGAATGAGCGAGACGCAGCGATTGTTCGTCTTTGGTACTTTGATGGAAGCTGGCAGTGACACTTCGAGAGTCACACTGGGTCAGATCATCGCAGGAGCAGCCACGTATCCCGACTGGGTAGAACGGGCCAGGGTACAATTAGACGCTGTCTGCGGGCATCACGCTGAGCGACTTCCTCAATGGGAGGACCGCGACCAGCTCCGTTACATCACCGCCGTGGTGAAGGAGGGTTTCCGCTGGCGCCCGAACATCGCCGAGATTGGAGCACCGACGATGCTCATCAAGGACGATGAGTATGAGGGATATAGGTTCCCAGCTGGAACAGTCTTCACTTGGAATGCATGGGCTATAGCACTTAGCCCGGACGAGTATGAAGACCCTGAGCGATTCTGGCCGGACCGGTTTCTAAATGACGATTTGGCTAGCCCTCTCAAAGGGCATTGGGCATTTGGACCTGGTGAGTTTGTCTTTACCACTCTAGAGCTTTTGTAGCCAGCATTTTGACTGACTAACCCCGTTTTTAGGCCGCAGAGTTTGTGCTGGATGGAAAGTCGGCGAGATGAACGTGTGGATCGCAATCGCCCGTCTGCTCTATTGCTTCGATTTTACCCAGGTTCCGGAGAAGCCAATTGATACCATGACCATACCACAGCTCACGAAACATACCGCACCTTTTGACGTCAAGGTTTCGTTGCGAAGCGAAGCTCATGCTGCTCTGATAAGACGTGATTGTGAAGAAGTGACCAGGATTCAGTACTAGAAATATCGGATTATCGTGTTCATGGAACAGGTTCATCATAGCATCGTCAACTGTCATTTTTGAGTTTTATTCCTATATCAAGGAAACACGAGGAGAGTCAGATGATGAAATTTCTCTCATCCACGCGCAGGCGTTCCAGGTCTTCATAAAAGAGACTTCAGACGGGGATGCTGCTTGGACATATTTGGCACAATGAATCTAAGCAGTCGCCGTCATACATCGCTGATGACCATGGCAAAAAACACCAACCCTCTTGCGTGGAACAGGTATGTATTTTAATGAGCTTCTCAATAAGAAACACAACATCTGTTGACAGGATTGGGCTAAATATCAGTCGGTAACGCCTGCAACCGCAATTGGTGTGACCTGTCCATTTGTGCCATCGGCAGAGGCATTCTGATAGTGCTGGGTAAAGTCGTATTTGATGACATTGATCGCAGACATCATTTCCTTCGCAAATACCTTGTCTGTCTCTGATCGCTTTGCGAGCTTTAGGAATTCGTTCGTCTCCATCACTGTGCCCGGATCCGAGTCGAACATTAGTCTGATATTGCTGCTCGAGATCGGATCTATAACCTCAGAATACTTCTGTCGTCGAACCTGCGAATATATATCGAGGATGCTGTCGTCTGCTTTTCCATGGTAGATGCCAACAAGGCAGTCAGATAGCCCTCCAACGTCGACAATGCCACCAGTCAAACCGAGACCTCCAAATGGGTTGCATACTGTCAATATAATAAGCACAACATTTCGGACACTTCAGAGCGGGAAATAACATACGATGAGCCGCATCGGCAGATAGAAGAAAACGCCCAACCCTCATGGCATGTGCTAGCCGCTGGTGCACCCGATAGGGGCTGAAGTTGACAATTTTGTACTGTTCTGGAGTCGGGTGTCCTGGAATCATTTCTTGCCATTTTGCTGGCTGTCTCGCTAGCAGCTCCTCTCGAGTAGCCACCTTCTCGCCATAAGTAACGCGCCACAACCCATCCGTTGATATGCGCGAGGCCATGTACCAATGAGTCGGGTCAATGATGAAATTGGCATCATCGTAGCCGAATTTGTGGAAATCATAGTATACCTGCCTCTCAGGGTCAAAAAGATCTTTTTGTCAGTGGAAAGCTCTTTTCACACTTACGTTTGTAGCAACAATTTGCTGGTCCCAAGTCTTACCCGGAAACTCCGAATCCCCAAATAGCGAACGTCGGATTTGGCTATTTGCGCCGTCACATCCCACGATATATGGCGCCGAGAACCTCTTCGTGCCCGACGGTGTATCAACATCCACCCACGCATTGTTTTCATCTTGCCCTATGGCAATGACCCTGTGATCCCAGCAGATAGTCACGTTCGGCTGCTGGACTAGGCGTTCGTAGAGTATCTGGCCCAGTTGGTTGAGTGGAAGGCAGATCATACGGTCCGGATCGTCTTCCTGGACGCGATGATCGAGTCCAGCTAGGAACGTGCCATCAAGTTTGCGCCAGCAGACAACGTTTGGGTGGAATCCTCGTTCGCGGATCGCGTCCAGCACGCCCGATCGTCGTAGCTCATAGACTGCTGGTGGGCCATAGTGAGTGGCTCGTGGTTGCTCATCTAAGCTGGTTGACTTCTCCAGAACTTGGACTGGTATCCCGGCTTGCGAAAGCAACAAAGACAACAACAATCCAGCAGGTCCTGCTCCAACGACTATGATCCATGGTATCGAAGACATGATGGATGAGTTTGGCAATTACCGACGATGGCCCGATGGTATATTTTTCACTAAGGCAAGGGGAACAAGTTTTCAGCTCTACCAGCGGGCGCGGATTTTTATCCAGGAGCAATTTCTCGGCTCGATATACTTTCGAATTGACAACTTGCCGATCACCACACCCTGCAGGGCCATAAAAAATGATTTCTGAGTGCCTTAGGAGCCTAGATCGCGTGTAGCAGTCCCGTTTGCATGGCCTCACCTAGTAATGGAACCGCGAATTCTACCCACATTCCAACCTCCACAATTTCCCTTTCAGGAACGCCACACCGAGGCAAAGCCTCAGCGAAAGTCTGATGCGTGAAGGAGAGCCAGAATCGCGATGCATCGAGTCTTGAGGAGACTGTCACAAAGGCTGCTTATTATTTGTGTTTTCAAGAGGAGAGCGTGGATTTTAAAAAGTCCTGTACAGCTGATATTATTTTATCTGAGAAAGGAATGCGAGCACTGCCTTCTGGCATGCTTCAGGCATTTCCACGTAGATCTCGTGACCCTTTCCACTTATGACTTCGAGTTGAGCTTGTTCAACGGATTGCTTGATTCCTCGTTGTTCTTCTAACTTGGTTGCCGCGCTATTTGCTGGAGCAAGAATGAGCATCGGGACCTTGATCTGTGAAAGGACTCCCCTCGAGTCCAGAGAAGATAAAAATTTGGCGTAACCGGCCAGCCCCTCAGCCGATGATACTCCAACCTGATCTATCCACCAGTCCACATAGTTTTTATCTTGGATTGAAACCGTACCTGGCACTTTGGACAATGCCTCTGCCCAGCCCCTCGAGCCGAGCTCACGGCAAGCCGTCGGCCAGTCTTTGTGGCCAAATGCAAATAACGATAGAGCCTGCGGGGGCAGAAACGTCGGAGAGGAGCAAATGATCAGAGATTTGACTCGTTCAGCATGCTTGCATGCGAAGAATTCACCGACCATGCCGCTGGTTGATTCTCCGAGGAAGTGAACCTGACGAATCCCAAGTTGGTCCAGTGTGTCCACTATCTCCTCACAGATCGTGTCAATAGAGTAATCGTAGGTCCGTTCATCTGGTGTACTAGAGTGTCCATGGCCACGAGCGTCACGTCTGATAACCCGATATTTTCTTGCAAGAACAGGCACCCAATGGTACCAGAAGGCGGCATGCCGAGCAAATCCGTGCTGGATTAGAATGGTTTCGCATGGCAGCCACGGGTCCGTGAAGTTGTCAATGATGAGATGAGTGGTTTGGCCATTTGGATGTGTTATAATCTTTCCAGGAATCGCCGCCTGCATGGTTGAGCTGCCGTCAAATTTTAAGGGGGACAACGGATGATGACGGGGTTAAAAGTCTGGGGCTGGCATGTGGAGAAGAGAAGATCCCCATTCTTGACACCCAGTCCATACTGGGAGCCTTGTCGTAGTGAGACACGCCTGTACTATCATGTAGTCCGTACTAGCTTCTTTTCTTGTCAGCATGAAAGAGCACCCCACAACCTCGTCCGATGCAGAGTGTCCCGACCTGACCGTCAATACCTCTGAACGGTTTCCATCATGGTTTACCAGTCTTTGCCTCTCTTCCTGGAGAAAGGTACATGGTTGGCGTTAATTCCTGGCCACACGCTGATCTGGCTTCAATTGTGAGAATATTAAGAAATACACATTTTCCTCATGTCAATAAGCTGTAGCAATCGCTAAGGTAGAACAGACTTCTTGTGTTCTCAAGAGCTGGCAATGGCAAGGTTCAAGCCAAGCCAAGGCTTACGTGGGCAACGTATCACTTTGCTTTGCGTCAAAACCGATATTGTTGGATTTGATGGTCAGTCTCATCACATCGCGGTTACGGGTGAAAGTTCAAGATCCAGGCGAGTGTTGACGTGGCAACCCATATTTGGCGTCCTTTCTGTCCGCCAGCTGACTCTCCCAATTTCCGTCACCTATCACCTCCACCCGCAAGAGCCCCTTTTTAACGAGACCATGGTCGTCAGAGACAGTTCCCTGCTAATGTAGCTCTCACCAGACTTTGTAGCTATGTAGAAAACCTTTGTCTTTCTGACCACTCGGCTGCTGCCTGCGTTGGAAGCTGACGAGGCTGCAGGCGGAAGGGGTCGTATCTAAGGCGGGCCCATGTCTGCCTCTTTTACCACTTTCCAATGATGACTTGATTAAGGCTAATGTATCATTCTCTCTCGTGACTTAGGACATGGATCAATGGCAACTACTGCGATTGTCCGGGGGTGTTGACGTCCTACTAGTAAAGGAATGGATTTCTCGAAGACAACAGAGACGTCTACCCAGCTCGTTTCCGTTACTTAACCTAGATAGGCTTGACAAATCCTGGCTGTAATATATCGGTCCATGGGTGAAAATGACCTTCAGCTCACGTCCTGGTCTGCCTCAATTTTTCCACGAGACCTTGCAACTACTGCAAACTGAATCGAGCAACAGAAGTGGGATGACTGTTGATTTAAGTGGCAATAAACAATGCATGAGATTTATTGTAGATGTGATATCAACGTCCTGCACGACTAAGTGAATGTCAGCCACATTTTCATCTTGCTTTTGGGCGACAAAATTTAATGCCCTCTCTTTCTGCTGCCTCGAACGACTTGCGTATGGTGGTTGCATGATTGGGTGACCTAACCGAAATGTCTGCTTTGAATGGTTTGGGGACACTGAGAAATCCTCTTATCATGGTCGTTTCAGGCTCGATGGGCTCCCCGTCCGCTCCCGTAGGTTTTCTAATATCAAACCCCCACAATGTCCGGACAACATTGATGAAGAGCGACTTCTCGGCCACATGGACTCCAGGGCAAACCCGACGACCAGCGCCATATGTAAAATGATCTCGCTCAAAAGGATCGTTTGCATTGATGTATTCTGCCGCCGATAGTGGTTTGTCGAGGTATCGTAAGGGCTCAAAGATTTCCGGGTCCTTGTAAAGCTCAGGATTCATATGGATGGCCCTAGGAAGAGGTAGTCAGTAAGTTGAACATACGTCCGGCGGGAGGGGGAAAGCGGGGGCCTTCATGTCACCCACCACCAATTTAGCATCACGACTGAGTTCTTAGGGATGAAGTAACCCTCGTACCAGTCATCCTCGCTGGTGTAGTGAGGCATTCCGAACTTGTTGACTGGCCTCCATCGAAGAGTTTCCTTGACCAATGCCCGGGTATAAGGAAGGCTGAGCTCGTCATCCCATGTCGGCATCCTGAGACCATCACTGCCAATAATTCGGTCGATCTCTTCCTGTGCCCTTCTCATTGCCTCTGGAAAGAGGATCATGGCAAGGACGAAATTGTTCAAAGTCGTGCTGGTGGTCTCTGATCCTGCTTCAACAAGCCCACCGCACATGTACGCTGCCTGCATATCATCAATACCATGTTTACGAGGATCACTCAGATAGTAGTCCTTGCAAAAGCATTCAGCTGCAGTGCCTTCATCGACAGATTTCTTGAGCGTCTGCCAAAGGTCCATGTACACCTTACTATCATGCGCAAAGACCTTCTCAGCTTGTGACCTCCAGTTACCGAAGAGCCATTGAGGCAGGTGGGCCAAGGAAGGGAAGCTATCCACAGCATGCGCTCCGGGGGCTGTCATCTCGGTCAGATTGTCGAGCACGGTATAAATCTCCTTTACCAGAGGATGTTCCCAGGTTGGAAGCCGATACCCATATGTAAGCAGCATAATTACAGAGGAGCTATACCGGCGATTGTGCTCGTAGAATCTTGCTGGTGTCTCGAGGAAATCGGACAAAAGTTGCTTCGACTCGAAATCCTGAATTGGCTGATACTTGACGGCGCTCGTAGCATTGAGCAACGCATGGCTCGATTTACGTAAATTTCGCCATCCAGAGCCATACGCCATGAACAACTGGCGTTTCCCTCCACTCGCAACATCTTGAGCAAAGGGTGCCGGCGAACGCGACGAATAGATATTCGATTTCTTGTCGAGGCAATCTTTGACGGCTTTGGGCGATGACAACCAAATGTAGTCGGTGCCTCCTATCTTGGTGTAGAAGATATCCCCAAACTGCTGATGCCACTGCCTTGCCTTGTGTCTAACGAGCTCCGAGTCTGCGAGGTCTAGAAGATTGCCGATGAATGGATATCCTTTGGGACCGGGTGGTAGGTGCTTTCTTCGACTGTCCTAAGGTTCACAGTCAGCCAGGAACAAATTTGGTGCGAGCCATGGCTCAAAGCACCTTCCATGTGGTGGGTGTGTTGTAGAGATACAGTCCGAGCAGACCTAGCGGAAAAAGCAGCAGTGAGAGCAAAGCCAGCTTGTAACATGATGCAGCGAGCTTGCTCAGCTGGACGAGAGAGGGTTGCGAGGTCATGTTTTGTTCATTCGACACATCCAATACAACAAGCAATTCTGTAGCTTATGATAATGACCTTTCCAGGCGCCGTAGTTATTGTGGTAATACCAAATGATTCTTCATCTCCCTAATGAGTATTTCCAGGTTCGAGCTGACCTAACAAGGGAAATGTGGAGGTGGCTGTCTTTCTCAGGTAGAGATCCTGAAAACCACAATTTCTACTTGCGGACCACCCCACCACTTTCTCAGAGGCACGCACTCATGAGACACATGGGATGACGGCTAATAGGGTGGAGGTGTGTCCTCTCAAATACGACCAGAAGAAGCCGACGTGGTTGAGTATACTCCTCCGCAGTAGCCATGACGACTTACCAAGTTGACCAGGAGCAATTGAAATCGTTGAAAGGCAAGACTATTCTGATAACAGGATGTGCTTCTGGAATTGGACGAGCAACAGCTGAGTTGGCGCACCGTGAGTTGTCTCTGATAGAGCCTCTGCCAAGTTACTGATGAGGAATCAAGGCAATGGTGCGAACCTGATCCTGGCCGATTGGAGTGAAGCCCCGTTGAGGGATCTTGCGGAAAAGCTAAATCACAACTCGTGAGCTCACTGCACAACGTATTGTCAAGTGAATGGGCTGACCTTTGTATCGTCAGCAATGTCATCTTCCAGAAAACGAATGTTGCACACTGGGACGATTTGATTCGGGTCTACCAACTTGGGTGGGAGAAGTTTGGAGCGATTGATGCTGTTATATCCAATGCGGGGGTCAACTCTGGCGAAGTCCACCTTCAACACGAAATCGATCCTATGACAAATTTGTTACGAGCTCCACCGCTGGATACTCTGGAAATCAATCTGATAGCTCACATTTACATGACCAAATGTGCAGCTTATTACTTCGGAAAGCAGGCAGGAAAGAAGTGCCAGATCGTCCTCACATCTTCCGCGGCAGCGTTCCTTGATACACCGCCTCTCTATTTGTATTCGACTGCCAAAGCCGGTGTGTTGGGCCTAATGCGCTCCCTGCGAACAGACTTGCCAAAATCCAACATCACCATCAATACTGTTGCTCCGTGGTTCACAGGTAAAGACACAGGCGCCCTGTCTCTCCCCAGGTGAAATTGAAATTGACACTAATCGGTTGATGACAGCCACCCCAATGGTTCCCAAGGCGCTCACTGATCTGTGGGAGAACCTGCCGGCCAACACCCCAGCTGGGATCGCGATTGCGCTGCTACTACCAATCATCCAACCTGAAATCAATGGCAAAACTTTTTTTGTTGCCGGCAACGAGATTGTGGAGCTCGAAGACTCTCTGGCTAAGAGTCAACCTCAATGGATGGGCGAAGAGCTCAGCAGAAATGTCGACGAGGGCCAGAGGCGGCTTCTGAACGCAGATCCTTTCGAATAAAACTCCCAGTTCTTCACAATCACAAGCATGGCGCATTCGCCGCACTCGCGCCGAGTTGCGGGGGGATGAAACTCTCCCCAGAGCCGTGCTTCCTAAGAAGAGGAAGAAGTCGCATTTTCGATCCTGTCTCTGTTGGTCGTTATACTATTCACGGGAGGCTACAACGGAGATGCCGATCCGAAGAGAGACACGTTTTGTGCCTCCTAGCTATGCACCCGCAATCTCGAAGCCTCGTAGGCTTTGGCAAGCTCTTGTAATACAAAGCCAATCCGTGGAGTGACTGAAGAGGCACGTCAGCTTCATGCGACCAATAATAGCGATAGGTATGGTGGATATCAGTGAGCTATGGTCAAGCTCGGAATCAGCCATGCTGAAGGGCTGAAAACAGCAACAAGCCAACAGCGCGAACAGGATAGGTTGGATATTATGGCATAAATCTTACCTCCCCAGACCCACGTATCGGTGAAAAATGGAGCCCAAAACCTTGTGACAGCTGCTGCTAAAGACTCGGTACTTGTAAATCGGATTTGAGCTTCTGTCATGAGGCGATGTACCATTTTTATAGTTTGTCTCTCCGAGTCATTGACAAAATCGTGGGAGAGCTCCGCTTGTTCAATTGCGTGGATCCAGCGTGTGACAAACAGAGCTGGGTATATTTTAGATTGCAGCTCGAGCTGGATTCCCTGTCCTGGGGTGGGAAAAAGACTCACCTGTGTCCCAACCCGCGATGGCATGATCCACCCACCACGTCAGTGCGGCGGTTTTGAGCGTCAACAACACTCCCGCCCGAGCAGGGACAAAAAGGCCTTCAACCGATCTTGCCACAGCCTTTGTGATTGATTCACTGCGAGGTTGGTCGATGGATAAGTATTTCGAGATGGCATCCACGATCTCACCACGTGTTTCCCTTAGCAGGATAAACCGGTCCAGAGTTGCAGTGAGCATACAAGCGCGACTGTACGCAACCCGGAGAACGGCCATGCAGTTAAAAAGCATGGGCCCGTCGTCGTCACTCCAAGTAACCTCATTAGCATTCTTTGCGCTCATGAGGAGATCTCTGCACCTATTCAGAGCGGCTTCGGTCTCCATGATATCTCCGGGGCCAGACAATATGGTATGGTTCCCATGATCTCCAGGCAATATTCCAAGGTTTTTAGCCGAGGAGATATACCAAATCTGCGTCGCAACTGCGTACATAGCAACAGCAGTTGCGAATGGGGACCATTTCCATGAGGTCTCTGGAATCTCTCTCGCAGTTTGGTCGTACATGAGCTTAGACATCGCCTCTCCCAGACTCAACGGTGTTCCTCGAGGTTGATTGTGATTCAGGAGAAGCCATTGCCTCTCTGAAGGCGCATCCCAGAGGTCTTGATCACCAGGCATTTCCAGAGTCGCAATTTGTGCAGCTGAAAATGCGGGGCAAAAACCGTAAGCGGTACTGAGCATATGGGATAAGATGATGATGCCGTAGAAGATCCTGATGCAATCGGTCAAAAAAGACCCTTAAATTTAGGCAAGAGAAACTAAACCTCTTGGATGACTCTCTTACGATCCAATCCTCCCATTTCGTGTCGTTGACACTCCGACGAACGCTCAGGGAAGTCAAGGCCAAGTGACAGTCCTGCGAAATGTTTAGTACAGACTATGTTTTTCACAGGGATCCTCACCGTCCATTGGGCCGACAATAATCCAAAAGCTCTCTTGATCAAGCCTGCGTTGCCATTCAGGGTGCCAAATACAGCAAGGAGAAATCGGGCTTGCATCATCCAGAGGGGCAGAGACTTTGGCTGAGACATCTCCTCGGATTGTGGGTTGAATGCTTCAATAACCACCAAAGACTCATTTATGGCCAGCCAAGCCGACATACTTCGATCGAACGCCTGTGACGCCTTGCGGTACATACTGATGGCTAATTTCCTTTCTAATCGGTACAATGCTCCAATCGCGCACATGATCAGAATCAGTGGACTTGATGTTTCCTCCACTGTTAGCGATGAAACATGAAGAATGGGCAGATGTATATGAAAGGCGTCAACATAGCTGCGCAAGCATTTTTCCAATGCCAACGCCTCTGGATGTTCATACTCCCACAACTCGTCTTGGCTCAACCTGGTTGTCAGATCCTTGTAAAGTGCCGTTCTTGTCTCTTCAGTGATTCTGAAGTGGGTTCTTTTGACCTGTTCAGGCTTTGTCACCTCTAGAAGACTAGATAGCGAGGATGTTGTCGAGGTAGGTGATGGGTCGGACAACTTAGTTGGATCCTCGACCAAATTTGATTTTAATGGCAAGTTATGAGCTTGCGAATGTGTCTGAGGCATCGTCGTCCCTAATGCTGACATTTTTGGTAGTGAAGTGTGCGAACCGAACAGTGCAATGTTACCAGCTAGGTCCTGACTGTGATAGACAAAATCTGTACGCTGCGACACCGAATTTCCTAGTTGGGGCAAATTTGAGACAGTCTCGAGATGTCCGAGCTCATTTTGAAGGCCTAAAAAGTCTGAAGCGTCATACGGAAGACCTAGGAACGGCTCAAAAAAATCGAGGTTCGCAAAAGTGATGTCTTGCGATAAGAGAGCTGTGTTGGCTGCAGGTTGATTTAGTGATCCTCCCTGCATAGGTGAGTTTCCCGGTTGCCGAACAGAAGGGGAGTTGTTTTGCTGGTTGTTGACGATCGCCGATACATCAGACAAAGCAGGTACATTAGTGTTTTCGCAGATTCCTTGATGACCCGAACAGAGTTCCTTGACGGAGTTACCGTCTGCGTCTGCCGTAGACGCTGCAAGAGCGAAGTGAGAGTGTTGGTTGCTGGCAGAAGAATATAAGTCGGCGGAGAAAAGCAGGGTGTCAGAAGATGGGGTGACATGTTCCAAACTGTCCTCATCTAGCAGGTTGTTGGATTCTGGTGATCTCGCCTCCATGGAGACCGGCACTGTGTCCTCTGGATCAGCTCCCTCCGAGTCATCATCCCTGGCCTGTTTGTTCTTTCCACCGTTACGTTTCGCGGCATGTACCGAGGTATACTCTGAGGAATGCAAAGTCCTCTCATGGCGAACAACAAGGTCTCTCCGGGAATAGCGCTTATGACAGTATCTGCAATGATATGGCTTCTCTCGGGTGTGAGCACGTTCGTGACGAAGACGGTGCTCACTTCGCTTGAAGGTCTTAGAGCATACTTTGCAGGCATGTTGTCGATCAGCCGAAGGTTGCTCATCAAATACGATAGTCCCTACCCTCCCCCCAGTCACTGGCGACATCTTTCTATCCGCCGTAATGTCAGTGGTCCCAGGAAGGCGAGCTTTGGTATCTGGGTGTGAAGAAGGGAAGATGTCGTGAAGATCATCGCAGTTGCATATGATGTAGGCTCCAGGGTCTGGCAGGTTTGGCCATTCTAACTCTGAACAACAATTGGTTGTGCAGATGGGACATGGACCTGGGGGCGATTACTGAGTGCCGAGAAAATGCTCTCTACCCCGCGCTCTTCGCTAAGTAGACAAGCAAATGAGATTTCCCTACAGTGTGATGGGTCAGGTTGGAAGTCTATTACTCTGTTCTGGGGTCACGGATGGAAGGGGGAGAAGAGCGCCGTGGCCGGGCTCCACCGATGGCTCCAGAATCGGCTTCTCTAGTCTAGCCAGGCTCAATGCCATGATTATTACTCCCGGTGAAGCTCATAAAAAAAAAAGTTTGGTATCCCTTAACCCCCACAATTTCCTTATTAGGAAATATGGGAGGGAAGTCCAGCCATCGCAGCCTTCTAGGAAGATTCAACAGGGCTGGATATTCGGGGCTTTAGAAGTGTCACACCAACATAGCTTCACTTGAAATTTAGCCTTTCACAATCAAGTATTGTTAGAGGCCATGGCAAAGATCGAGGTTCGACTTGATGTATTGGCAAAGTTGAAGGGGAAAACCGTCTTGATTACAGGTATTGGAACAGTGCGTAGTCTCCAGCGCGGATGAGGACTGATCTTCGCGGTCTAGGCGGATCAAATGGCATAGGAAGGCAGACCGTTTTGATGCTTCATGGTTCGATGATGGCCACCATCACCACCACTACCACCTATAATACGGCATGAATCAAGATCAGCATCGACTGACAGTTATACGGACAGGTCTCGGGGCAAATGTTGTCGTTGGAGATCTAGATGTCGCGAGGGGTGAATCCTTGGTCAAAGAGATCGGCGGGTGAGCCCTTGCTGGATGCATCCGGGCAATAGCCACATGAAGAGTCCGTGGCTGACGCGAGACCTAGGAACGGTATTTTTCAAAAGACTGATATCACCAACTGGGAGTCGCTTAGAGACCTTTTCGAGGCCGCAAAGTCAAATTACGGCTCAATTGATGTTGTCATGGCCAATGCTGGCGCGCCGGAAAGGCCCCCTTTCCTCTTCGACGAGTCTTTTGATGGGAATGGACTGTTGAAGGAGCCCGACCTCAGCATCATTGACGTCAATCTGAACGGAGTCATGAGAAGTACCTCATGCAGTAGATTCCTACCTGAGAGTAGAGCTGATCCAATTCCCGTAGCCGCCAAACTTGCCCTGCACTACTTTGCAAGAAACCCCCCTCCCGGAGGTGTGTTGGTTATTACTGGGTCTGCAGCATCGTACGTACGCCTCTGTGTCCACGAAGGATATACCCTGAACCAAACAAAGCTATTTCGCCTCGCCGCCTATCGTACGGTATTGTGCGGCAAAGCATGCGGTAAGGCCTCTATGTCTGAACCTTTCAACTCTTGTTGATTACCTCTCAAATGTAGCTGCTAGGTCTGATGCGCTCCACTGCGGCGATGACGAAGCTAGCGAACGTGCGGGTAAATCTGGTTGCCCCATGGATGACCGGTACGACATCTCTCTGTTAGATGAGCATGCCAGTGAGAGAGAGGACTGACCCCGGGACGAAGAAACCGAGTTTAGCTCAGAAGCAAGCGATATATGGGGCTCCATGCCCATAAACACGGCTCGAGAAGTCGCTGAGGCACTTTGTGTGGCTGCTGCGGACGACACTCTTCATGGTAAGCTTTCTATTACTCCATTCCTCATGCATTCATCGTGGCTCATACGACCAGGACGGGCTCTTTATGTCGCTAAGGAAATTGTCGATTTTGAGCTACCATTGTATAAGACCCAGGAGGACTGGATGACCCTGAAGCAGGCTGCGTGGTTTGAGCAAGGCAGAGAACGACTCGCACTTGGCATGAAGCTTCCGGGGGCCCATTATCTCAAGGATGCTGTGTAGGTCTAATTAACTGATAGAGGCGAGGAAATGGACGTTTAGAGCGGATTATCCTGACACGCCGACTTACTTGGCTAACCTGGCCCTTCATTCATCATGTGGAAATGGATTTCCTGATGAACCCTTCTGACATCGAAACAGAATCAAGAAAGACCCTCTTCGTTGGAAGCTACTTCGAAGGAGAAGCCGGAGCATGGTTCCGACCCTTGGTTGAAGGACAAACGCCCCAAGCTGGGGGTCACGGGCCTGCTCTGCCCACTAGCCCCCGCAAAGCTACCCCCTGCTCGCCTCCGGGTTATCCCTATCGAACTTTTTCTAGGCGGGGTTAGAGTACTGCCTAGGCACCAAAGGGGGTTGGCAGAGCACGCTATTAGCCAACTGAGTTTAGCGCCTCCCGCAAAAGTTTGGCAGCAATGGCTCGACTTGCCCGACTTCAACTGATTGCCTCATTTTCAACAACTCTGTTCTTCTTCCTCCTGAAATTTTCATGCATCGGCGTTGCCTTTGAGGACCCACGAGCTGTCGCATATGCAATCATGTCACAAGGAGAGATGGTTCCGCGCCGAGTCCAATTTTCTAGCTGCGATGAATGTCGCAGGGCGAGGGTTGCCTGTGATGCGGGTAGAGCCCGCCGGAACCGAGAGGACCACCATGAGCTTCTATCCTGCACGAGGTGCCTCAATCGGCAGCTCCCGTGTACTTTTGAGGTTTGCATGGTCCCTTGACTGCATTGGCCGCCTATGCATTGCTGACCGCAGCCTTATTTCCCAACAGTGGATGAAACCAAGTACAGGCAGCTCTGCAACTCACCGCAAAAGCCTGGAGGGAAGGCCCAAAAGGAGGCGTTCGAAGATACCGGCTCAAGAAACAGCTGTTTATGAAGAGAGCAACAGCGACATGACTGGCGACTCGCTCCCCAGTCTTGTTCAACAAAATTCCGAGAGTGCGACAACTGAACCGTCGAGAAGGTATGCTCTCAAACCACTACATCAAGTGCGTTCCTAAGGACTCAAGGACAAGCTACGAATGGGGCTGGTCGTCGGATCAACTATCACAGCCTTTACTCATACAACCTCATTTGACCCCTGAACCCATCAGCCCTGTTGAAAGCCAGTGGCTCCATACCATATACGAAGGGGCTTTTGAAACTATATTCGGTTCTTGGATGGGCCGCTACAGCAATCCTTTCGCGTACGTGTGACGCCATCGGTTAACAACCTCGGGGAATCGCTGACGACACTAGTTTTGGCGAACAGAGCCTATCGGATGTGATTAGTATACGCCGAGTTTGCAGCCAACTCGACCGACACATTGACGAAGAAGATGCTGTATCAGGCACAATATCCGAAGCTGGAGCTTCACCCGATCTGGCCAGACACGAGAAAGACGCACAGCTCAATCAGTTCCTTGACCATGCCATCCAATCTTTCGCCGCTCGCTGGCTACCTCTAACCCACCAAGTAATTTTGACAGGACTATCCCAGGCCAACGTCGTCTGTCGTCTTTGGCGGCGCGCTCATACAGACATGCTCAAAGTCATCAACAGGCCGTCCTATCGGTCCATGCTGACTTTACTTTTGTTTGCTCTGACGCCCATCCCAGTAGGCATTTCCGAAGACGAAGAACTCGAGGGAGTATCAGGACAAGTCTGTGTTCACGCTGCACTGCAGCAGATTCAAACGCTCCGTGCCCGTCAAAAGAGCCTTCAATTTAATGGGACACGCGTCAACCTCACCAACTCGAACCGCCCTATTGGAGCAAGTCCCGCCTCACTTGCCACCGCCAATTTCATTATCGCCGAGAGCACTGCTTATTGGGCTGCTCTTACATTCGACACATCGGCCTCCCTGACCTTGAATTGCCGGCCATTACTTTCTTCTGGACTTTTTGGGTTCGAATCTGAGCCATCATGGCGCATGGTACGGACTTGCATCGGGATTTTCCGCGAAACGACGAGAGACTGGAGCAATGCCGACGTCGACCTGACAGATGAGAAAGCAAACCAAGTTATAGCGGCTGGGGCAGCATGGAAGTTGTTGGTCTGGAAGCTAACTGCGAACCTGAAAGAATCTCTGAGAGACGGCCATGATGAGGCAGAGGTTCTTAGGGCATTCAACTCCGTGTCCAACACTATCGATCAGTTTAACATCACCTACCGTGATTTGCTTATCGCGTGTCAGAGGCGAATACAGTTCTTCAACCAAGAAACGAGACTCCGCTGGTGTAAGCGCTCCTCCCTCTTCTTCTCTATACCCGAGATCCCATGAAATCGTTCCTTAACCTGCCTATAGATGAACTCATGCTGCACTATAATCTTGCAATTCTGATGGTCACTGATATCGCGACTGCGACTCTACGCGAGGATCTCCTCTCCCTTTTCTCTGCGAAAAGAGTTGATGCAGAGACCTGGGTCATGAATTGCCTTGTCTTCGGCTTAAACAACAAATATACCTTGAAACTTCAGCCCGAGCCAGCTCTCTCTGATCCGGAGATCGCACCTAGTCAATCAGCAAGCTTGACCGTCCCATTGATTGCGATTGACCCATATCCCCACCACGTCGTCGCGGCAGTGAAGCTCATGCAACACGCCATAGACAGGGACTTTGGAGCGGACAAGATTAGCGCAGACGCTTACAATAACCTGCGTTCAACTCTCAAGCAAACATTGGAACAACTACCACAAGTTTCCAAATCGGTGCAGACAACCAGAGCTGAGTTTGAGAGAGCTGAATTTCCACCCCAGTCACTATATCCATGAAACCGGAAGCGGTCGCGTGAGGGATGCTTTCAATAACCGCTGAATCGCCTCGTCAAATTTCCGGACAAGTCACAACGATCGATTGGAGATGGATGCACTTTCCCCCCTCGATGATTGGTGAAGTCACACCACTCTCACGCTCATTGCCCTCAACTCCGTCTTGCTGCGACTGGTACAGGCTGACACGGGTCTAGAGTCTAGGCTTGCTCTGTTCAATTCAGAATGGGCGAGTGGGTCGATTGGGTGCTGTACTGACCACACATTGGCGTGGGCAAAGGGTCTGGAATTCTGGAATGTTTTCCTTGCTGGATCCAACCAGTAAATGTTCGCTGCACTATCATTTATCCGACTACGAAGCCATTTCCCCCAGCCTTTTCTCCTCCACATCTTGGTGTTCAGGGGGGCAAGGCAAAAATTGAAACCTCTGCAGTCCGTTGAGGAGCAGAAGGACCGGCTCTTTGTGATGTTGCATCCGGATCCGAGAACGACGGTTTCGGTAGCTTATTCCTGGATCCCGGACAAACAAGGCCACGTTGAGGTGCCAAATGTCGGGCGCTGGCCAATGAGACTCCATCGTCAGCAAAGGGGCTTCGGATCCGGAATCTGGGGTCCATTTTCCGCCACTGAGTGCTCTCTGCCAAGAGATTCGCTCCCTGGTAGGGTTACCTCCCCAGGCAAATCCCCCCCTACAAACACGCGGAGAAACGTGGAGTTGGCAGGGATCTTCGCTTCCGGCAGACTGGGCACATGTCAGAGGCTAACAGTCCACACCTGATTTGGCCAGCGTTGACGTATCTATATAGTTGATGCATTTTCCTCGAGATCAACACTTTCCCTGCCAGTCCTGCCCGTCAACACTCATCCAAGCTCTCTCAGGCTGCAACAGAATCCATAGCCCAAATATATCGATCATGGTTGAAACTCTCTCATCAACGCCCCCGAAAGGGGGTGAAGAGCATGTGGAGAAGCCATCCCTCAACGAGAAGGCCGCAGTTTATGAACATGCAGTATGTGACTGTAGACCTGGAATATGGGTTTGCTGCCGTTCTTTCTGACAGATTGTTGCTATTACAGAAATCCAAGCACCATGACCCCAACTGGACGGGCGAAGGGTTGGACACCTCGCATGTTGACCCCAAAAAGGTCCTGCGCAAAATGGATTTGCGCCTGATCCCCATGCTTGCAATCCTATACCTGCTCTCTTTCCTCGACCGAGGCAATATTGGCAACGCGAAAATCCAGGGCATGGAAACTGACTTGGATCTTTCTGGAAACGAATACAATATCTGCGCAACTGTTTTTGTAAGTTTCATCTCTGTTATGGTTGAATCACAAGTTAACGTCAATCGTCGCTAGTTCTTCACCTACTGTGCTTTTGAGATACCCTCGAACTTGTTATTGAAGCGTCTCAGGCCTTCCGTATGGTTACCATCTATCATGGTAGCATGGGGTATGTTTTTGGAGTATCGGCAGACGCAGATTGGAGCTGACGATAGTTAGGCACGGTCATGACCTTGATGGGTCTCGTGCAAAGTTACCACGGCCTTCTCATTGCTCGTATCTTCCTCGGTGTCACTGAAGCAGGACTTTACCCTGGTGTTGCCTACTATTTGACAATGTGTGAGTAACCATTTCAACTGTCGGTCCCTTGCCATGATTTTTTGGTTCCCTCCGAAGCTAACGTTGCCTTCGTCCAGGGTACTGCACCGAAGATCTTGCTTTCCGCCAGAGTCTCTTCTTCAGCGCTGCAAGCGTGGCCGGTGCCTTTTCAGGTTTACTTGCGTACGCCATCGCGAAGATGGACGGAGTCGCCGGACAAGCAGGCTGGAGATGGATATTCATCCTAGAGGGCATTGTGACTGTTGTCGTTGCCTGCGTTGCTTTCTTTCTCTTGTACGACTTCCCAGACACCGCAAGCTTCTTGAGTCCTGAGGAGAAGGCCTGGGTAGTTCACCGGCTGAAATACCAAGGAAGCAAGAAGAGCGGAAGAGTGGTTGCTGAGAGTGACCACTTTGACTGGAAATTTGTTGGCAAAGGCAAGTCCTTCCCCGTACATTTTGATTTTTTCTCAGTCACATGGAACCCATCGGTCGGGTTACCTTTTATCGTAAAATCCGGCTAACCATCCCAAAGCGCTCACTGATTGGCAACTATACCTGTCACTTTTTATGTACTGGGGAATCGTTTGTCCGCTTTACGGAATATCGTTCTTCCTTCCGACCATCATCAAGGAACTCGGCTACAAATCGACAACGGCACAGCTTCTGACAATTCCGATCTATATCTCAGCCGCAATCCTGGCCGTTATCGTCGGGTGGGCATCCGACAGAGCAACCAAGCGAGGCGCCTCACGCTGGCCCTATATTTTCCTCCCCATGTGCGCCATTCTGGTCGGTTTCATCATCGCCATTGCTGGCTCTGCCGCGGGAGATATCCCTGGCGTGGTGTATGCTGGTGTATTTATCGCCACATGCGGAATCTACCCTGCTTTCCCGGGCAACGTCACTTGGATCGCAAACAACCTGGCAGGGAGCTACAAACGAAGTGCTGGAATGGCTCTTCAAATCGGTCTCGGCAACCTCGGAGGAGCCATGGCAAGTAATTTCTATCGCAGCGTGGACGCACCGAAGTATTTGCTTGGCCACGGCCTGGAAATCATGTTTGTCGTCTTGGGTCTGGCGGCCGTCATCACACTGAGGATCTCATATGGAATGATCAACAAGAAGAGGGAGCGCAGTGGAGCAGCCGAAGGTTACACGGACGAACAGCTTGCAGATCTCGGCGACAAGAGCCCGTCGTTCAGATACACACTTTAAAGAGATTTGGAGACATGCGAAGCTGCAGATCATCGGATGATAGGTACAGATGGGACGCGTCTGTACAGAGCTCGCTCTCAATCGAGCCTATTTTCCCAGAGCGCGCTCTTCTGTTATTCTCAGGATTTTCTCGTTCATTTTGGGGAAAAGATTGTTATATGATCGAAAGTTTGTGGAAGGCAACTACTGATCAGCGGACGCCGTCTTTTTCACGTTGGAAGACGACCTTAATGTGGCCTGCGACGAGCATTTGGAAACGGCGAAGTTTTGCTTCATGAAATCGTAGAAAAAGCGTTGAAGAACAGTCAACAATGCAGTTTCCATTGCTGATTTCAAGTAAGTGGAGACTCAATCGCGCAAAGATGGATACATGAATGCTCCCGCTGCTTCGGCAGCCGTTCCCTACCATTCAACGACAATACCCCGGGCTTCGCCATTTGTGACTTCCAAAGCCAAAACGTCGAAGCTGATCAATTAGCTTTCATCTGGGATGTTCAATCAAACTTGGCCCTCAGCCACTCCGACTCGACATTGCCCGCCGTTTTGGCGGTTGGAGAGATCCGTTGCCGTGGCGAATTGCGGCAAAGGCACAAATCGAGTATTCTCCCCTTTTGCGCACAGCCTTGCCAACCACAGGGGTACCGCAAAACTTTAAGCACTTACTAATGGCTCTGTGCAACAGGCTCGGGATGGTGCTTGGCCGTTTTCCTCTAAATCAAGCAGTTTTGCAGATGCTGGTGAAGTAAACCGACACAAGCCCCTACTCCGCAGATCGCCGTGCTGTGGACAGCGTTGTTCTCTCGGCACTTTATCATGGCCAACAACCGCGAATTTCTCCGCCCCCTTTTAGTCTTTACCGAGTTGCGGGGGTACGAGACTTTCTATAACCGATATACCCCAACCCAAGATCTTAACGATTGATCAGATTATTTAAACAGATAGAGGCATAGCAAGAAGCTTAGTTCCTCTCCGGTTCCTTGGACGAAACTGTCAGTGAGGGGTGTCTTCATTGAAAGCATGGCTCAAGTCGATCTCAAGGGAAAAGGGGCGATAGTCACTGGGGGCGGCTCCGGTAAATACCGCTGCCGACTGACTGATGCACTACAGCGACGCTGACCGTCTATGCACCGACAGGCATTTGTTTGTCCTTCGTCCAACACTTGTATCGTGCCGGTTGCAACGTCCTTGTTTGTGATCTTGGTCTCCATCGCGAGGCATTGGCATGGCTTGACACGATTCCAAAGGACATCGCCGATCCGTCGTCCGGGCCACGGGTCGTCTTTTTCAAGACCGATGTGTCGGACTGGAAGCAGTTGGAACAGGCGTTTGAAGGCTATGCCAGGGAGTTTGGGGGCGTGCCGGATGTGCTGTGCCCCGGGGCCGGCGTCTACGAGCCCTCGTTCAACAACTTCTGGAACGACCGCGACGACAGCTACTACAAGATGCTGCGCATCAATCTAGAACACCCGCTCAAGATGTCGCGCATCGCCATCAGGAAATGGGTGCAGCGAGGCCAGCCCGGCATCATCGTGAACGTGTCCAGCACGGGAGCGCAGAAGCCGAGCATGCTTACGCCGTTGTACGGAGCAGCGAAACAGGGCGTTAGCAACTTCACAAGGGGCATGGCGCGGCTGCAGGACATGGAGAACATCCGCGTGGTTGCCGTCGCCCCGGGTCCCACCATGTCGCCTCTAATGTACGATCACCCAGAGGCGATGCGGTTCGTCGACCCCGAGAAGGACAAGTTGTCACACCCGGACGAGATTGGTCGAGGAATGATGGCCGTCGCTTTTGACCGGGAGAGGTTTCCCCCAGGGACCGTTCTCGAAGTCACCCATCCTGATCGTTGGAGGGAGGTCTTTCTGCTGAACGATCCAGGCCCTGGGCCGCACGCATTCACTAGCAGAAAAGAAGAAGGCATGGCAGATGTCTATGCAGCGCTTGACGCTGACAGAAAGAGTGCCGCCCAGTAGAGGACATTGTGGTACGGTATGTAGAGTGCAAGATTTCTCCAAGTTCAAATACCGAGTGGGTAAGTCTAGTCGACCCTTGGGTAGGAAACTTTCCTGCGGGAGCCCAACTAGCTACACTTAGGATGCTGGATGGAAGACTAGAGGAAGATTCATACAGATATAGGACAAGGCGCTGGAACGCAACTCGTATCACTTGTCTCTGAATGGTTCTCGACGACATCTATTGCCTATATATACTGCTTTATCGAATTATAAATCTCCCCTAATACGTTGGCGGAGGTCGATTGAAAAGCGAAGAACCTTTCTATTCCCCATTGACGCTGTTGATTCCCTTGTGAGCAAAAATGGGGGACGGAGATGCAAAAAAGACGCCTTCTTCTCGATGAAAGCTCAGCATCCAATCCCCTGGGCTGGCTTAGTAGTAGAGGAACATTGCCTCGGGATGCTCCAAGAACCAGGTATCATCACCACCTTGCATCTCCCTGGTGGAAAAACCATTGCCTAGGTAGGAGAAGCGGTTGTTGGTGTGGTAGGTGTACTCGTAGTCCTCGAACTTGGGCCGCTCGAGCGCGTGGAACCAATGAATCCGACTTCCCGGATGGATCGCAAGAACGGGCCCGTCCTCTGTCCCGTTCTTGAACCAGGATCGGCATTTCGCCGCCCAGGCTGTCCGGGGCATAAAGTGCTGGATGTGCGTGAGGAAGTCGTCACACGCCGACTGCTTTACGTCGTATGTCCGGATCCCCTCTATCTGGGCCTTAGTCAGTAGCTGCATAATGTACTTAGAGCATTGCTCCGTGATCGTGAAGACACTGCCATGAGAGATAGGAGCGTTCGGACCGAGGAAAACTAGCGATTTTGTTAGCCTTAAGCCTTCTTCTTGCTTTCATTTGGTGATAAAGGTCTTTACCGAAGTAGTTGGGGAACTTTGGAATAGCCATGGAAAGGTATGCGTATGGGATGTTCTTTGACCACACGTCGTTCAGACTTATGCCTTCTCGCCCGATGATGGGAAAACGGGGTTTGAAGGACACATCAAAGCCAGTCGCACAGATGATAGTGTCGAGTTCGATGTGTTCACCACTTGACATGTTTATGCCGTTGCTGTCAACGCTAACTATACTAGCATCGGTGATGACTCGAACGTTCTCCTTTGTGAAGCTCTCTAGGTAGCCCACGCCGGGCGTGATTCGACGGCACCCCACTGGGAAGTCGGGAATGATCTGCTTAGCAAATTTGCGGGCTCCTTCTGGACCAAGCAAAGAGACCATGCTGTTATATGCCATTTTTCGAACTTCGTCTGCTTTCTCGCTCCCGTTCACAAGCATTAGAAACTTACTATTGATCTCTCGTTCGACCTGCTTGCGGAATGCAAGATATGATTCGGGGTTGTTTCGGAAGTGCTCCTTCTGTTCTTCACTGAAACTATCCGGCATTGAACCTCCTCGCAGAGATGGATACCGAGACGCAGCGCCAGGAGTCACCCAGGTGGGCGACCGAATGATGTGGACAAGCTGCTTCACCTTGGGCTGTATCGCAGGCACGATTTGGATCCCAGTCGAGCCGTTTCCGATAACGGCGACCTTTAGATTGTCATAACTCCAATCTGCGGGCCAATTTGCGCTATGAACCAGTTTACCTTGAAAGTCGTGGAGACCAGGAATGGCCGGCCACCTCCAGTTGTTCAAAATGCCGCCAGCGTTAATGAGGTAGTTACACCAGTCGGTGAAGATTGTCTGGTTGGACATGTCTTCGATCTCGACATTCCAGATTGCTTTAGCTTCGTTCCAGGTAGCCCCGATCACACGATGATTCATATGCATATACTTGGCGAGGTCGTATTTGACGACGCAGTGTTCAAGATACTCCCTAATCTCGGCGGAAGGCGAAAACATTTCTGCCCAATTTGGGTTGGGCTCCCAAGCGAACTGATAGTTGTGAGAAGCTATCCAGGAGAGTCAGCCTTCTTGGTTTTGGACAATCGGATACAGCAGCAACTAACGAATGTCACACTTGCAACCAGGATATCGATTCTCGAACCAAGTTCCTCCAATTGCAGGGTTCTTTTCATAGATAATCAATGTCGAGTTCTGCATGTACTTCTGGAATTGGTACGCAAGGTTGATGCCGCTAGCCCCCGCACCGATACACATCACTCGAATTGGGCAAATAGTTCCGAGAGGCTCTTCGTTCACGGTGTAGTTGTCTGATATTGTCAGATGTGGAAGGTTTTCCTCAAAAGCTGACACAGAATCCCGGGCATCAACACAGGTTCCATTGTTGAGATCGTCTGCAAAGGAGTCGCGATCCTTGTCTACACCGTTCGACTTTGTTGTCTTTATTGAGATTTGGTTCGGTGAATATACAGGAACGATCACCTCAGGAGTCTCGACAGATGGCGCCATGGTGAGAATTTCTATAGGGTATCTTTGCGCAACCAGTTCTGAATATCTGTGCGCCGGTGCAGTTGACCCTTTAAAGGCGAGGGAAAGATGTTGTTCTCCAAAAGCATTTCTATCCGACCACCCCCCATGTGGGTCCCATGTCGCTATCATACCACATCCGGCTAAATCAGATGAAGAGCCATCGGCTGTTAAATAGCCACCGGGAAATTTTGTTGAAGCAAGCCGCCAACCTGATCCTCGATCCAGCATATCTGGATGCCGCAGACTCGGGCTGGAGGAACCCATAAGCGACAGAGAGCTGGGCGCAGAGGACCGGGGACTTGGGTGCCAAAGGTAACGCCCCGGCCGTTGGTAGCATGCCTTCGTTGTCTCCAAACACACCAAGAGCGGGGCATCCCTGTTCCAGTAGAGGAAACTGGTAAATCTACTTGGGTATAGACAAGCGCGCGAATCCACTGAAATGAATGGGCGATCTTTAAGAAAGCATCCCATGACTGAAATGAGGTGACTTCTAGACTTCACTTGTGATCCGCCGCCCTGCAAGTTGCAACTGCAACCAGTGCAACACTGAATACAGAGCTCGATGTCGTTTTACTGCTATTGTCAAGTACAGTGGCCTTTGAGCAAGGACCAGTACTTGCTGCAAGTTTCTTTGTCATGCTACCAATTTTCTGGATTCGTCCCAACGCAGATTGATAATTCCTCTGATTCGATCTCTCCGCTGAAATCGCATATCACACGTGAGTATTCCTCTCACACCTAGCGCGGCTGAGCTGAAGTAGGGAATGAAATATCATTCACAGCAAGTCCGAAATCCAAATCGTCGTACGGGTGATCGAACATGTTTTGAAGCTGTAAGCTGAGATCGTTCGTCCATTCTGCTTCCACAAAAATGGAAGGTGGGTTATGAGGAAAAAGTACCGAGAAGAGTTGGGTCGTATCAACTGTTGCATCCGGAAAAAATTCGCGATAATTGATGCCGTCCTCGATGTTTAACTCATTCAACTCCAGTGCCTGCGAAAGCTGGTTGCCCACTGTCTGGGATGCGGCAGCAGATGCGTCCGAGTTGAAACCGCTCAGCAGCCTTTCAAATCCCAATAAAAACATTCTGGCGGAATGCCAGAGCTTCGACATTTCCCTCAGGGCAATGAATAGAATGTCGATTTGCGCGTTCGCGACGTTCTTTAAGGATTCGATCTGACGCGCATGTAGCAGGGCAAGGATTGCGATACTGATGTACCAATTCCCAATGCCTGGAAGGAATGCAATCGATCCCCGAGCCAGGAGGTCTTCAAAGATACGTGCGACGCACGAAGCCGAAAGAACAGCTGCGCCATATGCTTTGGGAAGAGGTTGAGTCGAAGCACTCATGTAGAGAAGGGTGATGGCTGACAAATAAGGCAGATGAAGCTGGTGGACATCCCGGTCAAAGTCGGTAGTTGTCACTGTGCTAAAAGACAACCTTAAGCGTCGAGGCAGGGCATTCACCCATTTAATCAGCCTCTGTGCGAGCTCGAAGGTAGATCCGGTCTCATCATTTCGATTTCTCAAGTGCTTGGATAAATCTCCGATGATCTCGCAGACTCGAACCCAGTGTATAAAGACTTCAGCATTGTCCCGTCGATCATGGGGAAACTCATCCAAGCTCGGAAGTTTGACGTTGGTGTCCTCCGGATGGATGATGCAGGGGCGCCCTTGACACACCGACGTCAAGCGTTCTCTCGACCATGAGGGAATCAGCAGCGGAATTGACGAGAACATCAAGACTTACAAATAATGTCCACCATATGCAACGTCTCAGGGTTGTTGTTTCACCTAGTCTCATCATCTGCCCTGGAGTTGCCTCACGGTGAAGGCCAATCTCCTGGGCGAGACGGATCGCAAGGGATGTCCACCAGTATTGGCTATCCATGCTGACGACACTTGGGGGACCAGCGCTCCACCAGTAGGTGAGGATGATTGAGATAATCCTCGCCAATGGATTTCGCTCCGTGTTGCCATGGAATAATACCTTGAATCTCTCATAATGTACACGAGGGGGCTGATGGCTGAGTCTAGGGGGCCTGATTGTTGTTCCTAAGAGGCCCAGGGCTTGTTGTAGGAGCAAGGACCGTGCAAACGGAGACTGATCATCAATGAGGTCATCGCGATGCACGACCGGACACCACGTGTAGCAGAAAGCTACGAAAGTCTCGGCATAACTCTGACGCAAGATGGGAGACAATTCAGGGATTGGATGACTTGGGGTTATTAACGTGCTGATGACCTGATCAGAGTCATCGCGAGGGGGGTGGTTGAACATGGACATGAACCCAGACTGGCCTAAGTAGCTGCGCTCACGGTGGATTTCAGAGGATGGAGGAGGCCTTGGGGTGTTCTGTCCTGCATCACATGGCCCGCCGGCATTGTCACCTGTTGTGCTCGTGAAGGGTTGGCCTCCTCCAATCTGCACCACAGCATTGTCTCTAGAGACACTTTGAGACGGATTGGATGAGTTATAGCCGTCTTGATGTGACGGGCCTCCTGGAAAGGTGCTGTCAAGATCCAATGGTGGCAGGACCGTTGCGCTGGCATTCTGCCGTTGAGGAGCGCCCCTGCGTCTCGATTGTCGAGCTCTGCAGTTGCCTGAGCGATGTGCTTCGAAGAGCCATCAAACACATCCCACTTACATGCAAGAGGAGTTTGTCGCTCGACAGTTGCTACATTGGCTGTCGGCTGTAGACAAATTAAGGTCACATTTGATCTGGTAGAGGTCACCATTGATTAACTTCATCGCACTCGTATTGGCTCGACGGCGAATTCACCTTCTTCTGATGGCAACGCATACAGACCAGGTTAGCTCTCCTCTTGATCTGGCGGTTCGTTCGTGCGGTTATTTCAGCCATTCTGGGAGCCGATAAGCCTTGGGTAGGGGAGGACGAGGGAGATATTTGCCGGGGGTATAACCGGCAATGGCGTCTTTATATGGTCCATTCGAACTGGACTACCTCCGTGCGGCGACTTTGGCGGCGTTTTCGGTAGCACGGCGATTTTTAGACGAATTCTTCAATTGACCTGCATTGATGAAGACCAACGAGCCCGGGTTGTCGGCAGCTCGGCAGTGAATGTGGCAGTACCGGTCCCGGCTAACCTTCCAACTCAGACGACGAGGTAAGATAGTACGATTTCGGATAATTGATATCGCGGCTCAGCAGATATTCCAGGTCGGTGCGGAGGGTTTTCCGCAAGGCCGTTATGGTTAAATCGATGGGGATCAAGGCTATCAAGTACTACTCGGTATTAAAATAAATGTTCTATACCCACATTACCCACCAGCGTTTGAGAGATTATATCCAGCCAAAGCCGGCGACCATATGCCATTTCGTAAATTAACGAGGTATAAGCGTCAGGGCTCTGACATATCTGGAATGAACTTGATCACCCCTGTCTCTGACGCCGAAATTTTGTTGTGGCGCTTGATGATGCAAATTCTCTCTAGATCTCCGGCCAGACCTCCCTGTATGGACATCGCGTTGTCTTCGTCTGCGCTGAGCGGATGCTCCTTGAAGCGGCCGCCGGAGGGCTTGTAAGCGACGGGGAGTCTTCGTCCAGTCCGTCGGGCCTCGGGATGAGATGAGGGTCGTAGCCAGCCAGAGACCACCCATCCTGCGTGCGGGTCCATGACCGAAAGAATTTCGAACCTCTGCCCGGTAGGGTCTGTATATCTCCAGCCTCCGTCATCTCGTACCGAGAATGGAAGTCGAGTCCATACTTAAGTGCGTACGGAATTGTCAGGGCAAACTCGTCAAGGGGCAGTGGGCGGTAAATCAGCCTCCGAGATTCTGCAAGTCTGATGTAGTCTATCAGACCCTCGACAGTCTTTAATCGTGCATCGACACTGTGCATGTATTGTCTGATCTTGGCTTGGTGAGTCTGCAGTTCTGTATCAAGGAGTGTGATAAACTGGTATTCTGGACTTGCGTTACGAACTTCGGGGTCTTCCTCCAGGTAGAACTTTGAGTTCTTGACGTTGGCGATGAACTGATCTTCCAAGTCGTACTTCCCAGTAGTCTCGTTGTAAACAGTCGACATAGGAACGTATTGCATCAACACAGCTCTTCTCCAGGAATACACGGGGTTCCAGAAATCGAGCATCATCAAAGCATTGAAGACCTTTGGCGATAGCAGCGACGTAGGAGCCTTCCCAGGATTGCTTTTGATGTTCTGCATGATGAGCACACCCTGCGAATCCTCAAACGAAGGTTGGAGAATAGTGAACATCATGTCTTCAAGCTCTTCCCCCTGTACCTGTACGAACAGTGTCTGATCGAATGAGCTGGTCTGTTTTCCGCCTCCTAAAGTTCCTTCGGGCAGATGCAGCCCTTGGTGACCTGCAGGCACTTCGCGGACGTCTTGGATCACCGCTAAGCCCAGATTTTCGGAAGCTTGCATGTAGTCGGTTTTGCTAAACTCAAATTTGGGGATCTCAATGTCTTTCTAGACGCGGTCAGCTACCAGATGAAGAGGAGCAAGATAGATGACTCACAAGCAGGTCTGTTGCAGAATACTGACTAAACATCTCCCTGTTGTAGAAGTGATTTGCTGGTGCACGCCATTTTTGCCCTATCGTTTGTGCCACTGCGATATTGATGGTGGTATTGAGGAGAAGGTGCGCCATCCATCGTCTTACGTTTGATGGATTTGATCGAAGTCGATTTCCAGCGTCGAGAAAGTCTAGGGACTTGCGAGTAGTGTACCATTTGCTTATTCCCTTTTCGACAATAGATTCGAGACTTTCGGCGCTCTTCACGAGAGAAAAGACTGAGCCGGTACCTTGATCTGTGAGATACGGGGCCGTCTTGAACCGGTTTTTAAGTCTTTGTGGCATATTACTGACGAGGCTATGATTATCTGTATGCCAGTGAGGCCACGGTCTAATTCTGGGCTTTAGCATGGAATCTTCGCAAGACGGCAGCAGTCTTACTTGTGGAGCTCTTTCATCACAAGGGCTCCGTTGACATGACCATTGAATGGCCCGAGGTATGACATCTCATCGGTAAACGCATCTACCGACGCACCTTGGTAGATCCATCCGCTGGATCCTGGGGAAGAACTTCCCTCAACAATGCCTCGCTATAGTAAATTATGAAATCAGCCGGCATTCATAGAGTTTGGTGGTTCTTGCCTGGTAAAACCGAAACATCCTAGTGTCCCAGCTTGCTATCTGCAGGAATGCTCTTTTGGAGTCAAGAGCACTCGACCCGACAATACACAAAGTCCAAGAATCAGGGATTCTGTCGTCGAATGGCTTTTCACCTCCAGATGCGGCGAATGCCACGAACCGGAGTGCCTGATTCAGCCAGGTTGCGTTGTCTTGCGTGATGGGAAAGTCTCCCCCATCCGCTACACTGAACACAGACAGTGTATTCCTCGGTGGACTAGCTTGCGAACCCTCTGTTGATCACAGACATTAGAATTTGTTCCACTTGCAGAAGTGCATGTTGAGGAGCTTTATGGAATTACCCCATAGTCCCATCATGAGAGCGTCGAAAGAGAGCACATCACTATTCCGATCTTGTTGAAGCCATTTCCCAAAGAAATCTGTAAAATTTGTGTTCAGAAAAGCCGGATCGGCAAGCCGATCTATATCATCGCCCTCGTGGCGTGTAAATGTGCGATACCACAAGTTGGGTTGAGCCATATTAATGCTGTTAAACCGAGTAAAGCCCTCTTGATAAGAAGCAGACGAGGATCAATTGATGAGGTACAGGGCAAATTGTGTTGCTCACGGGCAATAGACCCTGGCGGGATGTCTCATAAAAGTGAACGGAAGAGTCGGAAGCTCAAAACGCGAGCGCAGTTGAGAAACCAGAACAACTCCTCCAAACCACAATCGTCAACAGCAGCTGTAGCTCAACCTGGCGTGTCAATGGATACGAACGGCGGCCGTGAAGACCGCGCCAAGGCTAGTAGTCTCCGATCAGTGAAGCAGCCTCAGCTTCGTCCTATATTGCATGACGAGTTGATTCCGTGCGTGGTATGCATCGAAGGGTCTGGCCAATGCACCTTGCTGGACATCTCGTCCAGACTCCCTCGGCTCGACCCCATGGTTCCGGAAGTTGCAATGTCATTGCAGCTGAGCACTCTCTACTGGAGTTGTTAGGATGGCCAGGGGAGCGCCCAGTGTTTCCTCCGGCATGAAAGTGGCTCCGCCGTGTTTCTGCCGTCGATAGCTGATCAGCTGCGGTGATGGCTTGCTCGTATACCACAACATTCTTTTTTTTGGTGGCATGGAGAGAACTTGATCGCTGATGGCTAAGAAAATGTTTGAACAAGCTGCAGCTTGCCTACGTCTTGGCTGTGGTCTGGAGCCTCACTTGCGGAGAGGCGGCCTTGGCGGGAGGTATCCCCGGAAGAACTGTGGTCGTCGGGCCGGGATCATGATTGGTGCCTACCAGGAAACTTCTTGGAACTCTGGCGGCCAGCTTCAGCTCATGCTCGGAGTCTACATCGAAATGAGTGCCTTGCACTTTCAGAACCCATCTTGGCGACTTGGCCGTCAGTGTTTCGTTGTGCAACAAGTCATCTGATGGCTGAAATGGCGCAAATACCTCGTGTTCATCCCCTCCTTTGTGCGGCTGAAAGACGCAGAGACTTGCAGGCTTTGAAGGACATTCCCGTTTGAAAACAGAAGGCGAGATTCATTCTGTAGTCCATTTTCACCTCGGGGTCGCCCTGACTCTGTTCACAACCTCTCGTCCCGTCAAACCCAGACCTTCGCGAACCATGGCTGGAATCCATGCTGAAACTCTACCAAGTTTCTCCCCTCCGGGAAATGTCGATGACTTAAGTCCACAAAATCGGACGGGGTGGTCGACTTCGATGTCGGACTGGATAGACCTTGAAATCCAGAGAGGTACAGGTAGTGGAAGCCCCTTGACTCAATTCTTCAATGGCACAGTCACAGCCTACAATCAGAACCAAGCTGGTGCCACAATCACTTGGACTGGCTTTCCAAACAAGGTTCGTCTGTTCTATATCTTGCAGCTGGTTCTTACCATCACAAAGATTGCCATAGCCGAAGGAGATGATGACGTGAGGCGATGGAGAGCAGCGGATGCGACCCGCGATGTACAAGACGAGTACCTAGAGTGGTCTCTTATTCGTAACAATGCCGGCAACATCGTTCGGGTGGTCTTTACTTGCGAAGGCCCAGAAGTACGGTCCCATAGCCATTCTGGCGACACCAGATGTTGACTAATTGGCAGTATTGGAATTTCTTCGTTGCTAAGGAGAGGGATGGTGCGGTCGAGACGATCAAGTCCCTGAATCAGCCGTTGCTTGATGATGTACCCAAGAGTAGCTTCTTTTGGCCCAATCAATCCGACCCCAGCAACGAGTCCAAATGGATCTACAACCCCAGAAATCAGTACAATAACTCAACGGCAAGTGGAACGATTACGCATCTTGTGCAGGGTGCCAATACACTGCGCGCCGAGATCAACATCGCGGCACAAGCAACGATTCTACGCAAGACGGCCTCAGGTAACCCAGTTACAAACTCGGACCGACTCATTCGCTGCTCAGGATTCGGTGACCCTGATCGAAACTCAGATCCCCGTGTGAGTGCTTCGGCAGTAACCTAAGGTGCGTTCTGAACTAACAGCTGTGTTTAGATTGGTTACGGTATCAACCAACTCGCATCTCAGGGCAACGCAGTTTCTCTCAAAGACCCGGTCGCAATATACATAACCGATCTGGATACGGGGACCTTGAAACTGGATCGTTACGGGGACACAAGCCGTCTGGAGGATATTCCCGAGGGGACATTCACGTTTCAAAGGGGAGACATTACCAAGCAGCAGGGGCTTCGTTTGCGTGTACAGATACCGGACGGGGAGAAAGCTCCGGATGGGAGACAGCTCACTGTCAGCGACATTTACGATACTAAGACCCAACGACACATTGACTTTGGAGCTCAAATTGCCGACTACATCAAAGTTGGAGTGCACGGCGTGGTCATCGGGGGAGTCCAGGTCGCACCAAGAGAATTCTGCCCACCGTTCGACACTGCCAATACTTCGTTCATGGATATGGTGCCTCAACTCAAGGCCGCGATCACAAAGCAAGCCTCACCTCACAATCGGGTTACAAACCTTAACATGCCACGGAAGATTGGAACGAAGGCAGATGCTGGGCATAAGTAGCGACTTCGACACTCAACCTTTTGAAACTTTAGGTGATTGATAGTGCTTCACAAAATTTTGACTGACTCTGGCATAAATTGTGCTTTCCCATTCTGAACCTAGCAGTTTTTGTCGCTCAACTATTGGCAGAATCGATGTGACTTGTTGAATCTTCACGACAAGCTCTTACACAGAGGTGGTGCCTTCTTCCACGAGTTCGGTCTCAGACCGTCTCACAATGCAAAATGTACAACCTTGCAGATAAAAGAAACCTTGCCTAGAACGGATATCCGCCCTCCGATTAGTATCTAGCATCATCTATCGAGTTATATACTCTGAATTTACCGCATGACCTTTCCTTCTGTTCAAGAACTTCGGTTCTGTTCGCCAAGCAATGTAGCTGGATGAGGCCAAGCTCAGCTGAACGTTCCGACTCAAGCTTTCAAAGCTACATTTGGCTACTCTCTTCGACACTTGGGTGACTGTAAGCTGTGTACGAGCATTGGCGTTCTGGGCTCGCTGCCGGCTTCCGTAGTGACCAAATGCAATCCGTTATTTATCCTTCCCCAGGCTTTCTCAACTTCCCATGACTACTCAGGTTGGGTTCAAAAGACCAACTCCACGGTCAGCTGAGTTGTAGTGTTTTCGACTTTCGAAACTGCCTTTGGAATCACTCGAATTCGTTCGCCGAGCCGACCCTATAAGAAGTCTAGGGATCGATTCTACTGGTAGGTTGGGATTGTATTCGTGTCGCTTTCTGGCGGGACTCGACAACGGTAAGACGGAGCCTAGGACCAGGCGAATATTTTGGTTGATATGCAGAGTACCGACAAGAGCTGACTTCGGCAAGAAAGTTGTGCGACAATTTCTTTATCTTCAGCTTTGGATTCCCATATTCAGCCCTAGAACTGCGATGGCGTTCACCGGCAACAAACGGGTCCTATATAAGCCTGCCAGCTCAACCAGCAGGCTTGACTTCTGATATTCGTTTCAATCTTCTGCTTGCCCTTCCACAGAGTCATCAAACATGGTAAGTGCAGAAGGTCCTCCGGTCTCGCTGATCGCTGGTCACAGCTCACCCATGAGCAGGCTTTCTTCGAGGAAAATTTCTCCGGACCAGAACATAACTTAACCGTAGAGCATCACGGACAACACACAAACTTCGTAGCTTCTTACGATACGTGGATTGGTCAGTTGTGGCAGCGTGAGTACGTCCATCCGGCAAGTTTGTTTGACGATTGGAGCTTACGAGCACTCTATTACAGATTTAACAACTTCCAAGCTGGTGTAAGATCCGTCCACGTGGGTCACCTCGACCAAGTTACTCATCCAAATGCTGCACTCAACAAATGGGTCTTCATTACCGCTATCATGATTACCAGAAATGAGACCAACCATCATGGTGGCGGTTGGAATCACAAGGCGGACTGCCAGCTAGAAGTCGTAGTTCTCAGCATGCAGGAGGGTGCTTCGGATCCACATGGGCGGCTGACAACGTTGAAAAATCGAGAGATTAACACGAACACCCTCAAAATCGCGAGCGGGAACTGGAACAAGTGGGTGACCGTCAATGGAATCAGGTAGCCGAGCTCTACCTAGCTAGAGAGATCTGGATTCTTAGCTCAGTGCTGGCCGAGCTCACTTCTCGGAGAGAATGGATCCGCGCAGCCAGCCGTGGCGTCAAGTTCGTCCAGCTTTCCAAGAATTACAACGTCCATGATCTTCAAAGAATGATTTCTATTGTGCGTTTACCCTTCTGATATATCTCTATGCTGGATGTAGTTTATGAGCGGCAAGATATATCTGCCTGCTGCATCTTTGTCGCCGGCGATCAAGTCCTTCGGAGATCTTGATGATCAATGCCTCCTCGAAAGAACTCAGTATTCACAGGCTGATAAAGTATGTCAGATGCTTGTTGGTGCATTGAATCAACCGCCACTAATATTTAGCGGTTTGACCGAGTCCTTAATCAAGAATGTCGAGATTTACTTGGTTGACGCAGATAGATTATCGAACAGTTGCCATTTATGTCGCAAAGGCGTCTTCATCACAATGAAACTGTCGACCTTCTATTCAACCTATTAATCCTATTGAGACTTCAGAATACGACAGTAATTCCCCGGCAAGGTACATTTGCAGAAGAGCTTGTGCGATATATCAAGGTTGCAAAGTCATTGTGTTAGACCCAGATTATCTGTTGCAGTGGTCAAGGCCTTGCAAGACACCGCCCCTGACGAGTCACATATGAGCCGCACGCACGTAATACTACCTCGGAGGTAGCGCAAAGTTGTTCAGGTTGGGCGCCTGATCGACATGTTGTGCCACGTCGTTGTTGCATTTAGGTTGTACACAACCACTCCCACCTCATTGATCATCGAAAGTTCGAGGGGCCGTAATGCTACTTATATGATAGCTTTTGCATTGTAGTGGCTACTTACGCCTCCTCATAGGGACCGGCTATCGGCCTGACCTCACATAATTGGGGTGGTATTGGTGAGCCTCGATGGATTGACCCAACTGCTAACTACTAAACGATTACCGAGACGATCTCCTCAAGCCTAATGGCCTCATTCACCATCCTCCTCAAAACCTATCCTCGGTGGCCTATATAAGCATACCTTTTGCAATGGCAAAATTCTTGGAGTTGGGAGGTAATGAACGAGTACAAAGATATGACCGACAATTTGCGCAATAATGCTTGCAGTTCCTACTTTGTTGCTTTTGGGGGCTTCACTCAGCTGGTGCCAATTCCCTCCCAGGCCAGAAAACACAACTATCCTGCAATCGAGATTCGATGAGGGCGTTTACCTCTCTTACAAAGAGGTAAGAATGTCGGAGCTCAATTCCGTTCGAAGATCCGACGTGCTGACATGAACAGCCTCACATCTGCGAGACAACACCCGGAGCCAAGTCGTATTCAGGTTATGTGCACCTCCCGGCAGGTGCTCTCGGTGACTTGGGAGAAAAGCAAGACTATCCAATTAATACCTTCTTCTGGTTCTTCGAGGCACGAAAGAATCCGCAAAATGCACCATTGGCAATCTGGCTCAGCGGAGGCCCGGTGAGCTCTTCGATGTATGGCTTGTTCGTTGAAAATGGTCCATGTCACGTCAATCCAGACTCAAATTCTACCACGTTGAATCCCTGGTCGTGGAACAACGAGGTGAACATGTTATATATCGATCAACCTCTCCAGATCGGTTTCTCCTACGACATTCTCCAAAACATCACATTGGATCTTCCAAGTGGAAACGTCTCACTCCTCAGTGACCAAGGCTCGATTCCAGAACAGAATATGACGACCATGATTGGAACATTCTCCAGCAAAAACAGCAACAACACGGCATTCGGAAGCCCGAGTGGCGCACGAGCTCTATGGCACTTCGCCCAGACATGGTTTCAAGAATTTCCCAGATATCGCCCAAAGGATAATCGAGTTTCTGTTGCCACAGAGTCTTATGGAGGCAGATATGGACCATTGTATGCTGCGTTCTTCGAGGAACAGAACCAGAAGATTCGAAATGGGACATGGACTGCTGGGGATACGTCGTACATTATCAACCTTGACACTCTGCTGATCATCAATGGTTGTATTGAACGGCAGGTCATGTGGCCTTCGTATCCGCACATTGCTTTCAACAACACCTACGGCATCAAGACTGTCAATGAAAGTATCTACAATCGGATGAACGCCGCTTACTATGGCGAGGATGGATGTCGAAACCGCATTAAACGATGTTACAACCTCTCCCGCGAGTATGATCCCACCCAGCGTGCTCTCAACTCCTCTGTCAATGCCATTTGCGCTGAATCAGAAGAGTACTGCACCAATAACCTTCGCGATGCGTGGGTGGAGATCTCGGGGCGGAGTTGGTGGGACTTTGCTACCTTCGACCCAGATCCCTTCCCGCCCAACTTCTACATAGGATACCTGAACCAGCCACATATCCAATCAGCTCTAGGTGTGCCACTGAATTTTACGCCTAGTAATGCTGTTGTGGGAGATGCCCCCGGACTGCCTGCTTATCAACCTGAGACAGCGTATCGCATCTTCCGTCGTGCGGTATTCGATCGCGATATCTCCACAGGGAAGATCAACACCGCCAAAAACGCGACATACAGCATGCCGCCGGACGGCCCAAGTGATACCTGGCATATCAAGAACCAGGATCCGCCCGACCCGAAGTGGGTTTGCTACACCCTGGATATGGAAGAGACATGCACAAAAGAACAGATTGAGAAACTCGTGAGTGGAGTTGAAGATTTCGACGTACAAGACTGGGTCCTGGTGGACAAGAACAACTCAAGTTTGTTTCCGGGAATTGCGACTTGATATCGTTTGCGGCATGTATATTTCACGACACTGCAAATCAATCTAGTAGATATGGCGCCCAAGTATGATTCCATCACTCATCCTTCGACATTATGAGTGTCAGGCAGAGCACCAACTTCCCTCGATTTGGATAGCTGTCACTTCCAAGACAGCACCGAAATTTGTGATCCACATGGTATATATAGCCATGGTAAAAGTGGCAAGAGAGAGCGCCTAGGCAACAGGTTACCCTTTAGATTACTATGGAATGAGGCTCATCGTTTAGGGCGGCAAATATACCGACTTTCGTGGGGTATTGTCTGCACTGCTAGCGTTCCTACATCCAAAATATGCTAATGGTATTGATCTCTCCGATATTTTCTCGAGGAGGACGACGATGCCCTCGTTTGGACCAGGGCATTGGTCGCTTTGCTCTGCGTCATGATCAGACTCAACTTCGGCTCAGATTGGTTATCCGCCATCATCACCTTTGCTCAGTCCTATTTTGGTGCCCGTGATCTCATTAGACACGCTCAATTTACGTGGGTGTATCACTTTGGACCAATGTGGAACCTTACACGGCTATCGACGAAGGACCATTTTGGGGATCTTAAAGGTCCAAATAGTCCACACCTCTTATCTCAATAATTTGACTCCAGGAAGCCCCGCCAAAATCTCCATCGAAGAGAGCTTGAAGTTCAACTTGGGGTCCGAATGAAGGATCCCAGAATGAGGTTCTATCGGACTCAGAACTATGATCTAGATTTACGTAAAATGAATAAGATTGATCTGTCCCTGTCAATATCTGTCTATCTATCCTTACAGCGAGTTCCTTTATTTATGTAGACGTTTGGCCTGTGTCAAGCCAGACCTATCTGAAAACTTTCCTGTCGCCGCCATCCTTGCAAACGTTGTTCTGTTACAGGCTACGCTGTTGATCAAACCGCTGTTGAGACTGTCCTGGTGTCCGATACCTCTCAGAGTGGCCTGTGTAGGCTAGACTGGTGCATTGGATGGCTGCGCCACCTCAACAGGGCCCAAATTGACATTTGCTTCTTTGAGCGTGTATTGATGTCTTATTCAACAGTGAAAGGGCAGTGGGTCTTGTATTATCAACGTAGTAGTATCTCCAGCACCGCCATCTGGATCATGCATGTGCCTCGAATACAGATAGGGCCAGTACCACCGAGATGAGGCGGGAGAAAAGCGATAAAATCAATTAATGCTGCTCAGCTGCAATGGCGACAGACAAAAGTTGTTCGTACCCAAGACACCGAAGGTTTGAAACGCCCCGTGGCCAGTGGCAGTGCTGCAAGCCAGATGCTGTCTGGGATTTAGAATTGGGCGATTGACGATCACTCCATCCACTGGTATTCTGTGGTAGAGCTGCGCTGTCACGTTTTCGCCCTCCCGATGCCCGGTGAGGCTTCGAAACCGGAGAGCATCTGCCGCAAGTAAGAAAAATGGGTGATATATCCAAACAACCTGGCCCGGTTTTATCATGTGGATACTAGACGCTCTCACAGATTTTGCACTGCTTCCTTGGCAGTCCGTATCAGGTCCCCGCCCTATATCTTCTGCGTACTTGCAAGCTAGCTAGTCTTCCTCTCTTCAATCTCGCCGTTTGCCTGTGACTGGTGGTTACTACTCAAGAATCCGAGTTTACAGGTCCAGGGCATGTAGCCACCGATATCCAGTGGGTCGATGGAAGCACTTTGGTGGACTTTCTTCGATCGCTCTGCCCCCCTCTCATGATGGCAGCTTACGGCTCAGTCTAACCACCTCGGCCCTTATTTTACTGCGGCGGTCATGCAAGATGTATGCGGCTTCAGCATTGAAAGGACGACCAGCCTTCACGATTATCTGTACTTGGACAGACTCCGGAAAGGGCTGAAGATATTTTCTTACAAGTGCCACGTACAAACCCTCATCGACAGCCACGACTCAAGCCATGCTAAGCAACCGTAGGTCCAAGAGCTCTTGATGCACTTTGACCTGAGATTGATCATTTTTCCTAGACCCGTTGTCCCTCTCCAAATCCTCAAAGAGACGAAACTCTCCTTGGACCTGCTATTTCCCTTCTGGGATAGCAGGACGGTGGCAATTCTGGCAAATGAGAAGCAGGATTTCCACGAGCATGGGCTTTTTGAGGCCGCTCGAACACTCACCTTGTCGGACTTTGACTATTGGACAGATCATCGTAACCTACAGCAGTTCTGGACATTCTGGATAGCTATGGTCATATTGGTCCTGACAGAGGTAGTGACAGGAACCACTATCATCCAAGCTTGGGCTTCTGTCAAAGCTCTGGGCAAGGAATCTGCCTTGACGATGGCACTTTATTACTATTCAACTAGGACCCACACTCCTGCACATGGGCACACAGCCCCTGGTGTCAGCGAGGTTCGAGTCGTTTCGTCTAGCAATGCAGCTGCGAGGCTCACAGCCCTGGGTGCGCTAAAGACATCTCCGCCGGTCTACGATGCTCAGCTTGCCGTCAACACGAGTTGCCTCACGACCAGCATTCCAGTCGTTCCCCCTTCAGCTCCCATTACCAGCGCATGAAGCTTACCCTCAGCAGCCTAGATATACGTAGCAATGTGCAACTGCAGTCGCATACCTGGATCTAGGTCCCGAGATAGTGGCCCAAGAATTCGGTCATATCACACCAGTCTTCAGGAGAAGCTGGTATAAACTACTAAGCTTTATCGGCACTCAAGATCATCTCGCCAATATCTCAGAGACATCAAGGGAAGTCTCAATGACAGCAAATATAAATTTCTAGTTGCTTCATCCTCCAAATCCTGCAACAGCAACCCCGACGGCTTCGAATATCTCCCGAAAAAGCCCACAGGCACCATCCAGAGACCCAGCCTGCACTATTCTTCTCAAATCTCCTGTCCCATCGCCGTAAACTCCCACCCCAGGGCCGAGTACCGCAACATTAGGCACTTGACTCCATCCTGGTCCGCCGTTCGGGGCTTTCGCAAATGCTGCCCACGCCGACTGCATACTCCGACTCAGTCGCGCCTCACCTTCTGTCGAATTCACTTGCGGATACGTACCAAAAACAATTTCGATCTCGGATCCATGGTACACCTTCAACCCAGGAAGTACTTGCGTGTTTGCAAAGGTTGCATTGAAGAAGTACCGCCACGTCGGGAACCCCACTGCTCTGGAATCATTTGCAACAATGGCCGCAGGACAATGGAACGCGTAATCTGTGAAGAAGTTGGCAATTGAATTGGGATTATCCGGAGGATATGCTGCAAGCACAGTCTGCACTGCTGGTAGTGGCACCCAGGTCTCAACAAACGCAGTCGTGTTCGTTTCCCCAATGGTCAGGACTGTTGCTTCGTTGCCGTTCGTTCCTAGAAGGATCGGGACACTGGCGATCGAGCGGCTGACTCGTGCTGCTTCTGAATACCGTAGCGACGTGACATTGTCGTTGACTGACGGCCACGGCAGCGCCAAACGCTCAATGGTAGATTTGAGGACTGCCGCTGGGAATGAGCGCAGACAGGTGAGGTTGCTTGAGTGAGATGTGGAATTCAAAGCCGCAGCCAGAGTCAGCCAGCTCGTTGGCGCATTTGTCGGGTTAATATTGAAAGATGCCTGACCGGATTGCATGATGGCAGCGCGGAATGGCGGGTTCGTTGGAAATGTCGTTACCAACGCGTCTACAGATCCAGCACCGGCTGATTCGCCGAAAATTGTCACTTTCTCCGGGTTACCATTGAAAGCTGCGATATTACGTTGGACCCAGGCAAGTCCAAAGCCTACTCGGTCAGCGCAAGGAGAGTGTCGGGTGGAAATACCCACGTTGATCAAGGAATCCAAGGTTTCGTTCGCCGACAGGCAGCTCGGGCGCGTTGGGAAAGCCAAACACTTGTAATGTCAGCCAAATTCGAGCCAAAGCTTCGTGTATCCTCACCATTTGTGCGATAATTCAAGCTGACAATGATGACATCCTGGTTTCCTGCAAAAGATGTACCGTCGTACTCGGGAAGTGAGTTGGCACCGTGCTCCTTAGAGCCCCCCTATCGCCGTGAGGTTGGTCCTTCAAGAAAAGATGCGACATACGTAGATCCAAACCATGACCGTCTTGGCCTTTGTCGTCGTCCTCGGCACCCAAACATTGACATTGAGGCAGTCCTCGCTCTCACCTGTAGGAGGTGGAGGAGTATTGCCCAAGTAAATGCTGAGGTTGCGGCTCGCTTCAGGGTAGTTGAATTGCTGAATGCACGCAGGACCAAATTTGGTAGCGTGAAATGGTGATGGCCATGGTGTCGGTGTCGCTGGCGGTGCGAAACGTGTCGGAGAGGCGGCAAAAGGGATTCCCAGGAACTTGTCGACGACGACCGAGTTAGCAAGAGATGTCGCCGTGCCGATCACCACTCCCGAATCGATTGTAGCGGTCGGAGCCGCCAAAGAGATCGGGTTGGCATTGCTGGCGCTGAAGAGAGCAGCAAGGAGAAGGTGGGAGAGCATTGCTGATAAGGCGAGAGGATCGGTAGGAGAAACTGGCATCTAGCCATGACAAGCCTTCCCAGCATCTTCTTTGAGCTCATCTCTTATTTACCGCTGCTCGGGTTCTTCAATTCCAGGTGTGGTTGTTCCATTCTTTCGGCTCGATCAATCTGTACGGCTATATAAACTGCCTGTTTGCGCGACTGCCATGTGCCTCGGACCCCGAACTTGAAGACCACATTGCCGAACGGATGAGGACAAGAATGCGCATCAGGACCTAGCACAAGTCGACTGGCACTCTATCAACAATGACTCGAGGTTTCGGGCTCCTGAAAAGCACAGAGTATACCTAGGTAATCCCCGGTGTCATATCACTGGGTTCGAGTCCCTCCGCTTTGCTGGTACCGAGCCTTGTAACTTTGTTACTATAATTACTTTATTTTATATAAGCCACACTAGCAGTACACTGGTGTAAATTGAGATATAGGTACATACCAATAATAGCCAATATTGGCATTTGGAAGGGGTATTGGGATGGGGTGGGTACGGGGTACTAACGGGTATTTAGTCAAACTCATGCAAAATACCGTCTTAGTACTTTCATGAAATTGCCGAACTGAAAAGTAACAGCGAGTGCCGCTGACATATGCGTGGGAGGCACAGGGGGTGCTAAATTAGGCCCCCTGCGATCGTTTAAGTTAAGCCTGTATATTACGATAGAAAGCCAGTATTGATAAAGATGGATTGACTTGATAATAGTGTCGTCAAATCCGCATCAATTTTTCATCGCCGTCTCTGACCAACTACAACAGCATGGCAACTATACAGAAGAAGACTGTCCTGATCACAGGCTGCAGCGCCGGCGGCATTGGCTGGGCTATGGCCAAGATCTTTCACGAGCGCGGTTTTCACGTCTTTGCTACCGTTCGCGATCGCTCTAAGGCCGCAGATCTCTCGGAGCTAAGCAACGTGGATGTACTCGAACTAGACGTCACCATAGCGGAGACCATCTCGCAGTGTAAGGACACGGTCGCGAAGCGCACGGGCGGAAAGCTCGACATCCTGGTCAACAACGCCGGGGTCGAGTCTGTCTGCCCGCTGCTGGAGGTAGACGTCGTGGAGGCGAAGAGGCAGTACGATGTCAACGTCTGGGGGCCGCTTGCGATGGTCCAGGCGTTTGCTCCCCTGCTTATCGAGGCTAAGGGCGTCGTCTCCAACCACAGCTCCGTTGACGCAGTCCTGTCCATGGTGTGGTCGGGTAAGTTAGCTCACTCTCTGAGCAGTTGGTGAAAGGCTAACCCAGCGGCCAGGCATCTACTCCAGTTCCAAGGCAGCCGAAGCACGTATGTCGGAAATCCTACGGCTCGAGCTGGAGCCGCTGGGGGTGCGCGTTGTAACTGCCATGTGCGGGTCCGCCAACACGCCCATTTTCGACAAGCCCGGCGGTCAGATGAAACTGCCCGAGACTTCGTATTATTACAACGTCCAGGACGCGGCGACTAAGGAGCGAATGGACCACAAGGGTAAGGCCATGAAAGTTGAAGTTCTCGCCGACAAGCTGGTCAAGGAGATTCTTGGCGGGGCCAAGGGGCCGGTCTGGCATGGAGCATTTGCTCCACTTGTGCGATTCGCAACCTGGGCGTTTCCCAGGTGGTATCTCGACAAGTTGGTCAACGCGGAACGGGGCTTGGACCAAGTCAAACGCCGCTAGGGATGAAGCAGGCGAGAAAGAGGACGCGCCGCTGTGACCGTGACTCGATCTCCGGTACGAAGTTGCTGGCTAATAAGGACGCAGAGCAGGCGACGCGTGTATCTGTACCGGGTAATCATACTCAGTGTTATTACATACCTCGTAGACTGTCCAGATGTGTGATTTGAGCGCTAAAAACATAACTGTCAGTCATATCGGCTAATATCATTTAGTACTGGGGATTAGAACTGCCAAGCCCCTAGCTCCATCTTAGAGTCTGTGTGGGGAGTAAAGTCACGTGGCTGTGCTCACACAGCTGCTCTAATTGGCGTCAGACTGCCAACATTGAATCGTCCAAGTCGTCTTCACGTCCAAGCGAACATCGACGCTGGTGACTCTATCTACCTTTACAATGATGATTCATAGATGATGTCCCGCTACGGTAGTGGTGGTGCCCGGTCTGCAGCAGCTTCGGCCTCACTCTTCCGGATTCAATCACCTTAAAACACCAATTTTGTGGAAGAAAATGGCTGCGACCGCCATTGGACCCCTCCGCTATGCAGCAAATGTCGTGGAGATGTACTCGACTAATGTGTTGCGAACCCCTCGGACAACAAGATTATGCCTACGGATGGCGACGCTAGAAAGAGCAAGGACGCGAGGCACAAGCTCACAAAAACCCCGGTACCATTCATCCATGGCAGCAAATGCCACTACAGCATCCTCCGTCTCCGCGTCCGAAGTCACTCACTTCTCCCGCCTCGCATCCTCATGGTGGGACCCTCACGGCCCTTCTCGCCTGCTCCATCTCATGAACCCTCTCCGCCACGAGTTTATCCGCTCGTGTTTGCAAAGGCCATCGTCGAACACGTACCCTCCCGACCCCGAGAACAGGAACGAGAACGAGAGAAGACATTCGTACCTAGACGTCGGCTGCGGCGGCGGTATCTTCGCTTCCTCGGCCGCTCGTCTCCCCACGACCTCGCGCGTAACAGCCATCGATCCCACAGAAAGTGTCATTCAGGTTGCAAAGGAGCATCGGCGCTCTGATCCAGCCCTCGCAGCTCCTGGCAAGCTAGACTATCTTAACTGCGCCATCGAAGACCTTCCCGTACCATCCTCCGACGGAGAAAAATACGATGTATTAACCGTGTTCGAAGTCCTCGAACATATTGACACGCCGTCTACCTTTCTCGAAACCGCAATCCCCCATCTCAAACCCGGCGGATGGCTCATTGGGTCGACAATCTCCCGTTCGCCCATCGCCTACCTCACGACAAAACTCATCGCCGAAGCACCCCTTATAGGTGTAGTTCCGAGGGGCACGCACGACTGGAACAAGTACATCAACCCGCCGGAGCTGAGGGGGTATTTTGAGTCTGGAACAGCGCCAGGACGGTGGGGAGAGTTCATTACGCAGGGAGTGGTCTACATCCCGGCCATCGGATGGCGATTTGTTCAGGGGAGTGAGGAGTTCGGGAACTACTTCTTCGGAGTGCAAAAGCTGGGATGAAAAAGAATGGAAGAGAGATAAATGAAGTGAAGACGTCTTCATTGACATGGGCATATCCGGCATCGATTGAAAGATGCACAATGCATGACGAATCACAGTCGTCTACCCACCCACCTGTATCAACACTACGCACACTCGAATCCATCGATCAATCGGCAGCTCAGAAGAATTTCCATTCACCCCCTCGCTGTCGTATGTATATACCATGTAATCAGCACCACGACCTCAAAATGCCAGCAGGCAAGCAAGCAAGCAAGCAGCAATGACCAAAGAAAAGCGAACCGCACCATACCATACCATACCATACCATACCATACCATACATGTACCACTACTACCAGCACCACTGCGACAACAACTACTTACCACATCTACGCACCACATCTACTCAACTGAATATAGGAACCCCAAGCCAAGGGAGGCAGGGAAGGAAACACGGTCTTAAAACATCTTCACCGCCAGTTTGACATGTGCACCTTTTTAATGAGGGGAAGAGGAAAGAAGAGGGATGTCAAATCCACTGGATCCAATACCATTGTCACATACATAGATTGGGGCCAATCATGGTCTCTCACAAAGAGCAATAGCCCAACATGTTTGACGCGAAAGCCGCCGCATCGAATACCTGTAAGCAGAGTTGAGGCGTATCAGCAAAGTGCTGAACGCAATCCATGTCATTGGGTCCGCACAGCGTAGCACGCCCAGACTTAATGCCTTCCTCGCCTTCACTTCTTCGATTTCCTCTTCCCCTTTCTCTTCCGCGCGGACCCCTTAGCCTTGGCCTTTTCTTCGCCGCCCTCTTCGCCATCGATCTCGGCATCACTATTACTGCCTTCAGTTTCGACGTGCGAGAATGTCGAAGTAGGCGGCACCGACGCCGACGCCGAGGGCACGAGGAGACCTTCGCCGAGCAGTTGGGCCTTACACTCGTCGAGGATCTTCTTCGCTTTCTCCTCGTCCCAGTCGTGGCTCCGGGAGCTGTCGCCGAAGATGTCGTCGTAGATGGATTGGACTTCCTCGGGTTGTTTGCCTTTGGAAGCGGAGGAGGACGTTGGGTGTGCGGTGGTGGTGGTTGTTGTTGCTGGTTGCTGGTTGTAAGAAGATTTTGATGCTTCAAGGCTGCGGCTTGGATTGTTTATCACACCTCTCCGTCCCTTTCCTCCATGCATCGTTCTCTTCGGGGCTGGAGCCGGTCCAGCTTCAATGACCGCGCCCTCCAGATCCTCCTTATCCAGCTCTCCTTTCTCCACCATCTCCTGCAACTTTCGCTGGGCGGAGATCTGCATCATGGCATCACGGTGCTCCTCTCTGAGTCCTTCCATTAACAAGTCCTTTGTAGCATTTTCTTCTTCCAATCTCTGGATCGTCTGCTTTAGCTTTTCCACTTGCGTCTCCTGGGAAGTCTCGTAGTGCTCGATCCTCTTCATGAGAGACTTTGTCAATGCCTTCTCCTCTTGGTATTTTTGGTTGATTGTTCTGGCCATCTCTTCAAACTTTGCACTTCTTTTTTCGAGTCGTGCTTTTTCCTTTTCAAGCTCTGGAACGAGACCCTTGGCGACGAGGTCATGTTCGTTTTCCAGACCAGACAGTCTCTCAGTAGCGAGACGACTTTCCTCCATGGCCCTTTCTGCTTTCTTGGTTGCTTCTGAGGCTTTGTCCACGGCTCTCTGGACAACTTCCTCAAAGTACACCCTCTGACTCTCCAGCTGGCTTGTAAGCAAGTGCGTATACTCCAGGGCGATATTGTCCATTTTAGCAACCTCGAGATCCTCCTCTCCGTGAAGAGCGGTCGGTTCCCGTCGTCTGCCTGGGAGTTCGACTAGCTTCTCGCCCGGTTTGGCTGCATCTTGGATGATTCGATGAACATAGCCGTCGCCAGCGTAGTCCCAGACTCGCTTACTCTCCAGATCCATGCTGAACGTATGCCCACTTTCTTCGAAATGTGCATAGGCATGTTTGCCTTCATACCTGCCGCAACCAATCTTGCCGCATATGAGACACTGCCATAGGCTTGTGTCCACGTGGCAGACTTCACACTCTAGTGGGCCATCGTATGGTTCATATTCCCCTGTAGATGTTTTGCTCTTGAATTTGTGTGAGGCCAATCGCGACGAGAAGTCGTCGTGAGTATACCGACAGACGGGACAACCGCCGCCAGACCATTTCTCCAGGCATGTACAATGAAACACGTGTTGGCAAGGTATAGTCAGAAGGCCAGTGGTTTCGTCCATGCGCTCCAGGCAAACGGGACAGGTGGGTAATTCGACTAGGGACGGGGTCCGAGGTGCCAGTGGTTTCGTAGTCGTAGAGGCTGGAATAAAAGGATCATTCGACATCCGAGGGTAGCTGGTCGTAGGGGAGCTCGGCCCACTGCTCTGGTTCACGGATGACGAAGTCTGGATCAATTCCACCGACTTGAGAAACACCACATGGCAGGTCTCTGGCTGCAGGGTTGTCAGGACACCTTCAGAGACAGCAGAAGTGGCGAGGAGGGGAACTCACCTCCATGCTGTTGAAAACCTTGCCATTCCACTCATGCTGCCACTCTCTTGCCTTCTTGCCGTGTCTAAACTTCATGAGAACCATGTAGCGGTTTGCTCTTGAGGTCCGCACCATCCTGAAATGGCTGACTTCGCTTCTCGTGTCCTCGCCCACCCAGGAGAGAAAGTCAGAAGGCGTCATATAAGATGGAACCGCCAGGATGCACAGTGTTGTACACTCCTCATCTTTGGGAGGAGGATGTGGCTTCCCTGAAGGGGGATTGCGCAGCCCGTCGCTCCAAAAATCACTTGATCTGTAAACCGAGTCTTTATAGAGTCCTGCCGTCTCTTCTGAATCTCTGTAAAGGTGCACAATTCCCCATCCTTCTGCGTTGTCGTGGCTTTCCAAGGGTTCATACCGTCCTTTCATATGGTGGCCCGATATCGCGCTTCCGATTCCTTTTCCAATTATGTTTTCCTTTGCGTCCGGACCCTCCCCATTCCCTCCGGAGTGGGCCGACATATCTGTGGTTTCGAGGATGATAGTGTCTAAACGGTGGTCCGTGGGATCGGAATGGCAGATGTTACAAGGGGTGTGTTCCGACTGCGCTACTTGCGGTGGATGGGCACGGCTGGGGAGGTCGTCTTTCTTGCGGTCGAACAGATGATCTCTCGGCTCTCGTCTTCCTCCAGAGTTTGTAAACGGCCTCAGGGCTCTGAAAAAGGGCGACAGCGTTGGAGGGTAGGAGTGGTCAGTTTGCTTCGCAGGCAGGGACGGATGTGGAAATAATTCTATAGCGACATGAAAGAAGTAATCAGGCATGTCGCGCAAATATAGGAACAAAGACCAAGGTGCAAATAGAGGTGGAAAGATACATGGAGAGAATCAAAGACAGAGGAACCTCAAAAGGCGAGGTCCATCGCGGCGGCGTTCACCTAGGCTTTAGAAGGTTGTTCGGTGGCAAACTGCCGGCCGTCATGTGCAGGCATTTTCTCGAGTCACGAATTCTACGAGGATGCGCACAAGCGGCAGAGATGAACAGGACAAGGTATTGTCACGAAGGAAAGTAGAATCATTGGAAGAAAACGAAACATTGAATGGAGTGAGAAGCAAAATATGTATTCTGCAGCTACTCCTCAGGTGCTTGGCATCGGAGGCCAGCCAGCTTGAAAGCAGCGTTCATCCCAACTGCAGCTCCATAATGAAACTGCTTGCAATACTGTATGCTGTCCACTGTTATGTCATAGAACCGTGTCAAAACGCCGCATGAGTCATTTCTGAGAAATCGCCCCCCCAGCTCGCCTCGTCGCCTACTGGCCGCCCCGCAACCGCAAGACCAAGTGCAGAGTGCTCTCCTTTTGGATGTTGTAGTCAGACAGCGTCCGGCCATCTTCCAACTGCTTGCCCGCAAAGATCAATCTCTGCTGGTCCGGCGGAATCCCCTCTTTGTCCTGGATCTTGCTCTTCACGTTGTCGATTGTGTCCGAGCTCTCTACCTCCAGCGTAATCGTCTTCCCCGTCAAAGTTTTCACAAAGATCTGCATGCCGCCGCGCAGTCTGAGCACTAGATGGAGCGTCGATTCCTTCTGGATGTTGTAGTCGGAGAGAGTTCGGCCATCCTCCAATTGCTTGCCCGCGAAGATCAGACGCTGTTGGTCCGGCGGAATGCCTTCCTTGTCCTGGATCTTGCTCTTGACGTTGTCGATTGTGTCGGACGACTCAACTTCGAGCGTGATCGTCTTTCCCGTCAAGGTTTTGACGAAAATCTGCATGCCGCCACGGAGACGGAGGACGAGGTGCAGGGTCGACTCCTTCTGGATGTTGTAGTCGCTCAGCGTCCGGCCATCCTCGAGCTGTTTGCCGGCGAAAATGAGGCGCTGCTGGTCGGGAGGAATGCCCTCCTTGTCCTGGATCTTGGACTTGACATTGTCGATGGTGTCGCTGGACTCGACCTCAAGAGTGATGGTCTTGCCAGTCAAAGTTTTCACGAAGATCTGCATGACAGAGGGTGGTAGAGATGGCGAGGATGATGTTGTATGATACTGAGATGATGCAAGATTGAGACGGCTGTTGGGCCAAGTGTTTGGGAGGGGGTGTAAGTGATAGGAGAGAAGAGAAGAAGGTGAGCAGAGTGAGAGAAGAGAGGTTTAAGTAGTAGAAAAGAGGCGGCAGGCGCAGGCAGTGACAGAGTGGCAAGCGCGAGTGGGGTGGCCCGCAGTGGCCGGACCAATCAGATGGAGAGCTAGGATCAATAGCATCAACCAGAAGGCAACCGAAGCCTCTCACCTGGACTAGAACCAGTCAAATCGTACTTGTACTGTACTTGTAGTCATTATTATTCATTCACCGAACACCGAACATGTCAGGAATGAGGACAAGAGGGAGATGGTCATATCAGCGCTGCTCGCCGCTTGGTTTTTTCTGTTGCCCACGTGAGCAACTACCATGACCAGACCAGACGGCAAGGAATGCGGATATCTCCTCCCGCTCTCTTATCCCCCACCTTGCTCGTTGCTCACTACAAGTACTCAATCTCTTGCAACCTTAATCTGTCATTGGTACATACGTCGTTATTCCACTAAAGAGGCGGACGAGGCATATCCAAGGCATTCCGCCTAGGTAGGGTGTTTTGGCTTCATGCCTTGACACGTCCCGGTTCGCTGATAAATCACCGAGTCGGTGCAGCCCACAGCGGCCTCGCCTGCGCCCTCAGGTTGTTGCCTCCCCCACAGAGTCAGCCTAGGGGGCTAGGGAGGCCCAATGACGTTGGTGGCCGACGCCCGCAGACACGCCATTCGCGACGTGAGTCAGCACTGGCACGATTGCTGCAACATGGCGTGATGTTCACATCGACCTTTACAATCTCACCTTGTTTGAGGATGCGCTGATGACCCTGGAGGCAAGAGATTAAGGAGGCCCATCATTGCCGGAAACAATTCCCGAACGGAAGAACTTTTTTGCAGTCTGGACTCTCTGAGCTGCAATATCGCACGACTCCCCATTTCTTTGCCTCCTTGCGGTCGAACCATTAATTTTTCATCGTCTTTTGGGTACTTGCTGATGCGCCAGGTTGGAATGCTCGTATGTGTTTGATGCACAATTTCCCGTCAACTCTCCATCTTTCTCTCTATAAATGAGTTTGGTCGCATGTATGGGGTTCTCTTTGGCGCAGCATGGGCCAAATCATAGGTCTAAGGTGGGTAAGACAGCCAAATCGCAAATGGTCTTGTTGCGAAGAATGGTGAGTCTAGGAGAGAGTAAATGAACTCTTCAATTTTGGAATACCTGAGTTGCTCCAACAACAGTCCAGCAGCATCAATGAGGTACAAGGCCCATGTGCGAAACCGCGTGCATGTCGCGGGTGAAGAGCTGGAAGTATCAACTGTAGACAAGAGCACTTTCTTCCATACGAAAGGGATTACAGACTACAGGAGAACAGGTTGCATCGTTGGAAATTTGGTCTCGAGGTTTTCGTAACGACCCGAGAGCCTCCACGATGACTGATACCACCAAAGCTTGGACCCAGCGTATAACAAATTCCATTCTTGCAACATTCCTCGATATTCTAGTCCTCATCGCCGGGTTGCCCGGGTGCTCGGAAAATGTTGTTTACTTTCCTCATGTGTCGTACAATTTGGTCCCATCCCTGCCATCCCCTGGACGAAACTCGAGCGTTCGCAATGTCTGCCGATATTGATCATGTCCCTGACAAGCTCTCCTGACTGCATGATTCAAGCCGAAGACAAAACTTTGAAGATGCTGTTTCCAACTGTTGCCGATGAAGGCAACTCCTTTGACGACTTCTTCGACGAAGAGATGTACAGGCTTGACGGCAGTGATGAGGAAAATAAAGCTCACCCAGACCAAATCGAAACTCTTTTCGCCGACGCCTTTAACCATGACGAATACAGACTTCCATCACTTGATGCCTCAGCGGCGAAGATCGATCACTCACCTCCTCAACCGTGGCGCAAGGGTATCTGGTGTTTGAAGCAAAGACAACAACCTCCAAGGCTTGCGGTGGAGAAGACGCGGCGACAAGAGACAAAGAGGACAGAGCCAATTCAAACAATGAATCCCATGAATCACAACTTCCATCTGGCGCAAGGTCCCGTGTCACCACTGGAGATCAGCTCGCTCAGTCGAACAAAGAGATTCGTCACCTCGCCCGCTGTTGGGGGTTTGGATCCAACGACGTACGTCCGGCCTCCCTTCTCTCGCGAAACCACCTTATCACCGAGCCCGATGTATGCCCAACTCCCTGTATCGCCATGCGCCGGTCATGGCAACATGAGCAACTGGCAGCAGGACTTTCAAAACTTTCACCTGCGCATGCCGTACGAACGTCCGTTGCTGCCTCCATCCATTTCAAACAAGCAGACTGAGCAAAGCCGTTTGGCCCGCGACATGAACGCCGCTATAATGAGCCGGAACCAGGGCATAACCAGTCAAGGACGTGGGTACTTTGACGAGTACAGCTCAAACCACGCAGAGACCAGTGCCATAGATCCCGTGCTGCTTAGCCCCCGGTACGAGACGCCACAACACAACCACCAGGCCTGCGGCGCTGAATCATTCCTTTTGCGCGATAGTCATGCTGCGCATGGCCTAAACGCGTTGCCGTCTCCGATCAGCACAAGCCTGCCGTCATCGGGTAGCTCGACTGAATCCCAGAGCGCCAGGACGCATACCTCCAATACAAACCTTAGCATGCACTCAAAAGCCATCTTTTCGCCCCCCACAGCGACTGCTCATCCTCCGCTGCCGACATTGGCACCGGCAGAGACTTACCCTGCATTGGTTGCTCCCACTCCGAAACGCGTGCCCCATCCGATTCTGCATCAGCCGAACGACAACTCATTGACCGGACTTGGAATCCAGTATCCGGAGCTGGAACAGATGAATCAAGCCGTCCTCTACAAGCCACAGGGATACCTCCCGCAAGCTCCTGCTCCCATTGGCGTTGCATTGCCTTACCCTCCTGCGACAATGGCACCAAACCCAATGTATTCCTATCCGCCTCTCCCACCACCTCCGTCTCATGTCTTTCCGGACCTCTCCCTCTTCACCACGCCTCGGAAACAACGGCGGTCACCTTCCCGATCGCTGTCGCCGTCAGTGTCACCTACCAACATCAGTCCCCGACGCAACCCTGCGCGTTCGCCGACCCGCAGTGTAACCGACTACAGCCAAAGTCGACGGAAGTCGATCCACAAATCAGGGCCTATTAAGGATAGCACTGCACAAGATCCTATGCCAGCGCCACGGACGAGGTCGTCATCTCGACCTCCCCGGACACCAAAGGCTCCCAAGACACCTACCGGCGGAGGAGCGGTGCTTGATTTCGTGAATTTCACGCCCAAGGATTCTGCCAAGTTGTTGAGCGATGTTGCACCAAGCGGGAGTTCCAAGACCAGGGCTCGAAGAGAGCAGGAAGCGAAAGAAAAGAGGAAGAAGCTAAGCGAGGCAGCATTGAAGGCTGTCAAAGTCGCGGGAGGAGATGTGGCTGCGTTTGAGAAGGCGATTTTCACGTAGCAGATGTAATGGGTGCCTACAAACCAAAGGTGCTGTCAGCGCTTCTGTGAGGGTTTGAAGTGTTTTATCCTTTTTGAGAACGAATCTGCCGATTGTCTGCTTAGCGTTGTCCGGATACTTGAATTCATGCTACCAACGAAGATCGCAGGGGGAGGGAGATAGCTGACCGTGGAGCTGGGAATGGGAAAGGTTATACTGTAATACTCGAGGTTGTTGACGGCTTTTGGCAGGGTGACACCATTGGTGCCAGTGATACCGGCAATTTCCAGACCTGGAGATTCGGCAGTGTTTGTACCACACTGAAACTACCACATCGAACTTCTTTTCCAATGCCATAATAATGTGTCATGTCGAGCATGTGTACAGGGTATCTTGTACTCTGCCCGTGTAGTGTACGTGCTCGTGTTCTCAGAACCCTGCCCTCTGCAAGGGTCTTTCCCTTCATGTTTCAAGTTTCAGTCGCGGAGAGAAGTCGCGTTGACAATCTTCACCGATCACTAGTAGCGATGACGCGTCGCGGATTCCATGGGTGTTCGAGGGGAGTCGCTACGGATGGCACAGGGAGGAGACCGAAACACGGCGTTTGATGAAGAGAGGATTTGGTTGAAGTGAAAGAGAAGAGGGAAGATGGAATGAGGACTGCGCGAGGACTGCGCCCACACAGTTAAGATGCGCCAGACGTGCTGCTCTGACTAAGCCGGCACCCAAACACCCTCAAACACCACCAAGCACCACCCACATCTCGCTCCAGGGACAGGGGCCAAAAGGAACCAACCAGCAGCACTAGTCGCTTGCTTCGTCTATTTTCCTTTGTGACAACCCAGAGGGACCCCTGGCAACCCTGGCACTCATCCACTTACGGTCAGACATCTCACATCCAAGGTGCCTGAGGCTGAAAAAGGTGCAGAGACATAACACCTCTCCTTTTCTCATCCCTTTGCCATGTTTACTACCGCCATCCATCATCATGACCGTCATGATGGACAGAGCGAATCGTGCTCTCCATCGATTCGCCTCTTTTCGACTTCCCCCCGATGTTAAAGAGCGTGCTATGAAAGATACCGGCTGGGCCGATGTAGGTGGCATTAGTAAAACCTCAAAAGGGCAACAAAACATCGTTGACACACGAGAGCCAGGGTCTCCGAGGCATTGCAGCAGTATTCGTGGTTTCGTCCCATGTTGTTATATGTTATGCAAGAGCTCTTGTTCCACCCTGTTGTGCCTTTTCCAGCGATGAGCCATATCTTTTTCAACGACCCATTTTTCGCCTCGTGGCCAGCGGCCATTCATGGGTGGCCATCTTTTTCATCCTAATGGGCTTCGTCAACGCCTTGAAGCCCATCCAACTCGCCAGAACCGATCAAGTCGACAAGGCCCTGCAGAAACTCGCCTCGTCATCGTTCAGCAGGATCTTTCGGCTCGTCCTCCCGGCGACCACTGCCACCATTATCTCTTGGTTCCTTTGCAATCTGGACCTGTATTCCATATCGGCACAGAGTAATGCATACTGGTTGTATACGAACACTCCAGAACCCAGTTCCAGTTGGCTCGAAGCACTCTTGGACCTGTTTCACGGCCTGCGAGCGACATGGACCTACGGCGACGAAAACATATATGATCAACCGCAATGGGCTCTTGTGTACCTCCTCCAAGGTAGTGTCATGATCATCAGCGCTTTGTCGCTTGTAGTGACCATGACGCCTACCTGGCGCACCGTCACCTTGATTTTCCTGGCATATTGGTCTCTGAATTGGAGCCGCATGATTGGAGATCGTAAGTTGACCGTTTACTCACCCCCCCCCCAGGGTGCACAGACTAACCGTCAACAGCCTGGGCTGGTCTCTGCTGCTTTGTGGGCATTGCCCTTAGTGAACTCAGCCTCTCGGATATCCCCAAATTTCTAGCTCCTTACTCACCTTACATTTCGCCACCCATCACCTTGGTCTCTCTCGTCTTCATGTCATACCCAGGTTCCTACGCCGAGGCAGCATCCTGGTCCACATGGCTTCGCGACTTCGCGACGCAGTACTTTCCTACCGAAGCCACCGCCGCCATTGAACGGATGTACGGCTCTCTGGGTGGGATTCTTCTTATTGTTGGTATCCTCATATCTCCTCACGCCCGTTGGACGTTGAGCCGCCCACTTCTTCTGTGGCTCGGGAAAATTAGCTTTGCAATCTATCTCATTCACGGCATGTTCTTAAGGACAGTCTTCGCATGGGCGCTACACCTGGGCCATTCGAAGCAGATAATGACCGAACACACTCCAAGTGGCGAAGAGTACAATGTCGAGCGATACCCGTTGCCAGGGTATTTCCAACGCGCTGTTGCGACTGTCATCATGGGTGCTTGTGTCGGTGTGGCAAGTCACTTCTGGAACTTGAAATTGGAGCCGCTGTTCGCAAAAATCACTGCCAGGCTCGAAGGAATTGTCACCGGAAATGTCGAGCCAGAGCCTAAGTCCAATGGGAACACCATTCTCCCGTTGCGCAAGGACTGAACGTCGTGTTAAAGACTAGTGCAAAACCGAGGCTCTATCGGCTGGGGTGCCGCGTTGTCAGACTGACGGGCTTCGTAGGTTTTTTGGATTTGACATTTGGCCCAAAGACCCCCGACTCCGCTTAACCTCGACGGAGAATGCGCCGTGTCCGCGGCTGATGGCGATGACACTTGATGCGCTCAGGAAGATTCAGATCACGGCAAAGATCATGCTGACACCAAGTCGTGTTACAATCACCTGTCCGACGACCTTTACAACCTCACCTGTGGGCGCCAATGACTGTTGCCGAAATACCTTGCTGGTCATGTCGATGATGGATCTAAGGTGTCTGGGGAGATTCGTGTGATACTTTCAATGCTGAAAGGCCAGACAAAAAGTCTCAACAGAAAACGAGAAGGGAAAAAAAGAGGTTGATCCTGAGCTCCAGAATTACGAGCAAAAATATATGTGCCAGGGATACAGGATACAATGCTGTTATCATTTGCAGTCAGATACACCATCTATGTATGGTTTAAACCAACGGGGTATTCGATAGACGCTGGACGGTCTGGCACGGGGTGGGAAAAGCTTTTTCTGGTTTCATTACTGTTGGTTTGGGCATCGTTTTCTACTAGGTCGGTACGAAAAAGTCGGCACATCCAGCTGCACAAGGCTGAAGTACGAAGGCACGGATCCATGGTGTACACCCATCGCCCCGGAACCGATTCTTGATTTGGATTTTTTCATTTCCTCATAGTGCGTTTCGGCGTCCGTTCGTGGGCAGAAGATGAGGAGGCATCACCTATTCACAGTAGTGGTTACTGCTACTCCTACGAGGCTATGCAGGATTTGTTCCTCCCTACATATGTACATGTATACCACCTACACAGCTCCGAACTCGGCTTTGCATGCTACTCGCAATCAGCTGGTCCCCGTGAACTGCCGAGATGGAGAATCAATAGGGTATGTCCAGATCGCTCCGTCCGGTGTGGATGTTGGTATTATAATCTCGGACGAAAGAACAGGTTCGTCCAACGCCCCCACCACCCCCACCGCGCAACCCCCGACTTGTCTCTTTCTACCCGCACTTCAATGTTTACAAGATACGATGTGTTGACCACATTCCCGACGTCACACGGAGCCCCCAATCGGCTATCAACGAGAATTCCGCACACGCCTTGGGGAGCATGGCCATAGCCTTGCCCATACATTCGTGATCCACATAACTAAAGCAAGCTATTGATATTGTTATAGCCATAGCCATAGCCATAGCCGTAGGCGTAGCCGTAACCCGCTCCCAACCACGGCTTAGTGGTCGAGTATCGGACTATTGTATTCATAGCCTGCGTGCCTGGTGCATCCGCGTGGTTTTCGGTTGAGGACGGGCAGGCAAGTGGACGTATGTACTCTCGGGCGGATACGTAGGAGACAAGTCTATCTAACGCGGTCTGGTTTCCTGGATGCGGAAAGGTACATACATACCTACTTGAAACAGACTCGGTATCTACCTCCCCTTGCAGTGCCAGTGCCAGCGCAAGTGGGCTTGACAACAAAACTTCTCTCGTCCTCAACAACATAAACACACACGCCTCCAAAATTGCTCGTGACGAAGCAGAACCGAAAAGAACACTAACCGTCCTTCCTCTTCGGTTCATGTCCCTGGACCCCCTGGATCTCGCAATGCCGGCAACAAAGATATCGGCCCTGTGCAGCAGCCACGCCTCACTCGACGAGGGCGACCGTGTAGGGCCACAATCCTTCAACGGCCCAGCAGCAGCAATGGAACAACAGAGCACCCTTGGAGTCCTGAAGATCCCATCGTACGCCTCGCTCCCGCCCGTCGCTGGGATGCCGCACGGCTGCACATGGGGCCTATGGGACGCGCTCCGCAAAGCCGGCATCAGCGCCACACCCAACGGCGGCGACGGTAATGGCCACAAAAATCAGGAGAAGGAGAAAGACGGCCTCGGTACACTCAACCTCCTGACGCCGGCCGTGATCCTGGCCGCGAAAGCGGAGATCCAGCACGGCATCAGCGTCGCGATAAACTGGTCGCTGGAAAATTGCTCGACGCCGCATTCCGGCCGGCGCCCGCCGCGGCACAAGATCATGACCCTGGCCGAGGCCCAGGGCGGGAGCGAGTGGATTGGCCACGACGACGAGGTGTGGATGAACACGCAGAGCGGGAGTCAGTGGGACGGGTTTCGTAAGTCGTCGGTCATTCATCCATCCATGCGCTGCCCTTTCCTTTCACCCCACCCTGGCTCTTTGTAGTGGAAACGAAAATATAATATTCAAGGTTTGAGATTGCTGCTCACCAAGGATTGCCTCTGGTCAAAAAAAGGACACTGGGCGCACCAGCCGACGGCGTTGTATTACAACGGTGTGACGCACAAGGAGATCACAGACTCGAATGCTCCAGTCAGAAACGGGATCGATGGTAAGTTTGTGGAACCCGCCACAATCTCCCCCGTCTTTCCCCTTCCCTTTCCTCCCTTCCGGCTACCGAACGTCAGGTTGATGGGATCTCAAGAGTGGTCAAGCCGAGGCGGCATCGTCGGCCGGGGCATCCTGCTCGACTACCTTTCCTGGGCTGCACACCAAGGCATTGAATACTCGCCGATCGAGCGCCACGCCATCTCGGAGAAGGACCTCGAGGCCGTCGCGGCGTGGCAGGGTACCAGGCTCCGCCAGGGCGACATCCTGCTGATTCGATCCGGGTTCGTGACCTGGTACAAGGAGGCCAATGCAGAGGAGAGGCGTCGTGGGACGGTGGATGGATCGACCTGGGCTGGTGTCGAGGGCACCAGGGACTCGGTCGAGTGGTTCTGGGATCGCCATTTCGCGGCTGTAGGCGGCGATGCGAACGTGTTCGAGGCGTGGCCGGCCAAGGAGGAACGATGGCGTAAGTTTTTCCCTTCAGACAAGACAGCAATCGGGGGGTGCCGACCGACCAGTACTAACAGAACTCCTTTGCCCTTTTTGGCAGGCCTCCACGACAACCTGATCGCCCTGTTCGGAATGCCGGTCGGGGAAATGTTCGATCTGGACGAGCTTGCAGAGACCTGCAAGAGGCTGAACAAATGGAGTTTCCTCTTCACCAGTGCACCCTTGAATTTTCCGGGCGGCGTGGCAAGTCCTCCAAACGCGATATGCATCCTGTAATAGATCGGCGCCCAAGAAAGCCTGCAACGCTAATACCCTTTGGCTCAACTCTCGAGTTTTTAAAATTCGTACTCCAAGTCGGCCCATGCTCCGTCGTCGAGTATGGTACCCCAGTCTGCTGGATAACTGACCGGCATTGCAAGGTTCGATGCTTCGGGGAAGAGGTATCGGCCCGCCGAGTGGTTCGGCATCGTGTAGATCTGCGCGAGGCTGGGGTCTTGTCCATATTGAGATTTGCCGCTTAGCAATGGTGGCTGCTGCTGCTGCTGGTCCATCATGTGGCTTTGTTGTTGTGCTGCCGTTGGACTTATGCCTTCATTATTGAGTTGTTCGTGGCTCTTCATCTGAACGGGTGATGCGTTGACAGGCTCGTTGGGGAGCAGCTCGTCCCCGTTTCGAATTCTCCGGACGATCTTTGCGAAGAGACGGAAGATCCAGCCGCTGACCGGCCATGTGCTCTGCAACTCGCGCAAGGCGATCATCGCCAGTCTTACCTTGACGACACCAAGCTGTTCCAGGATCGACTGGCCAGAACAGATGTCGACGGCTTGCATCCCCATGGCGGCGAAAAGAGCTGGAACGATGTGAATTGGGCAGTGTAGAATATGAGACTGTGAGAGAAGTTCTTCGACAATGCGGACCATGCGATTCGCTGCATCCATGGCAAGAAAATGCGCAGTCTTCATCGAAGGCGGAGACAGGTTCTGCGGTGAAATGGACCGGTGGGTGACGATCTCAAACCAACTGTCAACGCAGGCATCAGTTTAAGGGTGATAGAACAGTGTCATAAGAAACATTTACCTGTGTGCAATGTGCAGCATGCTTGTCCAAAGGCAGGTACTGGTGTACTCGATCCGCAGTTCGAGCGGGAGCCCCGACTTCCACTGCTCGAGCGCATGAGAGCAAGACTGAAACATGTCGGCATTATCCGAGGTTGTGGCATTGAAAGCGGTAAAGGATCTTTCCACGATGCTCTCAGCAATTGTCGAAAGCTCGACCAATGCAATAACGTAAAGCCCGTCGACGCGTTCAGGAGTGCCAAAGATATCCGGCCTTGAGACTGGAGGTTCGTCGAAATCGGCGATATCAAGGGGTTCCACGTCGCAATCTCTTCGTCGAATATGAACCGGTCGACCAAGTGCCGTGGCAGCATGTTTGTCTTCGGCGAAGAGTGACCACCAGATCTTCTTCCACAGGCATCGATCTTTTTGCTTCATGTCTGAATGTTGTGTTGATCGATGCATGCCCAGCGTCAGTGCCAGGCTAATTGCTATGCCCAGCCAGTGCCATGTGTCCTTTTGGTCGGTTGGTCCGTTCCACCAAAAGCTGATGAGGAAGACAGCTTGGACGATAGTGACCTTGTTCGGTTCATGGTCGTTGTCGTAAAGAGCCTTTGCTCGCTGGAAGAATGTCTTCCGAGCGTGATATCTCGATTCAAACCCAGCATCCAGGAGGACAGACAGCTCGCAATGCCCCGACGCCATGAACAAGACACTCTGTAGTAGGAGATACGATGCTGGGTTTTTGAGATCAACGTATTGAGCAGCAAAGTCTTCGCGATCAATAACAGGATAATGAGGATGGACGTATTCGAAATAGGTCTGGAACAGCTGGTAGCAAGCATGGACGGACGGTATGGTAAAGCATCCTTGATGCTGAAGAAACGACGTCAAGACATTGTCCTCTTCCTCCTCCATAGGACTGGCCGTTCGATTCTTGGGGTTGAATCGGACTACGTAGTGCCTTTTCCGTGTAGACCGAGCAGAATCAGGATTAGTCTGGCGCAACAGATGCGTCAAGTTGAAGGTCTCTCCCATGTACATGACATGGACCACGCCTCCTTTGACATCCGGCAGCATGCCCGCGTTGGTCGCCTTGTCAAGGACTTGAGCATAGAGTGTTTCTTGAGATTCTTGTCCCAAATCAGGTTTGTCAGGGACACACGTCGAGGTGGATGCTGTGCGAGGGCGGCTATCCTGCGGCTTCTTTGGCAGGTTCCTCACACCTTTGAGAGGATCGTAAACATTGCCATGCCCAAAGATGGTCTCCGTTGGGGAGGAGGCTTGTGCAATGCTCGACAGGTCGCGTTGAATAGCAGAAGGAGAGGTCGACACCTTCCTCTTCTTGCCTCTTTTGCTCTCAATGAGCATGCAGCTGCGGCCGGCGACCTCGCAGTTGGAACACGGCGTCCCCTTTGCTGCGGCATTGCATTTCACGCGCCTTGAATGACACCAGGTACAGGCGACGGCCGAGCGCTGTCGAGGTCGGCCTCGCTGCGTCGAGGATGTCTGGTGCGGTTGATCCATTATTGGTGGAGTCATCTTCGGCAGTCTCAAAAGCGGTGGACGAGCGAGAAAAGGTCATAGGCTATGGCCCCGGAAATTGGCCAGATGCAGGTCTTTTTGAATGATTGCGGGCGACAAACGGTCGGGGTAATGCTGCGCGGAATCGACACCGAGAATTCCCTAAGGCTACGGAGTAGACCGAGGGTGGTTTGATGCTCATTCTTCTGTCAAACCCAAGGCGGCGTAGATATCGTGATAGCCCTCGGGAATGGCTGTGTGCAGGACAGCTTGTGTATACCCCTCTCACATGTCAAAGAAAGACATGTCAAACTCATCTCGCTCGTTCTGTCTGCAAATTAATGCCCCATCCCTCTCTTTTCTGGCCACTCTCCGTCTGGGGCCCTTCGCCTCTGCTTATGTGCGTGGCTCTTCAGAAAAACTCACCTCGACTTCTGATTTAGGAGAATCCCCAGCGACCCCGACACCTACCGGCCATGCCGTGTTCCCGCAGAAAACCAACAGCAGGACATTGCTAGCGACATTCCTTCAGGCATTATGTCGGCAATGATTTTCGAGGTGAAAGTTGGAGAAAGATGGAGAGAAGATCGACGGTGACAAAACCCTCCCCTGTAGCTCGCCTGGCGCCTTTGGTGCCAAGGTTCCTGTGCCTCTCCAATAGATGATCCCGGCCAACATATCTCACACATCGCAATGCGCGGAACGCCAGTATTGATCACTTGTAGAGCAATTCCTTGTGGCCCCCTGCGATGACGTATCAAAACAGCCGATACTTCAAGGAAATTTATCCAAAGGCAGCTCGTCCAGAGGAATCTTTGCACAAAACGCCATTCATCTAATGGTGCTTCCCGCACCGAGGGTTTTCGCTGCGACAGGAATGAGGCGAAAGTGTCATCTTCTGGCTGGATAACCGAGTAAGCCCGGTATAGCCTAAGGACCCAGGGGTAGTGGGCGTAATACCTCTAACTGAAAAGTCCTCCACGACAATATTGATGGACGCGTAGGGGCCCGCAGTAATGGAAAGATGTATATCAATACGTGGAGACCCCACAGTCCAGGTGTCGGATCAGCCATCTCCTGCAGACTCGCTTCTCTTCTGTCGGTACCTGCGACAAGATGGCTAGAACATACACCCTCTACAATTTACGGATCATCTTGGTCTTGACCTTGGGAAGTCTCACCTTTGGGTACGGCTTTTCGGTCATCTCCAACACCATAGGGCAGCCTGGGTTCATCCAATACTTCAACCTCAAAGCCAACTCCGACTACACCAACGCAATCACCGGCACCATCAATGGCTTATACTGCGCAGGAGCACTGTTTGGGGCGCTTCATGTGGGCTGGATGTGTGAGGCCCGCGGCAGAAAAGAGACCATGTACTTGGCGTCGGCCGTCAATGTGGTGGGCGGAGCCCTCGAAACCGGTTCCATCGACATGGCCATGTTTCTCGTTTCCCGGTTCATTTCAGGCTGGGGTATAGGCATGATGGTGGTCTTGATCCCCATTTACCAAGCCGAAATCTGTCTGTCCCCCCCCCCCCCCCCTTCTGGACGTCTGGCTGCAATTAGGATCATGTTGGCTAACGATGGATATCAGCGCCCCCCAACGCTCGAGGCTTTCTTGTCGGCCAACACGGAACTTGGATCGTCTTGGGATACGCCATTGCCGGGTGGGTTGGCGCGGGAACGTACTACTCGTCGAATCTGTCCTTCCAGTGGCGATTCCCAATTGCCCTGTCGATTATACCGCCGCTTGCATTAGCGATATGTGCCCCGTGGATTCCAGAATCCCCTCGTTGGCGTAAGTCACATTGTTTGAGCAAAAGTCCGCTCGCTTTCCAAAACACTCACAGTGGTCAGTACTCACCAGAGACCGACGCGAGGAGGCCTGGAAGATTGTCAAACGCTTGCATGGTGGCACCGCCGAAGACGAAGCGAGTCTCCAGTACGCCCGCGAAGAATTCTACCAAATGACTGAACAGGTTCGAGTGGACGCCGCCGCGTGGAAACAGGGAGGGTGGCGCGGTATGTTCACAAACAAGACCTACCGGAAGCGCTTCTGGATGGGCTTCTTCATTCAGTATGCTGCTCAATCGACAGGCGCTCAGGTGATTTACGGTAAGCACACTTGGTACACCGACACACTGCGTCAGCCAGCCCCCAAATTGACTCTTTGTTCGTTTTTATCAGTATATATCGTCTCCTTGTACCAGAATCTTGGACTCACTGGCGGAGTTCCGTTGATTTTGGGGGCAGCGTATGTCACGGTCGCAACCATCTCCAACTTCGTCGGGGCCCTGCTCCTGGATAGAGTAGGACGAAAACCACTTCTGCGTAAGTCAAACTCTCCGTTTCCGTTCGGGCTCCCCTCCTCCTGTGTGACGCCGGGATGAAGAGAGGCTAAAAAGGCGATTGTCGCTTAAATATAGTGGCCGGGCTCACCGGATGCATGCTCTCGGTGTGCCTAGAGACGGCTATGATAGCCGAGTACGCTGGTACCACCAACAAAGCCGGACTTTCGATGGGGGTGTTCTTCTCGTTCTGCTTCATCAGCTTCTATGGAGGCGGCATCGACGTGGTTGGCTATGTTTATTGCTGTAAGTGGTATTCATTTCCGATTTCCCTCACCTTCCATGCATGAACGTGCCGCCTGTCCCCAGCAATAGAAACGTGGTGGAACAGTCCTTGAACGGAGAGGGGCCGTGTCGGTCCTGGCTAGCATACCAACATGCTGGTCCGTCGGGCACCCTCTAAGCCATGTAAGACTGTGCCGGTGCCCGCATGCACCCTTTGTCATTTCTCCACGAGTCGTATCGCAATGCAGAAGTTGCACCCCGGATTGCGCGCTGACATGCATATTTTCGGGTGCATGAAGCGGAGATCTTCCCGACCACAATCCGATCTCAGGGCGTAGCCTGGTCTCTCGCTGGAACATTCCTCTCGACCTTGGTGTACGTCGAGGCTGCGCCGACGGCCTTGGCAAACATCAAGTGGAAGTACTACATCGTTTTCATCTGCCTGACCTTTGTCAACATTTGGATTTTTTACTTTTGGTGTCCCGAGGTAAGAAGGAGCCACTCTTTCACTCCCGGGTCCCGATATCTGCTGATAAATTCCGCCTAGACTCGAGGCAAGTCGCTGGAAGAGATCAATGCCCTGTTCGGCGACGAAGTGGTGGTACATTTTGCGGATGCGACAGAAAAGCAACGGCATGAATTGACCGCCAAGGTATTGGCACAAGACGAAAAGCATGAGTTTGCCTCAGAACGCGGGGAAGGCGTCGAGGGCGCGAGCACAACTACAGCGTTGAAAGTCTAAAATGGAAAAAGGACGGGTGTGGTGGTACAAGTGGCTTTGGGGGGGGGGGGGGGGGGGAGGGAGAGAGGTAAAGAGAGTCCGATGACGATGATGGGATGACGATGATGGAGGAAGGAGATTTCCCGATTAAAGCGGTAGGTATCCGGTAGCCCGGACAACTTGTAAGAGGGAGAGTCTCTCTGCATAGTAGAAGTACGTAGCATCGGGTACTCGTACTCGGTAGGTAGATACCTACAGTAGCACCTCCAGGCATACCGAGTATCACCAGCATCGGATGATGATGAAGCGAGAACGGACAATCGCACTCTTGGAATCTGGATCTCCCCGTTGTGGTGTGTGATTCATGCGTATCTTATCGGGATGTGGTCACGCGTGACGTACAGTACTGTAGCTAAGAGTCCGAAGCACCAGGATGAGCAAGATGAACAAGATGGAGGGACAGGGGGAGCGGAAGCCTGAGGAAGAGCAAGAAGAGGCAGGCGAGGCACCGCGCTACGCTGGGTCACGATGCTGGCAAGGCCGTGGCTGGGGCCGTTGACAAGGGGGAGAGCATGATTTGCTGAGAGCGAGCAGTGCCTTGTGGCTTGCATTAGACTACGGATATTAATATCCTCGCTAAGACAGGCTAACAGACACTAGTGCTTGAGCCCCGATAGCAGCCGCCAACCACAGCACCCATTCTCAAAGTGGATCTTGTATCTCAGCACTGCCATTGGCCTGTATTCCGTAGCCACCCCGGTCTCCACTGCGCAGGTACCTTTAATCCAATTTCCCGGGGGGCTAAACCTGCTATAGCCCAGATTTGCCCTGCCTCTCCTGTACAGGGTCACTGTACAAGGGGCTTGAAGGGGCTAAACTGAGACATTGCGCCATGCAGGTCCCATGGCTGCCCATGTCAATCAAACAAAACTCTATCTGTCGAAAAACAATACTGCCCAAAGAAATGCCCCAGTCACCAGCGCTCGAGGAAGAGGGCATCGTGTCACCAACCCACCCAGGACCCAGGCACTAGTACCGACGGCAACCTCCACCACCCAGGCGTCACCATCAAGGAGTGTCTCATGTAAAAGAACCTACCCAGTACGCCATCACCAACCTCGCCCTTTTTTTTACCTCCCCTCTTCAGCCTGGGTCTGCTCGAGCTGTCCTGCTCCCCTCCTGCTCTCTCCACCCGTCCAGCTACTCTACTGCTACCGAGTACATACTCTCGTTCTCAACCCTACAATCTAAGCTTGGAACTATCCATCATTCTTCAATTCCCTGGATTTTCGTGGTGGAAAGCCCGCCGTCGTTTGCTTGACGAAGTACCCGAGTACCGCACAGTTCGCTTCCATACCTATGCTCTGAGATTGCGGGATCGACTCGACTCTTAATTTAGTAGCTGTACATTTCGCCCCAGGCTGCCACCTACGCCTTGTTTGATCAATTGAACCGCCATTCAAAGGGGAGCCCGACGCCACCAAACTCGATAGCCACAGACCCTGCCGTGGATTCATTATTTTCTCGAGGACATTGTTTATTGTTGTAGCCCGGAGAGACCACCGTCACCCTGAATACCGATACCCCTTTCAACGGCCGACGCCGTTGCTCTTTTTGTTCTGGTTTTTTTTTTTTTTTTTTTTTTCACCTTCTGCATCGGTTCAACTGGTTGAACGCGGATGATTCTTGCGATACAGAAGCAACATCAACATCCAGCATCGCTTCCAACAACGGCAGCAACGATGGCGTCTTCTCCAGTCCCAGACATGTCATCCATGCTTTTGAACCTTCCACCAGAGGTCAGGAATCTCATCTATAAATTCGCCTTCGAACAACCGAAACCGCTGAGGTTGAGGTGTCCCTCTCAACGACGACTCCGCCCATCGCGGCCCGCCAAAGACGACCCTCGTGGATTCTTGGACACCTGCCACCTGATCCGTTCAGAGGCCATCACGCTGTTTTATAGTCTCAATGCGTTGATATTCCGCTTGTCGGCAGACGCTCTGGCTTTCATGTCCGACCCGGATATTCATCCTTTGATCAAATCTTCATTGACACACATAGCGGTCGACTTTGGCGACAGCACCGACGCCGACGCAATCCTCAAGGACCACATTAATCTCGTCGATACCTGTGTCGGCAGTCTACCCAGTCTGAAGGCTCTGGAGACCCGCTTCTACGCCCGAACTTTGGACGCTTGCTCATCTTCGCATTTTCGGACCTTGGCGCTCGCCTTTGACGGTCTCGACGCCGACATGAATGCACCTCCTTCCCCTCGCTCACCTCGGTCGCCCCGGTCACCGCGATCGCCCCGCGGTTCTCCCAGAAGCTCTATCTCTAGCGGCTGCCCCTCGCCTACCTCAACACCGTCAAGCTTGTGCTCGTCTCCCTGTTGGGAGCCGGAACCGGAACCGGAACCAGACATGTCAGCCATTCAAGCTGAAGTCCTGGAACAATACTGTTTCACGTCTTCCGCGGCAATAGCATTCGCCAATGCGAAGCTGAAGTTCTCTGTTGCAGCCTCGTCCGAGAACTACCCCGGCCTCAAGCATGACAAGCTCATCTGCTACAATCTTCGTATCGGTGCGGATGGGATCGCCAATGCCTTGGGCCCTGCCAAGGAGGCTGTCCAGCAGCGAATCAGCCGTGTCGGCATGTTACCCCGACAGCTTAGCGAGATGTATGACACTGCTGCAGATGGCGGGTTCCACCAACGAGTGCGGTCAACAATCGCAAACTGCGCAAGGATCGACATTGGCGTTTCCTGATCGAAGGCGGCTGCATTTGTTGCAAGATTCTCCTTTCACTCTTGCCTTGGTATCGCTGCAAACTTTTCACATATTGCTTGTCGCTCAGCTTTCCAGCATTCATGGCAATTGAAGATTCCAAATTATTGTGCATTTTCAGGATTGGTTGTCATGGCCAGGGTGCCTGAATCTCTTTCATCTGCTTTCCTTGGCGAGGAAGAAAAGGGGCGACGTTAAAGAGGGGACGGTGGAAATTGACTTGACGAATTGGACGGAGATCTTGTGCGGCTTCCCTTTTAATGCTTATTCTTCCACATGCAGATACCCTTGTTCTATGCTCTTACAACCGCATGTAATTATTGCTTATGAGATGACGAAATGAGACATGATTATGAATCCTGAAACTTGGCTTCCTGTTTTCATCATCACCAAGGATGGAGCTTGTCCAGATAAACCCGGAAAAGAATTCCTCACCTGACAAGTTGGTCGAATCATATTCATGCTCCGGCCAATGTTCGTGTCTCCTTCACCGCCACAGATCTGTTACCGAGTTTGCTCTTGTGGTCCTTGACCGAAACGAGGGAAGCAAACACCCGCTGCCTCGAATTTGAAAAGTCTGGTTCGTGTCACCCACAGGCGCCATACGAGACCGGAAAGACGTAAGCTGCGGGATCTGGGGAAAGTACTCCTCAGGACTTGTGGTTTTCTCACGTTGCGGCTCTTCAGCGACCACTGTGGCGGAAGTCCGTCTTCAAAGCTTTTCAGACAAGTACCACCCACAATGGTGTCATGACAGATCCATGCGACATACCCTGAAGGTCTTGATCTAAGGACATAAATGAACGCGGCCGCCGTCTAAGCGTTCGACTTGCCCATCCTCCACATCGACTCCAGCAAAATATCGAATTCAGTGAGCCAAACTAGAAACCTCGGCTTTCCCACCATAGACCGTCTCCTGAAGTCGCAGTAGAAACTTTCGCCGACAACATCAAACTCAACATGTGCGAGACCATCCGAATCCACCATCACTGTCCAAATGCAGGCTGCAAAGGCTCAATGATCACCAAGGACAATCTTTGCAAGCATGCGAAGAAGAACAAGCCATGCAAGAGTCACCGGCATCGCACCGTGGCAGGACAGACCAAAGATTGTGCTTCCCATCGCCGTCAAAAATACGAAGGCCAAAGTGGAAGAGGAAACCCAAGCTGGTGGGATGAAGTTTGAACCAGAAGATGTCTGGAGCGGCCTCGGGGTCAGCAGAAGACTTTGACGTCGATGCGAATGTTGTGCCGCAGGGTTATATTGCGAATTCAGGCTTTGCGAAGGACTTATCACTGCCTGTCGACGATTGAGGCGCACCACGTTTGTCGGGAATTCTGCTCTTTGCCGAATATCGGAAGCTTGGATGCTTGTACCTCAGAAAGGTTCAAGCGGACTAGAGCGGGAGTAAAGAAGCTGCTGCCAGTTTGCAGGCAATTGAAGCCCCAATATAGCGCTTTCACCGCTTGAAGTGCAGAACTTTTCGGAGCCGCGACCAGGCAGCTTCCACCTCTTCCGGAACGTCGACGTGAACAATGAAACCCTTTCCCTTTGGCCCATATCCATCGGTGTCGTCCCGTAACCGGGGGATTTCCCCCATCAATAGGTCGAAGAAACGATGGCTCTCCCAAAGACCGGACGAGTCGATATCTGCTGTCGAGAGACTGTCGTCTGCCCTAATGCGCAGCTTTCCTTTTTCATCAAGAGAGACCATAGGTACGAAGGTGGGACAGGCCAGAAACTCAAGTGTAGGCTCCACATCTTGGTAAGTGCGCTGAAAAGCAGCCAGTGTGCGCAGTGACATTGTAGGATCCTGCACCACGACACAAGACATGGGTAGAGGAACAGAATGCAGCTCGAGAACGCGGCGTGTCTCGATGGCATTGGCTCCGCAATTCGTAGAGTTGGCTTCAATAATGCATTTCATCTGGCCCGACTTGATTCGTTTGACAAGGTTGGGATAGAATTCAGTGAGAATCAGCTCATAGACGGCAGCCTCTGAGAGCCCGTCGATATTGTCTGCCAGGTGACAGTATTCGCTATGATCCTTGATGGCTTCGTAGAGAAATCGGGTCGAATGTCCAATTCCGCCGCAAATGACCAGGGTTTTTGTGAGGTCTGGGCGCGCCTCCAGAGCTGAGAAGACATTGTGGGCAATGGGCAGGATGGCGTTGCCACAGAAGACAACAACATCAACACTAGAACAAGTGTAGAGCGACGAGACCTGCAAGTGGGAGAGATAGCGCGAGAGTGTGTTGATGTCCGCCACGTCTGCTTGAGAGAGAAACACCATGTCGCACAGCCCGCAAGGATCGACCGTAGTGCAGCAAACAATTGTCATGCAACAATACTCGGCGAGGCCCGTTCTCTTGCCTGAAAATACCCATTGGCATGGGAGCGGACGAAAGACTTCAAAGATGGATTACCCATCGCACGTGATTCCCAGGAATGCCAAGACCTTGGCGCGGCGATCATTTCTTCAGTCCATTGCCGCCAGACGCTCCTTCAAGCTTCGCGCATGTCCAGGCAATATTATGGCACCTCTTATCTCAATCTGTTCAAAGAATAGAATTGAATTTCTCTGCGGGACAGGGTCCTCGTCGCAGGGACTTGCACGATGCCAGCTAGGTATCCTTGCTTTATGCCCGTATCTCATAACAGATGCTCCGCCGCTCACCTACAGGTATTGTTACTCGATCCACGCACATTCCGCGTCTTGGCGATGGAGGGACAGACGGGGTTGATGAACACGCAATGTAACACTGTCCTGCACCACCAAGAGACCCGGGTGGAAGCCAAGCCAGTCCGCAAGGCTTGGGGAGTTCTTGGGACCGCCTCAAAGCTTGGTGTTCGTGACAGCCGATGCTTGGTTAGGAAGCTCGTCATTTGCCTCAATCGCAGCCAAGCTCATATTTCCAGAACAGATGCTAACAAGATCTCCATACTGCTGCTCCAACTCATGCATCAGGAAGGTGACAGCTTTAAGCAACTGGTGCTCCAAAGATCCTTCCACCATACAGAATCGCTCTTAATCCCAATTTAGTCACAGGTCAGGTGTTGCCGCCACTGTCAATCGACGTCTCTATGGCATGTTTAATGTAACCATATTCCTTGTTGCGCGACCAGATTTCTCGGTCTCCCTCTGTGACGAGGGCGTCGGCCGTATGCAACATGGCTCAGTGCTCGGGTAGATGCGGTAGGAAACTCTGAGCGGGGGAATGATAAGAACGGATCGATCAGTTGTCAAGCAGTAAGAGAAAAATATCTTATTTAGCCCAACTATCTCGCACCTGAGAGCTGAAGAGCACAACCCCCATTTTCATCAAGGAGGAACTATGGGAAAGTTCAACCTATTGGCCGTGGCAACAGCAATAGTTGTTTTGCCATTTGCTTTATGCATCACACCAGAGTTAGTCCAACTGGGGTGTCCAACCAGCTGAAATTGACTAACACTTCACACAGGCAAATGCTCGCTGCGCCGCGGCGCGGTGAATTGGTTCCAAATCCCTCTGGTGTAGGTGAATTCTGAGGTTGGTAACACAGGACTAATGCTTGTCCGACAGAAAGTAGGTGTATTTAGTGCAACCAGCTACTCATGGGAGACCCACGAGGCAGAGACGGTATGGCAGCTAATGAATCTGACAACTGGAGAAACCTCCCTGTTCTACAAAGGTTCCGACATCTCGGAGATTGTCTGGGTTGGACAGACCGATACAAGCATTCTCTACATTAACGGTACCAACGAAGAAGATAACGGTGGCATCAGCCTGTATGCTGGTGACGTAAATGCCATTGATGAAGCGTGTGTCAATCTTCATGAGAGACCAGAACCAGGTTAACATTCATAGGTATCTGGTCGCATCACTCCCAGCTCCATATTCTGGACTGAAGGCAGTTGCAACCTCCTCCGGGAATGTAAACTTCCTCTTGAATTGTCTAGCATGGCCAAATGGGACAGCTTATAACGAGGCGTTGATTGGGGAACCGCTGAGCACAGCCAGAATCTACACCAGCATCTATGTCCGCCATTGGGACGCTTGGCTTTCTGAAAGGAGATACGCCGTCTTCGCCGGTACTCTGACCGGAGGCGACAGGTACGCTCTGCGTGGAGGCTTGAAGAACCTCGTGACAGGCCTTTCCAACGTTACTCGTGCCGAGAGTCCAGTTCAGCCATTCGGTGATTCTGGCGATTACGATATCACCCCCGACGGATCCATGGTTGCTTTCTTGACCAAAAACATCGATCTGCCCTTGTCAAATTACACATCATCTCAGATTTATCTCGTTCCTCACAATGGCACTTCTCCAGCTGTACCGATAAATGCCTTTTCTGGGGCAACAACCCCCCCAAATAGTAAAGGCGCTTCGGCAAAGCCGCTGTTTTCTCCAGATGGTAGGAAGATTGCATTCTTCCAGATGGATGGCATCTCGTACGAGTCTGACAGGAACAAAATATATGTCGCAAATGTCAATACTAGGAACTTCAACATCACCAACCTAGCAGCGAACTGGGATAGCACTCCTGACCAACTCAGATGGTCTGCTGACGGAGCCTCTCTCTTCGTCGCCGCACCTGACCTGGGTCACGGGCGTTTATTCCAAGTGCCACTTACTACTGGAGCGGGTTTCAAGCCCACCAACATCACAAACGCCGGCGTCGTGGCATCATTCTATGTGTTGCCCAACGGTAATCTGCTGATATCGGATTCCAAGATTTGGTCTTCCCGTGACTTCTACATTATTGGCCCTAAGGGAAGGCTTGTTGCCAATCTCCTCCGGGCGAACCAGGTTGACCCTGAGCTCGCAGGCCTAGGTCCGGAAGATGTGTCCGAATTCTACACCATGGGCAGCTTCACCCGAGTGCAGAGCTGGATAATCTATCCCGAGGGATTCGATCGTACCAAGAAATACCCGTTGGCGTTCATCGTCCACGGTGGCCCCCAAGGTGGACACTATAACTCTTGGAGCACCCGATGGAATTTCAAGGTGTGGGCGGATCAAGGCTATGTTGTTGTGGCACCGAATCCAACCGGAAGCACTGGCTGGGGTATGGCTTTCCAGGATGCCATCCAAGGCAACTGGGGGAGTTACCCGTATGAGGATCTGGTTGCCGTGTGGGACCATGTTAATAGCACATTCGACTATATCGACACCAAGAACGGGATCGAAGCCGGGGCCTCGTATGGCGGCTACATGACAAATTGGATCCAAGGTCATGATCTGGGCAGAAGATTCAAGGCACTTGTCACACATGATGGCATGGTAAACTCGGCTGCTTCCTACTCAACTGAGGAACTTTGGTTTATGCAACACGATGTGGGTTTACCGCCGTCTCCAAAGACTGAGGCTAATTCTCGAACAGATGAACGGCACTCTTTGGACCAACCGACACGAATATGATGAGTGGAATCCAATCAACTACGTCGACAAATGGGCTACGCCACACTTCGTGGTGCACAATGAGCTGGATTATAGATTGCCCATCGCGGAAGGAATCACACTCTTCAACTTGTTGCAAGAGAGAGGTGTCCCGAGCAAGTTTTTGAGCTTCCCGGATGAAAACCATTGGTTAGTGGCCCAATTCTGAGAAATTAGCATGTCTCGCTCACAATTCGCCCAAGGGTCCTCAACAGGGAGAACAGTCTTGTTTGGCACAAGGAGATTTTTGCATGGATCAACCACTATTCAGGCATTAGCAAATCCGCCGAGTGAGTGGCATCACTGAATCGTCCAGCTCAGTGGAGGGCAGGAGGGGCCGATTACTATCAGGTCGTCTCGAGTAGTTCTTGGAGAGCCAATGAATCAACATCAGGAGAATGGAAAAGTATTCAGCATATTAGCAGCCAAGTTCCCGCCACAGACGAACCCTGAAATGGCGTCATTTGGGGATCTTTGCTCTAACAGCCTTTGCTTGCAAGCACAGGAAAGTGGCCACAATGGCCTTGATGGAAAAGCCTTTATTGAGTAGTTCCTGTCGATCTGAAAGAGACAAGCAGAGAGAGTCTTCGAGACTCGCGAAGGGAAGAAGTTCCTCCACCTTAGTCCCGGAATGGCTTAGCGGAAGAGTCATGTGACAACTGCTATTTTATCGCTCTTCGGTTCTTCTCCTTTTTCTCTTTGTTCTCGTCTTCCAGTATTGGCGTTTTCGCAAAATCAATTGACTTGAAGGTATATCGACCATTCACTGGTTTGTCGCCACACTCCTCAGTCCTATGTTCTTGTCACTGTATGACCGATGGCCGGACTTCCTCTTTTTGGAGCTGCATGGCCCACTGGAGACTCGGCCCACCGCAAGAAATGATGATATGCCAATGCTCAACCAAGCCACTTTTCCTTGGGCTATTGGACGCACAATGTCTGGCTCCTTAGATCAGTAGGAACTCGAAAGAAATAAAACTCTTCACCACCATCTTATCTTGATTAGATGAACAGCATTATCAAAAATTCTATGTACATATGTTCGCACCCTGGTCGCTGGGTCACCGACTCCTTCATCCCTTTCTTCTTAAACGCCAAATCCACAGCGGATTCGCATGCTTCAACCAGAAGCTCGACCGCAGAATCTGCTTTCCAAAATCGCTATCACTGTGGGTTGTCCAGCCGTCATGCCCTTCTTGTCTTGAGGAGAGCGCCCCACGGATGGGTGGATGTCTTGGTAAGTTACCTTGGAGCACTCTAATACCCTCTATCGACCAGCTTGATGGAAGGCTTGGATGCTGATCATGCTGTTGTACTGTTTCTATGCCTTGATTGAGTTTACTTGGTTGTATTTGCGCTCAAAGGATGGGTCTGACCGGCGCTCACAAGCTGAAAGCTCCTCTTGCACTCTGTTAAGTTTTTCTTCTTCACTCTTCGGCCATAGCCTACACTACCTTGGTTTTGGTATTCCCCCCTACTTGTTATTCCTCCCGAGGAATCTCTACAATGTCGCTCTCAAGACAGAGCCAAACGTCTGCTCGAGGTACGCCCTCGAACAACTGCACACCCACGGCAAGGAGATAACCGTTGACGAAGAGAAGAACGAAGCTGCTCAAGACACCCTCAGGTCGGAGTCTGGAGAAGATGAGCACCAGAAGATTCCGAATGCCGCATGGGGAAGGCACGGGAAATGTTGGATGTCGACGGGTATCGCCCTCATGTGGACCTTTTTTGAGCCCGACCACGCCACAATCTACAACTATCAAAATTACCCAGCCTCCGACTTTGAATAGAATAGATTGCACTTTTGGGACTCTTGATGACAGTCGGGACAATCATCGGTGCGGTCCTCAAGCCGCCTCTTGCGAAGATATCGGACGTTATCGGACGGGCCAAGACATATATTGGCGTGATTGCTATGTCGTTTCGTACATTCTTTGTGCGTCCGCCAGGGAATTCGGTCAATATATAGGAGGCTACATCATCAATAATGTTGATCAGACTGGGATGCAGATCCTCAACCAGATCATTGTGGCAGACATTACATCTTCCAGATGGCGGGGTCTCGCCAACGGGCTAGTCAGCCTGCCCTTTATGATCATCCCGTGGTGTTCGGCATTTATCGTCGACAGCGTGCTCGCCAACATTGGTTGGCGTTGGGGGATAGGCATGTTCGCCATTATCATGCCGGCCTGCTCTCTCAGCGTCATCGGCCCTCTGGTCTGGTTCCAGCGTCGATTGGAGCGAGCCGGGGGGTGCGTGCGGACGAAGCCTTCAATCCGTGGATTCGGTTCCCAGATCGATTTTAGCGGGATGCTTCTGCTGCCGATAGCGCTTGCCGGAAACGCCAAAAGTCGCTGGAGTACACCGTGGGTTCCGACTTTGATTGCGAAGGAAGTCGCGTGCCTGGCTTTGTTGATATATTACGAGTCTCAAACAGCGACAAAGCCGGCCATGCCACCACGCTTGTTCAAGAGTATGCTTGGGCAACAGTAGTTCGCGAACTTGCGCCACGCGATACCACGTTCCTGGCATGCACGGCGGGATATGTGCAAGTTTTGACAGGTTCGGGCACGGGGTTGCTCATGTACCGTTCGAAACGATACAAGTGGCTGTTGCTGGTTGGGATCGTCATTCGACTTATCGGGTACGTATTCATGATACGCCTTCGAGGTGCAGACAACACTATGGCTGAAATTGTTGCTATGCAAGTCATCTAGGCCGCAGGCAGCGGAGCGGTTGGCACGGTCGTAATTGTCGTCGCACAGATCGTGGTTTCGAGGGCGGGATTGGCGCATTCCACGGCCCTGGAGCTTTTGTGCATCTATCTTGGTAACAGCGCAGGCTCGGCAGTTGCTGGCACTATTTACACCAGCCTCTTCAAGGAGCAGCTACGCCTCTGGATGGGTTTGGGTGCACCACAGGCAGCGATCAACAGTGTATATGACTCTATTACAGCTGTGGTCCCTCGGCCGGGAACAAGCAACAGCAACGCCATCAACCACGCCTATTCCGATATCCTGAGATTCATGACCATCGCAGCCTTGGTCGCATCCGCAATCCCGATGGTGATGATCTGGTTTCTGCCCAACCCTGAACTGAACGACAAACACAACCTGGCTGGTACTTTAGCAGAGACTGGCGAACCAGACACTCAACCTGATCTGGCTGACGAGACTCGGCCGCGCAAGTGGAAGCGAAGAATGCGTTGGTGACGGGACTTGGAGTTTCAGATGGGGAGGCAGAGTCCGTAGTCGTTGCATTTGGCTAGTCCGGCTCATGCTCTGTCGGTTATATTGTTGTGAATCGCAGATATTCCCTGAAGATAAGAAAAGAAACAGAAAAGTGCATATCTCGGGAGGGGGAGAAATAAGCAAATAAATGTCCATAGATTTCTACCTATTTAGTTGGTCACCACTAAGTGTATACCACCCATCAATCAAGTCCTTTTGTTACTACTCCGTAGGCATGTAACTACCGAGCCGTGTAGACACAGGGCGCCTAAATTCTACGATTTTCCTCAGACACCTTGATGTCGAGACTTCACCGATTGCAATCACTCACTCTCCCTTCAATGATAGTTTACAGTAAGTTGATGTTAAGGTAATGGCCGAGGTCGGCCTAGTAGCCTCATTGTTGGGCATCTCAACTTTCGGCATTCAATTGACAAGAACCCTCTACAACTTTGGCTCAACAGCTTCATCTGCCAGAGAGCAGACAGATTACATCGCTCGCCATGTCACACTCTACTCGGACGTACTCGACTTACTCGCTCAACGAATCGACGATGACGAACCAATTCACTCCCGCAAGGCTATAGACCTAGTTTATGACATTTATGATCAGTCCTGTGATCTGTTCAACAATATTAGAGATCTCCTGCCAGATAGGGCCGACAAGATAAGTTTTATGCAGAAGATTAAGTGGAACTTCAAGAAAACGAAGGTCGATCTACTCGTCTCTGAGATTGAGTACCTAAAAAGTACCGTTAATCTCCTGGTCAGCGTAGTACTGTATGCTGGCAGGAAGATACGAACGCGCGACCGCAAAAAAACAGTCGAAGAAAGCAGAAAAGGAGGCAAAGGCCCAATTTGCAAGAGCGCAGAATGCCATTGTGGAGCAAGTTAATGCGACCGCTATAAAAGAAAATCTCCAGGCCAAGATCGAGGAAGATGACCAAAATCCAGTCGAGAAGACAGCCGACACAAATGGCGACTGGAAGTCTGTGGCTGTCATCAAACATGCACCACATATTGCATAATTGATCAACAAAAATGCCATGGTTCGATTCAGGCAGTCGTTGGGACAGGCTAGGAATTTATCAGAGGAGCGAGGCCTAGTGATGTCAAACTCTATCGGCTTGGTGAAAGATCTACTCGACCAATGGACAAACTTAGCAGAAGACCGCACCGCGGCCACCACAGACGAAGCCGAGCCCTCAAAAACGCGAAGAGCAAACCAGCAGACACCGAAGGAAAGCAGTAACACCAAGAACAGGGCTGCAGAAGATGCACAAGACGTCTGGAGAAATAACTACTTTCAGTCACAAAAACGAGTGGGAGAGTTAGAAGCTGAACTGTCAAAGATGAAGACTGCTGAGACGAAGTTGGCATCTGGAAGGCCAGCTCCAGGAGACCATGATGAATATGAGACGAGAGGGTCTCCTCGAAAACCGTCTACTAAGATGTCTGCTACACCTACGAAAGGCTCGAATCGGAAGGATGGCGAGTCACAAGAACAAGGCTTCAGAGGATTACCTGACGGTGGTAATGGCCGCGGCACACGAACCTACCATTGCTCTACTGGTGGAGGACCATTCGGCTTCTCAGATCCAAATGCCGGCCGTTCCAGCAGCGGCTTTATTCCCCTTAAGCCAGAGATAAGAGAGGAGAGTCCACCAAGAACTAGGAACTATCCCGCAGCAACCTCGGCTAAATATCAGATTGGTGATCCGTATTCGGACCCTGAGGCTGATGATTATGAACGTACTTTCCGAGTCACAGGGTTCTATGATGGTTACGATAATCGTCGCTATCTTCGTAGGACAGAATCATTGCCGGAGCTCGGTACGAGACGCTATCATCCCAGCCCGGAGCCCACTAGCAGAGAAGTTCCTGATGGATCGGTGCTGCGCGAGAAGAATGTCGAGCATCCTCCGGCTGACACAAGGAAATCTGCTCGCGCTGCAACTCTGAGGCAAAATTCCATCGCAACGACGCAAAAAACCGAATCAGGTCGATTTGAGGACCGACCTTCACCACAATCACTACGCGATACTCCACCCAGTCGCGCTGCACTCAGTTACTGGCCTATCCATGTAGAATCGCCTCGACATTCTATGCGACCCAAGGAAACACTCGAACGTTCTCGGGCTGACGCAAAGAAATCTTCCCGCAGTGCTGCTTCCATGCAGGATCCTCCTGACTTGGACGCGGTAGTAGACCGGCGCCGACACAAGCAGACAAAGAGATCAGGGCACAGCTCTCACCCGAAATGAGTTTTGAGCTACGAGAACGGCCTGGCGCCGACCGAATGGACGCAATTCGTGCGTTCGTGACCTTTTTAAGACAGCTACATACAAAGTGCATGCAGTGTGAGCAATGCGAGGGATTAATTAGATGCCGCGAAAAGGGAAATACAACGCGCCCGCCCCACGCCTCTAGGGCCGCGTTAAGACACCCCCGTCCTCAAGTACCCTTACACCCGCGCAACTCCCCTCATCCGGCTTCTTTAGCTATGAGCAGCGACGAGCTGGTTAGTGGTAGGGGTACCGAGAACGCAGAAGTACCTCGTGCCTAGACTGGATTCAAAACCAGAGTTGGCCAAAGTCGGTTTTTTCCTGCCCGCGGTGACACTCGTTTTCGGCCACCACTTTATTATCCCTGTCATTATCTTTACCTGTTGTGTAGGTACTGTACCGAGTACGGAGCACGTGTGCCTTCTCTGGATGACGGGGACGGATGCCTCCTGGCTACCACTAGCCCGAGGGCTCGCTGCCTACCTAGGTCGCTATGAAGATATGTTAGTGAGTCGCATTTTACTCGTGCAAGGACCGCCATTGATGAGGATGGAGATGAGGATGAAGAAGACGATGATAGGCGCGCAAATTCGACAGGCTTCTGATCATCCACCCAACCCACTCTGGGCGCTGCATGAAAACCATAGGTACGAGCGTGACGGAAGGACCTATTTTGCGCGTCGCCGTGGCTTTTACCTTTCTCTGCGCCCCCTTCCCGAATTTTAAACTTTTCCTTTCCTCCAGCCTCAGCAACTTGTTTGGTTCCTACCGCTGGAGGTGCGTAATATTAGTTGGGTTGTTGGTTGTCGAATCCAGTCAGGGGGTGGGTGTGCCGTCTCGCCTAACCGCAGGCACAGGGTGAACCTAGCCCGCTAACTAACTACCCAGTACCGACTAGCGCTGATCTGACACCCTGATCCGGGGCCACGAATGGTAGATGGGCGTCCGTGGGCGGTCGGTTCCAGAGATTATATTAAACAACTTCAAAGGGGTGACCCTGATTCTCTTTTCTCCGCGCTGTGTTTTCTTCGTCCCAACGAACTTCGTATGCCGCGCTGGACTGGCCTAGGCTGGACTGGAACTGGGACTGAAACTGGAACTGGAACTGCTTGCTAAGTGACACAACACATTTTTTTCTCTCTGCTTGTTTTGGAGGAAGCAAGTCTGGTGGAAAAAAGGAACCGCCCACCTCCAGAATTCATCCACGTGCGAAATCGTTGCTTTCAGGATCAGGAAAAGAAAAGGAGGGGAAAGGGAAACATGATGGACACCTTGGTGCTCGCCAAAGTCCTTGGATTGGCCTCATCTGGCGTATTTGCAGGTTCTTAGACTCCTCCCCCTCCTCCCTCCTCCCTTCCCCCCTTTCCCATTTCGCCTCTTTTTCTGGGCGTCTGGGTGTACGGAGGTACATTCATTGTTCGTTCGGGCTAGATGAAGGCTGATCCTTCTCGCGTGGTCTCAATTTAGGATACACCTGGGCGCTGTCCCACGCTGCTGTGCCGGCGATACTGTTCGCTCCAGACGCATTGGCCGTTCGAGAATGGCGCTATCAGTACCTCATGGGGTTCCATGTCCGTGATTGATTGTCCCTTGCCCTTGTTACATTGGTTCAATCAGAGTTGAAGGTTTCTCTTCTGACGTGCGGCCTGGCAATATACACAGATCTCTAGGCCCATGTGTGTCATCAATGGCTTGTCCTTTGGGTACCTGGCATATCATGGTAAGGTTCTTTCTCGCCCGCCAGAATCCAGCATGGCCCTCTCTCCCTCTTCCCCTGCTTCAAACCCCCAAGCCCTCGTTTCGCCCTCTGAAATTGCTGATCCGGACGAACCGTTTAATAGCCCCCGAAGGATCCCTTCTTCGCTATCTCTACATCCTGGCTGCAACCGCAAGTGCCTCGGGCGTGCCCTACGCACTCACCTTTCTGCGTCGGACCAATGGTGCTCTGTCCCGAAAGGCGGACCGTCTCGCAGGTCCAGGCGGCGGAGAGATGGCGCTGACTTACGCCTTCAACGAGAAACGGAGCATCGACAGAGATAGGAAGATGAGCACCGAGGAGGCGATCAAGCGGTGGCAATGGCACAACTATGTGAGGACTTGGGTTTTGGTCTTGGGTACGGTCGCTGGGGCACTGGCCGTGGCGATGGACTGATGGGCATCGTTGAGGGAAGAGTTGTTTCTTCAGTGGCCTTGTTAGGATGAGCGTTGACAGTCGGCCCTGTGATTGTATCTTCAAACCGTCCTGGGGGTGAGCGATATCCTGTTTCATTGACACCTCATATATCTGCCGATTAGCGAAGAAGGGTATTGGAGTACTGACAGCGAGATATGAGCGATGAGGAGATAAGTTGTGATGAGCGTTATATGGTCGAGCTTGGACTACCTTGTGGGATCCGAACAGTAGCGGATGGATGTAGCACAGTGACGCTGCAGTGCGACACAAGGATCCACCGCCCGAGTCAGGTCCCTATCCCAGATTCATTTGCTTTTTTATCAAGTCGAAATCTGGCTGTCGCACCTGTGCACGAGAGAAAAGCATCGCCATATCGCCTGACCGAAGTCGTCAGCCCGGTCAGATGCCGCAGTTGAAGGCGTAGCATCATCACGGAGATGGCAAAGTGGAATTAATACAACTTGCTTTGTGCGTCTGGGCAGACTTCAAGTTTCCTGCACCATGAACTTTGACAAATTCCGCAGCGTTCAACCCGTTACAAGACACATCTGGATTGATCTGGTAGAGACAAGCGTGTAACCCTGAAAAATGAAATGATCATGGTTAAATAGATTATCTCCTCTTGTTTCAAACATCAGGTCTTTGGCATAAGTCCTCTTGGGTCCCATTTCCAGTGCCCGTTGCGACTGCAGCACAATTTCGACCCTCTCTCGGGCCGTGATTTCCTACATAACATCCATCCCTGGGAAGCGAGATAGTCTCTGTTTTATATTTTATCGGCAGTAGAGCCTATAGATGCTAAAGATGGTGTATTCCGAGTTGGATGCGCCATGGCGGAGATTTTACATCGCGCAAAAGATCGGTCAGTCGAGAAGGGCTGCCGAGCAGCGGTCCTATCGAATGACTGTGGACAGACTAGCGCAAGAAAGAACACCATGATTACAGAAAGATACTGTAAACGTTGATGCCTTAAGGTCATTTTGGCTGCATGATAATTTCATGACTCGTACCAAGCACGTGGTAGCCGAGATTGAGCCACGGCCGATAGTATGCAAAGGCACCGGTCTTTAATTTAGTCCAGGATCAACATCAATCGTGACCGCAGTGAAAGGACGGGGACCCTTGGGAAGCATAGAATGCATTGGTTGAACACATGAAACCTACATACGGATTTTGGGCATAAGTTTTTGCGGCATCTTTTTGCCGGAAGGTGCTGGTATTGTGCGCGTTCGTGTGAATCCAGAGGAGGTTAAGAGTGTGAATGTCTTGCTATAAAGAAATTTCGTCAAAACCAGACTTAGCTAAACAATGAGGAAACCCATCCAACAAGCTTTCGCCCTGGTGTGGTCACGAACTCGAGAACCTGCACTGTAACATTTCCAGTATAGGCATACCAGTTGCCCACCGCATCAATAGCATTCGCCAGGCCATTAGCAACTGGATTGTTGTCCTTTCTCAATGTGCCAGACACATAATCGAAGCCTGCCCTGTAAAGCTGATTCACACCTTGCTGTGCCGCTCCTGCTGGATTCGTGGCATAAGCTAGATACATTTTGATGAAGTTGGCGTTGGCTGAGTAGTCGAGGTTGGGCTCCGTTAGTATGTCTCCTCCAGGGGTCCAGTATAGGTCACCCTTCAAGAAGTCTGAGTCGACCATGAAGAATGGCGGACCATGCATTACCCTGAGCTTGGAATTGCGCGCGAATCTATCCAAGCCCCATCGACCATCGCCATTTTCGTAAATCACGAGATTGCCATCGTCTTGGAAAGACAGCCTCTTATTGTCCGCCTGAGCCATGTTCGTCATAGAGGCCCACCTGGCATCCGCGCCATTTTTGGCGTATACAACAAGGTTGCCGTCCGTTTGAATGAATATTTTCACTGCTTCTTTGGTGCTGGGAAAGTCGGCAACTGCAGGACCATTCCCTTTCCACGAGGGATTTTCTGAGGTAGCGTAGACGTTCTCCTTCCAGTTTTTGGAGATAATTCTTGCTGTGTCGCCATATCTGATGAAATCGAGAATGATAAGGCCAAGGTGGTTCTTTTCAGGATCCACTTGACTATTGTCGCTAGAGAGATACTGACGAAGCCGCCAATTTACATTGGCGGCATATGCAATTGGAGGATTTTCTCCCTTCTGTACCCCAGTGTCCGCCAGATTGCTGATGTAAAGGATGCCGTCGGAAGATGGCTGGCTCCTTGCATGGTTCATGTTGAGAAGGGCTCTATTCCACCGACTTTCAAATGGGATTCCAGCCTCTGCTGGATTATCCGTTTGTAGCCATGGGGCTGCTGCTTTGTCCCCGGCTGATTTTGAGCCATAAAAGCCCATACAGTCTATCCCGATTTCATCTTTGCCTTCTGAGTCAAAGCGACGAAGGAGGATGGCTTTGCCCCGAGCTGTCTTGAGATTCGGCCACGTCTTTTGCTTATACCAGTCGTTTCTCTCCCATGTATTCCAGACAAAGTCGCGGAGGCTTTGGTCATGAGAGCTTTTGGGATCGTCCCACTTGATGCTCACAAGCACTGTTTCACTCGAGTGAGCACGAAGAAATTCTCTTATTTCTCCGAGCACATCAGACAAATGGCCGGACAATGTGATGTATCCGTGAACCATGGAAAGGCTGGGATCGCCTACCCGCAGGTCAAGGTACCGGACACCGAGCTCTAGCTGACGGGTAACACTGTGAAACTGACAGACGGCCAAGAGTTGCATAAGTTCTGGCGTGTTCTCTTTGGTAGCATGGCTATCATGGGTGCCGGGCAGAGTAAGTCGTGTGATGCTATAGTCATCCGGTATGTACTTCATCCACTCGCTAAACTCCTTTTTAGCCCTATCGTGATCGCCCTTGGGCATTTTGAAAGATATTCGAGAAGAGAGGTTGTTTTTCTGGACGGAAGCGCTCTCAACGATAACACTCCAGCCAGAAGAATGCCTGTCTCAGTTGATGTGCTGATATCTCCCAGAGGGACCAAGAATTATATTCGTCAGGCGAAGGTAGCTGAGACTGCCCATTTCTTGGATGAGAGTCTTGTTTTTGCCTAGATTTGCTTGGTATAGCGCTTGGGTAGCTAAGGCCGCCACAAAATCGTTTATCTGTCGAGCTGACTATCGGAGCCGTTCAAACTAACCGCAAGTATCCAATTTTGGACGGAAATCAGAGATCTAATAGCTAGTGTGATCGAGAAAGACGAAAGGCTGAAGGAGAGGTGCATGAGCTGAATTGCACAAGCGAGAATACGATACGTTGAGTGGTCCATTCCTGGGTCCTTTAAGGGGTCCATCAGGGCCTAGACTTGGATCCGCACTGCTCACCCTACCACTTGGAGGGCAGAAATGCGGCGGACGGGAAGCTCATCTTGAAAGTCCCTACACAATCTGAACGACTGTCTGCACAATACCCGAGAAAGCTGCATTCCAATGTCAATAATAGGCATGAGACTAAATCAAGGTCTACCAAAGACGTTTGAAGCTGAGCTTCATGTGCATTGGCTGTTTCAAGATGCTCGAGATGTGCGGCTTCAGCGACACAAGTTGAGACGAGGTGACCACGGCGCTTTCCATGACAAATGATAAGGCGGACGTGAGAGAGAGATAGCGCCTAGCCGCATGGGAACGAAGACAGGGCGAGCTGAAAAAAAAAAGAGACTCGAGACAAAAACGGGGACCTCGCACAAAGCCTACTTTGTTTTGAGACACAAGTTACTCAAGGGTGTAACGTGAGCTGTGAGCAAACAGTTTGAGCCGTGGCTGAGATGGACTGAGCTCGTTATAAGCTAAGTTAATTCAGCGTGGGCATGCTTGACTGAAGCCTAAGCAACTTTGATCGTACCTGATTTTGTCTTCGAGTAGCGTGAAGAGGGTCTGAATTTGAGCCCAAACTGCTGCTCAACAGAGGTGAGAAAATCCCAAGACTCGCAGGTCCCATTTTCGGCCGGCGAGCCCAACGTAGCCCCTTTTAGCCGTCCAGGGTCAATATCAAGCCGTGTCCTACCATTCACATCATGCCATTTGCTGGCCACCTATTCATCCAGTTTGATCTCTTGCTAGATTTTGTACTGTTTGCAACTTCATGGGAACCGAGACGCTGTAGATGAGACCAGCGTTAATGTCTTGTATCGAACATCGGACCGCAAGATATGTTGTTGTTGGATGGCCGCATTTTTGTATCAAGATCGGTATAAGTAACATTCACTTGTGGCATGAACAATCTGACAGTCACGTATATCAATCAAGGGCGGTGGGATGAGGCGGTAGACCTATTCACGCAGGTGTTGGGGGGCTCGCAAGACCAAGCTCGGGGCGGACCATCCTTCGACGCTGATCAACATGACGAACCTTGTATTCACGTGGAAAGGACAAGGTCACAAGGATGCAGCTATTACCTTGGTGAGTGTGTTCGTGTAGGTGGCAGGATCAAGACTCTGTGAATGCGTGCCTCTGTTTACAATTACTTCTAGAGAAGTCTTGGATGGTCCGTAATTAGAGAACCTAGATATGACCAAAGCAACATGAGCGGAAGCCATTAGAGTGTAGTTCCAAAGATCGTCATCACGTGCCGACTCTACTGATGTTGATACCTGAGATGCGAGACACGAGTGTTCCATGTGGCCAAATGGCATATCAGGGCCGCTGCACGCTCTATGCGAGTCATACGATTTGCAGCAGTCACCTGTAATTATTGATATCTTTCTAACGCTAGTATCAAGCGGTTCTTCCTTTGATATCACATAAATTGTACCCAAAGTTTGCCCTGAGAAAGGGCGATTCGGCCCAGTGACAGTGGGATGGGTTAAGCGCCTCCAAAATGAGTATATATCTTAACCTGTACTGCAGTGTGGCGGCACGGATTTAGGTATTCATAAGTCAAATGAACAGAAACAAGCGTCTCAGATTGTACAAAACTGCATTTTTGGGTATTAGCGCTGGGATGTAGAGAACTGACGTTGAAAATGGTGAGGAGGCTTTCGTTCCCAGGGCCTTTCGCTTATGTACCAAGCATGGATTTTAGTATCATGATAGTATGCTACTATCTCTTGAAACAAGGAATTAATCGGTGCATCCTAGTGCATGCCGCTACCTCCATCGGTATTATTGCAAACTGTGTTTTAGGTGCGTGTCCAGCTACTAAATCTTCAGGTGCAAAATTAACGAACCTTCATGAAATACGTTGATATATTCTCATGGAGCACTGGAACAGCTCTATTGCAGCGTATTTATGGCTCCCAATGCTTTCGGGGCAAGTCTGACTGAACGGCTATCTCTTCACCGTTGGGCCATATCGAATTCGGTGAGGATATCACAATTAGAGGAAACTGGCTGGAGGGCTTGGGGCCCCCGATTTGGACTTATTACCGAATCTAGTTCTTCGAGCGCGATTCCTATTCCATCCGGATAGTCTCATACTGTATTTGTAATGCGAGGTGGATTCCTCGTTTCGATTGATCGCACCACAAAATCGTCGGTCTGGACATTCTCTCAATATCTGTGGTAGAGGTTATACCGGGAGTTGGACCGTAAGAAACAGATTAATTGTTTTGTTTCTTTACTTTTATACACTCATATTTAGTGAGGACTTTCACCAAGAGCACCTGCCATGGCTTGCTCCTAGACTCCGGTGGAGGAAAAGAAAGAGAGAACAAATACGAAAGAAAAAACAAACTTCAACCGTAGCTAGCGCCGGTTGCAGCGCGAGCACCCTGTTTGCTCCTGCTGAGTGAGCTTAGGTATTAGCCGAGCACGTCGTAATAGGTTTGAGGGAGATAGTTTTTTTTTTTTTTTTTTTTTTTTTTTTTTACTAGAAGAGAAAAAGTAAATGTGCGCCAGAAAAAGAAATAGAGAGGGAGCTGGAGGCTTACTTTTTCAAACGAGGACATTCTTCAGATTCAATACTCCCACGCCCCCTTTCTCTCCGAGTCACCGTATTGCCGTTTTGTTTTCTCCTTTTCCTGCAACGAACTGGCTACTGTTCTTTCCTGTTTTAACGTTCCCGACGATAAACAAGAGCCGTTTGACGAAGATGTAGGGGGAATAGGGGGCAGAAGGATGTGGTTTCAACGCGTTAGCCGTCCCCTCTCACTCTCGGACTCGCCGACATCGGGTTTATTTCATGGTCTCTTCCAGTCTTGCAATTGGGCTTTGGACTTGCACTGCTGCGTGTCCGAACTTAGAACCAGTGCTAGATATTGATTATCCTTTATACAGAAACCACGGCCACGGCAATATGACCTCTTGCGGGTTAATATGATCAACAAACCAAAGACCGTTGACCCACAACCTAGTCCTAAGGAGAGGAATGCGGTCGTCTGCGTGCCCACTTGTAACCACTTGCAGTGATACATACTTATCAAGGGGTCGACTTCGAGATCCAGACGACCTGCCTCCTGCAGGCTCACAGCTGGTAAATATCTGCGAGCGTGTGGGATGGCGTGTGGTTGCAACGAAAACCGCCCAGATTTGATCATGGCCTGCGAGCCGAGCGAGGATGAGCGGTCGGCCGGCTTCCACCGCCTCGGCGACTGCCTCAGCCATACTCTCAAATATGTCCCGCAGGCCCGCTGTCTTCATATTGCTAGGCATTGTACCTTCCAGGTATTTCCTAATGTTATCAGCTAATTGACGATACGAACCATGTAGCTGTTTGGCGAATTGACGGAGGATGTCTTGATGCCATTGTGCTCCCTTTCCTGACGACACAAGACATCTCGGCATGAAAATCTTGCATCTTGTCCAGAAATAACCAGTCGTCTTGATTCCTTCTTCGGACAGCACAACATCACTCAGTCGGCAACGTTTCATAAAGGTTAACTTCCTATCGTCTCTTGGCGGATCAAACCCTTGGAAAGACTGTCTTTTGAGAAAGTCAACGACGGTGCATGGGAAATCTTTATTCGTGTCATTGCGAAGAATTTCGCCATTGAGGACGAATAAAGCAAGAATTGCCAGACTCAAACTACGCAACCCGGCCTTGTTGAGGCTCTCGACATCTAACCGTGTTGCGTATCCACAGCAGTTCGCAACGATTGCCAAAGTATCTGACGGTATCTCAGCTGAACGACGAGAGATATCTGCCAAGATTCTTGTAGACATTGCCCGACCGTCGCTATAGTCGCCGACTATCCATCCATACTTCTGTAGCATATTGTATTTCTTTGCTCGTCTCAATACCAATCCGCATCGCCATTTCTCCCTTGTCGAAGTCCAGATTCTTTGGCGGTAACAGGCAATACAGAACAGAGTAACCTGTTGGCGGAAACGAGCAGCGTTGATGGAAAGCTCCCCATTGATATTGCCGAATATCTGTCTCCCATATGCTTTTCTCAATCCAAGCGTGTGGGGAATCAAAAGACGCATGCGGTCCATAGCACAGTATTCCTCCTGAAAAATCCAGCGGCGATCCCACCAAGGATCACACATGATTCTGAAAAGGACATCTAGCATGTCTCGGGCTTGCTCAACGTTGACCTCAGCAGCAAGCTTGGGGCCATGTAATGACCACTGCTGGATAACAAGTTCTCCATTCAGCAGCTCGAGCAAGCAATTGATTTCTCGTTGATACCGCACAGGAGTTGACAACACACCAACAGGATATTGACTGCGGCGGTAAATCATGTCCATAGACTGCATGGCAGCAATTTTTGCCTTTTCGTCTTTCTGATTGATACATTCTTGATCAATCCAAAATGCTGGTATATTGCCAGAGACGGTGTACCTGATTACACGATCAAGAATAACATCTCGTACTTCAGAGATCTTAGGTCTGCCGGAATGTTCTGGCATGATGCGATATCCTCCAGCCGTATCACTTTCATATGGAGACGGTTTCCACGCATACGAGACTGCAGCGAACTTGCCATCATCTTCTGGCAAAGTGACTTTGAATAAGGTTCGATCAGGACTTTTGAGAGCTTGCTGCGTTGGTGCCGACAAACATTGCAACGACCGCACCTGCGTGAAATCTCGTGGACAGTTTGTTTGGTACTTCTGGATTCCGAGCAGCTCACACACCAATGATGTTGGTCGTGAAGCGCGAAGCTCGTCAAGATCGCGACCTATGTCGTCATTCATGTCAGCAGAAAGCGTGATTCCAACCTCAAAACGTTAAGAAGGTTCCGTGTGGACTCGTCAAGTATCGATAGGAAAATCAAAACTGTGCATGCTTATGTTACTTGGAGCTTTCAAGGGCCCAGAAAGCTAAATAGGCGAAGTGGTGCCGCGTATTCATTCAACGGTCAGGTGTGTTGCACGGCTCCCAAGCTCCGAAGGAGACAAAAAGTCGCTCGCCAGCTGGCACCTATGTTGCAATATAAATTTCTTGATGCATTGGAGGGTAGAAATCCACGATGAGGCTATTACAATGAGGCTCGCACACTGGGTCGCCATCAGCGAATCAAGTCTTCATATGCCGGCTTTTGCTTTACCAGGCTTAGCAGACTCTACTAGCGGCTGTTGCCTAGTTTCCAGCCTTGCTGCTCTTCCGAGTTCAAGCTCCGAACTAAAGGTCCTGCAAATCGGAAGATGTTCCCCGAAATGGATGAGGGTAACACATTTCAACCAATATGACCGCCCCTGCCGACTCCGGTTCTCGTCTCGGTGCCAAAATACGAGCCCTTGTACAATCTTCGACAAAGTGCTTCGAAATTGGCTTCGCCCCGACATCCAACAATGGATGCACAGATGAAACATAGTAGAAAGTGGAAAAAGGCGGGGTGCTTGTGGATAGCATGAGAGCGTAGCCGGGGGCCACTGACCATTATTCGAATACGCGTTTGCTCCGCAGACTTACCTCTCTTTTACGAAATACGCCGTACCCGGCTTTGTTATTTTTAGTTCATTTTCGTATCCCTAGCTCAGCCCCGGCTACAGACATACTTTGATCGAGAACAAAATGGACTTCGAAAAAGACACGCGACAACTAGTTGGCAGACTCAAAACCTTCATTCTCGCAGAGCAATGGATAAGGGGACTAAGTTAGACGTGATTATAGTAAGTCCACCAAGAGAGAGGGGGTGCCGATATATAGGTATCTTGCGTCCATATGTTCCGCAGAACCATGAGGAATGGCCCGTTAATACCACGGATATAGGTAGGAGGCTCGATTGCGGGCCTCTGTGCGGGCGTCGCATTGAAAACGCTTCCTCAGATCCGATCGATCACCGTCTTAGAACGAAGCAACTCAGGCCAGTTGCTAGACCAAGGGGCGGGAATTCGAGTCGGCGACGAAGTTTCAGAATTCCTTGAGAAATATGCTGGGGTATTGATGAGCAACTATGGGATTCCTCTCAACTCCTACAACATTCTGGATACCAAGGGTGCAATACTCAGAAAGAGACCGGTTTTTCGCAATTGTGCGACAACATGGATTCAGCTATTCCGCGTCCTGATGTTGGCGTTCAACGAAGAAAGCTGCGAGAAGTCAGCCATCTGCAGATACCGCTATGCAATGTACAAAACATCATTGACCTCGGCGAACAGGGCGAGGTTTGTGTCACAAATGATGAAGGCCAAAGCGAGACACTAGTGGCAGATTTGATCATCGGTGCTGATGGCACTTCATCGACGGTCCATAGCATCGTGCTTCCACAGACGAAGCGAACGTACGCTGGATACGTACTCGTGCGTGGCCTTGTGCCAACTGAAGAGCTTTCGGACGATGCAATCAGAGTCATGGACTTTTCTGCAACATTGTGCTGGAACCGTAACTCTCAAATGCTATCATATACCGTTCCGGCACGCAAAGATGGTCCGCCCAACTCCCACAATTTTCTGAATTGGGGTTGGTACGTGAAGAAGACGGAGGAAGAATTGAATGAACTGATGACGGACGGCGACGGCCAAAGACATCACTACACTCTACCACAAGGAGGCATGCGAGCGCACCTGGCTGACGAGATCAGAATGACGGCGCAAGATGAGCTCTCACCTCAGTTTGCAGAGGCTGTAGAGAAAACTAAGTTGCCGTTCGTTCAAGTCGTCACAGATTCTGGGGCACCAAGTAATGTGTTCTCAGATGGCAAGATCCTTCTCGTCGGGGATGCGGCCGGAGGTCAAAGACCGCATGCAGGTTCAGCTGTCACTATGGCCTGTTTCCACGCACACCTTCTCAGGCTGCTTCTGCAGGGCCTAATGTCCCTTGACGAATGGAGTCGGGAAACACAGTTCGTCTCTTCCGCATTAGTAAAGGCTGGTCAAGAGCTAGGGTCGATTTGCCTCTCGACGGACCTCGACCCAAGCGAGAAGGCGAAGTCATTTCTTGGAGGTTCGTTAGCCGCGCAGAAATTGCTAACTGAGAAGTGGATGCAGTTTTGGAAGGAGAATAAATGAGCATGAATTCTCTTATTGACGGTTGCGATTGGCATTTCGCATATGAAACATGTTGAAAGCAAAGTTGGGCGACTAATGTAGTAGAGATTCAGTGGCTCCTTATAAATATCCTTAGAATAATCTGTAAATAAGCTCATTGCTCCACATATATCTCTGGCTTCGTGAACTATGGGCTCGCTCCCGATATTTTGCCCTGGTGGCTTTGGCTACAAGCAAGCTCATGTCAGGCGTCCGAATCATACAAGATAATGAGAAGGCGAGCTTTGCGGTACCTACAGATATAGTGTAACAAGGCAAACTGGCTGTGCTGTGCTGGGCTGGTAGAGCGGTGGCAGGGAGGAAAAGTTGTCTAGTCACATGTCAAACCTAAATGGGCTGGCAGAGAAGGGGGTGCGGAACAGTTTACAGTGCTGGCAGTGTGCCATTCATTACAGTTTGAGCAGAGTATCATGAATTCTATGGCTTTTTGGCGCCGTCTACCTAATTCCTGAGTGTTTTCATCAGTCCTGTCCTGTTCCTCGATACTGTCGCTGTGCTAGGTGTTCGTAGCCCTAGCCGCTGCCCCTCTGGGTGGTGTTGGTGGTGGAGTCTTGTCAGTATCAACCAGAAACGCGTTCTCGATTCCCGATCTGCTGGACAGGCCTCTGTGCGTTGTTGCACGTGCACGCCGAACCCTGAAGTGCTCTGTTACAATAGTACTGATTCGAAGGGGTGTGTTCGCATCGCCTCTGAGATGTGAAGACAATCATCTGAGCAGCCACATCTGAGAGCAGCCACATTGAGGGATCTGATGAGGAGGAGATAGAGATCATCCGGGGAATTGCCCAAGCACTAGAAGTATCTTCAAGTCACTCTATGTAGCAAAAGCTATTGCTGCGCTCTGCATAGAGCAAAACCGCACCACGATCATCGACTCTACTATCGAAGAACTCCCGGGTCGCAGTCTCAAGTGTACATTTACCATCCATACATCCGGCAACGAGACCTGGTGCGAGGCTGCCATCGGAAGCGAGTATTTTGTCTCTTTCCTTGGTACTCCTATAAGCACAGAGCAGTCCAACATTTCTTCAACGCGGAAAATCGTTGGGAAAAGCGTCGCTCTTCTAACTTTGCGTCACGTATCCCTATCGGACGGGGAAAAGGTCACTTTCAAACTTGCTGCACAGTTTGCTGTCACAGATGCGCTCCGTCCTAAAGCTCCTTGCTCTACCCAAGCAAGGATTAAGAACCTGGATGATCCCAGGTGACAACGCCAGAACTGCTATAGTAGTGGGTATCCCAGCCTTCAATATCATTGCCGGAGTTCTCCCTTCGGAGAAAGCTGATCGGATCCATTGGCTACAAGGCTCTGCCGATAAACGCAATGGGAAGGCGGGAAGAGCAATGGTGGCTATGGCGATGAGTTCTTTGAGCGTCATCTGCTCAAGTCTGATACTGAGGACGGTTGTTTCCTATCATTGGGTCTAAAGAAGCCAGGAAAACAAAGCACAGATAAAGTCTGGCCAGGCTTTTTGGTTCAGTCAACACGGTATGGTAAAGGCAAATCTGCAACAGATTTCGACCGTCAAGCCCATTGCTCAGTATGCAGTTGTCCTTATCTGATGGTAAAGAAAGGAGCTAGAAATATCTCCAACTCCATGCCGACAATGGAGCAAATACCAGGTGGGTATTACCCCTCGCCTGAGCTGTTTTTTTTATTTTCAGTTCCAACGATCGATTGTGACAGCATCATGCTAAGTATCTGCCTGTAAATACTGACCCGCAGATGCTTTTTCCTCAATATTCTTGGAATGCGGCTCCCTTGTAGCTGCATGAAATATTCGGCAAGTCGCTTAATCACGACTGTCCTGCATTTTCTTGGACATGCGCTACCGCGTCTGGCACATTAGATGTAAGTTTTCTACCACTGACTTTGCCCTCCATCATCAAATCCAGGGCTTTTTGCGCCTGGCCCAACCCACCATCAATCCACTGTGGCCTTGTAGGTACAATGATGCCCGTCTGCAGCCCTCTCGGCACCAGTTCGGTGTAGAACCATGCTCTGAATTTTTGGTGCTCCGGCTTGTCAAGTGCTAAGCTGTAAGGCGCGAACCTGAGCTGCACATCAGCGGTAAGGGCTTGTCCGGACTGAGCAGCGAGTAATACGTTCCACCACCAATCGAATGTAAGTATTCGGCGAGCAGATCGGTTACGGGTGGAAGGCCGATGGCATCAAAGATGGCTTCATATGGACCGTGAGATCGAATGTTGCTCAACACATGTTCGCTAGGCTGGGAGTGGTCGACGACGATTGACGGACCTAGAGACTGCACAAAGTCTTTATTCTTCGGCGACGATGTCGTAGTGACCTTGTATCCAGCTGCAGTAGCATAGCTCGTAGCAAGTCCACCGGCCGAGCTAGAACCACCGTATATTAAGATTTTTTTGCCGTTCAACCTTCGCCTTGCTTGTAAGCGATGGACGGTCAAGACCCATGTAGATTGACAGGGCAGCTGCGACAGCAGCAAGATTAAGAATGGATGTTGCACCGCTTTCGAGAGCGACCCCGTCGGCGAGTTTGGAAGTCGAAGTCTGTGATGCGAGAGCGTACTGCTGGTATGCTCCAAAACGAGGATCGGCAGCCTTGGGCCCATCGCGGATAGTCGCGACTCTATCGCCTGGCTTGAAATCGGCCACGTCGGGTCCAACGCTCTCGACTATTCCAGCGAAGGACATACCGAGGATGTTGGGATATGTAATAGGAATAAGAGCCAACCTGAATGGTTAGCTGTGCCCGCTTACTGGAGAAGAGATGATCTCACTTTTGTATTTTCGCCTCAAGTGGAGAGAAGCCAATGACCTTGACTTTGACCAGCAATTCGCCTGGGCCAGGAGTTGGAGTTGGAGCTACGTCAACCACTAGGTTGGCATGCTGCTCTTTTGATCCAGGCTGCTTGGTGGCTCATTTTGTAATTAAGGATATACTGAATGCTCTTTATGAATGGTGCTGCTGTGCTTTTTCGGTTGAAAAGACCCTTCCGCCAGGGTAGAGAGAGAAGTCTTATAGAAAATTAGATGGTCTGTTGTGAGTAGTGCCCTCGTAAGGCAGACCGCCATCGAGGTGCGACTACATCGCAAAACATGTTTAAAGCACGATATATTTGTCATCGCCGGATTCGAAAGTCACCGAGGCCCGAGTGGCGATTGATTGTTTGATAAGTACATCTTCCCAGTATGATAGTAGTTGAAATTCTATGGCGTATTGAGCGAAGGTGTGCATCAAAAGTGTTGGCAGTACGCCAACACTTCCTATATGCAATTAAGAATTTGATGTGACCATTAAGGTGTTATCTCCGGGTAGCGGCCTAAAATGGCCATGCCTAAAGAGGCTAGCCATGAGATACCACTTCTTATTGGCCAGTTCTTGGTCATGTCCCAGCTTCCCTGTGTGAATTTCGAGACCGCTAAGTTCTGCTGATATCATTGTGAAGGCTTGGGTTGTTTTTACGGACCTTCGCAATTGCGCCTTCACCGCTAGATACCCTCGCGTAATAATCGCACTACATTTTTTGATCCACAGATCTCCAACCTTGACCACAGCCAATCTAGCATTCGCTACTCTTAACTACCCGATGAAAATTGACATTGTCATGGCATTCGAGCAAGAGCTACAACACAATACATGCAATGGCCTTTGTTACTGTAAATATAGATGAATGAGATGCATTTTTGTCAAACTGGCGTATCTTGGTGTAGTCCGGGAAGTCCTGTGGCTTCGCGGCAACTGATTCTGCAGCCATTTTCCAACAGTTCCTGCGCAGATTTTACTTTTGGAGAGGCTGAAGCAGAGTGTCAAAGGACAAATACCGGTAGGGATTTCTTGCACTTACCAGTTTTCAGCCTTAAGGAATACAACCTAACTAACGTGCATCCCTACATACCGACGAGTATCTGGGCGAAGAATCCAAGCGAAATACCTCGAGCAAAGACAAGCCCCGCTCAGAAATCTCTATACAATGCGAGCTTTTAGAACCTGAGCAGGACCCTCTTTTGTATCTATATCTACAGCAACAGCTCAGGTCTCTCGTTGCTCTTGTTCCATCGAGCATCCATTACATTAGGGAGTCCAACAAAGGGTCGCATCAGTCATGCAGTTGGCAAATTAACTGATGCATCGCTTGCAATCCGGGCCTAAGTCAACTAAGAAATCGAGACAGCTAATCGAAGAGCAGGAGAGTAAAATCACGAGCCGAGAAATGCCGATTATTGTACTTTGCCCTTTTTAGATCAAGCCAGCGCTTATCTGGGGGTGGCTTAGGCCGCGATGGCCTGGTGGGATTCAGGTGGAGAGTAATAAGTATGGCTCTCCGGCAGAGACAAGAGAGCTTAACAGAGATTTTTGAGCATTGCAAAACCTTTAAAAATCCAAAACCACTCGTAGAGCTCGCTGATAAAAGCCAGTCATCGAGTATAAGTGCATCAGCACCTCCAGTAAAACCAATGTCTCTTCGCGGCCGATTGCCGAGTTCAGTTGTTCAGTAACACCTGAACCACTCTCGAATTTATTGTGTCCAAGCCTGCTATAATTGAACTGAAGGAGCGAGGTGTTGAAGTGGGGCTATGAAAACTCAATGGAAATCGGAACCGAACGTCACTCACTCTGTATAAGGCCGACTTGGACGAGGAGAAATCGGTTTTCATGGTAATTGAAGGCTCTAATTGTATTTTTGATGTCACTAACTGCAGGTGGTCGCATGCGATTACTGCATTGATTTCTAATGCTCGTTAGACTAGGAAAATGCATCCAAGGATATTAGTCAACCAAGGCAAGAACATTGTCGGAGCCTTCAAAGGCCACTAATAGAGACAGATTTATCTGATCTTCTCTTGTCGACGTCGACGAGAGTAAGTGTCTTCCGAGAGGAGATTATCCAAAACCATTCTGATCGAATCGCAGCTACCGGCGGTAGGATTTGCACTATCCACCACTTTGACAGCAAAGCAAAAATCGAACACACCAGATTGGTTAGTGTTCTCGGATCATGCTTTATGCCGGCCATGCTGGGGTCGGCCATTCCCGAGCGCATCTAAGAAGGTGGATTAATCTCATCGAAGACAAGACCTGCGTGCTGGCTTCAACAGGATGGCAATGGAGAATATGCGCTGAACCTCCCGTTCACTCCCAACACCAAGGTCCCTCTGCTCGACCCTGGCAACGGAATCGGGATATTGGTCGCAGCAATCTTGCTTGATCCACAAGAGACCTTGAACAGGCAGATCAATGGTTGGAGTGGCTATTTCCTGGTTAGCCGGCTGTCGGAGGACTTCGAAGCGGCTACTACACAGAAGGTTCAGCTGAACACTCTGCCAATGGATACGTGGGCATCATTAGGTGAATTGAAGGGAAACTTCCAGCTCGTCATTCCTCCAGCATACTATATTTGTGAGCTAGCGGACGCGGTTGATAAGAGATTGAACCTGGTGGCCCAGTCTGGATTACGGAAGCTACTCAGCTGGAAGGACTATGCCGCCGAGCAGTTCAAGGCTTGAAGACAAAAGTCATATGAAAGTAGTGTTTGCTTCTCAGAGTATTCATCTAAAGTATAATTAAGGCTTTGTTCGAGGTTGATATGCCCGTGTGGTTTCCGACATTGCCGGCCCCTTTAACTTCCTCCAAGGTAAAGGGCACCCGCGGAGTGGCTTATGAAAACGTGCTTATCAAGCGGGAAATAGAGACTGAAATCGTACGTATCTTGTTGAAATGGCACGAAATCCAACGACAATCCGAAGTTTGGCAAGACAATTAACGCCAATTACAACAGTAGTATTTCCACAGTTGTGAAAATCGATGAATTTTGAGGGCTCTAATCTCCTTAACGCCACCAGGGCAACTACCTGGCGTATATATCGAGCTACACTGAATAAGGGGTGAGATAGGATACAACATGCTCATCTAGAGGTAGTGGAACCACAGAATAAGTAGATAGGAATGAGCGGATTCAAGCGACATAACCCTCAGCGAAAAGTAGCGGCTAATGAAACCAAAATACTAGCACGATATTTCTTTGAAGCTGAGATGGTGAACACCGGTCGCGCCAGTCGAGCCTGCGATCCATGTAAGGCGAGGCACACTAAGGTAGCGATCCGACCTTTAAATTAGGCTCTTGCTGACGCGCAGTTGTTGAAAGTGTGACGAACGGCGTCCGGTGAGTAGCTTCATTCGGTACCTAAGCACAGGCGCTACTTACATTTCAACAGCAGTGCTCTCGCTGCGAAAGAGCTGGTCGAGAATGCACAGGATACAAGAACGACTTCGATATCAATCTCCGAAATGAGACCCACGTCGTGGCCCGGCGTGTGCGTGCTCGCGAGGTTCACTTTCAGAACCTCCAGAATTCATTGTCCACTCCCTATGAACAACAAGCAGGAGCATTGTTCCCTGAAAACTTTGTTCTGGATCCTCCCGACGCAAGACACTCCAAAGGCTTTCTCATCAGCCTGCTGCCCTTGTTACGAACCGCAAAATCGAACTCTCTCCTTTCGGGTGCTGTTGATGCGGTGGGGTTATGCTTCCTCGCAACAAATATGGTGAACAAATCGATTGCTTTGCGAGCGGCACGGAGTTATCTTCGCTCTTTGATCCGTTTGCAGACGACGCTGTATCACGATGTCGATTGTATTTCCACCGAGACGATGATATCAGTGTATTTAATGGGATTTTACGAGGTATATGTTCCTCAAAGGGCATTGGCCTTCCCTCGATGTTCCTCCGGGCTAAACTCAAGACCTCAGATGATGAAGCCTCCGCAAAAGACCGTTCACCCTTGGTTAGCTCATCTCCAGGGTCTCACCTCAATTATAAAGGCACGTAACAAAAAGGCCGGCCTCTGCTTTCCTGGCATCGGTTTCTTCATTGCGCTAGACGGCGCTCATGATAGATCAGCTTGGGCTATAAATCACAACACCCCTGTCGATGGATGGTTTACTGACAATTCAGATCACAATGGAAGAATTCTTTACAGTGAGTTTGTTACGGAACATGCACTGAAACCTAAGACGGTTGCGAATGGCCAATCTATAAGCGCCTCACTTGACGATCTGATTCTGCGAACACAGCCCATCCTGCAGGTGGCGCCATCATTGTTCGAGAGCTCTCACCCTGGGGCAAAGGAAAATGTCGAACATCTCCTTGCGGCAGCGCGTTCACAACTATCAAGCTTCAGAGATTGGCCATCAAGAATACCTGATTACTGGCAACCCAAAACAATCCATCATCAGATCGAAGAACCTGAAGTTTCTGAGCTGGGGATTTTTCCCGGCAGGGTTGACGTTTATCAAAGCTGTCCGTGGTTCGCATATCTCAACGCAGAAACTGGACTGGCCGGGACATAGTGTATGTAGCTGCTGCGTGGAATACATATCGCACAACACTTTTGTGGCTATGCGACGTGATTGCACAATGTGGTGAATACCTAGAGACTGACACCATGCCATTTCGAGAGACCGAGGAATATCAGGCGCTGCGGACGATGCTAGGAAGACAGGCGAAGACATATGCTCGTCAGTCGCCTACCACATCAACAACGACTGGGTGAACCGCATCGCAACCGCGAGCTTTCGTTCGTCTCCAAAAGCTTTAGGCGGCCTTTTGATGATCTGGCCGCTCTATGGGGGAAGCATTCTGTCAATTGTGCCAGATATATATCGCGCCTGGATGACGCAGAAACTTCGATCAATTGGCATTTCGATGGGACTGGCGCAGGCCATCGTACTCGCCGACACAGTAGATTCGCGGAGAAGCACGGACCCTTTCAAACCGCTTATCATTGCTCAGGGCCATGTATTTATATGGAGCGCGAGCATGTTCTAAAGTGCTTGAAAGGCCCCAGTCTACTTGATAAAGCAATGAAGGATCAGATCGTGCAAAACTATGCCAGAACTAGTAATTACCCCTTTCTTCGACCGCATTCAAGTTCTCGTGCGACCTTAGATGATCCTGGGGGGGGGGTCGGTCAGGAGTGATCACGCAAAGCAGGTGCACGCGTGACCACGTGACAAGCCTCCGTAGGAACTGCGTGATCCTCGTATTAATGAGTTAATGATGCCGACTCCGCCCCCTTTCAGTTCCCAATTTTAATTTAGGGACGGCAGCTAAAATAGGTTACAAAAACCTGCTCACGAATCTTGGAATCTTGCTCTCTCAACCTCATTCATCCCCCTCGACATCCCTGCCCAGCCACATTATAAAAGAGAATGAACAAAAAATCTGCTCAACCTCCTCAGCCCCGACGTACGTTTGACCTCCGACAATGTAACACATCCTGGGCGCCTCCACCATCGCGAGAGGGGCAAATAAGATGAGATCGAAGCTAGGAATGTGCGATATCTTGCTCATGCTGTTACTTTTGTTCTTGAGGAGGCTGGATGCGCAAGTTGGAATTGAATTGGGGCTCTCCAGTCTATGCTTCTTCGTGCTGGATACGGCGGGAGTTTTTGGATTTTTTGATTGATTGGAGATTGTTGAGCAGATATTCCCTTCGTAGACAATTGTAACAGTTTCTCCGCCCACATCGCCCGAGGGGTATATGACCATGCCATTCCCTTTCTTTTTGGGTAGCCATTGTCCGGACATTCTCATCACCATCTTCGCCTGTCATACTGTACAATAACTCATAACACATCACATTCAACCAATTTTGACCTGGGACAGAGCCAAATCATGTGCGGCGACTCCCATCTCCCCCCAGCTCCAGAGTCCGGCGACCTGATCGCCATAATCCACCCGAATCCACAATCATCGTTTCGAGGGAGACTGAGATTGTCAAATCACGCGCCAGGAGCAACCTCAACCACTCTCCAATGTGCGAGCAAGGAGCCAAATGAGTGTGGACTGAATTCGGTCTTGAATGTGAGAATCCAGTACGTATAACGCCGTCGCTCACCTTTGTTACGGCCCCATTCCGGTTCCTGACGACGCCCCATAGCAAATATGGGCAACCACTTTCAAGATCTTCATATTCCGGTGCCGATTCAGATGAGGAGAATGAATTCGACCCCTCAAATCCCGTGCTGTATTCGTTCTTTGTTGGCACAGACGGCGGTTCAAGAACCAGTGATTTGAGGCTCAATCTTAGTGTTGGCGCGGATGGCGTCGTTGGACGGACAGTATCGATTTTTGATGGTCGGAGGAAAAAGGTTCTTGGAGAAGGAGTTATTGGATGGAGCTGAGTTCTAGGGGAAAAAAAACATTGTTATGAATTTGCTGCTTTTGCGCTGCCCACCCCAAGGGGCCATCGGGTGTTCGGTTAATGTGGACATTGATTCTTGGCATCGTGTGTGAGCCGCCGGGTTTCCAGCTCTAAAGTAGATACCCCATCCATCCGCTGTTGTTCATGTATATATCAAACATGTCCAATTCTTCTGTGCTGAAGTTGAACTGATCCCAATTGGTGTTGCCGTAACTCGCAGCGTCATACGCCGCGTTCAAGTTTGAGCCAAATTTGTCGACATTCGACCAAGCTCCTCCTGGAAGCAGAGCCGGTGTAAACGGCCGTGTCGGCTGCAGATTCACAGCATTCCCAGGGTATTCCATCTGCTTTGCGGAAGCGAGGATGGAAGCGGTATCTTGCCGCAGGATGCTGGACGCCCGTTGACGTCGCGACTGGTCATCGTGGCCTTGTTCATCATCCGAGAGCTGTCCTGTTCTATGCATATGCCAGATTTTGAGCTTCATGAATACGAATCCGAAGGCCTCTGCACAGGGATTTGAGCCGCCGGCTGACACTTCACCTAGTCTGTTGAGAATAGCATCCAGGTAGTATCCGGTCTTCAGATCAGGTACAAAGACCGAGCCGAATCTGGAGTCCGGCGAGTTGAATATCCAGTGCAGTTTGACCAATACCACAACGGCGTATGCATTCCAGACAATGTAGAGATTGCTCAGATTTCGAGCACACTCAACCTCAAGTGAGAGGTAGGTGTCCAGCACTTGGTGGCTACTCGCTAGGAGAGTCGATAAAGCCTGGACGTGACCAGAGGTTATGAAGTCGGGCGCTCTGCGTTGCTCTAGCTGAGGCAGTGGTCGGAAATCGTCTACGTTGTGGTCGTAGTGGATCGCGATCTCGTGGATATACAGGTTGAGGCATGCTGATTGGTGACGCACAAGTCCTTTACACAAAATCAGTCCATTTTCTCTGATAAAAACCAAACTCAACGAAGCCTACGTTGATCCACAGCGGCATCGACAGTCTTCTCCCATTGCTGCAATTGTCTTTGAAAACACTTCAACTGATACTGCACTCTCGGCTCCGTAAAGTTGAGATCGGCACCGGGGTCGTCCATGTTGAAAGCTGCTGATACTTCCTCGGCAAGACGGGCTAGTTCCACGGTGGCACACAGCCATCTGTCGCTTGGAGCTGCATGAGGGCTGGTTCTGAGTGTCTCCAGGCATTCTTCAATGCGTGGACTAAACCTTAGGAGGGTCGGAAGTCGAAGGATAGTGGTGACGCTGTGATTTCGGAACAATCAGCCCAATCCTCGTCATAAAGTTAAACAATGACCTACTTTATATTGGCCTGATAACAGGCCAACCATGTGCGACAGAGTTCAACTTCTTCAGCGGGACTTCTTTTTAGCTTTGACCTCTTGCCTATTCCTAATTCCAGAGACATAGAAATCGCTGATTGGATGTTTTGATTAAAGGCAAGATCCCTCGCCGTCCGCGGCCGTACGTAATACTGAGAATTCAGCAGCATCGCCTGAATCATATCCAGTGATTTGTCGCCATGGAAGAGGACACGTTCTGCTATCTGTCGGTTGATCTCAATGGTAAGCGCTGGCTGAGCGGATGGTTGAACTACAGGGCTTGCAACTGCCAAAATGGTTAGAAAGGTGATAGGCCGGGTCCTTCGAAGTTCCTGGAGGTCTGTGTCGGGGGAAAAGACGACGTATGGGCAAGACGAGCACATGTCCTTGGCCCAGTGATTGAACATTGCTGTCGCAGTCTCGATGCTTAGATCACCTCGATCAATGACATCCACGTAGTCGTCCTTGGCAACACCTTCGACATTGACCGGACCGCAACCTCTGCTAAATTCAGGTTGAGTAGGTTGTGGAACTACCCTGTCAATGAGACTTCGCTGATAGGTGTCTAGACTGGTATTGGAGGTGTCATCAGTCTTGGGTGGTTCCGAGCTTCCAGTTGTAGGAGCATCTTTGGGAGGCGATTCATCCTCGGGCCTACTCCCGTCTGTTGACTGTTGTTTGGCTAACAAAGCGTCCGTCAACGCATTGATCTTCTTCTCCAATTCGGCAACCTTGTGGACCGTTTTCTGTCGTTTCCGCGGAGGACCAGGCATTACGCACTGACGATTGACTTTGGCGCATGCTTTACAGGCCTCTTGGCCGTCGACCGGAAGACATCTGATCTTCATGTTTCGGCAGGCGATACACGCACGTGATCTCTTCTGCCGTTTGGGCTTTTCGTTGCCTGAGCCGTCATCTTCTTCCTGGCTTTCTGGAGACTGGCTGTGGCTGTTCGAGTCTTGGAGCTGAGCATCTTGGAGAATGGCCCGTGTTTCGGGGGAATGGTTTTGCTTGAAGGGCAACAGGGTCTCCACAGGAAGTGGTCTCTCTGGCGCCATGATGTGCGAAGGATTTTCGATGCCTGGTCCGGGGAGCGTCATACGAGACCCGCCCAGCACGTTCCCCGTGATGACAAACTCGATTCCTGGCTAGGCAGACATGGTTCGGAAGAGAGTCCAAGCAGCCCTCAATGCACAACTCTCACTTGGACGGCAGACGCAGATAGAAACTTGGGATAGGAGCACAAAGGATATCAATGACAGTAATCGGTACGGCATAATTAGAAATCAGAAGGAGAGAGTTGGCACCTTCGTGGACCGGATAAAGTTTTGGGACTCGCTGTTAAGCAGCCCGCTCGGAGCCGGCGGGACTCTGCGTCCGACGAGGCTGTCAGCCAATCAAAACACCCGGCAGGAATGATGAGTCATTGATCATATGGAGCCTTGTCTTTCCCACGTGACCAAGTACATATATATATATATATACATGTCCACAAAGCCTTCGTCGAGTACATATTGAACTCAGCTTAAAAATAGTGACATCGCGGATATCTTGTCTCCTCGGGACCCTTTGGTACAAGTAGAAGCACAATCTAACTACCGTACAAATAATGGCTGTTTGTGGTGGAAGAAATGTCGAAGCACCAACGTCAAGCCACGGCTGAAGTTAGTGTACTTCCTACAGGCCAGGAACATTGCAGATAAGCTGGCTCAGAGCCCTTCAAACAGCAAGCCGACCAGGAGAGAGCAACCGTTTTATATCCTCCGAGCCGTGCCAATGGCCGATCTGTTGACATGAACAGGCAACCTTACCGCCATACATGAGCAGATGCTCGCTTGAATTGCCCCTGACTGAACCACGGAAAATCATTTCAACATGTTCCCCTTGAAACCTTGGTTCTGCATATAGCACGATATCATTGACGTCGGCCGATGGTCGTCTCATGTGGCTCTCATGTGGCATGAGCGATCCAGCCGCTCCTGGCATGTTCGTTGCATTCGATCGGGCACTCTCTCAGCTTAGGATTTCAGTGCATCGAAGACCATATCAAGGGGTCGTCTCTCATCAGTAGCGAAAAGCCATTCTGCTGCAAATGCCAAACCAGTGGATTCTCCGGATAGTCTTGTCGTGCATGTGCATTATCGTGGCATTTCCGTTGACACCTGGACACGGAATGTCCAAGGTCCTTCTCCTTTGTTCGAGATGTGACTCGTTCTTTGGGGCAATGCCGACGAACCTCATATGCCCTGTCCATCATCACGCCCCCATAGCTTCACTGTTCTGTCGTGGCCACCGCTGGCGATCCATTTGGCGTCGTTGGTGACATCGACACTGAGGACATTGCCCGAATGCCCACTAAGCTGCTTCACAAACGACCAATCATCTGCTGAATAGATGTTGACATTCTTGTCAAACCCACTCGTCACAAAGAATGTGCCGGCTTTTCGAGGACTGTGCTCCTGTCTGACACCACTGCTCTCTACTAGGGATGACTTGTCACCGTCGAGGCCTTTGAACCATCTCAGGTCAGAAACGTTGCCATTGTGAGCACCAATTCCTCCCACATTGCGCACCTGACGAAGATCCCAGCATTTGACCCATCCGTCACCAGAGCCTGAAAGGATGCGATATCCATCGATGCCCCAGTCCAATCCGAAAATCTCACGGATGTGACCTTCCAAGATCATGACCGTGCGTCCTGACCTCAGATCCCAGATTCTCCCTATGCTATCAAATCCCCCGCTTGCCAGCAATGATCCGTCTGTGTTGAAGCTGACAGCAAACACTTGCCTGGAATGTCCCTCTTGCAAAAGGAGTTCTGTTGTCGTTTCCACGTCCCATAACCGCCAGGTTGTGTCAAATGACGCTGATGCAAGATATTTTCCCGAAGGATGGAACTCGACCCTACAAACACGATCGGTATGTCCCTGCAGAGTGCCGATAGGTGTGTCCTTGTTCAGCGACCAGAGATGTATGTCACTTGCCCCGCCTTGCCCGCCAGCACCGCTTGCAAGATTCAGAGAATCTGGAGACACATTGGAATCTTGTAATGTTGCGCCAGGATACCAGGCGATTCCGCCAACAATACCTGTATGGCCTCTGAGGGTCACCTTTTCATCCAGGCTCGGGACATCAAGTAATTTGATGCCACCGCCCCAGTTGCCAGCCGCAATGATTTCGCCATTTGGGGCAAATCGAGTGATGCTGATGGGTCGCTCTCCGGCAATCTGTGTTCCAAACAGTTCAAATCCTTGCAACCTCTCTTTGATTTCCTTGCGGTGCTTGATGTGTGTGCGCAGCGGGATTGTAGAGTCTTCTCTCTGCCTTTGGATGCGCGCCTTTGCCCTTGGGAGTGAGTACCTAGCTATCGCTCTTCTCGCTTCAAGTAATTCAGGTAGACCCTCGGTGTAGAACTCTTCCTCTTGATCAGCGTTTTCTTCTGCTTCATGCATCTGTACGTCGACAACAGCTCCATCTGGACTCCCGGCCTCCTCTTGATCCAACAAGAGCTCCCGCAAGCGATCTCGCCTGTCGGCGCGGTCTTCTCCAAAAAGTGTTATAGGCTGCCCAAGTTCTCGCAAACGTGACCTGACTTTCCCATCATCGGTAGGTACCACCAACATAGCCAATCTTCGTTTCCGGTCGAACTGGGCAAGGATAGCAGATGCTTTTTCGGGTGCGACACCGCCGGCACCAGTAGGAAGGTCATAGTTTCGGTCGACAGCTGGCAGGAGTGTGAGTCAGGATATGCGACAGTGCTAAAGATATAATACTTACGGATGCTTGCTAGATCCATCCCCATCTCGGTATCCTGCGTCTCAGCCATTTCCGTCAGTCTTGCTTCCCTTTCCCTTATGATTCATCGCGAGAGCAGGTTCAGCCTTGGAGGCAAATGTAAATAAAGAGACACAGAATAATATGCTTTGCGGAGGAGTATCTTACCTGACGCTCCTCCTCCACGTACGCCTTTCGCGCTGGGTGCATCATCTTGGTGGCTCAACACTGGCAGATAGAATTCAGATTACAGGCAAATGCGGAGAGTCTTTGGGAGCTACCAATCCTCCCAGAAGCAGTGAGTTTTCTAAAATTGAAGTTGTACCTGGAGGGAACAAAACTGCGCATCAGCTTGCTCAGGCTCAACCCTCTTTGAGAACAGCATGACGCCGCTTTGTTGTCGTGAGATTATGTAATAGCGCCTTCACTACGGCAGATCATTTCAACCCAGATGTGACTTTTCAGGCAGCGAGCCAAGTTGAAACGGGCAAACGGGTACCCAGTAAACTGATTTTTTATCGCACATGCCCTTCATTTACAATAAGTGCATCGTTTACCTTTGAGCGTGGTGGTCCATTGTCATCTATCTCATACTATTGGCTATGTTTGATATCGAGATTACTTCGCCGTTATTGAGCACTTTTGGCCTTCATATCCTGAGTCAAACCGTGCCACTTACTTTCGAATGCAGCTTGCACCACAGGTCAGTCAAGCTAGTGAATGAGTATGCGAACATCGTTGTATTGGATGTCAGAGGAGAAGTTGCAAGTGTAGGCGCTTCTAATGTTGACGCATTGTCCCTGGCACACCCCTATTTGAACCCCACTTCTACAGCCTTGTGTGCAGGCATTTCACTCAGCCTCGAATGTTAGGGGACTTTAAAGAATCGGTGGTATTCACATAAGCCTTTCAATAATACCAGTCCGATTATCCTGGCGCTGTAACGAATGGGCCCCATTAACTCATAGCAGTCAGATCCTCGTCCCACGGCAAATTAGTTGGGTGTTTCCCCCCTTCAATACTTTGTTTACCCCGCGTGGGCTAGCCACATCCGAGGTTCAGCTTTTCAACAACCGATTCGAGCCTAGGAAGTTCAAAAGGCCGCAAATAAACAACTTCTGCTATCAGGTGTGCAAGACGCGTTCCCAATTCGTATTTCCAGCTTGAGGAGCTATCTTTGCGGCACTTGTAATGCCATGGCGTCCCAACGTCTCTCCGCCGTCCTCTCCCATCTACCTCCTACCTCTAGTGCGGTAGACAATATGTATGGATCGAATTGATGTTCATTTGATGTCTCTCAGTCTAATTTCGGGACATGACTAGCGCCCAGCAAACTCCCGACGATGTAGTGATCACTCTCGCGATCAGGACGCCAATGTGCAAAGCCAAGAGAGGTGGTTTCAAGGACACAACCCTCGATGGCCTGGTCTTCAAAATTCTAGAGCAGGTCCGACTAAGGAGCAATGTCGACCCACGTCTCGTCGACGATGTCTGCCTTGGAAATGTAAGGGGACTTTCCGTCACGGCGAATGTCCGGCGATTGATCTCGTACAGGTTCGCGACGGCAAAGCTGCGTATTATGTCCGTGCAGCTTCGCTCGCTGCAGGCTTTCCAAACACATCTGCCGCCTCGAGTGTGGCGCGGTTTTGCTCCTCAGGTTTGACGGCGACGCAATTTATCGCGAATGAGATTAAGACCGGCACCATTGAGATCGGCGTCGCAGTAGGCGCCGAGACGCTGAGCGAAGGGAACGAGCGCCTGAGTCGACCCTTCATCGACGAGATCTTAAACGGTAGCGAGGACGCGAAGGACTGCATGCTACCGATGGGTAAGCACGTCGAAGATATATTCCGAGCGCATACAGGGCTTATTCTGACATTTATAACCTTTCCCCTTTAAAAACAGGTGCAACATCTGAGAACGTAGCCAGGGAATTCAATGTCAGTCGGCAACGGCAAGACGAGTACGCCGTGGAGTCGTACCGGCGCGCTGAGCTCGCGCAGAAGAGCGGCTGGTTCGATGATGAGATTGCCCCCATTACGGTCAAGAAGGATGGCAAAGACATGACTGTCACGCGAGATGAAATACGATGGGGGACGACATACGACGGAATAAAGAACCTTCGCCCTGCCTTTCCAGAGTACGGAAACACGACACATGCCGGCAATGCTAGTCAAGTTACGGACGGTGAGTCGAGAAGGAGAGAAAGCTTCCGAGAGAGGAGGGACGCAGACTGATGCTTCGTACTTGTCTACAGGAGCTGGGGCTTTGCTTCTCATGAAGCGCTCAAAGGCCTTGGAACTAAACCAGCCCATTCTTGCAAAGTATGTTGGCACAGCGCTTGCCGGCCTCCCGCCGCGTATCATGGGCATTGGCCCGGTCTTCGCCATCCCCAAATTGCTTGCCAGGTATAATCTATCCCTTGAAAAGGACGTTGACGTGGTGGAGATCAACGAAGCGTTCGCCTCCATGGCGGTCTACTGCCGCGATTATCTTAACCTCGACTGGACGAAGATGAATCCGAGAGGCGGTGCTATTGCGTGAGTCTCCCCTTCTGTCCAACATGCTCTTTTGTTAGAAGTCTCCATCAATGCTAGTTGAAACTAATGAATTCATGTAGGCTCGGTCGTAAGTACTCCCATAAGCCTGCACCAGTTCGACGAGGGTACTCCTAGAGGCCAGAGTTCCCCTCCATTTCTCCTAATATTGCTTTTTTGATGACTAACAAATATGAAACAAAGATCCCTTTGGGTGCACCGGAATTCGACAGATAGTGACGGGTCTCAGTGAATGCAGAAGGAGAAAACGACGGGTTTTGCTTACGAGTATGTGCCTAGGTACAGGCATGGGCATGGCGGGCCTGTTTGTGAACGAGCAGATTTAGACCTTGGTCACGGGATACATATTCAATTGTGGATCTCAACTCGCTCGATTTCTCACTCTGGGCAATGGCCATGGACGAGAGACTCGTTATGAAAATGGCGTGATCGATTTCCAGAGCAAATCATTGGCATAGAATGGGAAGAATACATTGCAGTCATAGACAAAATATTTTCATTCCCCCACGAGAAGGGCAAGCAGTCAGGTCAACATTCAATGGCATGATCTGTGCCTTTTGAAAAGTGGCGACCTCGATTCTATGAGACTGTGACTCGAGCCGATCTAGCGGGAGGCGTGACTACTTTGAGACCATGTTCACGCACTGTCGGCAGCCTCAACATGGACGACCTCGACACGCTCTGGCTTCTTCTCGCCGTAGACAACTTCCTCGGCCTGTTCTCGGGCAATGATTACGTTGTCACAAACATACGTGGAGAAGTCTCTCGCGGAGATCTTCTTGTCGAACATCTCTTCGATCTCTTCAAGTGTTCTCCCGCGGACCTCTGGCACGAAGAGAAACACGAAGATGATTGCCACGACACAGGTCCCGAACCAGATATAACCTGTGGAGAAAGGGGTCAGTACTGTAGCTCCGAACGGATAGCGTCCAGACCACTCACCATATTTCCCGCCCCAGTTCAGCTCGCTAGGGTTGATGAAGTAAGGTGCCGTAAAAGCGGTAAGCCAGGCAAAGACGAATCCTGCCCCGGTCGAGATGCCAGAAGTATAGGCACGTAGGTTCTGCGCAGGGATTTCCCCAGCAACAAGATAGGTCATGGAGGTGACACCGAAGTTGAACCCCCAGAGGTAAAAGGAGAACAAAAAGATAACAACTTTCCCGTAAGCCGCTGAGTATCGTACACTCGAAGGTGTGGAAACGACACCGAGAAGTAGCATCGAAATCGCGCAGATGCTGGTTCCGATGAGTAACATTGTTCTTCGGCCGACGCGGTCGATGAAGAAGTAGGAAGTAACCTGGCCTAAAACACCCAGGAATTGACACATGATGATCCATCTGAAGGGACTTTCAACGCCAACCTGAAATGCGAGCAATCTCGTCAGAAAAGGTCTGACAAAGCTCACAGGGCTCTAAGCTTACCACGGTGAAAAAGTAAGTCGCAAAAGCCATGACGAACATACCGCCCATGGCAGGATTAATGAGACCGATGCCAACGCTAATGAGGCTGCGTCGAATGTTGCGGCTGCGGAGCATGTCGAAGAGAAGAAACGACGACTGGGTCTCAATCTCGTGCATGGCGTTTAGTTTCATTTCCTCATATTCTTGTCTCAGGGCAAGGTCGTCATATGCGCCATTTCGAATCCAGCTCAGAGATTTGAGAGCCTGTTCGGTCTTTCCATGAAGAAGGAGCCAACGCTGCGGAGCACAAGTTCAGCAACCTTGCATTGCTCGGTATGGGGAAGATGAGACTCACCGGAGATTCGGGGAGGAATGGCAAAGAACTGAAGATGATCGCTGGAATCGCGTATAGTGTGTATAGAGGGATTTGATACGCATGTCTGTTGTGGATCTTCTCTGTCGAATTGGTGATAACCTGACGATCAAGATCCTGTCAGCTTTCGGTCAAACAAAAGGTAAATTCTACAACTCACATAGCCGATGGCAGTTCCCAAAGTGACCCAGCAGGAGCAGAAAGCATATCCGAGACCTCTGAAGTAGGGCGGCGCCATTTCCACGACGTAGAGAAAAGTGAAACTCATCAAAATTCCGTTTGAAAGTCCGGTGATCAACCGAGCGAAGTACAATGCTCCCATGGAAGTGGTGACGATCTGGATTGTAACCCCGACAATCAAGAGTGCACATCCAGACATGAGGGAATGTCGGCGACCGAGGTAGGTACCTATCAGCCCAGTGCAGCAACTCGCAATGAAGGAGCCGAGAAGCATGAAAGAACTGATGATTTGTTGTGGCACAGGCTGAAACAGTTAGTCAAAGGAATCAGGTCCTCAGTGAAGGACAGCCAAACAGACCCTGATGTTCCAGCCCGTTGGGACTCTGGGATCTTCGTAGCCGAACACTTGAAGGAAACCGACCATGGCTTGAAAGCCACCGATTTCGCCATTGTCGAATCCATACTGTAGGCCATTGTTAGTGTCATCTTATCCGTGAGATCCAACATAACATTCTTACCTCGAGAAGAGAAAACCCCACAAGAATAGTGAACCAGATGAACCTGATGTTGGCCCAGACACTGGTGTCTCTTTTCCCCACATGTTGTGTATCAGAAGCAGTAGCCATCGAAGGAGGGTGTAGCGTACAACAGCTCCCGGTTGTGTCTCTTACAAAGGCAATGATTTCAGATCAGGGAAGCCTTGCTGTCCGCAGGGAGAAAAGATGCAAGATGGTCATTCGATGGACATCCAGGTGGCATGATCAATATATGAGAATCCTTGAGGAACGGGAGCATAGTTTTTGAAGTTTGCTTCTTTCCGGGTCTTCGGTGTGCATCTTGGAGAACCGTTCCGAGGCCAGCAGAAGACCTGGGGTCTAGACGAGGCCCATCGTAAGCGCGGGGAAGACTAGGCCCGATTTGAGAGGCACGACATCTCAAAGCTGTCACTGGGATAGCCTAGTGAATACCATTTCAGTGGACATCGGCACCCTGAAAAGGCGCGGATAGGATGTAGGCAGGATGACATTCGTAATAGGTTTTGCGGTGAGAGTTGCAAGGAAGCGAGAAAGACACGCCGAGGATTTCATCGGATCCAAAATCGCCGACGCTAAAGAAGCGAACAAAGCTTCATTCCATTGCGGAACATGCTCAACTTCTCAAACTCCTCGCCACAGACTTTACTCGTTTGGATGATAAGCCGGTCAGGGTAAACACGCTCGGCAAGAGACCAGGGGACATGCGTGGCTCCGCGCTTACCACTTTTGCCATGCAGACAATGAATCAATCCTTGTTGGTCTGGGCCCAAAGATCAAAACCGTTTATTTATTCATTTATGGGGTCGAGGATGTCGCCTTTTTAGTTGCTACCAATACTTCTTGAGCCTGCTCACGCTCAACCACCAGGGAGATAGTTCAAGATGGACACTACTCTTCCCGCGCCCTTCAACCTAAGTCACATTCCCGGCGAGATCGAAACGACCAATAAAACCCTCAAGCTTTGGTACGACACGATCCAAGCAGCACCCGCGGTTGAATACCTGCCTTCTGGCATTTCAAAAGAGACATTCACCGAGATCGTCAAGCGTTTTCAAGATGTACTCGGAGAAGATGCTGTCATATTGGGCGACGAGCTCCGACTGAGCTACGGAGATCCTTTCTCCATGAATGAGGACGAAGCAGAAAGACGTGGAAGCTCCTGTGCAATTCGACCAACAACAGTCGAGCAGATCCAGACCATCGTCAAGATCGCCAATGAATACAAAATTCCACTCTGGACGGTGTCGAGAGGGAAGAATCTCGGCTATGGTGGTCCTGTCGCACGCATTAAGGTACGAAGACGGTGTCGTTAGGAGGAATGAGTCGCTCGAACTGAGATTTTGCTAGGGCTCTGTTATTGTCGATTTACAGAACATGAACAAGGTCCTCGATATCAACGACAAATACTCTTATTATACCGTTGAGCCCGGTGTGAGTTTCTTTCAACTTTATCAGGCAATTAAAGATCAGAAAAAGAACATATGGTGTTCGGTTCCTGCTCTAGGCTGGGGCAGTGTCGTTGGAAATGCACTAGACAGGGTAAGCAGACGTACCAATAACCCTTCCACGAATAACTCTAATTATGATACAAGGGATGGGGATACACTCCACACGGTGACCACTCCAACCAGATTTGCGGAATCGAGGCGGTGTTGGCAGATGGGAATCTTGTCAGAACGGGTATGGGCGCCCTCAAGGACTCAAAATCCTGGCCTCTCTTCCGAGGCGGCTACGGCCCTACTTACGACCAGATGTTCAATCAGTCGAATTTCGGGATCGTGACGAAGTTGACACTTTGGGCTTCTCCCGCGCCGGAAGGTCTAATGCTATGTCACGTTGATGTGCCTGAGGAGCACGACCTGAAAGATCTGGTTGATATCCTACGCGAACTATTGCTCCACGACAAGATCCAGAATCACCCTGTCATTGGAAACATCATTAGGGAGATTTGCAGGAGGGGTCCAAGAAGCCAATGGTATGATGGCCCTGGCTCCATTCCTGACAGCAGGTTGAAAGAGCTTCAGAAGGAGCTTGGAGTCGGATTCTGGGACGCAATCTTCGGTCTCTACGGACCAAAAGAAATAATCGAGCATAATTACAAAGCATGTCAAGAAGCGTTCAAAGCTATCAAGGGCTCCGTCCTCACCGGGACCGCCTACTATCCACAGGGGAAGAAATACTTGGCTGCGGATGACGTTCCCTACGACCTTCAAGCCGGAGTGCCCAGTATGGCACCACTAAGGACGATTGAATACAGAGGGTTGGATGGGTAAGCTGACGAATATCCGCCGAGCTATATTTGGACTTACACTGACCACCTTTCATGCAGAGGACACATCTCATTCTCTCCAGTCCTGCCCAGTGACGGTCAGGATGCTCTGGATTTCTATTACGTTGCCAAAAACAGGTGTGCGCAATATGGTTTCGACTTTGTTGCCGGACTTCATCTCCATCTTCGCCATCTGACACATATAAATATGATCCATTTCGACCGACAATCACAAGAAGACAAGGATGCAGCCAACAACTTGTTTGTCGACCTCGTTCACGATGCAAGAAGAGCTGGATACGGGGAGTACCGCGCACACGTCGAGCATATGGATCTAGTGGCAGAACAGTACGACTTTAACGAATGTGCATTGATGCGGCTAAACGAGAAGATCAAAGATTGTCTCGACCCCAATGGCATATTGAGTCCAGGAAAGCAGGGGATTTGGCCAGCAGTCTATCGCAAGGCCAGGAGCCCAAATCTCTCGAACGGAGAAAAGGGAGACGCTGGTAACACTGCGGTTGAGGGTATTTCGCAACCAGCCGAATTAAGAAGTCATATTTGACGGTAGACAAGACATAGCTTGAAGATACCAATCTGGATAGAGGTGTCAATTTTAAACTCGGAACCCAACACCTACTCTCCTCACGACTGCAGCACATTCCAAGAGATCTAGATCGCGATCCCCGTTGAGCCACCAGGCGATCACGCCCAAGAGACCTATCATTTCATGGCGCGTAGACTTGCCGTCGTGTAAGTAATGAAATGGTGTCCCCTGCCAACCTCGTGCCGTGATGTTACTTTCAAATTCCTTCCTCTTCATCAGAGACCTTGGATTCGTCTGTACGTGTGGTAATGGTAGAATCATCCTGGCTTATCTGACCGTCCCACGTGCTGATATCCGATACCGATAGCACTTTTGATCCGCACAATCGAGGATTCCGGAAAAGTAGGGTAAAAGATACGCAGCCCTGTGGGACATCTTCGTCGGCGAAATGGTTCCGATGGAGCTGGCCGTTGTGGGCATCCTGCGCAAGATGATATCACCAACATATCGGAATTAGAGGTCATTTCAACAATCCAGAGGCTAAGCTCGGATCATGGATTCACCATCGTAACTTGATGGATCCGAAGAGAATTGTTACAGTGATTGGCTCTCGGTCCGGTTCGCAGGTTCTGGAAGATGGGTGTCTTTAGCCAGGACTTCAAGCATGGACCTGTGAAATAAACTATTGACAAACTCGCTTCTGAGATGCCCGTGACAAGGAATGTGATATATGGCTCTCCTGACCAGAAATCATATCATGTGGCTGGCAGACACATCCAGTGACTAGAATCAAGCCGCCATCACAATCATCACCTTCGAGATGGATACCTTGCCTTCGTACTCTCATCTTAGCGGGTCAGCCGCAATCGCGGGTATCCTGACTCATCTCCTGTACTTCATTCGAGGAGAACATCATGTCCATGTATGTCTTTGCCTATTGCTGAGGGCTCGTTTGCTAACCAAGGCTTGTATCTTTTCAAAGGCCCCGAGAATCGTCCAATTTTACACCCTCTCGGCAATTGTTCTCGCTGGATTCACGTACAGAACAGCGGGATATGATATACTGACAAGCCTCATTGCCACCGGCATTATCATAGGGTCATATTTTGCCGGGTTATTGGGCAGCTTATTCACGTACAGAGCATTCTTCCACCGTCTAAGGAAATTCAGCGGGCCATTCCGAGCGCGAGTGTCGAATCTGTATCATGCATCGCTCTTGAAGAACTCAGACAATTACCGCGTCATCACTGAGATGCACGAGAAATATGGACCTGTGGTTCGTACCGGTGAGTCAAGCACAAGCAGGAAAAGGTTCGACTATTCTAAGAAAGATGCGCGACGCAATAGGCCCAGCAAATCTTTCTGTCAATATTCCCGAAGCGGTTCAGATAGTCCTCGGATCTGACTCGAAGTGCTCGAAGACTGCTTGGTATGACGCCTCGCTCCCACTGGTTAACTTACACACGGCCCGCGATAAGAAGATCCACGAGCGTCGGCGCAAAGTCTTTTCAAAAGCCTTCTCTCCCAAGGCTCTCGTCGAGTATGAGTCGCGAGTCTCAATACATTCAGAGCTGTTCTGCCGTGCCATTGCAGAGATGAAAGGCCAACCTTTCGATGCGACCCGCTGGTTCAAATATTTTGCGTTTGATGTCATGGGAGAGGTTGGCCTGAGCGAGAGCTTCCGAATGCTCACCGAGGAAACCAATCGTTGGATCCCAGACCTGTTAGAGGATGGCATGTCTGATATTGCCCAATTACAGCCGATCCCCTGGGCAACGATTCTGCTCCATCGCCTTCCGCTGATCGCACATGGACCCAAGAGGTTCTTGGAGTTTGTAACGGATCAAGCTAAGAGGCGGGCGCAGGTGAGTGCCTTCCGCTGCGTCGCGAAACTCCTGGGTTGAGTACTGACAATGCGCTGTAGAGATCCGATGTCAAACCTGATGTGCTTTCCTACCTTGTCGAGGCGTACGAGCAAAGCGAGAAGAAAGATATAGACTTCCAGTGGTACCGAGGAGATACGCGTCTCGTGATCGTTGGCGGTTCAGATACAACGGCGGCCACCTTGACGTATATCTTCTACCACCTGGCCACCGATCCTTCCCAAATCACCAAGCTTCGGGCTGAACTTAAACCACTGCTGCAAGGAAGATCTGAGCTTGATCCCAAGGACGTCACTGCGGCAAAGCATCTGAATGGTGTCATTCATGAGGCTCTGAGACTGCATCCACCAATCCCTTCAGGTTTTCCCCGCTTGACACCGCCGGAAGGCATCACCATCAATGGCACATATATTCCAGGGAACACCACTGTTGTCCTTCCATTGTGGACAATGTCACGCTGTAGGTCCCTCCCCTTCCTTTGGGTAGGTCAAGTCCGTGCTGAATATCCTCGCGTTAGCCGAAGAATGCTATCCTCGAGCAAATGAGTTCATCCCCGAGCGCTGGTACTCTCAGCCAGAGTTGATTAAACACAATGTTTTTGCGCCTTTTGGCCTAGGTAAGCTCTGGCATGAATCTAACTCCATGAATCCGGTGAATGACCAGAAATCGCTGATAATCGCATTGACAGGGCCATACGGCTGCATTGGAAAGCACCTTGCTATGATGGAAATTCGCAACATGATCGTCCACATTCTCAACAGCTTCGACGTTATCGAGCTTGCTCCCGGGGAAGACGGGTATCGTTTGTTAAACGAATCCAAAGACCATTTTACCATCGGTCTTCAGCCGTTGATGATGGTCTTCGATAAGAAAGATTGGGCCAAGGACCGCACAGATCTTAGCTAGGCGGAGAATCTCCTTGGAAGGCCAGAGATCGAGGTCTACAAGGGCAAGGGCAGTTATTCAAGATATCAATCACCCCGAGCGATACAAGGGAGCCATTTAGCTTATATCATAAATTACGCAGTAAACCGGAGAGAAAGATTCGGATGAAATTTCCCTCTCACGACACTAAACTAGTTCTTCGTTCGCTAGGCACTCTTGGTTCTCTTGGTTCTCTTGGAGATTATTCGTTTTAGTTTGGTTAGTCCAGACCGAGGTGGGAGCTCGGTCCGGGGTGCATTAGTCGCCCGTGGGGGATACAAGAACTCACCTCCCGCCTGCAACTACAAGAACAACGGCTTGTCACTGGCCTCCGTCTTCCCGGCCAGCAGCTCTTGCAATCGTCTGCTGCCAAAATCCTTCGAAAGAACTGACGCCGCGATCTTGCTGCTTACAAGGTTAATGATCCAAATTGTTGACGAAATTTGCATCTCCTCATTCTCGGTGTAATGACAAATCTTGTATCTCCATCTTCTGTGCACGCTGAGCAGCGACAAAGCCCGCAGCAAGATGATACGGCCAGGCCAAAGAAGAGGACGAGACAGAGCTGTGATGCATGCAAGAACAGGAAGACAAAGGTCAGTACTTACCTGTTTCTACTGTCTGAAAAAGACGCCTTTCACTGATATTTGGCCCAGTGTATTCCGCAAGGTTCGACAAAATCCGCAGAAGAAATTCCAAACCGGAACCGACTTTCTGACAATGTTTCTCTCCCGCAGGCCTGGGGCCGTGTAGGTACTGTGCCTCCGTGAATATTCCATGTTCGGCTAGCGTACGCCCTCGAAAAAGACCGTACTATAGGGTATCCGAGGAGGAGTACGAGTCTTGCATGCGCCTTTTGCGCCATTTTGTGCCCACGGGAGATCTCAGTCTTGAAAACGTCAAATCAATGCTGGCCGAGGTAGAACAGAGATCAGAGCCCGAGGCGACCCGCAATACAGTCTTCACAACCAAATCCAACTCCGCGCTGTCGAACAATGAATTAGTGGAAACAGAAGAAAATGTAATACTCCAAGAGGAAAAGGGCTGCATGTACCTTGATCCTCGAGGAAAGTACAGTAAGTCACAGGATAGTGGGCAGAAATTTGTAGGACCGTTCTAAACTCTTCCCTGCAGGATACGTAGATGCGGACTCTTCGCTCAGATTCGATCATGCCGCCCATATAGCTCGACAGCCCAATCGTGCAGAACCTACAAGGCCAAAACATGATGCAAGCGTACTGCATCCTTTCATTACCACCGTCATGCCGCCCTCGCCGGAGACAGTTGGGAGTTTTCGAGCCGTGGAGGACTTGGAAGTCGTGTATCTCCCGAATCGGGAGACTTGTTTGCGATTCATCACAAAGTTCTTTGAGCAGGTGCATGCCATTTACTGGGTATACTCGCCTGAACAGTTCTACATGCTTCTTGACCAAACACTGGAGACTGGAGGCTCCGAAGCGAGCGCTTCATGGCTTTGTTCGCTGTACTCTATCTTCGCCATTTGCTCGATGCAGCCGACAGGTCAAGAAGATCAAGGGGGTGAGAAATCGTCTGACGATTACCTTCGCATGGCAAGAGAGTATGGAGTCCGAGCTGCCGATGAAGCTGACCTTGGAAGTGTGAAAGCACTGGTTCTTATGGTATTCAAGATCCAGCTCCTTTCCATCCTTGTTAGTGAGTCTGACAATATTGATAGAGTCTCGCCCTCAACGCCTCATTTCACAGTGTGATGGCTTATTGTACTATTGGTTTGACTGTCAGGATCGCATACTCACTTGGTCTCCATCGAAACACGGCCCATAAGTCATTGGACTCCGTGGAGAAAGAACGTGCCCGGCGGCTGTGGTGGACACTCTACCAACTCGACCAAGAGGTCTCGAATCAGCTTGGCCATCCATTCGCGATAGTGGACGAAGCGATTTGCATCCAGACGCCATTTGCCTCTGAACAAGTAAGTCAAAAAGGTTCCAGCACTTCAACCTGCGGAATTTACGCTAAGATGTTAGATTCTTGATCCAGGGCGTAACACTCCACTGGGCTACCAGGCCATCTGCGTGTCGCTAATCAAACTGAAAAAGAAAATAAGCCAGTCACTATACGTAACCCCTGCCCAGACGACACGCAGAGTCCGCTTCCAGCAAGTCACCAGCTGCATCGCATCTCTGTATGATTGGCATGCTTCGGTTCCATCGCATCTCCGTTGGGGCTCGTCGTTAGCGCCATCGCATCTAAGAGCGGTGTCCGTCCTCCATCTACGATACTGGATCACACTTGTTCATGTAACCCGGCCGTTCCTCTTACACTCGGTAACTAGGTCAGCGGAGCTGCGGAACTCGGTCAAGAAGAAGCGATACGACGATTTCAGCAACCTATGCATCGAGGCTGCAGAGAATGCAATCGTCATATTGAAGGCCAGGCACGAGGACCGAAACCTCTCGAGCCTGATGTTGTTTGACAGTGGGTGTATACAGGAGCTCGTCCAGGTTTTCCTACTGGCCGAGGAAAAGGTTGGAAGAGGGACTTACAGAACGAATCTGGAATTCTGCCTCAGGGCGATGCGTGCCATGGAAGCCGTGGGCTGGTGTAAAAGAATACTTCCGGATCTCGAAACATTGCTTAGAGACACTGTCACATTGAACACCGACGAAGATGAGAGCCGCCAATCAAATCCCAAGGCAAACGAGACACAAGGCTTGAGTATTGCTGCGGCAAGAACCCACCACTTCCAAGACTACGGTCTCAGTGGATCCGGCCTATTCGGCGATGCAGCTGCATTTGATGCAGCTGTGAATTCATTTGAAGATTTTGAGCTGTAAGTCGCCCTTTTCAAATTGCGATTTATGCTGTTTCCGATGGACGAAAATCTCCTTTCGTTTTCCGGCTCTAACATGTCGCGAACTACCCTAGCAATATCGACCCGACACAACCGGATCTTATGGATACCCTGAGCTTAGATCTAGGGGCATTCCCTCCGAGTAATTGGAATGCTTTCCCGTTGTGAAGTCTGTATTACATCCAAGGATGAGAGGACCAGAGATCAATGCATGCGATGCAGCGGGGGAATATCAGTGACAGACCACAGTCGGTTGGCCCTGGTAGTGAACCGTTCATCGATTGAGTCCGATATGACCGTAAACAGGTTCAGGCATCCATCTCCCCCCAACGCTTGAGTCTTCATGCCTGTAGGTACTAGACAACAATCAAGAACAGAAGGGACCCTGCCGAGTAGAGGTTCTGGGCGTCAGGTCTAACTAGTCTGATCCTCTGATGTTGCCGTTAACTTTCCTGAATTTCGCCGACCCCAGGAATTGAGAAGCGGGCCAAAGGATTGTTTGGACGGTACGAGGTAGGCGAACTGGGGCAACTCGGGGTTTACTTCAAGAGGGGGTTCATCGGTGATAATGATTCCGACGGGGCGGCGAGGCTGAACCGCCACCGTCGCTACTTATATTTCCGAGCACCGTCTTGGTAACTAACTAGCCAAAATTAGAACGAGTGAGGCTGGCTGCATGAAGGACTACTGCTCATGCAATACTTGTATCTACAATGTCCGTATGGAATATGTCGGCAAACTACTGGACTTGGCCCCACAAATGCTAACAGTTCTGGATCGGTTGTAAAAAGAATACTTTCTTGTGGCAGTACTCCATATTTCGAAGGTCCTTATCTAACCCCCTAAAGTGAAAATAGGGCTATGTGTTTACTCCGTGTTCACACCGGAGAACATTCAATGCCCATTTACGCCGTTCGCGTTCCCATTCGTCTCTCCAGCATCTTTCAGCTGCCACGGGAGAGGCCGGTCTGCTGCTTTCACCGGGCCAAGGTCACCATTTTCACTCCTGCGCGCCTGCCAGGCCTGGATCTCGCTCTGGTCGACCCAGTTCCCGTGCAGACCGAGTTTCAGGGCAAACGGTAGGTGGATGATGGCCACTGGCCCTGCGGCCAAATTCTTCGCGTCGAAGATCACAATGTCGTTCCGGAGGACGTCCAGATGGTTCAGGAGCGCAATTATCCACCCCTCTCCTTCCTCACCTCCTCGCTTCGGGATGTACGTCGGCTCTTGGAATGTGCATGTGGGACCTGCATAGAAAACGTCGCTGAAGGTCTTATCGTCCCACATGAAATGCCCGAGACAGTTGAACAGCCCGCCGACCGGCACGCCGCACAGCTCCGCGTCGTATGGCCGGCTAGGATCGATGATACACTGCCAAAAGTGGTTGTATTTTTTGGTAACCAGGCGGTCGTCGATGCGGGAGAACTCGCCGGGGAGGGTATCAAGCTCTTGAAAGGGTTCCACGTACGAGCCAGTTTTGGCCTTTGGATCGAAGATCCAGCGCGTTGTCTTGTTGACAAGCCTCGGAATCGTCACTGGCTTGTCAACTGGCGGGAAGAAAAAGAAGACGTTGCCGTCGGCGATGGTCAGGTCGAAGACAATGTGGCCGTCCTCGTTCTCGTAACATCCGGCAGTGTGGCCTTGGAATGCTAATGTACATGAGTCAGCCGTAGGGGATCATAGGAGTCTCCGGTACATACCATTTCGGGAACGCAGCCAAATGATATCCTGGGGCTTACCACCACGCCGAGGCACTATGCCATACATCTGATCCTCTTCGGGGTCCCATGCCCAGTGGTTCTCTCCATTCTTCAACCTTTCAGGGTCGCATTTCAACGGTGTCATAGGGAGGACAAGGTAGTTCTCTGAGATGCCGCAGTCGTGAATGATGCCACAAAATGGCGCTTTGTACCAAGCTTCCTCCGTCTTGACTCCGTCGGGCCTGATAGTGTAGACGACTATGTCGCAGGAGCCATCGTTGCCATTTCCACCCGCCTCGTAGCCATAGCAAACCATTTCGCCTGTGACGGGGTCGAATTTCGGGTGAGCTGTGAACGTGGGCGAGAGAACTTGGCCCTCGAAATCATATCTGCCAATCGTATCCAACGTCTCGGGGTTCATAGCGTATGCTGGTCCGTCTTCCTTAGTCGCTAGCAGCATTCCGCGCCAGAAGAATACATTCGTATTCGCGGCGGTGCGAATGACGCCTTTAACCACTTCATTATCGGTGTACGGGTTGCGGTATTTGCCAAAAAGTGCCTTCCTTGCCGCCGTTTCGTACCGGTACCGCTCCGTGTGGACGAAGCGCTGTTTGAAATCCGCGTGCCCATGCGAGATGCGGATAGCCGTCACATTTCCATCGCCGTTGAAGTGGATGTCGTCTTCGTAGATTGGAGGGTAGCGGTGATCTGGCTGTACGCGAAAGAAGGTGCCGTCGATCTCGGGCGGAATGTTTCCCGTGACTTCGAGGTCGAAGACGTCCCCCTCAATGCGAGAGGCCTTGTTGATGCCATGAAAGACATCCGTCGACGGGAATTTGACACGGTTCAAATCGATCTTGACCCCATCTTTGTAAAGGCCCGAAGTGTCATTGATCGCTGCGGCTATGTCAAAGATGTGTGCCATTTCCGCCAAAATCTCCAGTTCTCGTCACACAAGGATGGCGATCTCTCCCAACGACCTCGAGGCACAGACACCAAGAAGAAGACTTTCGGGAAGAAATGTCTGGGACAGGGAGATATCCATTTAAAGAGCATCCATCTGAAAAATGAAGACATCATTGTAAGAAATGCCTGTTCTGATGCAAATTTGTGGAGCTTGCAGTGGCTAGCAGGCTGACTCTCGGATCTATAACCACCGAGGCTGTCGTTGCGAGAACTCACGCCACATTTGATTTTGAGAAATCATTGAAGCCTCTTGCGACTTGACTCCGGCCTTGATCATAGAAATCATTATACTCCGGCAGATGCCATAAAATGTTGGGTTTCGAAGACTCCCACATCCAGACTGCCTGTCAACCAAAAACTGTGGGCCACTAACCTACGAAGCGTGTTAATTAGCCTTCGGTCGAATGAGGGGGTCACCGAACGCGAGAGCTCTGAATTCACAAGTCAAACGTGAATTTGGATTGCACCGGAACAATCTTTACTTATCAAGTTGAAGAAAAGAACTTTATGGAGATACTTGTCGCCACCTTCATATTCTAGGAGATGTTGCAGCGCAATCCCCCTCTACGTGTTGCATCGGCGCGTTAATATCTGAACCTGAAGATAATTATCAAAGGCCACCTCCCCCGCAGACCCGGACACGTGGATTTTTTGCCTGAATAACGAGGAAGCCGACCTTAGCTTGTGTCGTGTACTTGTATGTTCAACCGTACCCCAGGTCTAGGAATACAAGCAGATCGCCGTTTCCTCGAGTCAATATCAGACTGAGTGTGGCAAAAAAGAACACTCAGGTCTCAATCATAACGAACGCCTTCTAGAAAGCAGACACTTCCGCAGATGGCTAGGTGAATGTAGTCTGTGGGGATGCATGGGACTATGGGGGATGCCCTTTCTCGGAACTGGTTAAAAGGCAATGCAATCTACCCGCCCCACTCAGATGAAATTGGAAAAGATCTTGAAATGAGTTTGTTGGCACCGTACAAGTAGATGGGTTTTCAGGGTTGATGCAAGGGTCAGTGTTCCTCATGGCCAATGCTGTACTCCGTACTGAGTACCCAGTACGTAGCGATGACACTTTTCCAGAATGTTTGAGCATTTGAAGACAGAGAATCACGTTGTCCTATCGTGCTGCAGGTCACCTTGGCTTAGGCGGACCGATCGTGTAGGCTGACAAGGGGAAACGAAGACGCACCAGATTCTCGATACCGAGTAGACCTGGCGCAGACACAGATATACGGAGTAGTACGTACACTTTTGGCACGCGTTAAAGAGATGAATCCCCCCTTGATCTCCCTTGCAAGGCTGCAACATTTCTACAGCGCTTTAATTGGTGACGAATTTAGCATTTTGTGGGACGGAAAGCTCTGCCTCCGAGTGGAGACGCTCCGAGCCGCGTTGCCAAGCTTAGCATAGCTTAGCACCGCAGCTGCGCAATGATTGGATGTCTCGGATTCTAGATGGGAATACGAACCTTGTGCGATCCCGTTTCGGAGATATGACGCCATGCCCTCTTAACACCATGGAATGTGCATAAAGTTTGCATTAGCAGCTTGACCCAACATTCTCGTCCCATTCCATAACCACGAAAGCCTTTTATCTCATATCCATATCGATTGCTCACATCGTTCAACTACCCGCGGGACCTGGAAAGAAAAAGAAAAGTGGAAGGGAGAAGAAAAGGGAGAAGAAAGGGAAAATGACTACGTCGTCGACGACCGACACAGGAGCAGAGCAGCAAACAGCGCCCATAGCGAACGACGCAAGCAGCACCTCTCCGCCCTCAGTGGAGCAGGAGACGAAGGACGCAGATGAGAACCCCCTCGAACAAACGACGAGCCGCATCGAAAATTATCCGACTGGCATTAAGCTGAGTTTGATCTTGCTGAGCATTTACTTGTCTGTCTTCTTGGTCGCCCTCGACAGAACAATCATTGCCACCGCGCTGCCCAAAATCACGGACAAATTTCAAAGCTTCGGGGACGTTGGTTGGGTAGGTCGATGATTTTCTTCGCAGATATGGGCGTGGGGAACCAAGAACAGCAGCTAACATCGCAAATAGTACAATGCCGGGTTTTTGTTCCCAGCCACGGCTCTCCAACTCCTGTTTGGTCGGCTATACACCTTCTACTCGCCCAAATGGATCTTCCTCACAGAGGTTTTTGTGTTTGAAATCGGCTCGGCGATATGTGGAGCCGCCCCGAGCTCAGTCGCTTTCATTTGGGGACGGGCGGTTGCTGGTCTCGGTGCCGCAGGACTATTTAACGGGGCGATGATCCTGATGATGTATGCTTCCCCTCTTGAAAAGAGACCTCTCTATATGGGTCTTCTGGGCGCTGTCTTCGGTGTGGCCTCCGTGGCAGGTCCCCTCCTTGGTGGAGTATTCACGACCAAGATCTCTTGGCGGTAAGTTTTCGTTCCGATGATACCTCTGATCGTTCAAGGCTAATACGAGTTAAAGGTGGTGTTTTTACATCAATCTGCCGATTGGTGCGGTAGTGCTCGCATTCCTTTTCTTAGTTATCGAAAACACTCCACCGGCACTTGGCGACCTGCCATTCAAAGAGAAGCTTGACCGAATTGACATCCCTGGCACGCTTGTTTTCATTCCGTGCATTGTTTGCCTGCTCCTGGCCTTGCAATGGGGCGGTCAAAAGTACGATTGGTCCAACGGGCGTATCATCGCGCTCCTCGTCCTCTTTGGCGTCCTCCTTATTATTTTCATCATCATTCAATTCTGGCGGAAGGAGTCCGGCACAATACCGCCCCGAATCGCCAAACAGCGGACAATTGCGACCGGAGGTTTCTATGCCTTCTGTCTCGGGTCGTCGTTCATGATTGCTGTCTATTACTTGTCGATATGGTTCCAGGCAATTAAAGGTGATTCAGCCATCAGGTCCGGATACTCGACGTTGCCCTTCATTCTCGCCCTTGTCGTTGCATCCATTATTTCGGGGGCCTTTGTCTCTAGACTTGGTTACTACAATCCATCAATACTGGCAGGTGGCGTACTGACACCCATTGGTGCCGGCCTCCTTACGCTATTCACCACGCACACGGCGCACCCTATGTGGATCGGCGCTCAGGTACTGTACGGTTTCGGAGTCGGCCTGGGGCTACAACAAACCAATATCGCTGCTCAGGCTGTTCTGGACAAGAAAGATGCCCCAACGGGGGTTTCATTGGTGTTCTTCTGCCAGGGAATAGGTGGCACCATCTCCGTCGCCATTGCCCAAAATGTCCTAGACAACAAGCTCATATCAGGACTGAAGGGCTTCAGCAACATCAGTCCCCATGATATCGCCAATACTGGAGCCACGCAGCTGAGGCAGGCTTTCAGTCCTCAGCAACTACCGGAGGTCTTAAGGGTCTACAACCACGCCTTGGTGATTGTCTTCTATGTTGCCCTTGGGTATTCTTGTGCAGCTATCCTCGGAGGTCTAGGGATGGAGTGGAAGACCTTGAAAAGGGAGAAAGCTAAGAAGGACAAAGAAAGCACAGCGGAAATCAAGGAAGAAGCTAAGACAGAGTGATCATTTACGATTCGCTCACCTTCGACGTCAAATTTTTACTTAGCGGCTTATTGTACAACACTCACATCCTCTCATAAGTAGAAATCCATTCTCAGCATGCTTTTGAACACTTTCAGGGCGCGTCGTGGGAACAAGAGAAGTCCAAGCTATGGAGGGGCAACTAAATTCCTGCTCCAGCGCATACCGCAAGATAATATTTTGCCATCCAGCAGTGTCTCGATCCCCCTCTCCCCTTTCTCCCAGCTCTCATTCCAGCGAATCCGGATAACGAAACTGGAATGTGGGTCAAATGGATGCCCTAGTTCAACATGTCAATTCAATACGGAATTGTAATCTTTTCGTCTGGTCTTTTCAAACGCTAGATGTGATTAGCCAAAAAAAGAAAAGAAAACAAACGCAGGGGATACAAAAGCAAAGGCTCGATTGAATGTAATAGTCTCTACCTGGCCGGCGTGTTCGACAGAGCCGTACCACAGTGCCGTGACAGGATTATGCTGGGCACTTGATCCCTGCGCTTGCTGCAGCTTAAGCCGCCGAGCTCTGTGAGATTGCACGCTCTGGCCGTGGAATATTGCCAAGGTTGGTCCTCGTCAATGGCGCATCTTCACTTCCTCGGATCCGGGTTACTTCCAAGTAGTTTCTGTTCGGGGACGAAATATGTGCAAAGATGATAGATAAAGCATGGTTCTCTATTTGGTATGTGTTCCCCAATAGCTAGATGGAGTTATGATGTGGTGTTCGAATCGAGGTTTGTGTTAGAGACCATGGGCCTGAGGTCCAAGGTCACGTTTTCCCTCAGGTGAGGACCTGAAAGGGGCCTGCCAAGGCTGGCGAGGCTGGTGAGGCTGCCTATTGGAGGCAAGGCTCTGAAGGCTCCACGCTCCGCAGTTGGAGCCGCAGACTGCGCTTAACTGCGCTTTCCATCATCACCTCGAACCTCCGGGCCAGGTTCATTTATTCACTACATCCCAGGCTTTGTCCATTTCATTTGGACTCTTCTCCTTAGCCTATTGACTTCGAATTACTGTCTTATAGGAACCTCCTCTTCAACCCGATGCCGCCTTACTCGATAGTGTCCCTCCAACCCCGACCGATTCTCAACCTCACTTTTTCGTAGATTCGTGATCTCATCTCCTCGATAGCTGCGTCCGTTGATTTCCAGCCGCCGTGCCCTCGACATGGCTGGGACGACTTCTTCGGCCGCGGAGATGATCTCTCAACTTGAAGCGGCGCGTAAACTCGCCCTAGGAGATCCTCAAGTGTACAACCAGGTCCTACCCGGGATCTTGCCCATCGTCGGCCCCTCAGCGCACGTCGAAGTTCGAAGATGGGGTGCGGATTTTCTCGCAGAGGCATTCGCAAGCCCCTCTCTGCCAAATGCACAAAAAGAACAGCTCTCCTCAGACGTGTTGCCCACCCTACGAGCCATGTTGGAAACACCGGGAGAAGATCCTGCGGTGATCAAAAGCGTGATTCAAGCAGCTGCTAGTCTATACCCTCTGGTGTTCAGACGAGTGTACGTGGTCGGACAGATAGTGTCAAGATTAGAAGGGACTATATCTAACAAGAGTGTCTAGAATATCACACCCCACAGAAGCTGCGTTGTGGCAGGAGATGAGTCGGATGAAATTGAACATTCTCCAGCGTATGGACTCTGCTCCCATCGCGGTCAGAATCTGTTGCATCAAATTTGTGCAAAAGGTCGTCCAAGTAGAGACCCCTGGTTTGATCTCAGACCCTCGAGTTAGTCGACCTGCTGTGCCCTTTGCCCTGTCAATTCCATGCTAATGTGATTCAGCGCCCCGAGCAAAATGAGACATCCATCGCCTTGGTTCCGCGAACTCACCCTCTACTGAACCTCCCCAACCTGGAGGCAGAGGCGTCGGGTCTGCTGGACAGACTGTTGGGTGTGTTCCAGGAAAACACCATGGACCCCATTCTTGTCGATGCGACCCTTAACTGCCTGGCGATTCTTATTCGAACGCGCCCTCCTATTTCTACCAAGATCGTCTCCGCTATTCTCAACTTCAACCCACTGAAACAGGCCAATTCTCCCATGACCCCACGACTGATGGTCATTGTAAAGTCAATGGAGAGAACAACAAGGGCTCTGTTACGATGGGCTCTGAGGGCTGTTCCGAACCATCCTTTGGAACAGAAGATCCAGGCGTACCTCATGCGCCTTCAGCAGTCCCGTTCTGCCTTGTTTGCAGAACCCACGGCCCAGAAACGCCCGGCAGAACCCACGGACGGGTTGGATGACGCAAAGAGACAGAGACTCACAGCAGGAATTCGCAAGTTTCCGCCAATGCCGCCACCGCCGAACACCTATGCCCACCTATTTACGCTCACTGAAGATCCCAGTCTTCAGCAGTTTGACGTTACCCTTCTCCCTGCCGACATTGTCAGCACCGTAACCGCGGTTTTCTTGCAACATGTGGACTCAAATTCTCTGGATGGAGCCATCGACGCAATCCGATCCAGATACACTCACTTACAGAAAGTCAATCAACCCACTCCCGTTCCTGAGGTGCCCATGCTTGGCCCCACAGGGATCGACGACGAGGACGATTACGAACCTGAGTTTGCTCCTGGCCTAGAGGCAATGGTTGAGTCAACTACAGAGAGAGCCTTGGAAGAGCTTGCGCAACCCGCTATCGGGTTGGGTCCGTTCGAGCTACCAAAGCCCCCACCGTTGACTGGGGCAGAAGTTGCGACGTTATCGGATCAAACCGTCGGACATGTCTTTCAACTCGTTGCTTCTCTTGAGGCAGCAGGGCACTCTCATACGAAACAACAATTAGGTCTGAATCGAATCGCCGCCAGCAGTAATGACCGAGACTCCTGGGCAACAATCCTCATGCGCTTGGCCACCAGAGCGCCGACAGGACTCGATGATCTCTCCAAGACACTAAATGAAGGTGATGAGGATTCCGCCAGGCAGCTCATTAAATCAGAAAACACCGAAGAAATACCAAATGTCGCAAACCGCATCCGCCAGACCCTGTTCATGTACGTCCTTGAAGACTTCCGACCGCGCCTTAACATGGCGATCTCCTGGTTGACGGAAGAATGGTACGCCGACAAAATTACCGCAAAGACACACCCAGAGCTCAGCCATCTACCAAACTACACCCGATGGGCGAATCGTTTCATTGATCGCCTTCTACCCTACCTCGACGCCCGGGATAAAAACCTTTTGATTCGCTTCCTTTCTGAAATGCCCAGCATTGATCGCGAAATCTTGAGTCGGGTAAAGAGCTTGGCGAGAGATCCAGAAAGGATTAGCATGTGTATTCTTGCAATGCAATATCTCTTGCTGATGAGACCACCAGCCAGGGAGATGGTGTTGGATACAATCGAAGTCATCTGGAGGGAGGGAGATGATCAAGCTAGAGGAGCGACCAGTAAGGTGCTGGCAAAATGGAGGCCGGGATTCCTGGAACAGGCCGTGAAGGAGGAGGAAGTGGAAACCAAGACGAATGTTAAACAGGAGATGAAGACGAACGGGGCCACGACTCATCTCCCTGCTGGGCCAGACGTTGCTGCGGATGCATCGGATTCGATAAGCATGGATCCCAGAAAGAGGAAAGCACTTGCAGCTGCAAATGGATGATAGAAATGCAGATACAAGTCCGAGCGGTTGACTTGAACTGTACCAACGTATCAAGGAAACGATGTGAATGGGCAATCATGTTTACAGAAGATGAGGGGTGGAAAAGCGACATCGGCCGGCGAAGATATTCTCTTTGAATTGCTCAGACACTCAGGATCCAACGTCATCTATGCCATCATGTCACTATAATATATACGGCCCATTCACACATGCAGCGCCTTCTGAGTCTTCATGTGGTCACGTTGAACTCGTCGATAACACTCCTCGGCCTCTTATACTCGCCCACTCCCATCCCATTCACCTTCCCCTTCTCCCTAACTTCCTCCCATCTACACTTTAGGCCAAAGAACTCGGGTCCACCAACCCGCAGCCCTTCTGCGCTCCCGGTCCACAGTGGAGAGGCGGGCATTCCTATCACGCGGACTTTCAGACCGTAGCGCAATTCGGGAGAGCCGAGAGCCTCGCCGTCGCTACCGAGGATCGAGATCAGATCGGGGACTGTGCATATGATCTCCTCTTCGAGCTCATCGTCGTCCGCAGAGGACGACGATGGGATTGGAAACTGCGAAATGAAACCTGCAGAGAGGTATTCGTTCTGGAAAGGGATGGTAAGGTAGCGGCTTTCACGGTTCTCGCGAGTGGATGATGGGCTCAGGGTGTCATCTTGCTCCTCGGCGGATAAAGGGCCGATTATGCATCGACCGACTGTGTAACCGCGAGAAATGTCACGAGTTACGTCGACGATTTTGCCAATGTAAAGCTCCTTGACCGGGGTGATGCTCGACTATACATTTATTTCAGTCAACAGCTTCCGGAAAGTCATCAGGAGGGTTGGAAAGCTCACAATGGCCTCGATAAAATCAATTTTGGATTCCCTGGCTAGGTGGACGGCGCGCCCCAGATACCATGCTTGAGAGACAGTGTTGGGCACGGCGTAGTCTTTGATGACCTTGCCAGATAGAGGTCTTCCAGCCGCTGCGGTGGAATTGCCCATTTCAATGCACGTCTGGCGTGTCAGCGATTCTACCCGCTTGTTAGATTCGGCGGCCTATCATACATATAGATAGACTGCGAGTCAGCCGTCTGCTGAGAAGTGTGAGGAAGGAGGTGAGAGAGAGAAACCCTTACCAGAACCACAGATGCGTTGCCTTTACAATCAGCAGTAGCAAATGGCAGTACCGGCTGTCCATAGATATAGGGAGTTCCATGCTCAAGTGTTGGATAGGCACGACCCATCAAGTCGCAGTCAACCACCGGTCGATCATAGCGAGCGCTGCTGGGAAATGTCACAAGGCCGTTGCCTCCTCCAATCTCATCTGCCACGATGCCCTGGAAGTCCTTGATGCCCATGATGGTGTTGACGGCGTCTATGGCTGCGAACACGTCGGTGCCAGCACTGATGCGCTCATCACTCACAGAAGGCGCGCCGTATCCAGCACCGAACACACAGGTGTTGTCGTCTTTGAGAGATTCGAGAGGGACGACGCGGATGGTTCCCTGGCCGGCTTTGCGGAGAATACCCAGTGTGTACAGAGCCATGAGATACGACGAGCCACCGCCTCCTGTACCGAGAATCCCTGCGCCCGAAGCGATCAGCTGCACATCGATGGGAGAGATGTACCAGACGCCGTTGTCGACACGGGGACGGTAGTTCGCAATATCGACACCCAGTGTCGGTTTCGCCAGACTGCCCTTCTGCACATTTGTGGTCTCGGCCTTCATCGCCTCTTGCGCCATGTTCATGTCCGCTTCTTGCTCCTGGTCGAGTATACCACTAGAAACGCCATTATGAACGGCTTCGTCTTTGACTCGAAGACTCCCGACTGCTTTCATCACAAACCTCGTGGCTTTGTTGGTGACATATTGTAGTGGGATTTTCTTGATCTCGACGATTTTGACGTCTCTTTCGTCTGCTCCATTCGATATGGCGGCTTCGATTGCCGCCTTCTTGACTGCCTCGATCGCGGCGATCTCATCTCGGCCAGCCAATATCTCAATCACGTCGACTTCCCCTGCCACCTTCGCAATAGCCGCGCCTACCGCGTTCGCGGAGTCGTGATGAGGTGGCCGAAGGCACTCTTCTACTCCATCGAGGTCCTCCGTGAGGATGACTGAACCTCCGCCGACGAGAAGGACAGACACAGGAGCAGAAGAGACTTTCATCTTGTCGATGGCCCGGTCCAGCTGTCGTTTGATGTCGGCCTTCCCTCCAGCAATTAGATGTTCAGGAATGCTCTTGACTTTGTCGTAGTCACCAATGTCTGCTGCCTTTGAAGCCACGACAATATCCGTCGCAGTCATGACACTTCCTCCAAACACCATGGCATCGGTTGTGAGGCGATGAGCGACCGAGTCGGGACCGACAGTGACCCTCCCGTCGTCCTCAGATCTACGCACGCGACTCCCTCCTCCGAGGCCGATAGAGAGCACTTCTGGCATGGAGAAAGCAGTGCGTACACCGCCAACCTCAACGAAGTTGGGCGCCTGGCGAGGAAATCCCGAGGGCAACAGAGAGCAGATGTCAGTCGTCGTCCCTCCGACATCTACCACCACGACTTGCTTGTCGGCCAGTCTTTGGTCACCATGATCCAGCCCCTGGAGAAAGGCGGCTCCCATCAAACTGTTTGTTGGACCACTGGCGAATGTCTTGATGGGCAGTTCCGCCGCCACGGCGGCATCAGTGAGCGTGCCATCGTTCTGGGTCAGGTACAGCGGACATGAGAGTTCAAGTTTGGACATGGCAAGTCTGAAGCCCCGGATCGTCTTGCGAGCGAACCCCAGGATCGCCGCGTTCAGGATTGTGGCATTCTCGCGGGTTAAGAGTCCAGTTCCGCCAATCTGCCCAGAGCAGACGACAGACAGTCCTGGTTCAAACTGTTGCAAAAGATTTCTACATCTCTCTTCATGGAGACCATTCTGATCGAGCGCAGAGAATACTCCGACAACAGCAACGTACTGGACCCCTGCTTCCACAATCGCCGCTGCCGTCGCTTTGATCTGGACAGGGTCGAGAGACGAGATCTCCCGCCCATCAATCTCAAGTCCTCCATCGAGGTAGAAGGCAGGACCCTCGATGATGTTCCTCAATGCATAAGGAAAATCTGCAAAGGGGGGTATCTAGACAATGTGAGCCATGGACCTTCGGGCAGTGGAAACTTTACTGACTTACCTTCCTGGTATAAGGGCCACACAGTCTCACCACGGCAACACGACTAAGTCTCCGGGCATCATTCTCAACAACGGCATTTACAAAGTGTGTCGTCCCGATGGCGACATTCAACACTTTACTTCTGTCGACCTTTGACCGAGCGAGAACCTCTCGAACTGCACTTTGAATCCCCAGAGTCACGTGGGATGTTGTGGAAGTCTTGCAGGTGGCCAGCACGCCACGCGAGTCGGTCTCAAGCGCACTGATATCAAGGATGGCGGCGTCGGTGTTGGTTCCACCGACGTCGACACCAATACGGTACATGCTCGAGTAATCTGCAAGGGCTCGCTTGGGTATCTTCCGCTGCCTAATGGATTAAAGGTAAGATAGGTCTGTCGCAGACCAGCCGTCTTGAATTATTGAGAGATATCTATCTCCCATGTCGACCGGGCAGCCAGCATAGTCACCCTATAAGCTCCTCTAGGATCTGCTCTAGGGAGCAGTGGAACACTTGGGGGAAATTCAGACACCTTTCGAATGCTCGCTACATCTCCACTACATCGGGATGGTGTTGGTAAAATGCGCCAAAGCCCCCAAACGCCAGATGCCGGACGGAGATCTGCGGACGCAAAAGCGTTGTTTCCAGAGCGGAGGAAATATCAAGAATGGGTAAGTGACAGGGCCGGGCCACCGAGGCAGTGGGCTTATCCACAGGCATTTCCATTAGGGAGAGTCTTCATAGGCCATCTTTCCAGTGATCCTATGGATCCGGTTTTAGTGCTCTCATCCTTGGTTCTTGGACCGACAAAAAAACCCAGCAAATCGTCCCTGACCTCTTTCGATTCCTCGTGCATCATTGGTCCTAATGGCACCCTTCAACACCCTTGTGGGAGAAAAGTAGATGATTAAGCACTGATCTACTGGAGGCTAGTGGTGCAAAAAGCGCCCAGCCCCAGGTAACTAATTGACCGTCCAGCGTCGTTATCAGGGCCTGATTAATCAATCCTTACGAGAATGCTCAACGACGGGGAACTCCAGTTTATAACCCCATCCTGCTCTCCACTGATGGCAGACGACGTCTACCTTCTGCAGTCTCCACCGCGGCTCCCGTTGACGACATGGCGGGCTTCAAAGGCTTTCTGAGAAAACTCGAGGTGCCGTATGAAGGCGGGACGGTCCCGAATCGCTGGATCAACAATGATATCAAGCCTATCGAAAAGGGCAGACGAACATGGACGTTCTGGACCTTTCACAACCTCTGTATGTGACAGTCCTTGGGCATTTTCCATTGGAAATGGCTCAGCTAACGCACGCTTACAGGGGTGTTGACCAACACAAATATCTCGACTTACATGACGGGGAGCTCACTGATTGCGCTTGGGTTGAACTGGTGGCAGGCGATCATTGCCATAGTTTTCGGGGCAGTCCTGTCGACGGTCTTTGTAAGTCGTTTGGGCATTTCGCATTCGCCCATGAAAAAGGTCCGGATTATCAAAAGGGTTGAACGGTGCTGACCACTCCGGGATTGGGACCGATACAGATAGTATTGAACAGCATGCCAGGCGCTTTCTATCACCTTGGATTCCCCATCGCGAATCGATACGTTTGGGGCATGTACGGCAGCTCGTTCGTCATCTACAATCGAATCCTCTTGTCGCTGGTGTGGTATGCCGTGCAAGCCTGGATCGGCGGCCAATGTGTCTACGTCTGCCTCGAAGCCATATGGCCGAATCTCGAACAACGCATTCCAAACCACCTTCACGCCACCGGACTAACGTCTGCATCATTCCTCACGTACTGGATCTTCTGCCTTATATCGCTCCCCCTGATCTGGATCCGGCCGCATAAATTGAAGGTGTTTTTCTACGTTGCCGTCGCCTCGATCTTCACTTTTGAGATTGTGCTCTTGATATGGGCGCTGGCCACCATGGATGGATTCGGCGACACGATCACCGGTCACCCACAGACCCAGGACACTTCGACTGGCTGGGCGGTTCTGTACGGCATCATCAGTGCCATAGGAGGGATCGCAGCGGGGATCCTGAACCAGAATGATTACGCGCGTTTCGCTCGTCGACCGAGGGATGCGATATGGGGTCAGATCGCCAGCGCCGCAACGTACTCGATCATCAGCTCTGTTGTCGGGATTCTCGTCACGGCGGCCACGCAAAGGCGGTACGGCGCCGCTCTGTGGAGTCTGCCCGATCTGCTGATTGCCATGATGCACGCCGGGGGATCCAGGTCTCGAGCCGCGGGCTTCTTCGGCGGTGCCGCGCTCGTCATCTCGCAATGGGGCATCAACGTGCCCGGGAACGCCCTGTCCGGTGGCTTCGACTTCGCCGCGACTTTCCCCCGGTACATCAACATCCGCAGAGGAGCGTATATCACCGCGGTCTTGTCCATGGCCGTCAACCCCTGGCAACTGCTCGCCACGGCCTCGACGTTCCTCGCCGTCCTGTCGAGCTACGGGGTCTTCCTGGGTCCGATGATCGGGCTCATGATCTCCTCGTATTACATCGTGCACCGTCAGAAGATCAAGGTGGATGACCTCTACCGAGGGGACAAGACCAGTATCTACTGGTACACATATGGCATCAATTGGCGAGCGCCAGTGGCGGTACGTACCATACCCAGCCTTTTTGTGATATTGATTTCGAGTTGTTACGCACCCAGTCACCAACCTCCTGCTTCGAAGCGAACGTTCAGTCCCCTGGACTTTTCCTTACCTTGGCTAACATAAATTGTGCAAAGTGGGCATGCGGCGTCTTCCCTTCGATGCCGGGCTTCATCTCCAACGTCAACAACAGCATCCACGTCTCCCTCGGCTGGACGCACGCGTACTACATTTCCTTCTTAGTGGGCTTCTCCATCGCGGCCGTCGTCTTCGTCGCGCTGCACCACTTTCTGCCCGTGCCAGTCGTCAAGGACTTCGTTCTCAACCCACAAACCAGCAGACAGGTCATGGCCGAGGCCCAGGCCACGTGGGACGCCACGGAAGACATGATAGCCGCCAGTGATGCTAGTGTGCCCTCGGAAAGCGTGTTGCCCAAGGACGTGCAGGATGTGGAGGGGTTTCCGAAGGATATCTGAATTCTTGAAAGCATTGGATGGGTTGGGACGGGATGGAATGTAGGATTACATGCACGAATTTGACGAATGAAACGAATTGACGATGATGAAGGTAATGATGAGGCTGAATACCCCTTTAGTTTTTCTTATCCGGAACGATTCCTCGCACTTCAACCACGCTCACTGCGCTAGACGTGACGGCTCTACATCCCAAATGCCCGGGTGTCTTTGAGCTGAATCGAAGGGAGACTTCTCGCGGGGGTGAGATCACTGCCAGTCAGACCTTGACAGCGCACGAGATCAGGTGGTTCAAATGCAGAGGCACACGAGCTCAGTAGCAGCTTCCTTGAGTGCCAAATGGGTGAGGCAGAAGCCCTTCTTGGTTCCTTCTATTCCCTCGGTGAGGCTCAGAGCTTCCAGAGTACATTAGAGTCCTTCACCGATCGTGTTCTGCTCCGGGGACTATCGCAATAGATCCTACTCTCCTTAGCCTTCGAGAGATGTGTCTCCTAAGCATGTCACTCGGGAGTCTCTGGCTTGCGACCGTCATCTTCGCCTCTGGATATCATTGTATGACTTTCCCCACGGCACCACAGTCAACGCCAAGGCTCACCAAATGCGGCTCTCAGCGGCTCATACAATGAGCTCCCCCGGGTCCGGCATTGCGGCCATGGTTGGGGCTGGACACGAAGTCCTGGATATCTTCCTCCATTCATATCGGTGTGGGGCTGCATGGTCTGCAGCAGCTTGCTTTGAGGGAGCAGGAGAGAGCCAATCTGGTTCATCTGCATGCATCGCCACGTCACTCAGTGCTAGGGTCTCCTCGAGCCGTCTGCGGCGCTTCGAATTATCTCCCCAGCATGATCGCCCCCGCAATATGCGGCTGAAGTCATGTGTAAGGAATAAGTACGTGCCTTGCAGCCTGTAAACCCGGCGAAATAGTGTTTACTCGATAGCTAGGACTTCTCTAGCAAAGGCCCGAATTTTCATCCAGAACTATGGCGCCGACAAGTGCCTACATAGCAATTCGACTGATTGATCCTCTTTTGCTAGATTGCGTCAAGGCACACGAGCTTCTGAACCGTGTCGACAATCCTGATGAGGGACTCTCCCATTCCGTAGATCGATTGGAGGCTCCATTGATCGGCATCGAGAAGAGTCTAGTGGGCATCTTAGTCCTCCTCCTCAATCGAACTGATCGCCTCCGCCATCCATTTCGAGAAACGAGTCGCGAGGAGAGTTGCTTCAAGGCGGCCCTTCGTGGATGTTCAAATGTCATGGCAACGATCATCTACAATCTGAACCTTCTCGCTGCTAGAAAGTCTCCTATCGTGGCCACCTGGGATGATTCCCAGAGACTTTTGGAAGTCTACCGGAATGCTCTATTGGAACTTTCAGGCATGCTCAGTCCGTAAGTGGTTCGGGGTCTCCTACGTTGAAGTCGGACTAAGCATCAAGAAGAGCCCGGACCGGTCCATCGACATCAGATTTCCTTGAAAGAATCAACACGAACAATAATCAGGCATCAAGGCTAAAACGGATCGTTGACGATCGCCAGAAGCAAGAGCAGCCCAGTAAAGCGAGAGATCAAGGGCAAAAAGACCGTCCGACCGATGTGCAGCCAGAAGCTCAAGCACCCAAAAAAGAGCAAACCAATGGAACAAAGACTACTGCTAATACCGCCGCAACACAAGCTTCGGGACAATCCACTCATGTTGATGCCCCGACTAGCTCAACTCAGTCACACGATGACTGCACAGGGTACAGAAGAGGCTTAAAGGAAGGACGTAGCGGTGTTTGCCATACGCTCAAGAGACTCCATCTTTTTGAAAACGAGGCCCCTAGAGGCAAACGAGCATCATGGTTGCTGAAAGCCATTGATAAAGATGGCAATAAGGACTCCGCCGAGATAGTAGAACTTCTCCTTGAGCTGGGGGCTGATCCCAATCAGTTATCGTCCAACATCGACTGCGAAAAACCTATCTACCTTCCATTGTGCTATGCTGCAAGTACAGGAAATGCGGCCGTCATGGAACTGCTCATCAAAAAGGGTGCAGATATTCGTGCCCGAGACAGCTCCGGCGACACTGTACTTCTACGCGCAGCGAGATATGGAAAGGACGGGTTGGTTAAGTTCCTACTAAACGCGCCACATGATGCCGATATCGAAGTACGAAGGGCGGACACAACTGATCGCAAAGGATTTACTCCGTTGATGATGGCGGTCCATTACGGCCACCCAAGTACGGTGAGGCTGCTGCTCGAAAAAGGAGCAAATCGCGAAGTAGTGGATGAAACTGGGAACCCCCTGCTTCACGTCGCTATTCGAAAAGGTAGACTGGAGATTATCAAGCATCTTGTTGAAAAAGGCGTGCAGGTTGCAACGGTCAATACCAAGTCTCACGATACAGCCCTACATTGCGCAATTCGGAATGGATCCATCGAAGTCGTAAAATACATCCTTGAGAAGGGTCCTGCTTTGATCAACACACCGAACAAGAATGAAACCCCTCTGGCTTTGGCTGCGAGAGAGAAAAAGCTTGATCTGATCGAACCGTTGGTTAAAAGTGGAGCCAGGACGGAGGCAAAGGATCACCATGGTCGCACGCCACTCCATAATGCCGTCCTTGCTAAGGACATAGAGATGTTAAGGAGGCTGGTCAAGGTGGGCGCCAAGGTAGAAACCCACGATACTGCTGGGCGAACCCCACTTCACAGCGCCGTTGTGGCGAAGGACGTTGCCAGTATCAAAGTTTTGTTTGAGCTGGGTGCTAAAATCGACTGCTCTGACAACAAGGGACAAACACCGCTTCACCAGGCCGTCATGAGCGAAGACCTAGAGTCGGTGAAGACTTTACTCACCTTCGGACGCAAGATAGAGATGAAGGATGGCGCTGGTAAATATCCTTTGCAATATGTTATGGAAATGCCCAAGTCAAAAGAAGCCTCGGCTCTGAACCTACTGCGCGAATTTCTAAAGGTCCATGACAGGAAAAAACCGTTTCACAATGGATTCCACGCATTGTCCAAAGCAACCCGTGATGGAAGGCTGGTATTGGTCCAAGAAATCCTCAGAAGCGATCCCGAACTCGTCACCTGGAGACCGTCTGCTGGCAGTGCTTTCCAGCTGGCTCTACACGAAGCGGTCAAAGCGAACAAAATGGAAGTTCTCAAGGAGTTGTGCATTTCAGCAAGAGACCTGTCAGCCATCGACATAAAGGACCATCGAGGTAATACCGCCTTACATCAATCCATCATCAGCGACCGCCCCAGCATGATTCCTCTGTTGATTCGCAATGGCGCTAACAAGGAGCTCCCATCGGGTGCAGCTGATGGATCGTTGCCTCCTCTGCACCTTGCAGCTCGTGAAATGAACTTGAAGGCCATAGAGGTGCTTTTGCGTATGAACGCAGATGGAAAAAGGCGCATACCGGGGGGTCCAATTTGTGACCGGTGTAGTGAGATGAGAGTGCCGCCACATGGGAGGAATGCCAGATGTATCCTCCGCAACTTGGATCCCAGCGTCCGCTTGAAACCCAGTTTCAAGTTGATCGAAGACGCGCTTCTAGCAGTCATCAGAGCGTGACAAAGCCAGCCGGTGCTGGCCAGCGGAACAATACCATCTTGAAGAGCGATCCAGGTTGATCCTTGGTATCAAGTAGCTTGTGAATGGGGCTGGTTTGAAGTTTCCTTATTTGAGAAGAGCGTGGGCAGTACTCGGTAATATTATGTCATCTGCCTGATTTTCGTATGTGGAAAGAAGGTTTTGATGACGTCACTAGCGTCCCGATCAAGGCACTACAAGACACCGCCAAGGTCGCTCACGTGATATAAAATCTATTAGTTTTAGCTAGCCACTGCCAAGCCACTGAAGAATGGCCCTTTACCTGCGAACTACCGGGTATGGTAGACTCCAACGTTCCCAAACACCAGCAGTGAATGGCAATGCCGTAATGTGGACATCCTCCGTGGGTAACCGAGTTTCGCAACATCGACCACGAGACAAGCAGAGCGCTCTGTGATAGCTGGGCAAGGTATGTAACAGCCTCATAGCGGGCAAGCACGAGCGAGACGGACAGGACAGGGCAGACACGTCTCACACGCAAGGCTCACACTATATGGCAAAGGTCGCGTCTTCACAGATACGTTCGACGCGTCACGAAGCGAGCCATCTCACGCCACGTTTCCACGTCGTCAGCGGTACCTGGCAATTTTCCATCCTGCGCCAAAATAGCACCAACCTTCGCCCAAAAGAAATACCACCATGGCAGACTCTACAAACGCAGCAGTTGCACCGCGAGTATGCGTGGTCTGCAATAAGGCTGAGGTTGAATTGTCCACTGGCTCTGGCTTAAAAAGATGTAGCCGCTGTCAGAAAGCGACATACTGCTCCAAAGGTTTGTCTTCGTTTGTGGCAATGGCCGCTCCTTTATGGATCACTTACCGGCCGTTACATAGAGTGCCAGACAGCTCACTGGCCGCAACACAAAACCGTATGTCGATGCCCAGGCACCACACGCACCAACCCTACTACCACGCCTCTTCGCCCTCCTCACCCTCTCCTGTTCAACTACTTCAAGGACTTTGACACTGAGTCCAAGACCTTCGAGATGCTTATTGATGCCTTTCGCCTTCGCTGCGACGACGACTATGCTTGGGGTGCTCATTACCATGGCATCTATGGCCGAAAGCCCCCGCTCCCGGTGTTCCGCGATTTTCTGGCTCGCGCGAAAGCCGCGGGGATGTTGCCACGCTGGTGGGATGAGGAGAAGGAGAAGGAATGTGTGCGAATGGCAATGGAGGATGAACACTTCAACATCAAGTTTGCGGTGGAGAAACATGATATCGTGGAGCACTACGAGGATCGCCTTATGCCGATGACGCTACGCATGGCTGCAGAAAATGTCTATGGTGGCGGATATGGGATGGGGCAGAGACCAATGCCCGAGGACTATGTGTGTCAATGTTGAGGGAATCTCAACGTGCTTTGGGTGTGGCGGGGGGGAGAACAAGTCTCCTTGTGATCGACGGCGTCCCGCAACACGCCGGCTTCGAGCATTGGCACGGGCAGCTGGCAACCTCCTTCGCTACAAGCGGATCATAATTTTACAATTTATGATACTAGAAAAAGTTATTCGAGTTCACCATGGAGGATGGCATGCAGAAAACGAGCAAATTTTGGCCTGTATTGGCTCCTGTGCCGGCACCGGGTCATAGGCTGAATTAGGTTGGAGCAGTATTCATCTATCATGGAGATCATAGGCAGTCGTCTGAGGAAAATTCACCCAGCAAACGGTTCGGGCAGGTGTTCAGAGTACGATGCACTGTCAGTTTGGGAGCGTCAAGGCAGCATCATCCTCCTCCCCAAATGGGTGAATAGACCTTTGGTGCATAATAATATCCGTCTCGTCGAACCCGAGATAGCAAAATATACCTCTGCCGGAGGTACACGGCGGGCGGAATTGAAAAATAGGCGGTACACTCGGGCATCGAAAACAGGGCGGGCTGCATCTATGGCGCCAAAGAGTGCTCGACAGCGGCGAAGCGGCCGCTGCATCCAATACAGTTAACCGTATGGATAGAAGACTGCACACCACCATTTCCAAAGGCAAACGAAATGCTCAATATACTTGAAGGTCTTGCCGTTCCGAGATCCTGCCACGTCGATAGACGAACGGGCCGTCACCAAATAGCTCTAGATCGGTGACGGCAGAGGAATAGGAAAAGCAACTGAGGGGATCGAAGACATCTTTTGTTTACATGCGCGCCTCATGAAGCCGTATGGTGGGTCTGGAAAAACTGTTTTCCTGAAACGATTGGAGAGGGCAGAGAGGGCCATGAATAATAAAGCATTTTGTCCACAATAAGACGGACGCCCTTTGACCATGTCCAGACATGTGCTCCTTTTAGTTTCTCCAAATAGCCAGTCGCGGGTTCCTCGACCTGACCATGACTAATCTTCACAAATTCTCAAAGCGCGCTCGGCAGTATGTCATGACAACGAAAGCAATAGACAAGAAGTGGGCTGGGGGAGGGAAGACACTCGAGAGAGAAGGTGGGTTAAAAGGGCAAGGGGATCTCTCCTCCGTACAATATCTCGGTCTCACCCTCTTCCCCTCATCATCTCATCTTCAATTGCCAGTGTATGCCGGTGCAGCAGCCAGTCTGGCTTTTAGAAACTGGAAAGAACGATTTCGAACGATATTTTGCCGCTTCATATGTCGCTTCGAATTCGAAGTCGAGAGTAACAACCAGAAGATAGAATCAACATCTGAAAATTTCCTGCGGCGGGGTTCGCGTCTCGTGTCGAGGCCACGATTTTGGAGCCTGGCTAAAGGAAGGAGGCACCGGTCAACAAGAACAAAAAATGGCCGATGATACATCATTCCGCGGCGAAACGTCCCTCTCGCGCCTCCTTTCCACCTTGCGCGCAACGCTGCATGAGGAAACATATGTCTTCGCGAGCATTCCGGACACCCACCACCTGCCCGTGCCGGTCGAGGAGATAACTCTGTTCTTCCGTGAGCCGCACCGGGCCAGCGGGAGTGACACTGAACCCTTGTCATCGTCACCCTCATCATCACCCTCATCAGCAGGAGCACCAGCAGCACCAGCACCAGCAAAAGAGGGGCAGGGACAGAGACAGGCAAAAGGCACGGCCATCACGCTCATCCTCCGCCTCGAAACCGCCCAGAAACACGGCATCCAGAACTACACGTACCCGTGCCGGATGATCACGTGCGACGTGCACTCGTCGCTCGAGGCGGTGGGCTTCATGGCCGTGCTGGCGACGAGGCTGGCTGGCCGCGGAATCAGCGTCAATCCCATCAGCGGCTTCTCCCACGATCACCTCTTCGTGCCCGTGGAGCGGGCCGAGGAGGCGGTCGCAGAGCTGCTGCTCGTCAGAGAGGAGGCTGTGAGGGATTTAGAGACTGGATCGAAACGGTCCTGATGGATGGACGGAGCCAGGGACCCAGGGACCCAGAGGCAAAAGGGAGGGATGTGAAACTGTGAAAGGATCTATGTAACACTCATTCGCGTTGGTACAGGACATTCGACAGATGTGGTGTCTTGGGATCAACTCCTGCAATCTCTTAACGCCACAATACAAATTCTTTCGATCCACCGCCAGCAGCAAATTCTAGACCGACAACAAACCATGGTGTAGTGAGCCAGCAATATCAATAACGCATCTAGTGTCAAACTCGATCGTTAGCAAAACATCCCGCAACAATACGCCTTCATTCGCTTGTGAAATGAAGCGTAAAAGTGTATTAAACTATTCTAAACCTATCTGGTTGGGGAGGCTACTTTTATAGCCATAATTACTAGCGTCTTAGCGTATTTCACACGCTCGAGATTTGACAAGGAAAAAAAATGGAGCCCTCTTCGGCAGCACCTCCTCTTAGCTTTCAGATGACTTTGACATCGAAAATTTTCAGATCCTCTGGAACATGGTCACTCCCATCTTCTGCTTTGCCGCGAAACATTGTCTTGACCATCTTTTGCAGGACAGGTCCATATTTAGTGTCTATTGACGCATGCAAATCGTCGAAATCTGTGTATTGCGCCTGGTCATGAGTGATGTAGGAATCACTGAAACCTAGCTTCCGGACTTTTCTATACAAGCCTTTGGTGTCCTTGAAGTCATTCGTGGTGAGAACAAGGTTGAATGTCGTCAATTCTGGAGGAGTCCTCTCGAGAGGTAACTTGGATGACTTAGTTCGGTAGATCTTCCTATTCCCGCTTTTCTGCTGTTGCCTCATAAAGTAAGCTCGTGGGTCGTCGGTGGGAAGCTCGGGTTTCTTCAGAGCGCCCGCTGGTATCTGCGTATCTGAAAGGTTGCTCTGCTCGGCACTCTCGAGAGGAATTTCACCTTCGGGCTGTGGATGGGAGTGTGACAGGTCCTTCAAGGCCTTCAGGTAGCGATTCCGATGTGGATTCGACGTCGATGGTACCGCGGCTCGAGATTTTGAGTTGCCAAATCTCGCATCGTAATCCTCAATGTTTGCATCCTCTACTAATTCCTCCCCGCCAGAAAGCGGTACCGGCCCAGAACTTGACTCAGGCTGCCTTGATCTGCCCACGCCTTCCTGGGGAGAAGTAGAGTTAAGAAGCCCGAAAACCCTTTTCTGATGAGCTATGGCAGCTTTCTTTCTATACTCGAAATCCATAATGTCGTCTAGCTCGGAATTTGGCTGCAGAAGCCCATTTTCTGGTGACCTTTCAAGACCCGCTGTGGTCCTTTCCAATTGAAACTGTAGGTCAGAATGGATATCTTCACTGTCATCTTCACCCGGCTCAGACACTGCGGGAACTCCTCGAAGGCCCCTCTGCAATGACAGCTGGCCATGACCACGACGACTTGAAGGTGGTGTTGGGGATAAGGCTCCAGAAGATTCAGCTTGATCTTGGCGTCTCAGCGGGACTTTAAAGGGTTTTTGGCTTGGTCCCCATCCTCGACGCGTTTGACGGCTGGACGGGGGTGACAACATGCTGTTATGGGACCTCGACCTCAGGTTCGGGACATCAGGAGCGTTCATTGGCGAATTCGGGGCTTGAATATTCGGACTGATGACACTCGCGCTTGAAGCCTGATAAAATCCGGGCTTCAGCGATAGCCATGTCTGCAGATTTGACTTTTGCGCCACGCTGACACTGTTGCTGTCATCTGAGATGCGTAGGCCTACTTGTTCATCTTCTGTGGCCGTTGACGCTTTGAACAGTCGTCTCATGGACAGGCCTGGGTTGGGTGTCAAAGTAAGACTGAGACTCGAACTGCCTGAGGGAGATGCTGAAGGCTTCCGTGAGCCTGTCACTATTGTGCGGATGTTCTTGAACGTCTCGACCTCTTCTTCGTCCGTCAGAGCAGTCGCGTTCATACTAGACGATGACCTGTCTTGGTCTGTGTCCATCCTTTTGGGTTTGACTTGTGCAGTCATTGCAGCAATTGTGAAGGGATTTCTCGTACTTGACGGGTGTGTCAGCATTTCTTCCGCATCGAGTGCGACAGGGATGTTGTCTCGTTGCACTGAACCCTCTTCCAATTCGGCATGGTCCAGGCCTATACGACATTTGTCTTGGGGAGATGTGGGAACCATTGCTCGAGATGGCGTGGTCCAAGCATCTTCTAATACATCAATAGTGTGTTCTCCAACCCCGGAATATGCTCGGGTAAACAAGCATTCCACTAGAGATAGCAACTGATCAGGTCGAGCAAAAAGGACTTCGTCCTTGGTGGGCTCTACGTTGACGTCGTAGCTTCCCGAGGGGCACCGAATCTGCATGAAGAGGAAGGGTCTCGAGACCGAAGACCCCTCAGAGGATGAGAGAGCCTTGTGAAGGTGACGCTTATAAGACTTGGCCACTTCCCGCATCGTGCCTCGATCCGTACTGACGGGACGGCCGTCGATAGAAATGTATTGCCTAGCGTTACGGGCATTGGCAGAACCTGATGCTGTCAGCCATTTTGTGCAGAAAAAAGATGGTCCCACGAACCTGGTGCCGCTGAGAGCAACAGAGCATTGATGCTCCAGCCATTGTCAAGATCGACGTCACAATCTTCCGAAGAGATGTTGTGTGCAGTACATTCAGTCACAATATCCTTCCCCACAATTTTCGTCGCCACTTCTGTAATTGAAGCTATCGAGGCGGGTGCGTAAGTCCAATTGATCTTGTCGTTCTTTCCTTTCAGTATCTTCAACGAGAGACGTACTTCCGGTCTAGCGAAAGCGAAGGAGAATAGGAGAGATCTTATAGCGTGCAAGGTCTTCATGCTTTCCTTCAACGCCGTCTGTTTTCTAACCGGTATTTTCGTGAGGAAATCCTGTACGCGAATCGTCGTCCCGACAGGATGGGAGGCTGAAGAAGAACTGAAACTGTCATGATACATTGAGTGTCAAAAAGAACTGACCGTTGTACCTACCTGAGCATCCCCGAGGCAATATACTTGATGGAGGTCCCTACAACTTCCCCGTCGACTCGGGTAGTGACAATTACTGCCTGGCTTAATTCGACAATGCTCGCCAGTGCTTCACCTCGGAACCCAAGATAGGAGCCGCCAAGTCGATCGAGATCTTCAAGTGACCTGATCTTAGAAGTACAGCCTCGCTTGCAGAGCAGTTGGCGATCTTGGACGTCAATGCCTGTGCCATTGTCCTTTACCTGAATGACATCCAGTGCGTTGTTAGATATTTCGACGCTGATTATTGTTGCTCGGGCGTCTAGAGCGTTATCCACAAGCTCCTTGACGACAGATTTAGCATCGGTTAGAACGAGCGATGAGGTGAGAGCACGGCTTGTGATTTCTGGCAAGGCATCAATTGGCATTTCGCCGCCATGGATGAGAAGATGCAGGAGAAGATGGAGGAGGAGGCGGTGGGCGGTTGAGACACTCGTGAGGACACTTCAACGCGTGCTTGCGCGTGTTTGAGCGCCGAGACGCGTCGGAGCTAATTGGCTAGCGCCTTGGCATGTCGACAAGTCTTTTGAAGTACGTCAACACCCTCGAAAGTCATCTTCTGCTTCTCATTGTACAAAGCTCGAGCTGTCTTCGCCGTGAACCTGCCGAAACTTGCTACCATGGGTTTCGGCAACCCTCTTCCATTCTCAGCTGACCGGCGCTAAGACGAAGCGATGCTACTAGTTTAGCAGACAGTGTACCGCACGAAGCACCAAACACAACCTCCCGTTGGTGTCAGCAATGGACACTCAACAGTTGGCAAAATTCGCGGTGCCAGTGGTTGTGATCCTGGTGGCCTTTCTTTCCTATTCATCTCAGTACCTTTTTTATAGTCTTGAGCCTGGCCCGCTTTCTTTGCAGGACAAGATCATTTTCAACACGTTGGTTGGATGCATATGGATATGTTATGCTCGTGCTTGCACGACGAATCCCGGACGTGTACCCTTTGATTGGAAACCCACTGAGGGTGAAGAAATAGAGTCATGGTCTCCCGGAGACAGAATCTCCTCAAGGCACAGGTATTGCCGTAAATGCGAAGCAATCAAACCTCCCAGGTCACATCATTGCAGAGTATGCAAAAGGTGAGCAGTCCCTCCTGTTCTCGAGATTCATACTAAATATATATCAGATGTATCCCAAAGATGGACCACCATTGCCCCTGGACCGTCAACTGTGTGTCTCACTTCACCTTCCCCCATTTTATGCGTTTTCTGTGGTATGCAGTCTTCGCCATGGGCTATCTTGAATACTTCCTATTCGTGCGAGCTGGTGTCGTCTGGGAGAACCGCAATCTGCCCAGTGTAAGGCCATCCACCCTTGAAACAAGCAGGATCTAACCCAATGCCCAAGTATCTAGGGCCTTCTCCTTCCCAGCTGGTCCATCTTCTCATTTTGATAATTGTCAACACTCTGACTATCTTTCTCGTCTCAATTACCTTCTTTCGTACAATCTGGGATCTCGGGGCCAATGTCACCACTATCGAGAGCTGGGAAATTGAGCGCCACGAACAGCTACTCCGTCGAGCTCGTGCACTCGGAGGATATCTGGACGGTCCAGATGGTATTCGCGTCAAGATTGCGAAACAAGAATTCCCTTACGATATAGGTATTTGGAGCAACATTGTGCAAGGAATGGGGACAGCAAACTTTTTGGCCTGGTTCTGGCCATTCTCTGCGACTCCAACAACGAGCGGGTTAGTCTTCGAAACCAATGGATTTGAGGATCCTGGCACAACATGGCCGCCACCAGATCCTGATCGGATGCCCCGACTTGATCGGTCGCTTGACTCGTCACACGATGTGTTTGTTCATGACCACGGCAGCCTCTCGCCTTATGAGGAGATGGAGGCCTTCAAACAGCGACAGCAGGCTGACTTTGAGCGACGTCCAGATTACTATGGGGTCCAACGACGTAAACCGTTCCACGACCGTTTTGAAAAGGAGAATTTCGTGCCGATCGAAAATGATTATGTCAATCCGGCCGATGATGATTCTGTCAGCGGCGAGGAAGGTTGGCAGGATTCAGGAGGAAACCGACTGAAAGACTACGGCGTCGACGAGGATATCGAGTTCTACGACGAGGACAGTATCCCAATTTCAGAACTGTTGATGCGGCGGAGAGAAGGGCGGGAACTCCAGACCTGATATATGCTGATGCCGACGGTTGGAGGGCCCATGGGTACATAGCAACCCCACGCTCACTCCGACGGAGGCTTTTGACCCGCATTCTCCCAAGAAGCCAAAAGCCGCCTTGTACTCCGGATGGCCACGAGTCTGGAACGGTACAGCAGAGGGTCAAAGTCATCGCCTCCAGTGGAAGGAATCATAACTCAGTCGGCAAATCAATGTGAACAATTGCCACCTCCAAAGAAGGTGTGAGTTGCCGTCAGGCGTGGGGGAACGATCTCTCACCCCACTGCATCAACGGAGATGCACTCGGAAGAACAATGATCCGGGGAAAGAGCATTGAGCTTGTCCTGAGTCCTGCTCTCTACGGCCTCAGCTTCAGAGCTTGCCACATGGCGATCCCATCCCTTAACAGGCTGCACGCGGCGCATGATTGACATGTCTCGGAGGAAACTGCCGCTGATCTTGGGCAGGCGTTGGTACTCGTGTCTCGATTCTACGGGATGCTTTTTATGGTGAGCCCTTTGCGGCCATCGCCGCTCGCCCACGGTTGCAATGGAGTCCCCACCCCACGCCTCCAGATTGTGCGGGGCGTGGAAAAGACGTCTCATACGATTGCGAATTCAGGCTCGAGTTGTCGGCATAATGCCGGGCGAGGTCATTCACTTTATAAACAGTGACGGTCTTTTCGTTTCCACTCGGAGGCTGTTTTTTTGTCCCTTATCGACCACTAGTGAAGGGCAGTCAAACGGGTTGGTCAGGAATCAAAAACTAATCTTGTGCGTCTGGGTTTCCCACTTTCCTCTTGTCTACACAATTTGCCCCAAAGGACAACCAGCGACACAAAAGCAATCTGCAAGATGAACGGCCATCACGCCGCTAGACCCCTGAGACCGGGCATCAACGTGCCCATGGTCACCATATTTGACCCAGAAACCGAAGACGTCGATGTCAACGCGATCGCAAAGCACGCTGTCAGGCTTGCCAAGGCTGGCCTTTCATCCATCACCTGTCAAGGCTCGAACGGAGAAGCAGTACATCTGACCAAGGAGGAGCGGATACTGGTAACGAGCACCACGCGTAAAGCGCTGGATGAAGCTGGGTTTTCAGATATGCCGATTGTGGTTGGCTGTGGAGCTCAATCCGTGCGAGAGACGATCGAGTTTTGCCGAGATGCATACCAGGCCGGCGGAGATTGTGCTTTGGTTCTGCCCCCATCATACTACAAGTCAGCATACAAGCCTGAGTCGTTTGTTGAGTACTTTCACGCCGTTGCGGATGGCTCACCAATTCCCATTGTCATTTACAACTATCCCGGAGCGGTCGCCGGGGTGGATCTAGACTCGGACACCATCATCAAGTTGGCCAAGCATCCCAATATCCGTGGATGCAAGCTTACTTGTGGCAACACTGGCAAATTGAATCGTATTGCTCACGCGGTCAATGCCGCTACACCAACTGATATCGGATCGGGCTGGATGTGTATGGGTGGTTCGGCGGATTTCACTCTCCAAACGCTGATTGCCGGGGGGTCAGGAATTATCACCGGCTTAGGCAACGTGGTCCCTAAGGCTTGTGTCAAGGTTTACAACCTCTATGCCGAGGGCAAGGTGGAGGAAGCTCAGAAGCTACAGGCAGTGGTAGCCCGAGGAGATTGGGGCGTGATTGCTGGTGGAATCACAGGCACCAAAAGTGCGATGCAGTCATATTTTGGATATGGGGGCTACACACGACGGCCACTGCCCAAGCCGACCAAGGAGGAGGTGGCCAAGTGGGAGGAGATGTTGAAGGAAGCTGTCGAGCTCGAGAACTCGCTGTAACAGGTGAAGGCGGCGCTGCTGCTGTGAGACGTACGATAGATGAACTTCACCTTGAGGGAGGCCACATTGCGACGCTACATCTTAGGATCCTTGACTGTGAGGATGAAGATATTGGTTAGAGCTTGACATTCTGGGCCCAGGGGAGATGCGAGACAGCATTGTGTTGAGGTATGTACTTGCAACACTTGGTGAGGGAAGCACAGTGCAACTGCCAGGGTGGCCGGCCAAGGCCGGAATTCCTGTCGCCCAGTATTTACGGCGTGCCTACCAGGTACCAGGCGAGAAGGTACCGAGTACCTCGCACGAGATACTTAGTGAGCTCACCAGGCTAACAGTTCGTTAGTGGCGGGGTCTAATTAGCCAAATTAGTGTCCTGTGCCAACGAGTCCTTTCGTACTACCCAGTACCCAGCTGCTTACCGTAGGCGCCTACCTTTGTACTTGTACATTTGCCGAGTACTAGGGGCTTTAGGTACCTAACAAGTAAGTACAAGTACTTCTAGGCGCCTGGTTCTTTCCTAGAGTCTGAAGCGCACTTGTACCATGTACAGGGAGAGTCCTTTACTTTCTCTCACCCTTCTTCACCAGCTCGGTTTTCAATTTTCACGTTCCACTTCCACTTTCCACTCTTCGTGTTTTCAATCCATCTACCAACTAGATGGCGGGCCTCAATCTCAGCTTTTCCTGTCGGCCCTGTCTTCCTCATCCATGGCGGGGAATGGGCCACTGGGCGTGACGCGGGTCAGACGCATCTCGGGAGTCTGTTGCAAAGGCCAACGCACAACCTACATACGACGCACATGAAGCCGCCTGTGCTCTGGCTGTCGACTAACTAAACTTTGTCTTGCTACCCGATCGCTCAGGCCATTATGCCATCATGCCATCGGCGATATTCTCTCCACGTCCGAGAGATGCACAAGCGAAGCCGGACCACGTTGCCCATGTCCATGTCAGGTCATTTTCCCGGATTTCTCAATAGGCGATCGTCAGCCTCAGCTTTTTCCAGCCAGAGTGACAACGCAGCACCCGCAATCCTTACATATGGCCGTCTCTGACTGGCGTTGTGCACCCGGCAGCCTCTCAGCCTCTGCCTCCCGCTCCCGAATGACTGGCGCTGCGTCGACCGGACGTCTAGTCACTGCAGGTCGCTTTTTGACAAGGCAGACGCGGCGCCCCGCCGCGAAAAAAGCAAGCCGATCGTGACCGCCAGTTTCAACATGGCCCAGCTCACCTCTTCAAACGGTTTTGATCTCAGTTCCATTTTGTTCCTTTCGTTTCTTTTGTTTTACTTTTCCAGCTAGAATTCAAGAAAAATGCCCCAATGGCTAATAATCTAGAAATCGATCACGGCAATCACCAGCACGATTCTGTCACGTCGGTCACTGAGTGTATATTGGGCCTCAGAAAGAAGGTTGACAGCAATGAACTCCCAGGCTTCGCGGAACTGATCGATGACTGGTTTGACCCGAATGTCGAGGTGGATGAGGAGCAATTCATCCGCCGCTTCCTACACACCTTCAAACAGACTGACAAAGATTTCACATACGAGAAAATCGTCGGCGACTACGACGACGAGGTACAGGAAATCTTCAACGACTTTGTCGACGGCAAGATCGACGCCAAGGAAGCCGGCCAGCGATATAGTCAAGCTACCACAGACAAAGGTCCAAGACTCAAAAGGGATATACGCAGAGGAGGTCTTGCCAGTGCTATTCCTGGCGAGCCAAACATCCTTACGGAACCCATCAATCTTCTGAGGGCAGCTCCAACCAGTATCCCTTCTCGCATTCGGGCACTTTTTGCAAAGCTGTTCCCATCTCTGAAAGATCCCAAACGTGCGCTTTATGTTCCGGTAGGCTCCAACGAAACAATCCATCTCTGAAACCACCACTTGCTGAACTATTCAAAGACCTACAAGAACCTCGAGTTTCTCAACCATGGGCGGACGATAGAGAACACTCCAGCATTGACATGTGTGCCTAACACTTCCCAAGATGTCTGCGATATCATCAAGTTTGCAAAGAAGCAGAACATGGGTGTTCGAGCCTCCGGATTTCGTAAGACTGCCAGCACTTCCAAAATGTCGTCTCCCGCCGCAAGTCGTGCGAGTACTTATTAAATTCTCCCAGGTCATTCGTGGTCCCCCGTCTTTGGTCGCTCCAACAAGAAGGGCGGCCAGAATAATGGCGATATTCTGATCTCGACCCTGGGACTGATCGACGCTTCGATACTGCCGAATCTCACATCCCTACCGACTGACATCTTCCAACCGCGTGCAAAGGATCTGAATTCGATAGTTGTCGTCGACCATACCTATGTCAAAGGCGCTCGGCTCACCGGCGGGAAGAAGTATGTTCGGGTCGGAACATCGACGACCAACGAGCAGCTACGTAGATGGTGCATCGAGACCGGCAAAGTCACGATGCCGATGAACATTGTTGAAGTTGAAATCACAATGGGCGGAAGTAATGCCACGATTTGGTTTGTTCGCCTTCCTTCGAGTTTTGATGATGAAGTAGCTGTGTTAACCAATCTATTCGCAGTCATGGCGGTGGAATCCAAAATCCTACCATCTCTGACCTCGTTCGCTGTATGGAATATGTCGACGCCAATGGCATGCTCCGCAAAATTGACATGTCTACGCCCGACATTCTCAGAGCCGCTGCCGGCTGTTTTGGCCTCATAGGCATTGTCACGCATCTGGTCCTCGAGCTTGACCCTTTGTCGTGCGCTCTCATGGAACCCCGTAAAGTTCCCGTCATCGAAGCGATCCCCCCGCCGCCGAGCATGCCAGACTCGGCGATTCCTGCTCCTTTACGGCCGAAGCATCCATTGAGCGCAGAACGAAAAGCCGAGATCCAGCGCGACTTTGAGACCCGCGCCACGACAACCGACTACGCCGAATGGTTCTGGTTCCCTTATTCGAGCGAGGCCTGGGTGAACACCTGGCACAAGACACTCGACACGTCGAATGCGGTAAAATATCCGAGCGATACGAAGACCATCTTGCAAGTTTTCGGCACTTTTGCGGTGCAGATTGCACAAGACGCCACGATCCTCTTGAAATTGACCGAGGCACACCCTGAGACGCAGACGAAATTGCTCACCTGGGTGGCGATGAAGAACTTGGACGACATCGGTCCGAATGGAAAGATCATCAAGACGTGGGTTCCCGATGCACTACACTTCCAGAGGGGTGTCCAGAATCTTAGGGTTAGAGACCTGGAAGTTGAATTCCCGCTTCAACCGAAAGTGAAGTCAGATGCGAACGGACCAGCGGGCGGAGCCGTCAATGGGCACGTCAACGGCGAGGTCAATGGTGCCGCCAATGGCACAGTATCGCCGGCACTAGCCGCAAAACCCAAGGAGATTGACTTGACGCTAGTCCAACAGGCATGGTGGGACGCCATTCTCTCCTGCTACGCTGCCATCAAAACCTGTCCTCAGCGCATGCCTCTAGAGATGCGCATCATGGCTGGATCACAAGTGACCCTGGCACCACAACGAGGTCATACGTTCGGCACCTGCGCGATCGAGATCCTCAGTCTACACAACGTCGCAGATATCTGGCCGGCCTACGCGCAGAAGGTGTTGAACAAGTGGACAAGCTATAAAGACCACGAGGGCAAATTGGTGCCTGTGCGAGCGCACTGGGCGAAAGAGTGGTACGGATACACCGTAGGCGGGCGACGATGGGAGGAGATCTTCAAGGAAGAACAGAGTCAGAACGGGGGTTTCAAGGACGCGATTGCCGAGTGGAGGGCCTCGGTGGGGGAGTTGGCGACGAAGCATGGTTGGAAGACCGAGGACGCGAGGACGAGGTTTGGAAATGAGGTTCTAGACTGGTTGTTCTGGCAGGACGGGACGGCCAAGCAGGCCGCCCCCAATGGCGTGGTTGTTAACGCAGCGAAGGAGAAGAAGCCCGGACTGGGAAAGAGGGTCTTGAAGAGTTGTTTTGGCAAGTGAAGTGAACTGACACGGCGAAAGACAAGGGGGAGGGAGGGAGGATATATTAATGCTTGTCCTCGATTGATTTTATGCAGATGGATGCTCGATACCCCTTACCCATCCATCCATACCCTTGCCACGAGCATCGACACTGTTACCGACACCGATACCAACACCGACAGCCTCACGGCAACCTGTTACGACGTTACGCACGATGCAACTTGTTGTGCTTATATAATATATACTGATGACGACAACCTCATGCTGGCCACGGCCACCACCGACAACGACCGACAATGATGAGTGTAACTAATGAATGGTCCATGATCTGAATGATTCTGACGAAGATATGTTTGTTGATATTTGTGTTGACGGTAGTGTCGCGTACGAATATGAATGAACGGATAGTGGCATTTGCTGTGCTGTGTGAAGTGTAAGTATTGAGTATCGAGTCATGAACATGACATTGCATGTGCTCTATCTATCCATCTATGTATCTATGTATCCATCAACCCATCCAGTAGCGGCGTGAGACTTGCGACCTGTACGGGGGCACCTCTTAACTCTATACCTTGTTTTGCTTCTCACCGACTACTCGGCTACACGCAGGTCAGAGAGGACTGTACGTATGACGATTCGGGGGCTGACGATGGAAGTGATGGTGTGGTACACTTGGTCGCTCGACTCTCGCAGAGCGCAAAGGGTTGCCTCTGAGACGGAGGGGAAAGGAAGGCGTATCGATATCGCACCTTCACTCTGACTTTCCCTCTGTTTCTTCTTCCTCCTCCTCCTCCTCCTCCTCCTCCTCCTCCCCCACGGCCGCGCACACGTCCGCGCTTGAAGAAAGTCTAGGCCTGGATTCTGGCTCAGGCTCAGGCTCACCAGGCGCGATCAATACCCCTTCCGGCGATCGACAAGGTTGAACATCTTCTCGCCCTTCTCCCTGCGGGCCCAGTTGACCATGAAGACGTCATACGCGCGCTGGGAATACTCGGTGCCCAGGCCACTGATGTGGGGGGTGATGATGACGTTCTTTGCGTCCCAGAGCGGGTCGTCCCTGGGGAGGGGTTCTGGGTCCGTGACGTCGAGGGCGGCGCCGAGGAGCACGTCATTGTTCAAGGCGGCCACGAGGGCGGGCTGGTCGAGCAGCGCGCCGCGCGCGACGTTGATCACGAAGCACGAGCGGGATTTCTTGCTCGGCAAAGACGTGCGGCCTAGGATGTCGAACTCGGCCGTCGAAAACATGTGCCGTGTCGAAGGCGTCAGGGGCAGCGCGATGATCAGCGCGTCCAGTCCCGAGGACAGGAACGCGTGCAGAGACGCTTTCGACGTCCCCGAGTACCATGCCCGCGGGATCGTGCCGTCCGGGTCGCCTGTCCCGGGGATGGTGTAGCCGGTGTCGGTTCTTGAGGCTGTTCTCATGGGAGAGCAAGTCGCCCCGTCTGTTGGCCTGGATTGTTCACAACAGGGGAAGGAGGGAAGGAGGGAAGGAGGGAAGGAGGGAAGGGGAAAGAGAAGGGGGAGAGTAATAACTCACCCGGCGTCGAGCGCGGGCTCGCGGTGTAGGCGTGAACATTGGCACCCAGGGCCGAAAAGACGCGGGCGGCTTGAACAGGAACTGGATATCAGCGGAGGGTGCCTTCGCCTTCTCGGCGGGGAGAGAGAGAGAGACAGTTCATTACCTTGACGCCCAATGCTCCCATAGCCAGCAATGCCCACCGTCTTGCCGACCCAGTCGGTGCCGGCGGTCAACATTTTGCGCTCGGTGCCCCAGTGGTGCTGCTTCTGCCACTCGTACTCGGTGGCGTAGTGCCTGCTGGCGATCAGGGTGGTCATGACGATCCACTCGGTGATGGGCGGGCCGTGGATGCCCGACGAGGTGGTGATGGCGATGTCGCTGTGGGTGAAGATCGGGTGCGTGATGTAGTGGTCGACGCCGGCGGAGAAGAGGTGGATGAGCTTGAGGCTGGAGGGGAGTAGTATGTGAGAAGAAGAACAGTGTGTGATGGATGTTTTCGCTCGACGTACTTGGGAGCATCTTCCGGTCGTTCAGGAAGGGCTGAAAGGGTGATGAGGATGGTTGCCGATTGCCACAGTTCTGGTTTCGTCGAACAAAGACCTCAGTCAGTGGACGAACCGTAGGATCGAAGGGGATCATATTTCTTTCCCTTTCGCTCGCTATCTGTCTTCCTCTTCCATCTGGACATGTCATGAAAACCCGCCTCCTGGACATGTAGGATTCAACTCGGCTCAACTCAGCTCAACAACTCACTCACCTTTTGGAACCGACTTGGACGCCTCTCCGCCATGTCTACCCAGCATAACATTCAGCTGGAAATAAGTAATGTCGAAATAGGGGAATCGGCGCTTAATTTCCGCCGTGAGATGTTTGGGTTCTGGCTCATAGAGCACGATAAGGAGGTGTTCCTTGTCGGGTCCGCCTCCCATGTTGCTGGCTGGTTGTGTAACTGATAACAAGGATGGGTATTATTATGTACCTAGAACAGAAGCGATTAAGAAAAAAAAATCTGTGAGATGGCAATGTAAGGTAAAGATGGCAGAAGGTCAATAATCCTATGACGAGACAATTATCGCAACAGACGGCCATTTACCGTTAAAGACGTATCTCCGAAAACGGTCAGTCAGGTCATTAAAGCAGAATCTGCAGCCTTTGGGCCATGCAATAAATGATGTATTCCATATCATCATAAGTCGGATGAATGCTCCTTGCTGATTGTCAATGCTGATTCTTAATGCTCGATGCTCCCTCTCTTAAAAACACCATCGCTTGATGAATCCCAAATCCAAACACCAAAACTCCCGTCAATGCTTGTTTCCAACCTCGGTCATGCCAGGCCCTTCGCCGTCACCACCAAACCTCCCAACCGTCACCCACTGGAGCTTGATCCTCTTGTCATCTCGTCGTTCTTGCAGCCCGCTCCATCCCAGCCTCTCTTCTCCCATCTTACCCAGCCCGCCTTCCTTGATCCAGCATCCGATGACGGCTCGAGCCCAGTACAGTTTCTCCTTGATCTCGTTGGTGCGCACAATCTCCATTTCCGATCGGCGCAGTGCATTGTCCATGATATCTTCCAGTGGCAAGCTCAATTCATCGCGGCGTTCCATTGCTTCCCCGCTTAGTCCGCCGTGGCTTGCCAGCCCAATGGCGTCAGTTGGCATGAGATACACGCAATTGACTCGGTACTGGCCATCCTCGTCATCTTTCTCCGCAATCGGCCCATGGATGGTGATCTTGGTGTGGTCTGGGAAGTTGAACTGCAACCCGCCGTCTGCGAATCTCCAGACACCAACATTTCCCACTCGTTGATAGAAATGCACAAAATGCTCGCCCTTACTCGCTGCCTTTGCATTGGTCGAGTCGTCATGCCTTCCCTGTTTGTTCATATATTTCCCAAATTTGTCCAAAAGTGCGACTTCCTTCATCCGCTCCGCCTCACTGCCCTCCAAGCGGACCTGTATGGCATGGGCCGCAGCGACTTGATTGGGATGAGATTCCAGATCGAGCTGAAATTTTTGGGCAGGGACGTCAAGGCGCTTCATCCCCCTTTCATAGTCACTTTGTTCATAGAACTCAACATCCGCGGCATCAGGACCCTGGGGTACGAATTGATGTTCGAGACCCTTGGCGCGCCTGATTGTGTGACTGCTCGCGTGGCGCACCACCACACAGCTACTTGGCAAGGAGTTGTCTTCGGATGATTTCAGAATCATGCCAACCGTGCCATTGGAGAGGATATAGGCTATTCCATGCCGGGTGGAATAGTCTACCCATTTGTCAACCCGAGGGTATGTGGAACGAGTCCGCACTGCTCTGGTGCCGTATGCTGACCTTGGACGTCTTCCTGCCTCATCAAACCTTCGAGGATCGAGAGCCTTGTGTAGGTCCTGCAGAGAGCCGAGAACATGAGAATTGGAAGACTGGGGGACCAACATAGCCCGGTCTGTCCTCGCGATAATTCTAGGTTGATGTCTGGGTAAGGACGTTGGGCGGGCGGACTCTGCTCTTGACTCCGCCCGTTGTCTCTGTTCGGCGTTGGCAGGTCGCTGCTTCTCTGCCATCCCCAACACTGCTTGCCTATCGTTTCCACTGGTAGGTTGTAGCACGTGAGGAGGTATGTCGTCCACTGATACTTCCGAGGTAGGAGAGGAAGACTTTGGGCGGGCAGTTGCACTGTCTGCTCCTCCGACGGATCGCGGGATGTTTCTCGTTGGCTGGCTTTCAGGGTTCGGGGTGGCTGTCGGGATCCCGCTTTTGATTCTTCGACCCTCCTGTCCGGTCCGGCTTGATTCTTGTCTGCTAATCTCATTGATCCCATCAGGCGCAGTCGTCGATCTCGGCAGTGTCCTAGATATCTGGGAAACGGCATCACGCACGGTCGTGCTTCTTGTTGTACGGATGGTGGCAGCTCTTATAGGCCGTTCTCTCAAAAGTGGTTGAGGAGGAGGCTCGACAACTTCCTGCTGTTTTGGCCTGGGAATGTCTTCTTGACCAACGGGCCCTCGTCGGACTGATCCCGAAGGGAGTGCTTGTTGCCTTTGTTGGGCTGCAAAGCTTTGAAACGGTCTAGACGCGGAACTTGCCGGCGGCAAAGGAGCCTTCGGTGCCATCACTGGCAATACCTCTGTCTCCGCCTTGGTGATTTTTGAAGAGACAAAGAGTGGTTCTGGTTGTTCCGGAATAGGCTTTCGACTCCGTACGCGTGTAGATAGCAGTGGATGCTTCTGCCGTGCTGTCCATTCAACGTGTGCATCAGAGAATTGCTTGTAGAGAGTCCCTGGTGGTAAGGGAACAACTGGTGCACACCCTTCTCTATTTTCAGCTTCAATTTCGACCAGTGTCGAGATGTTTAGACCAGTTCCAACTCCAGCCCGGGGACGGCCATCGGAGCCGATACCAATACCACATTCGCGGCATATTCTGCTGTGACTGATTCCGTAGCCTGATTGTACTTTGTCTCCACGTGGGTCAGCATTTTCCAGCCATGTTGGATTCGCTCTGAGACAAGAAGTCTCCAATTCGTCGGCGACCGCTCCCATGGTGAAGAAGTCATGTTCAACAAGCTCGTCCATCTCTGGTCTCTCAACAGAGTTGAGGTTTAGACATGAAGCCACAAAATCCTTTGCCTGTTGAGGAATATAATTCTTGCTATCAATCCTCCACTCATATTCTAGCGTCCTCAGTTTCGTGTAAATCTCCTGTTGAGTCTTTGACTGGAAGGGAGGAGTGCCCATGAGCATGGCATAGCATATCACCCCAACAGCCCAGGTGTCAACCTTGTTGTCGTGGCCACGGTTGCTTGATTTGCTCAAAATCTCAGGGGCGATGTAATTTGGCGTCCCACACAGTGTTGTCCGACGATCATGCTCATCTGCCATGACCGCAGCCAATCCAAAGTCTCCAATCTTGATATTCATTCGTGCGTCCAGGAAAATATTGCCCATCTTCAGATCTCGATGAATGACGGATCGCTTGTGCATGTATTTGACTCCTCCGCAGATTTGAATCATGAAACGACGAACTTCAGGCAGACTGAGACAGGAACGGGTTTTGACCATTTCCGTCAGACTCCCATTGGGGCACATCTGAAGAACGACGTAGGTGTATTCGTCGATGGTAAAGGCACGAAGGAATTCGACAATATTTGGATGATGCATTTTGGCATGGATCTGAAGCTCGGTTCGAAACTTTTCCATCATCTTCTTCTGTTCAACCTTTGCCTTGACGACTTTGAGAGCAAATACTTCGAATGTTGTTTTTGACTTCCCCTCGAAACAAACTGCAAATCCTCCTTTGCCTAGCTTCTTTCCCATCAGATATGTTTCTGGCGACGGTCCCGGTTCTGTGATTGAGGGCGGAGGTCTCCATCTGTCGTCGATGCGATCGGGGTTGGTAAGTTTGACGTCGGGCTTTGGTTTCGAGTCTCCTTTGGGCTTCCTTGTGGCTTTGGGAGGCGCCATCGGGATATTTGCTGATCGCGGCGAGAGAACCTCCATGTCAGATTGACGGTCTTTACAGACACTGGGTGTAGTATCGCAGCCGCCGAAGGTTCAACGAGACGAAGATAGCTGCCGTTGCAGCTTGAACCATGGAGGCAAATCAGCTGGAGTGGCAGCCAGTTCATTGACGACGAAAAGGGATAGGAAATAAACATTGACTAACCACAAATGGCAAAGATTAGCTATTGCTTGGCGTGTTTGTCACCGATGCGGAAATTTCATTATCCGGCGAGGGGTCGTCCAGGTCTCCAAAGATCCCGAATACTAGCTCATTGGGGCTCAATGCGTACGGCCCCGAGCCACGGCCAAACGAGCCCGATCAAAAAGTCGCTCGGATTTGAGGCTCACCAATTACTCCTCTCGATGGCTCATTGATTTTTTAACTATATCTGGCCATTTGAGAGTGTTTCGAGATGATTCAATATAACGGAAGACTGAGTAATGTGTGACTGTCGTTGATGGCGTCTGCTGAATGCCTATCGCTTCACCGGAATCTGTATCAACATGTCGCTTGCTCTCAAGTTCACCTCTCTCGCTATTCGTACTCTCTCTAAACCAATAGCTGTAAGTTGACACAGAAGTCTTTACCCTGTCGAATCTTCTCTGACTCTCGAAGAATTTCATCAAGAAACAAGCGCGCGAACATGAAGGCTTCCGCCGGACCTGCATCTCTTTCGCCCAGACTCTCCACAGAATTGACATGCGATGGCGGATAGGTCTCCTGCAAGATGCTGCGGCTCTGGAAAGACAGGTCGCGAAAGAACAGGCGGCAGAGGCTGCTAAAAGGCATAAACATACCAACGTCCCTACAGTGAAGACAGAAGCACAGATGAAAGCTGAAGAGGAAGCTTCCGCAAGAGGCGCCAAAGAAGTACCGGAACCTCCAAAGCCACGCGCAAAACCCAAGATCAGACCTTTGTCCGAAGCGAAAGCAATCGAGTCGGGCGCCAACTTTATAAGCGAGGCCTTTCTGTTCAGTGTTGCGGCTGGCCTCATACTTTTCGAGTCGTGGCGGTCTGGCAGGAAAGAGAGCCAACGGAGGGATGACGTCGCTGAGAGGCTGAACGACTTGGAGGAGTCTGAAAAGGCTGCCCGAAAAGCATTGGTCGAGCTGGAGAGGGAAGTCCTCCGCCTGCGGGCACAAGAGAAGAACGGAAAGCCAACTGCTACAATAAGACTACTGCCGAAGGAGATATATGAGGAAGACAAAGGAGACGAGAGGGAAGCGAAACCAGCCGGCTGGTTGTCACGCATCAGATCCTTTGTATCCTTCAACAAGGATGACAAGGAGGCAAAGGAAGCTCTAGCAGAGGGCGAGCCGGGGCCTGCTGAAAAGATCCTTGTGCAGTCTGATAAGGCTTTAGAGGAGAAACATAAGCAACAAAAGGCCCTCGAAGCTGCACAAAAGGCGGTCGCTGAGCAGAACCCCAAACAGTGAGAGGCTGAAAGGAGATAGTAATAAGGATGCCGACACGGTACCCGCCTCCTTGGCACCAGGATGATGTTGACCAGAACTCTCGACTCAACATTTGTACAGTTACCTTGATACAGAGATACCCCCAGTTGAAAAAAAAAAAAAAAGTGTCCAATATGATCCACGCGAAGTTTTCCGTCTTGCTTCGTTCTCGACCAGAATGGCGCACGTTGGGACTTGCCCTGGTCGCCTCAACGACCTACGACTTCCAAGGTCATCAGTGAGGTTCCCGAAACAAGAGCAAGCTGACGGCTTTACCAGAAGACGAAGCGTGTGACTGCGATCTTGTCATGCCACTCGCGGCGTACAAGCGGCCGGCCACGCTCAATGTCCTCTTGCTCTGGTCCACCGATCCCATGGCCTCTGTCGAAGCACGAATACGCTCATTCCTGCTGGAAACGAAGCAGGGGACCGATCGTTATGTTATTGCGGTGGTTAACAACAAGGGGGGCTCCCTGCACGCCTTTCAAATATTCTCGTCTCTGCAAAGCCTGTAAAATGCTTGCCCCCCTCTGAGAGCTCTTTCATCGTCCCAGGAACTCTGACGGACCACCAGGATGCTGGATGTTTCGCCCGCTCCCATTCTCATTGCACTGTCGATCGAAAGCGTTTTGCCTACGATTGAACGCTACATTCAAGAGCTGCACAAGAATTTCGAGATCAAGTTACCGCCGCTCCCGATGCCTACGACTTTGGTGGCGCATGCCTGTACCACTGCACCCATTCGGCCTCTCTCGCCGCACGATGCCAATATCTTGACTGACCTTTGTCATTCCATCCGAGAGTTGGAAGAAGCTACAAGAACAAGCAGCGGAAGGGAGCAATTGGCGGAGTATCTGGGACCGGCTGTCACCAAGAACATTGTCGATTTCTGGGAAGATGAATGGATCGGATCGTTTGATCACGTGTTGAACTGCTAACCTGGACGCTCGATATAACGTGCGTTCAGCATGGGGACACTAGTTAGGAACCTATTAGAAGCCTCCGTTCTCGTCTGATGCTGAAAGCCGTCGAGCCCGCTACAGCTTGTTCTCGGCGTGAAGGACATGAGGGCCGTTCGCAGATAGATTCAGCTGGTCCTTGTGTGACATCTCCTTCGCCTGCTTTGAGGTCTACCAAAGGCGGCCGGATACACAAGAATTTTGGCCGCGAGCTCACCGTTGCAGGGCAATGTACTTCTTGCTATGTGACATAGCGACCAATGAGAGGAAGAATCGGGCGACTACTGATGGGCAACCGTGTGTTGGATGAGGATAGGCACGTTGATGCCGGCCTCCTACATGGGCAGCTACTTCCAGTTACTTCCGAGAGCGTTCTTGTGATGCTGTACTCCTCGATGGCACGTAGATGTTGCGACTCAGAGGAGGAGGGAAGGGACTCACCTCATTTCCATTGGGTCATCAGAGCTGCATGGTTGCTCATTGTCCCAGCACGACTCGGTGAATGCTTTATCTACCACCCTCATCCCGTTACCTTCCGCAAAATCCAAGATGAAGTATATGAACTGATCATCTCCAACAGTCAACATTCCAGCATACTTCTCACTTAAAACTACCAACCGTCTGAAAGGCCAACAAAAACCCTGCCACACCATGTTGCTTTCAAGGCTATTTTCGTTGCTCCTCCCAGCAATCTCTGTCCTGGCAATGCCGGCCAACAAAGCCAACGACATGACACACACCCAATCTAAGCGTCTATTCGCCGCCGAGTGTATTGAAGGAGCAAAGGGCGAGGAAGTCATTGAGGTGTACTCAGCATACGTCAGCGCCGCCGACTCAGCAAAGGTTATGGAGGAAGCGGAAGCACAGGATTTGACCAAGCGTCTGTTTGTTGCCGCGTACATTGAAGGAGCTCTGGGGGAGGAGGCCGTCGAGGCGTACCCGGCCTATGTCAATGTGGCTGACTCGAAGAAGGTGTTGGGAGAGTAATAGCAACTCATGGACAAATAAGGGGGAGGAAGCGAACAGTGATTCTCAGATGTCAAGAGATCGACAATATGCTCACCAAGACTGAACACAGCCGCTGTCCGGGATGGTGAAACAGTATCTGGGGAAGCGCATCACAGCGAAATACAAGTGTGACCTGGCGCAAGAGTGGATTAAAGGTGCCGGCTGGCATGAGATATGTAGCAAAACATTTCCTCGGTCTCGTTACCCTGCATACGCATGGAACCGATATGCGGGATGCAGGGTAAGCTCGCAAATCCCGCATGATCTCTGTTCACCTCGTCTTGGAAAAATACGGACAAGCCTCAGGATCCGGGCCTTTGATTGAGGAATGTGAGGTTGAATGTGTGGTGATGCATTGTTCCCGTCGTCAAGTAGGATGTTGAAGGGGGGGGCGAACTGACGTCGCAAGAGGCTCAAACCTCTTGACTTGGCATTTGCCCACCTATGTTGGTATCTTTTACCCCAGTACTCGGTAGGTACAGATATTGTGCATCTCGTGGGAGACCTGGAGATACACAGTGAGGTCGATCTGGAGTCTGCAATCAGTGGCGTTTGGAGTGGCCGCCAAGAAGATGACGGATCATCACCACTGATTGCGTGTCGGGCGCGTCACAGCCACAGCGGAGCGTGCAAGAGTGTGGCAATGGAGATTGGAGCATATGAGTGCCTGTCCCGGGAGTTGCAGCCTGTGTGTTAGTACGTACTTGGTAGGTAGACAAGCTGCCGGTTGGAAGGGAATTCATTGTGACTGACCAGACTGACTAACCGCAGCTTCCGCTATAGCGCTGTTGGTATGTCATAGTCACTCACTCCGGCGCCTGTCGCCTGTCGCCTTGTCGCCTGTCGCACGCCGCACGTCGTAGGCAATCGACAAAGCACCACTGCCACCAGCACCGCCGCACTCAGACTCGTTGCCAATCTCATTCTCATTCTCATTCTCATTCTCAGCGTGACAAGGACAAGGCCACCGAGGCTTTTCCAATTGTCCTTCTTCCGTGATTCTTCGCTTTCAATACTTCTTACTACCCTTCTGGTATTCAGTACATGTCCCTCAGGCACTCCTGCTATCCCATCTCATTCCCGCCAATCTCCCCTCCCCGCGCGCATGTCCTAAACAATCAGAACCTCCACCATGGTCAGTGTCCGCGCCATAAATCGCTTTGATGCAAACGCACTCACTTACTCTCGACTACTAGGGTCAAACAAAGCGCCGCGAAGGCAAGACCTCTCGCGCCCCTAAATCTTCTCTTTTCGGTGGCGGCAAGTCGACACACGCGGATGCCGGGCAGCCCCAGATCAAAAAGGCAACCTTTGAGATCACAAAAAAGAAGGAAGTGGGCGTTTCAGATCTCACGCTGTTGAGCAAAGTTTCCAATGAGGCCATCAACGACAACCTCAAGAAGCGCTTTGAGCATGGCGAGATCTACACCTATATCGGCCATGTGCTGGTCTCGGTCAACCCTTTCCGTGACTTGGGAATCTACACAGAGCAGGTCGTCCAAAGTTACCGAGGGCGAAACCGTCTCGAGGTCCCACCCCACGTGTTTGCCGTCGCAGAGTCAGCCTACTACAACATGAAGGCCTACAAAGACAACCAATGTGTCATTATCTCGGGCGAGTCGGGCGCAGGCAAGACGGAAGCTGCCAAACGCTTGATGCAGTACATCGCCAGCGTCTCTGGCGGAAGCGATTCCAGAATTCAGAGAACCAAAGACATGGTCCTGGCTACCAATCCGCTCCTCGAGTCCTTCGGCAACGCCAAAACACTGCGAAATAACAATTCCTCTCGCTTTGGAAAATACCTCGAGCTTGAGTTTAACGAACAGGGTGAGCCTGTGGGGGCCAAAATCACAAACTATCTGCTGGAAAAGAGCCGGGTGGTGGGACAGATCACGAACGAGAGAAATTTCCACATTTTCTATCAATTCACAAAAGCCGCCCCGAAAGAGTATAGAGATGCCTTCGGTGTTCAGCAACCTCAGTCGTACGTATATACGAGCAGGTCGAAATGTTTCGATGTACCCGGAATAGACGATGCGAGCGACTTCCGGGAAACCCTCAACGCCATGCAGATTATTGGTCTGTCCAAGGCTGAGCAGGACAATATCTTCCGTCTTCTGGCAGCCATTTTGTGGATTGGAAACATCACGTTCAGGGACAATGATCAAGGAGGCGTCAATATTGCAGACGAATCCGTGGTGGACTTTGTCGCCTACCTCCTAGAAGTCGAGTCTGCTCATGTGCACAAGGCCATGACGGTCAGAATCGTCGAAACAGCCCGTGGTGGCGGACGCCGAGGGTCCATCTACGAATCACCCTTGAACCCAGTCCAGGCTAATGCGGTTCGAGACGCTCTTGCCAAAGCCATATACTTCAATCTGTTTGATTGGATTGTGGCGCGTACCAATGTTTCACTGAGATCCCAGGGCACAGTGAAGAACACGATTGGCATCCTCGACATCTACGGATTCGAGATCTTTGAGAAGAACTCGTTCGAGCAGCTGTGTATCAACTACGTCAACGAGAAGCTGCAGCAAATCTTCATTCAATTGACATTGAAAGCCGAGCAGGAAGAGTATGCCCGTGAACAGATCCAGTGGACTCCCATCAAGTATTTCGACAACAAGGTCGTCTGCTCTTTGATCGAGGACAAGCGGCCACCCGGTGTTTTCGCTGCTCTCAACGACGCTTGCGCAACAGCTCACGCAGATTCCGGAGCGGCCGATCAAACCTTTGTTGGCCGACTGAATTTCCTTTCCAGCAACCCCAACTTTGAGAGCAGACAGGGTCAATTTATCATCAAGCATTATGCCGGTGATGTGAGCTATCAAGTTGTGGGAATGACGGACAAGAACAAGGATCAGCTGCTGAAAGATCTGCTAAATCTGGTCAGCGAAAGCTCAAATGGATTTGTCCATGAGCTATTCCCAAATCAAGTCGATCAGGATGACAAGCGACGACCTCCAACTGCTGGGGACAAGATTAAAATATCCGCGAATGAACTGGTTGATACCCTCATGCAAGCCCAGCCGTCTTACATCCGAACTATCAAACCCAACGAGAACAAGTCGCCCAAAGAATACAACGAGCCTAATGTGCTCCACCAGATCAAATACCTGGGTCTGCAAGAAAACGTTCGCATCCGGCGAGCTGGTTTCGCCTATCGTCAAACGTTTGATAAATTTGTGGAAAGATTCGCCTTACTGTCGCCTAAACTGTCATACGCCGGAGAATACACCTATAGAGGAGATGTTAGGACTGCGTCGGAAATTATCTTCAAAGATACAAGCATTCCAAAAGAGGAATATCAGATGGGTGTAACCAAAGCATTCATCAAGACTCCCGAGACATTGTTCGGACTAGAGCATATGAGAGACCGCTATTGGCACAACATGGCAGTCCGCATTCAAAGAGCTTGGAGAAACTATCTGCGCTACCGGGCTGAAGCTGCCACCAGGATTCAAAGGTTCTGGCGCAAATCCAAGGTTGGCGTTAAAGAGGTTGAATTCCGAGATCAAGGACACAAACTCCTGGCTGGTCGGAAGGAACGTCGCAGATACAGCCTGCTTGGTTCAAGACGTTTCTTTGGCGATTACCTCGGTCTCAATATGCCGGGGGGTCAGGGCCGTGTGCTGAGGGATGCAATCCATCTCAATCCTCAGGAGCGCTGTGTGTTCTCGGCGCGTTGCGAGCTGTTAGTCACAAAATTCGGACGATCCTCGCAGCGGATGCCCAGGATTCTTGTCCTGACCCCCAAATCGGTTTACATCATTGTGCAGGCCGTTGTGAACCACCAACTTCAAATCTCTGCTGAGCGGACAATCCCTATCGGCGCGGTGAAATACATCTCGTGCTCGAACCTGCGGGATGACTGGTTTGCACTGGGCATCGGGTCTGCTCAGGAGCCAGATCCTCTCCTCAACTGCGTTTTCAAGACTGAATTCTTCCTGCAATTCAAAACGGTCGCGGTCGGCGGAATGAACCTCAAAATTGGAGCCCAGATTGAGTACAACAAGAAACCAGGCAAACCTGTTGTGGTCAAAGTCCAAAAAGATCCAGCAATCGCTCGGGACGACGTGTACAAGTCAGGAACGATCCACGTTCCGCAAGGAGAATCTCCAAACTCAGTTTCGAGACCGACTCCGCGAGCCAAAGCAATTGCCAGGCCTATCACCACTGGTAAGTTGCTCAGACCGGGGGGACCAGGAGGGCAGCCAGCGAAGACGGGCGCTAGACGACCTGTACCCGCAGCCAGACCAGCAGCGCAAACTCATCGTCCCGTTCCAACGCCAGCTGCTGCTCATGCCCTTCCTCAGCATGCCAACGGTCCTTTCTCGCACGCTCGAAACGATTCGGGATCATCATGGGGCCGGACCGCCCCTCCACCGCCCCCGCCCCCTCCCCCGGCTGCAGCTCCCGCCCCAGTGCCATCCACACCTCAAGCTAAAGTTAAGTACGACTTCAACTCACCCAATGCGAATGAACTGTCCATCAGGGCAGGAGAGATTGTGGAAATTGTGCAGAAAGAGAACAACGGTAAGCACGCTTGGAATTCTCCATTGCTCTTGAAATTGGAACTAACGTGGACTGCTTAGGCTGGTGGCTCTGCAAGAACCCTCAAACCAACACGCAAGGTTGGACACCGTCGGCCTATGTAGAGGAGATTGAGCAGGCGCGCCCCGCACCTCCGCCGCCTCCGCCGCCCCCAGCTGCACACCATCGCCCGGTCCCTACGCCATCAGTTGTGGTCAACGGAGGCCCGAAGCCTGGGACGCCGCCGGTTGGTGGCAGAGCGAAACCGACACCTCCCGCACCACCGGCCAAGCGACCAGTTCCCGGAGCCAGAAAACCTGACGCCTCCCCAGCCAGGGATAGTGCAGTGGGTTTGGGTACGAACAGCGGGACCAATTCAGGGCGGGCCACACCGAGTAGCATGGGAGGCGGTAGTCTAGCTGGTGGATTGGCTGAGGCATTGAGGGCCAGGCAAAGTGCGATGAGCGGGAGAGACAAGGACCGCAACGAAGACGACGACTGGTAGACGAGTTGCCGGAGAAATTGTTGGACGTGTGACATGAATGAAAAGTATGTGATTCCGGGCTGATTGTGATGTCGGCCATTTAGAAGAGCGAGTGCGTAGGAGATGACATTGTTGACCCTCGTCCCGAAAGTGCAGGTTGTCGTTATCGCAAGCGTGCCGTCCTTGGAAGAGTATGAGACATGAAATGATCAAGATCAAACCAAGTTCCATGCCATCATCTTCTACTTTGGTACTCCTCATGTGATATAATACTCCTACAAATCATCAGCTAACCAGCTAACCAACTACCCAAGGTACACATGGTCAAATACCGGGCATATGCCCGCTCTCACTGATCCAGCGGACCCTCATACATTCTTGTACATAGCCTATATATAGGCCGATCGGCTAAATTTCGACCACCTGCATTCCCAATTCGCGAATTTCCACGGCTGAATTGGGAGAGACCGACGCGATTGCAGAATCCCCCTCCTCCCCTCCCCCAATACATCCGGCGGATGTTCTGGACCAACTGGGATCATGTTATGTTGGTATCTGCTGCGTTGCTGACGAAGTATGTATATACCTTTGTAGGAAGACCTGAGAAAGGGTAGAACAAGGGCAAGTATTCGATCCATCTACCGTCTGTTAAACATCTACATACATCCATACTTACATACACCCCTTTTTCTGATCTTTTGGCTGTCCATACTGGGAACTACGTACTGCATTCATACTGTCGTTGCAAAATTCATCAGCTAAAAGAAGAGCCTAGCGCAAGGTCGTCATCTCCTCTTCTTACACTATACCCAACACCCTCTCAAAGAATCTTGCACGAGTTTCTTGCGGGGCCTAACCAGCAGCAGCAGCGAGAGCAACCGTCAACCACCAACCACCATGTCATCCCAGCCTCACAAGGTCCTAACCCCGTCGCAAGTCTCGCATTTCATGGAGCACGGCTACGTGGTGATCCGGGGATGTTTCAGCCGCGCCGCCTCTGACGAATGGACGCGTGACGTGTGGACGCGGTTAGGGATGAATCCAAACGACAAGACGACGTGGACGCGCGAGCGGACAAACATGCCGGAGCACCGACGACTGAAGGTGGCCGAGTTCGCGCCCAGGGCGTGGGACGCCATCTGCGACCTGGTCGGCGGCGAGGAGCGCGTTACCGACAAGAGCAAGACCTGGAGCGACTCGTTCATTGTCAACTTGGGCACGCCCGAGGGCGAGGGCAGGGAGTATGCTCCCAAGGAGCTCGAGGGGTGGCATGTCGATGGTGAGTGAGTCTCGGTACAAAGTATCAAGTACAATTCTTCATGGTTTGCCTGGACTACTGTCGCCAGCATGAAGCCTACACAGGTGCTAGGGCAGGCACAAGTTTGGTGTTCCATCAGCTGTGGCAAGGCGTTCGTCGAGGGGGAGAGACAGAGAGCAAAGAGCCATTCATTCCTGACCGGCTCTGACAAAACACGGCGACGTATACATAGGTGACTTCTTCATCCACTTTCTCGACTCTCCGGAACAGGCCTTGCTGGTCATCCCTTTGTTCACCGACATCCTGCCCGACGGCGGCGGTACATGGATCTGCTCCGAAGGACCTGCGAGAATCGGCAAGTGGCTGGTATGTACTGTTAGGTCCCCTTTTACCCCAGGAAGAAAAAGGGGCAGGAATGAGAACAGAGAACGGAAACACATGCGGAGTATTACCAGGCTCACTGATATCGTATACGTACAGTATGACCATCCCCAGGGCGTCACACCGCACATGTAAGTCCCCGACCGTTCCCCAGCTAAACCCTTCCCCCAATATCATATGCAATTCAAAAGAATGCCTACCCTTAGCCAAACAAAACCTCTCTATATATTTACCCCACCAGCTCACAGGTGGGGTGGGAAACCAAAAAAAAAAACAGGATGCCAGTCGACTCGCCGACGGACTCGGACCCGGGTCTCAAGTTCTTCAACGACATAGTCCAAAAGTGCGCGGCGGCGTCGTTCCACGAAATGACGGGCAACGTGGGGGACGTGATCCTGCTGCATCCCTTGATGCTGCACTCCGCGTCCAAGAACGGCCGGCGGCTGGCGCGCATCATCACCAACCCGCCCGTGAGCCTGAAGGAGCCGTTCGACTTTGACCGCGATGCCGATGCGGCCGGCGCGGGGTGTTCGCTGGTCGAGCTCAAGACGATCCGCGACCTAGGCGGCCAGGAAAAGCTGCGCGGGTGGAAGATACAGGGGGAGAGAAAGGCCGTGGTGCCCGAGAGGTTGCGCGTGCAGGCCAGGTGGATGGAAGAGGAGAACCGGCGGCTGAGGGAGAGGGGCGTCGAATATCAAGACCGCACCCAGACCGAGGAGATGGTCCTGGAGCAGGCGAAGGGGCTGAAGCCAAAGATGGAGAGCGTCGCAGTGGCTTGAAGCTGGAAGCCCCATGGTCGGACAGGCAGCGGAAAGGAAAGAGATTTTCCACCAGCCAAGAGGGGGGGATTCTTGATAAAAGATGCCAAATCCTGAGGAGGCCGTCGATGAGGATGAAGATGGCAGGTCGTAGGGCTGATCCGCAGGAGACAGACCGCAGCTCCTGTCACGATGGATTGCTACCTGAGCCTGCTCAGTCGGACACTTGCAACGAGATGAAGCGGGATCGCATGATCGCAAACTGATATCTAGTTTCGCCTTTCCATTCCATCCTATCTGGATGATCTTCCAGGGCTGATTTTTCTGTTTCAGTGTGGGAAGCATCAAGCCACCACGCCCCCAATGCCATATCTACCAGAGTCTCTCAGTCTCTACCATAGTTATCAATCATCGATCCCCCATTCCAATCTCTCAGAGTTCAGAGGTCCAAATGACCTAAAATATCTCCAGTCCTCGAAACCAGACTTCAAGATATTGTTTCCTTGTCGATGGCGGTAATGATTGGAAACCCTAAGAGCACTAGATGTTCGACGTTGGCGTGGAGTGGTGGCATGATGGATTTTAGTACAAAGCGTAATATCCTCACTGCAAGAGTAATGAGTTTGGCTGCGTGTAGGCGCAGATATCTGGAGGTGTCTTTCCGTGAATGTTGAGCGCTGGACTGGATGAAGAAGCGCATGTTCAGTCATTGACTGAGCCAGACTAAGTTCTGCTCTACCACGCATTGGCCGTCCCATTTGTAGGCCAGTCTGTCCAGGTACCGTTGGAGCCAGGCCCATGTCTACCATGCGCCGCGGCAACAAACGGGAAGCCACCATCCTGCCCACGATCAAGCAAGATGGAATTATTGGGCAATATGATGACATCCTCAACATAAGCAAGTACGATCTGCAATCTCGAGGCATCGCGAACAGTCCCATCCCACATTTCGCGACAAAGGGGAATATTCCATTCGTTGACGCAAGGGATGGGGTCTCTGAAGATGCAGCTGCAGTAATAGTCGCACCACGTCACACCCTGATTTTGCACGGTGGAAGTTCGCATAACGGTCATGTTGTAACCACAAAAGTAGCCCAAATCCAATTGCTGGCAGAAGCTAGGCCCGTCCGCTACATTGCCGCAGTTGAGAGCGAACCTGCTGGACTGACTGGGGACACCACTTGGAGGAGCAACCGCGGTAGAGCCTGGAATCTTAATTCCAGTTACCGCTATTTCCTTGTGCACTGAACGCTTGCTATCGTCAATTGAGGTCCCCTGCTCGGATCGTCTGCGTCCACCAGCTTCACGAGCGAGCGGATTCGAGCACCGACAGCTGTGAGTGCATTCAGGAATATCAGCGCCATTGTGAGTGAGAGTTCGTAGGGTAGTGTGCTCCAGAGGCACACAGGAATAGCCTCCATCTCGGCAGTGGAGAGTGAGAGATTCGTTGTGTCTGCCTTGTGACCAACAGGTCATACCGAAAAGATCAAGATTATTGGTCGCGGGGATAGTTGTGATATCGTTTGCTCTAGGCTCCAGGTTGATTCTTGTCTTCGAAGGCAATGACAAAGCAGACGCACGCTTTCCTGGCGTCGCCGGACAAACACATCCTGCTTGACACTCTTGAATGACCTCCATATGCTGTAAGACCCAAACTGGCCCAGGCCCACAATCATAGCCATGCTTCTTGCAGTAGTCGGTCAAAGAGACATCAAATGACCAGGTGCCTTTGGTAATCCCGTTGTTCGAACTGCAGCCAAGGACAAGATCTTGAATGGTCACTCCGCTGGGTGTCGGGGAAGGCCGGATTAAATCGTGCTCTGTGCCTTCACGCTTCCAAGTTGACGACGGGCAGCCACAAGCGACATCACATTTCTTCATGTCCTTCGTGCCGGGCTGCCGTGTTAATGTGAAGATTGCCCGTGCAGGGTCGCTAACGCATGAGTATCCATGGTGCGCGCAGAACATGGTCAAGTTCTTGTCATATAGTAAGCCGCCAGTGAAAGGAGACACTTCTCTAGAGTGAGACTTGCAGATCATCTGCTGCGGGTCGGCTGATGCTGCAATAGAATCTCTCGCAACTAGCTTGCGGAAGTCCAATGTACCGTTGGGGTAGATATGTGCGTCGTTGACATCTCCCAGAAGAGTGCCATTGGCCAGATAGACCTGCTTTCCTTTAAGCAGGCAGGTAGTGAGAAGCGCCGCATTTGGAAAGCATTGAATCCTCGGTTTTGTGTTGAAGCACCAACAATTCTCCTCGCACCAGTGTTCACCGGTGCTTTTGCGATTCAGAGCACCGTTCGAAGTGCAGTAATACTGGTACGACGTACCACACCAGGCAGTGTGCTCGCGGTCCTGGCATAGCAACGCGTAATCATGGCGTTTGGCAATTTCTTTGGTGGGCGCCAAGTCTAGAGAGCTATTTTCGACGACTTTGGTGGGCGTAAAATCTAGAGAGCCATCTTCGAGCACTCGGGCGTCCGAGAGGTAACCAAGAAAAGTGCCATTGTTCGTGTCAACGACCATGTTGTCCTTGACGGCACAATTGAGCATGTTGACATACTTATAGCACGGCTTTGGGGAGATGGAGAAACAGATGCAGTACTGGTCGCAAGCCTTCTCTGCCTGCTTCTTGTGGTTCACCCGACCATGTGAATCGCAGTAATAGTCATGTACCGATTGCTGACATAATCCCGTGAGGGTACGGTCGACACAGACTAAGGCGTAGTCATGGCTGAGTTCCGTGTCACGCTTGACAGCCGACCCGGAGGGGACGATGTCGTGTGAAGGACGAAGGGCAACCTCGTGGGAAGCAGCGACAGTAGGAGCATGATGACCACGGTGAGAGGTGGGCGTATGAGACCAGTGGCTGACGACAGAGGTGTGACCTTTGGTGCGTTGAAGAGGACCAGCATTGAGGAGACCAGCGAGGAAGCAAAGAATGACCGTGAAATAGAGTGCGGTGGCTTGAGGCCAGCCTGCAAACAGCGTCGCGTTAGCTATTTCCATCATGTCCTGGCCGTGTACTGATCACGGACATACCTTTCATCTTGACCTGCATGACGGCCATCAAGTAGTTGCTGGGAGCCCCTGACCTCAGAGAACTGAAGGAATTCAAAGAGCACGGGTGGTGCAGATCAAGAGATGTTGATGACTGGTGCGAAAGAACGACTTGGTGAAGAAGAAGCGACTGATGGAGAGGACTGTGAAGGACAAGGTGAAAGGAAGGAGACAAGGAAAGAGTTGTGGTCGCAGGCAGATGGCGCATTTTGTGCGGTAGAAGTGAGAGAGCCGTCACTTGGCGAAGGAGTCACTGGCGTGATACTCTCTTCCTCTGTCTTCACCAGTCTGTCACCTTTGGGTCTGGCAGCGACATCAAGCTGAAGAAATCCAGAACTCATCCAAACTCATCTGGGCAAACCAAGTCCCTCAATCTCATTGCACTTACCGCCTTTCACTATAGGGAGTGTCTCACTTGCCTCTGTCCCTGGCGAAGAGCCCCCCTAGCCTCTAACACACTGAAGGCGATAGTATCATGTCGGGCGCCCTTTGGCTCCATAGGGTGAGCCGTATCTTCATTGTCTGCCAGCGCACTCTCATGTCGCTCGTTAACTTCACGCTCTTCCTCTAATAGGCTCTCTTCCCCAAGGCTCATCATGTTGGATGTGTTGCCAGCGGCACCACCATCTCTCAGATGCCGTTTATGATATGTACCATCAGCGCATGATCAATGGGACTTCCACCCGAGTACAATCATCCACCAGCCTAGCCCGCAATTCTGCTCACTTCGAGGCCGGCTGCCAGCACTGCAGCGTCGCTGACGTCTTCCCCTCCATTGAGCCAAACTCTGCATGGCTGCAGCCTTGCCCTAGAAGACAAGGGCAGTCTGCCTACCGCAGCGAGGTGTGGAGAGTACTAACCCGGTGAGAGACCTAAAAGGCCCCGGTTGATGACCGGACTCTTTCCGACCAGGGGCCCTGAAAGTAGCGTGGCAAGGCAAGTTAGATAATCCATCTCTGGGTTGTATAGTTTGGTCAGCATGCCCAAGGCTATATATTTGCGTCCCAAGTCCTCACCTCTGAGCCCGCTTTCAAGGAGCATTCTTCAACCTTCGGACCAAACCTCGGATTTCGGCACTAGTATCCTAAATCTATCAGCACCTCTAAGAGCAATGGGCGACGCTGCTGCTTCCCCTTTCCCATCTCCCTTCAAGGGCTGGCACAATGATACTTACCAAAGGATTGATCCTTCACGTCCCGAGCTTTCACTTGAAGGGAAGACGGCAATCGTGACGGGAGGCGCTGGTGCAATCGGCTCTGCTATCGTCAACGCTTTCGCAAAGGCGGGTATCAGTCTCGTCGGCATCGTGGGACGCACACAGGAGACCCTGGATGCGACCAAGGCCAAATTTGAGTCCCAGTATCCAAATACCAAGATTGTTGCCGCGACCGCAGACACAGCTTCTCTCTCAAGCGTCGAAGCTGCATTCAAACTCATCCAACAACAAGCCAAAAACCCCATCGACATCTTCGTCCACAACGCCGGCCATCTCGCCGAACCGGCAACAATAATTTCCTCCGATCCGAAGGAATGGTGGACATCATTCGAAGTCAACATCCTCGGGGCATTCCACTCTGTTCGAGCCTTCATCCCTGTGGGATCTCCAACAGCGACAATCATCAACGTCTCTACGGCTGGAACCCACGTACCTGCGGCCATCGTCGCCGATTTGTCAGCGTACACCGCCTCGAAACTGGGAGCGCTTAAGGTCTTCGAATTCGTCCAGAGCGAGCACCCGGACCTGCATGTTGTCAACATTCAGCCGGGCATCATTTTGAGCGATATCAATGTCAAGCATGGGGCCATGACACCCATGGATACGCGTAAGTCACTCAACCCCGTGGTTTTGCTGCATACACGGGCCCAAATTTTGAACTCAGCCCCGCTCGAACACGTCTGATATCCACATTGCTGACTTTAACTCGGTAATACTAGCGGACCTGCCGGGTTCATTCACAGTCTGGGCATGCAGCCCTGAAGCCAAGTTCCTAAAGAACAAGTTCGTCTGGGCGAACTGGGACGTGGACGAAATGAAGGCCAAAGCTGGCGAAATCGAAAATTCGCCCGCTTTCACAATGGGACTGCTGGGGTGGCCCGTGTTGTCTTGAGCGGCCACACCTATGACCGGACGCATTACGTAACATTGCTCCCTTTGAACGGGCAGTCGGGGCTGCCGCAGCGCATGAAGAATAATAGGCGAGAAAGGCTGGCTGTAGAGCTGAAGACGTTGCCAGATGTTTTTCCAAATCCCGAAATGGGGGGCCTCTAAAGCTTGTCTATGTTTACTCTATCATCATACATAAGACGTCGAAAGAAGGGAAGCTAATTAGGACCCGCCGACGGAGGAGCGAATCAAACCAAGCCCACTAGCCGGATCCAGGCACCAAGGAGACGGCCTGTACGCGCTGTTTTAGTCAGACAGGATCGCGTGGTCGATACTTGATATTGCCAACGGTCTAAAAATTCGTCCGAGAGGGAATCGAGTTTCCTAATAGTGGCGAATGATTGGAAACATCTCGTTCATTTAGCTATCTTGATTTCGACCGAGATTTGGGAATCAAGAAACAGGAGCATTGTCGCGGCCTTTTGAATTTGTCAGTGGCCAAAATTTCGTCCGTTCATAAGCTCTATCTCTATCGTCATCACCGGGTAGTCGAAGCAGACCACCTCATAACGTGTCTATATAGTTTTCATAGGGGAGAAAGAAAAGCAATTACAATCTCGAATCGAGTCTCGCTCGGGCTCGACGGCACATGCAAAGCCGGCCCGGTTTGCGCCTCCGTCTCCCAAGGTGTTAACTTTTGATTCCAATAAAGTAACCATTTTGACACCCAAAAATCCAAGATATATATGCCAGATGGCTCCAATTCCCCCCCCCCCCAAAAAGCCAAATAAGCCTGTAACTTCTTAATGCTGGTGGCTGGACGAACTCTCTCCCAGCCTTTTCATTTCAAAATCCTCTGCTCTGCTGCTCACTGGGACCATGGATGGGAATGGCTCGTTTTCGTTGGAGCACGAGCTAGTAATAGAGTCCACGCGGACTGCCTGTGAGCTGACTTTGCCAGATCTCGCATCCAGAGGACCAGCGGATGGCATGGGTGGAGCTTGGCCCTCCTCTGCGAGGGAGTCGCGTGGAAGATCAATGCTTCTGCCCGTGCGATTAAAGCGACTCAAGAAGCGATTGCGATGTGTCTCGGTACTGCTGATCGAGGATCGATGGTGGCCGCCCACGGATGCCCTGGAATTACCGCCAAAGCTTTGAGTGGTCGAACGCCGTAGAATCCCGCTCATCATGTGACCGTCCCGAGAAGTCGATCTTCCGTTGCTTTCTCGATCTTGGGACTCTGAAATCCTTCGTTCTTCGTCTATCCGGTTGGATTCTCGAATCACCTCTTCGAATTGCGGGGGACTTCGGTCTTCGTAGACGTCGGAGAGTTGCTCTCCTGAGCTGACGTCTTTCATACCGAGCGAAAAATCCACTCTCTTGGCCATGGCCGACAAGGACTCGCCCCTAGGTCGTCCTAGCTGACCTGTACTAGGCCGTCGTCGCATGATGGAAGGGTATTGAAGCGGAGGGGCTGCAACTGCTGGTGTTTGATGGATTGGATCGCCGGTGATAGTCCCCGAACTGTGACCAGGGTGCATATCATGGTCACTTCCGCCGATGAGAGGTGGAGCGCCAGGAGGCAATTGCATGAAATACGGCACGTCTGGTCTCCAACCAGCTTGGTTACGACGAGGTCCTTCAATTCCGATCTCCTGCATTGCAACCATCAGAGCGCAGATGAATTTGTTGCGTCGCTGAAGACGAAGTAGCTCATTTTGCCAGTTTGATTTATAAAAGAACACAACGTTCAGAGTGAGAGAATACGCTTCGGTGACATCTCTAAGTTCAGTCAAGATATTGCCCTGGTACTCACGCTTCTCTGACCGAACAAATTCGAGGAGTGAATTCCGCAAGGCCTCGATCTGGTCCAGAGTGGTACCAAACCTAATGACGATAGGAACAGCCTCAGCAAGACCTCCAGAGCGCCGCATGTTCAGGATGAATAACGTGTTAAGATATGAGTTCGGGGCTTGGACAATGTGACCCTCCATTTTCTTGAATTCTGTGTACAACAACGAGATCTCTTTGACGAAGTAATCATCTCCTTTGAGCGATGACCCGGTGTTGCCGTAGATCGAAACTCGGTCTCCAACATCAAACGGATGCTTCACAAAGACAAAGATGCAGGACTGCAGGAATTCTTGGGCTGTGGCGGAGAACAGCCAGGAAAGAGCGAGTACGGCCGAACCGGCAGAAGTAAGGACTCCAGCTGCCGAAGTGGAAATGAGAGAAATGAGGACCAAGAGTGTGACGACGCCGACGATGAAAAACAGAACATCGTCAAGCTTGCTGACGACGGAGTCGAGATCCTTGAGAGAAGCAGTGATTGACTTCCGTTCCCTTCCGATCTCGACGCAGACAGCTTCGAGTTCTTCCATGGAGATATCCCCGTTCATGTCTTTGTCGAACATGCTGAAAGCAGCTTCCGCTTCGTCGTCATTGTCAAAAGCCGCCTTAAGGTCTTCTGAAGACACGGTTTCGAAGCCCTCTCGCACAAACGTTCGGTACAGGCGTCGAGCCAGAACCTGCGACCCACTGGTGCTGTGGAGGAGAGTCAAGACAACCTGGGAAGGGTGACCACTCTTGGCAACCTTTTTCCCAGTAAAATCACCCGCGACTGTACCAGCCACATCACCTACTTTGGCAAATGCCTTGGTGAGAGCTTCCTGAGCTTGCACGGCATACATAGCCGGTGTTTTTGTCCCGGACCCAGGCTCCAAGTGTTTCTCCTCGAATTCTGCGTCTTCCATGGCGATCTTGGCCTTGGAAAAGATATATAGTTTCGTCAAACTGCCGATCTGGAACTTGTTGATTTCGATGCGGTCGGCGTAGGTTCGCAAGTGGAAAGAAATTGCGATCAACTGAATTATGATCTTCTCGATGAAATTCAAGGTGGCACCAACAAATACGGAGATGATGACCTTGTTGAGAACCTTTTCCCAATGCTTGGTTTGTTTGGAGCCATTCACATGGTGGTTAGTCATGGTGGGCAAGAAAGATATCTCAACACCGAGCCACCAGAAGAAGATTGTCGCTGGGAGTTCAAGGGCTTTGCCTAGATCTCGCCACTTTTTGGCATTGTTGGTAAACAGGCTCGAGATCAGACCGAGAGGATAGGGGATCATCATGGCAACGATGCGGCCGGCCCAGAGAGTCAACCAGATGATTTCAAGCCACACACCGAACCAGATCAAGTCGACACCACCAACACTTGCATGCTCGGCCGCAGGCAGGAAAGCTCCGACAAGAATGGGGATCAGGAGGAGGGCAAAGACCGGGACGATGTAGGTGAAGTAGCGAATGACGAAGCTAGAATGATGGATGTACTTGAAGAATTTGGCAATCTTAGTGCTGGGGTTTTCAGGTGGCTTGTAAATGGCGGCCCGTTCGTGGATAGGGTTGGTAGCCGTATCAAACTCATCGAGGGGTTCGGGTGCTCTTGATCGGGATCGATGAAGCTGTGTCGAGTTCCGGCCGCCTTCTGATTGCCGTTCTTCTATCGACGTGAGCCGTTCAGCTCTCTGCACGGCGAGTTCATCCTCAAGACGATGAGCCTCCTCCCGTGCCTTGCTAGGGGTCCGCGGGTCATCAAAGCGTGCACTTGTATCCCGACGCTGTGTTTCCACCTTCAATCGGTCGTGTAATTGTTTGCTGTCAACCGAATCTTCCTGTCTGTCATTTTCAACAGCCGTGCTATCGTCATCGGAGGGTCTCTGGCTAGAAGGCTTGAACTCGAATCGAGGCAGTTCTTCAGCCGGGGTGGTCATGTTGGATCGAGTCGAGGTGGATTGGGACAGGGAAGGAGAAGAGCCGGAATGCCAACTTTGGATAATCCTCCTCTTCACCCTCAAATATCATACATCAGGAGCCAGCCAGCGGCTCTGCAAACATGTAGCGAGCGTGTGGGTGTATATGACGCAAAGAAATGCGTTATCGATGCCGGGTACATAAATGCTGTCTCACACGGGCGTGAAATGTGAAAACTGGGGAAATGATCTGTCTGAGGAGTAATATCAAAGAGGGGCAATGTCCGTCTATAATGTCTAAACGAAGGTGTATAAGAAGAGCGATAGCAGAAATTGCATCCGTGACGGAGGCCGACCTGCTGGAAGGGCTCCCCCTCTTTCCCTTTATGCATGGTGCTGCAGGTCGACTTGGTACGTGTACCATTATTTCTCCTTGTACCTTACATACCTGGGTATGGCCCAGAAAATAAGCAACAGGCACGATGGGATAGATACCGCGAAAACAGGGTCGACTGACAGGGATAGGCAGCCTTGGCTCTTCGGGACAGGCTTCTGGTGGGTTGGGAGAACGCCCCAAGGACTCCACCCGCGCCATCCGGTGGGGCCTACTACGAATAGAGAAATAGGTGGATGCCCCCCTAGGCATACGGGCGGCTTGGGCGATGCCAATCGTGCCGCCTAATCCAGATTTTCATAGGCTGTTGACCCCTGGAAAAGCCGCCCACGAGAAATGTTGGTGCTGGCTCCCTCGCTGGGAATTTTCTGACAGGCGGGTTGAGTCCCATCCCTGTTGCATCGTTCTTAGCCGTCGCCCATGTTTCACAAAAACCCACCCGTCGATCAGCCAAATCGCGATGTCATCTCTGGACATTCTCACTCAATGATCGAGATCGAGATCAAGTATTTCGGGCAAGTGCAGACCTGAGCGACCGAAGGATCCAGTTCTTGTGCCGTGCATAACTGCTCCCCGTAGTGCCGGCGGTAGTTCTGCTATGCCAACGTTTTCCGAAAGAAACAGTGTCGCCCTGATGAACTGTTGGCTTGTTGTGGGTTGGGGTCGTTCTCTTTCCAAGCCAGGCCAGGTCCCCCAGCAAGATTGACTTCGGCTATTGAGCGCGATAATCAATAACCTTGCAACTCCCCTCTCATTCAAATGTTCAGTCAGCCGCACCGAGACCAGCTATCTTCAGCTCGCTTAGAATTAAAGACTCAGCTCTGCAATCATAGAATGCCTTGTTCAATGAAGGCCATGCATAAAATGCCTGGTTCTATATTTGAACCAAGTGGTTTAGCATTTTGTGGCGCCTTTGAGGAGGATGTGCCGAGCTCTGACCAAAATTTTATCTGGGCCTCTTATCAGTGTGAGGCGTCAACGCCGTTGCACCGCCAGCGATTGTCATTAAGCCTTGTTTCATCTTTGACATGTGCCTGTTCTCAAGAGGCTTTGATTTGCTGAGCTCTTATCAATGCAACGGTTGCCGTTATAATCGGCTGCTCTGAAACAATGTGAACAGCCAGCCCTGTTGAACTACTCCCTGAGCGCTAGCTAATGGAGGAACGAAATGACATCTCCACGAGGCGGGACAAAGGAGGGAGAACAAAGCAGATTGATCGCCAACAAGTATCTCATAGATCCGCGGGATTCAGATCATGAGGCCGTTGAATTCAAAATGCAGCCGAGGCTCAGTAAAAACTCACCGTTCCTGGAGATCATAGATAGGCTCTTCACCGACCAGACCGACCAAGACCGACCTACCTGTTCGGAGCAGCAGATGGACTCTGTCTCAGTCATGTGTTTGTGCGTCAATCCTAGCTCACCGTAGTCTGGCCGTACGAGGAATCCTTCATCAGCAACATGGGCCAGACTTCCTGAAATGGTAGCTGTAAGATCATGGACTAAAGCCATAGCATACGAGTACCGTACCTGGAGGCAAGGAGCACAGAAGACACTCGAGGCAGAGGAGGAGCGGCAACATCTGCAGGTACCGAGCAATAATGTGGACAGAAAAGTGAATGTGCACGCAGTTTGTGGTTCTTGGCTTGTTTATCCCCGTTCCGTCTTGCCCAATAGGACGCGCCAATCGTAAATTGATACACACCACTTGACCATCTGCGCATTTTAGGCTTCATCCTCTCCCTGACCTCTTCCTCATCCTGTGCATCGAAACCCGTCGCACAGTATCAGCATTGGATAGCCTCGCGTCCTCTTTGCCCTTGTCTCTGTATCACGCTCACAGAACCTCCACAGAATGCACGGGGAGGTAAGTTGTCTGCTTTTGTTTTTTGTGTACCCCTCAATTGTTCCGTGCCCACAACCAGCTGCACCACCACAGCCACCTCTACACAGCCATCTATCGAATCCATCATAGCTCTCTCCTGCGACGAAGCACATACTGATCTTCTCGATAGGTTTGCCACCTGCATATTGGGCAGGCTGGTACTCAGCTTGGCAATGCCGCATGGGAATTGTACGAACCAAACCTGCGCCCACCGCTACTTTGAAATCACCATCGCTAATCTCCTCATCCAGGTATCTTCTCGAACACGGCTTGAAGGCTGATGGTCGACCTGACCCCGATGCCAACGTTGGTGATGCTGGAGCCTTCGAAACCTTCTTTACCGAGACCAACAACAACAAACACGTCCCTCGGTCCATCTTCGTCGATCTCGATCCGTCCCCCATCGATGAAATCCGAACCGGTAAATACAGACAACTCTTCCACCCGGAACTCTTGATCAGTGGTAAAGAAGATGCCGCAAACAACTATGCTCGAGGTCACTATACTATCGGCAAAGAACTCGTGGATGATGTTTTGGATAAGATCCGTCGTGTCGCAGGTGAGGAATGACACGGTCTACTCTGGGGAGATGCAGAGGAATTCTAACCGTTCGCAAGACAACTGTTCATCCCTCCAAGGCTTCTTGATCTTCCACTCATTTGGGGGTGGTACGGGATCCGGCTTTGGCGCCCTTCTCCTCGAACGGCTCTCGGTCGACTATGGCAAGAAGTGCAAGTTGGAATTCGCCGTGTATCCGGCTCCCCAGGTCTCGTCTTCTGTCGTCGAACCTTACAACGCCGTTCTGTCCACGCACAGTACCATTGAGCACGCTGATTGCACATTCTTGGTGGATAATGAAGCCGTGTACGATATCTGCCGCCGCAACCTGGATATTCCTCGACCCGACTATGAGCATCTAAACCGCCTCATTGCACAAGTCGTCTCCTCCGTCACTTCGAGTCTACGCTTTGACGGTGCTCTGAACGTCGACCTGAATGAATTCCAGACCAACTTGGTGCCGTATCCTCGCATCCACTACCCGCTCATCAGCTATGCTCCAGTCGTTTCCACCAAGCGTTCCTCCCACGAGAGCTTCAAGGTCCACGACCTGACGCTGCAGTGCTTTGAACCAAACAACCAGATGGTCGTTTGCGATCCTCGCAACGGAAAATACATGGCTGTTGCGTTGCTCTATCGGGGTGATGTTGTCCCGCGCGATGCCAATGCCGCCATTGCTTCCCTCAAGGCCAAATCAAGCTTCCACTTGGTTGATTGGTGCCCTACCGGGTTCAAAGTTGGCATCAACTATCAACCTCGTAAGTCTGCCGTCGTAGTTTATTTGGCCCATCTCGCTAACACCTAACTTTAGCCATGCCTGTCCCCGGTGGCGAGCTCGCCAAAGTCGACCGATCCGTCAGCATGCTATCCAACACCACCGCCATCGCCGAGGCCTGGAGCCGGCTTGATCACAAATTCGACCTCATGTACTCGAAGCGAGCGTTCGTGCACTGGTATGTCGGCGAAGGAATGGAAGAAGGCGAGTTCTCCGAAGCCCGGGAGGATCTAGCGGCATTGGAAAAAGACTATGAGGAGGTTGCCAGCGACAGTCTGGAGGCTGAAGACGAGCCAGGCGCTGAGTATTGAGTGATTCAACCGACACAAGTGATACGACCACGACATGAAGTCGGCGGAACGTCCTCATTTGCGACCACACAAATACGAGCAATCAGCAGATCACAGAGCTCCAAGTTCGAAGTATGATGACACCCTATGCTCTTTGGACTAGAGAAGCGGAATGTTGACGATTGTGCGCGGAGTGGACGAGACCCACGATATGAAATCATGAGACGAGTCACGGCAGCGGGGATGTCGATAGCACAGATTGAAATTATTGATTGGTACCATGAGATGTTGGAGTTCTCGAGAAGTGGAGACGCTGTTCATAAGACTGCGACTTCATGGTGGCCCTTTAGGTAGCGAATTAAAATCATCTTGCAATAATCTGCGCAGAGGGCTGAGCATTCCCCTCCCCCCCCCAACAGCCTCGTTCGACGAGCCTTGCAGATTTCATGCACGTGACTCGATTGGAGGTACCTCAGGACACCTCCACGTTCAGTTTGTGAACAATCCTCTCGTCCCACGGGCCTGGCTTTTCAGATACTGAGATCCCATTGAGAGTCTATTGCAGAGTCTCGTATATACATGATGGCCTCTACATAATGGCCTTCCTCATTTCTTTCACGACATGATCACCATGTTCGGGTCCACCATGTCCCTCGTGAACCACCCTCCTTCGCAACAACGACCAGCCCTCTATCGTTCTCTGTCACATACCAACGCCTCCCAGCAGGATGCTGCCTCGTCTAGCCAACCCCCAGCCGCAGGGCCGAACTCTCGACCTACGCGACCGTCCCATGTCAGATCAAGATCCTATCTCTCGCCTGCGGACCCTAAACCACGCAACGCAATCACCCTCCCCGCTGCAACCAGCGCGTTCGAGAAGACAGCATCGCGCCTACACCTGCCAGGGTCCTCACATCGACATCACAATCATAAAGACAAAGACCACCATTCCAGTGGCCATCAGCACTCACAGTCGCACTCGCACGTATCGCACCACAGCAATGATTCCACGCATAGTCTCCCTTTCAGACGCCACCGCCCAACCCAGTCCGAAGCACATGCTCCCCGTCGCTTCGCTTCAAAGGAGGCTCTCTCCACCCTCCCGCATCTAGTTGCAGGGCTCAACGCCGAACGGGAGCGGCGCACACATGTAGGCAATATACCCAATCCAATAAATCCGACAAATCGCAGCGCTGGCGGCAGCAATGGTACTAATCATGGGGCTATGCATCCCTTTGGTCCTTCTGCCGCCCTGTCTAGCGACTTCCAAGCAGGCGGCCGCTACGATTACGATGCTTCTGGATTTCCTGAACTTCGCCGGCGTGCGACATCAGACCCTGCCTCTCCGGACAAACTCCCCCGCCCCGCTCCAGCGCATCCCCTCCGCCCCAAGACCTCTTTCGAAGAAGCCCTCGATCGTGGTGATGCTGCCCGTGTCGCCCGACGCATACACGTCAAAGTCGAAGATCTCCAGCGCCGAGACCAGGAACTCCGGTTGGGTGAAGAAGAGCTCCGCTCGCGCGTTGCAGAGATAACATCCACCGGGGTGGAGATAACTCGTCGATTAGACTATGGATACTACAACTTGCTTGAGAAAGTCGGAAACCTCGTCAGCATGATTGGGAGTTTCCAGTCTCTAGCACGACAGAGTGGGACGTTGATTGGGAATTTTGAGCGCGAAAGCAAGAGGGTAGATGAAGATACACGTCGACGCGTGAAGACTTTACAAGGGGGATTCGAGACGAGGCAAATTAAAGCTAGGCAACTGGCAGAGCGTGGAGAGAAGGCGAGCAGGAGGGCGAGAGAATTATCCGCGCGACTGGAGAAAGCCCGCGCGAAAGTGGAAGAATGGGAAAACCGGGAAGAGAAGTTCCGCAAGGCGTGGGACCGCGTATGGGGGATCGTCTGGTGGACAAGCATTGCGGTCATTGTCATTGTGGTAGCGGTGGTGCTTGGCAAGGAATGGTATTTCCATGGAGACCCCGTGAAGGCCGGGTTGAGACAGCACGGAGAGGGTAACTGGAATCGGAGCTTGAGACTGGGCGGGACAGCAGGGGGCCAGGAGAACGAGAGACGCCTTCGACTCGGGAGCCACGACGGCGGTGGCAGTGGGGAGAAGAATGAGACAGACCCCAAAGAAGAACAGACGCTAAATGTGCCGGACGACGTGAGGCAGATTCTCCTAGGCATCGCCGAGAGGAACCGCATCAGGAAAAATGCCTTTCCAGAGGTCCCCAGCATGGGCTATGGATCCCCTCGCTTGACCACAGGTCCGGAGGAGGAGCAGTGTCATGAGGATCCGAGACTAACCAGGCTCGACGAGTTGTGATCTCAGCTTCCAACCGACCAGTCCCAGCTCCAGCTGCAACTTCCTCCCCGAGGGTACATTATTGCGTACTCCTGTAGGGCGGTACAGGGGGGTATAGGTTGGGATGGGGCAACAGAGCACAGCACGGATGTGAGTGAATGGGATGGGATTCCACAGGTCTCAATCTCAGTCTCGGTCTGGAGCTGCCAGGGCAGGATCTCAACTTCTGAAATGAAGAGGGCAAAAAGCGATGACGAACCCTCGCGTACACCCCGTTAATACACCTGTATCTGCTTCTTGATGTTATTTTGTTGGATGTTTGAAAAAAAGATACCCCCCATTCCGTTTGGTTACTCTCGGCGAACAAGCGTTTGATATCTGAAAAGAAGATATATATACCCTTTTATTTCTTGCCTCCTCCATATGTGTCAGAGCATCAAGGACTGTGGAAATTCACATGCCCAACCCCTTCTTTCACAGGCCTCCAGGTCTTAGGTATGTTCGTGGTTGTTAACTTGGCCCTGACTGAGCCTCTGGTAGTCGATCCACAAGTGCCATCGTCTGAATTTCTGACAATATGTAGGGACTATGATCGTGATTTACGCTGGAAAAATCCCTCCCCCCTTCCTTTCCCAGAAAGGTAGAGCCGCTTGAAGCATCAGTGTCATTGGGACGCTGTGTCTATGTAGTGTAATGTGGGGAAAACGACCGAGACCTCCCCCTACGTATGTAACATACAAGCAAGAGACCCCTGTGTCCTCGGCAGGGAGATCACCACGGTTCAAAGCCCGTTTTCCCGTCTAGGAACGCCAACTGGTTTTGATCCAAGCGGCTGGAGTGTATCCAACTATATCCGCCGGAGATATTTCTCGCCGGGGAACGAACATTTCGCCTTTGCGCCGTGTTCGATGCAAATAGTTTATCTGATGAATTAAACCGTCCGAGAAATTGGAGGGACATGAGCTCATCTTGTTGAGAGATGACAGAGGTGTCCGCGACGGGAGTGGGTAGTGCAACCGTGAAGGCAATGGCGATAGATGAATGTCGCCCACGCCTCACCCCTAAATAAAAAAAAATCCTGAGCAGAAGACCGAGTATGAGCGATAGGACGCCACAAATAGGTAAACAGTCGCTGGGAGATGCGACTTGACGCGGTCCTCAACACAGTTGTGCAAGTTCCTGGGAGCAAGGCTGCCCCAGCGTTAGCCCAGCAACAGTTGGACATGAACATGGGGAGTAACAAACAGGGCGCAACAGAGTCTCAGAGATCCAGTGGAACAGCGTTTCCGGACGGATAAGTCATGATCACGCCATAGAAAGTCATCTGCTTATTCCATTGACACCATTGGAGATCTTAGGTCCGATGACGGCTTTCTCTAATGCCTGCAAGACGTCCTTCTTGAGGTCGTCAGCATCCTCAACGCCACAGCTCAGTCTGACAAGATCGTCAAACACGCCAATGGCCTCACGTTGCTCCTTGGGGATGCCCGCATGGGTCATAGCACTAGGAACCTCGCAGAGACTTTCGACGCCTCCCAGGCTCTCGGCTAGGGTGAAGATTCGTGTTTGTTGACAGAATCTTTCTGCAGCAGCGTGCCCACCTTTGAGTCGGAAACTGAGCATCCCACCACCCATGCCGTCGCGATGCTGCTTGATGGCGATCGCTCTCTGCTTGTGAGAATCCAACCCAGGATAGTTCACGGCAATCACATGTGGCGATGCCTCCAGCGCTCGAGCAACAGCTAGTGCGTTCGTACTTGCCTCTCTTGCGCGTAGATGCAGGGTCTTGAGTCCTCGGTGGGCGAGCCAGCAATCGAATGGCGAAGGCACGGCTCCGATGGCATTTTGGAGAAATGTCAATCGCCCTTTGAGTTCGTCCGAGTTGAATGCCGCAACGCCCATAACAACATCTGAGTGTCCGTTGATGTATTTTGTCACAGAGTGCACCACAATGTCGGCTCCGTGATCTAGCGGATTTTGCACGTATGGCGACAAGAATGTATTGTCCACCACGACCAGAATGCCGTGTCTGTGGGCAACTGAAGCAACGTTCCTGATGTCGACCAGGCTCAGGGTGGGGTTTGAAGGACTCTCGATCCAGATCAGCTTTGTTTGCTCCCTGATCAACTCTTCGACGTCCAGTTCGATGGAGGGAGAGAATGTAACCTCGACTCCGTGTGCCAGCGCCACTTTTGTGAAATATCGATGGGTGCCACCGTAGACATCCGAGACAGATATGACATGTGAGCCCGAAGCGAGCGACTGTAGAATTGTAGCTGTTGTAGCTGAGCCCGAGGCAAATGCCAGAGCGAATCTCGCGTGCTCGAGTGCGGCCACAGCCTCTTCGAAATTGTCCCGGTTCGGGTTGGCGCTGCGACTGTACTCATACAGTCCAATGGGCTTGCCCACAGCCGTTTGTGCGAAGGTGGTAGACAGCGAGAGAGGCTCGATGACGGCGCCTGTGGAAGGGTCTATGGGTGCCCCAGCATGCACGGCAAGGGTGCCAAAATTGTAGACGGGGGAAGGGGCTCGAGCAGGCGTGACAATGCCGCCATCTTCGTTGGTCAAGATGCGCTCGTTGGGTCTAAGAGGACGAGGCGAGAGAGGGACGTGGACGGGAATAGTCATGACGGCTAGGGAGATTTGATGCTCTCTGCTCAGTTACAAGACAACGGTAAAGACGAAAGTGGTGTGTTGTTTGGGAGGCGGCGGGATCTTTCTGCGGGGTTCAACGAAAACGGGCTGGCGGTGAGAAGACGAATAGGAACGAGAACAGGAACAGAGAAGAGGGAGAGGTTATGTATTCGGACAGCACTGGATCATCTTGTTTGTAAGAAGAGCCATATTGTGGGGGTCAGTGACCCTAATTAGTATTATTTATCTTGATGGAATTCTCTCGTTGGGACGGCCAGTCATCTACAATATCATCAATCAAAAAACCGATGGGCAAGAGATGACGTGCTTTTTTGAGGGGAGGGGGGGGGGGTTTCCAGGAACTACGAGCGAGACCAGCTTGCCAGGCACCATCCAGGCACCACCCGGGCAGTTCTGAAAGACTAAGGGACCCCTACTTGTGCGCTCCGAGGCTCCTCCGCCTGTGCCTGCCAAAGGGCGTGACGAGTGATGACAAACTCATTCCAGGGGCAACACGCGTTGTAACACCAGACCTTGCACCAAGTCGCCGCTTACACGCGGCTTGCGTCGCCAGGTGATCGCAGGTCTGCTTGACAACTACAGACACCGGCTGCTCCTGTCTTCGCCGATAGGCCAAATCCGTAAGAGCGGTAAGGACATTGAGAGACCCATCAGCTCGTCGGGCACGCTTGGCGGTTGAGTCTGGTTAGCCAAATAAATCGGCCACCAAAAGTCCTCAGAAAGTGTCGATGAGAAGCATAGCCTTGTCCAACAAGCATAGGCATGCGCACAACCACGTTTGATCGGTTGCAGCTTCGTGTCACCACCAGTCAACACCACCCAACCCAGGCTCGCCCATTGATGCCTGAATCAGTTAGAGAAGCTCTCTCCGCCCATGATCTGGACCACTTACCTCGATAGAGTAGGGCACTCTATGCTCTATCACCGTCTCTGGCTCAGGCTCGCCCGGTTTCCGAATCTTGGGAGGTGACGGTGCTTGGTCATTCCACTTTTCGGCCTCGACTCGCACGTTGACTATGGTGCCTTCATCCAAGTAGATGGGGTCGCCTTCTGTCTCCCAGACCCAAGTCTTCTCGGCCTCGTTGCTTTGACGGCTCAGTATGAAGTTCGGACTTGTTGGCGCCTTGGTTCGACTCACTAGACACAACCCTCGAAAAGCATGGTCGGCGGGACAAAAATGTCGTCGAAGAATCGTGTTGTAACTAGAAGTTATGGTTTAGCTCGCTCGTTGAGAAGTGAGGTTTATGACTTACTTCGAATGCCTTCAGGTGTACATTTCTGGATGACGCCGGTAATGATCTCGCCTTTGAAGGGTCGAAATACAATCATTCGGAACTGGACTTAATGTTCCATCAGCTCAGAAGGCACCACTAAGGCGAAATCCTCGTGTACCATTCACATTGGCATTTCCCGTGCCATGACCGATCAGGCCATCAGAAGCTTTCAGCAGATCATACATGCAAATGCACAGCCCGACCTTTTGCACAATCTATCACTTTGGTCAGAAATTGAAGCCCGAGTGTGTCGGAGGGGCAGACTTTGTTTGAATATTTCTCGTTGATGCGATCTTCAAGGTCTTGTCGGGTAATTTGATTGTTCACAAATCCATGCGGCGGTATCTGGACCAGATCGTCGAAGGTGGTCTGCTAAATTAGTATTCCCTATGACCCGGACCCGACGGAGCAGTGAAGTAACCGTACGAGGATGAACATATTGCTACGTTATGCGCAGAAGGTTACGTGATGACGACTCGGACGGGACGAGATGTAGCATATTCTGGATCTGGAGTGTGAGATCGTGTACTGGGAAGCCGTCACAAATACGGACACAGTGAGTCGCAAGGGAAAAACTTTCTCTCCATTGAAGAGGCTTTGAGGGAGAACTCAACGTGGCGCCGCTTTGGGAAGGTCTTGGCGGCTGCTCCTCCTCGATAACGAATATCATTTCTTCGACGACTTCCAAACTTGGTTTTGCAAGTCCTACATAGCATACCAGTCCCCCAATGACCCCGGCGTCCTACGCTTTATATCCCACTGTCCGCAGAAAGGCCTTGCGCTTCGCAATGTCCGCGTCTCCTTCGATGCCTTTGGGACTGAAGCCATCCACAACGCCCAGGATTCCCCGTCCCTGCTGTGTCTGTGCCACAATGACCTCCACGGGATTAGCCGTCGCGCAGTAGATGCGGCAAACTTCAGGAACGGCGCGGATGGCGCCGAGGATGTTGAGAGGATACATATCGCGTAGGAAGATGATGAAGCTATGGCCGGCCCCGATGGACATGGCGTTTTTCTGGGCCAAGGCGACGAGCTCCGGGTCGGTTCCTGAATAGCGGATTAAACAGACGTCCGACGCTTCGCAGAAGGCGAGGCCGAATTTGGCGCCCGGGACAGCATTGAATATAGCTTCATGAAGGTCTTCCACCGTCTTGATGAAATGAGAGTGGCCGAGGATCAGATTCAGGCCTTGGGGATTATCGACGAGGACGGTTTTGAGTTCCATGTCTTCCTGCTGTGTTTTGCTCTTGGGAAATTGATCACTCTGGTGTCCGTATTAGCTCTGAAGGGTGTGTTGATCGGCCTTATTAACCTGACTGGTATCCAAGTCAACTCGATCAGGTGATGTTCAACTCTCACCTGTTTTATGTCATGCCGCCATAGGCTCCGATCCATTCAGCACTCGGCACCTTCTTCGAATCCACGGTCGCGTGACGGACCGTCTCTGATGTAGGAGGTCTTTGCATGGCATGAACACGGTTGTGAGCACATTGTTACCTTCCTCCGTCTCCATCCCGTTCGATCATACATACTGCAGTCTAGGTCCTTGGAAATGAGGATGTTGTCCTTGGTCTGGTTCCACGGTAGTCTCATATGGAAATACATTGGCCATCAAAGCAGCAATCCTGAGATATCAGCCTGTGACTTATTACTCCATGGTCTGTGAAGGGGATGTAATTTCCTCCAGAAATTGTGTTCTGTCCCGGGAGCAACGGTGGGAAGCGGAAGGTGAGCTGGGGGCAAGCAGAGCGGCGAGCAAGGTACAATCTCGCTCGCAATTCCAACACTGGAAAATGCAGTTTCTACGGGACATACGCAAGGAATCTTCGAAGAAGATCACTAGATCCCAGCGAGATTCCCGTACACCGAACGAAGCCCCAACGCAAATCAAGATGACAGTTCAGGTTGAATGCAGTCCACTCAAGGCTTCAAGATGGCCCTCGACCAAGAAAAGGACGCTCATGCTCAACCCATGGTTAGGTCTCTCGCCTTCCTATGAATGGTATTTGTACGCCATGTGCGTGTCTTGATCCTATTAATCATGCCGAGCCACGATAGACGAGTCTCCATCACATGAAATATTAAACTCGTCAATGCCGCAAAGTATGAGCTTTGTTGTAGCCAAATACGACAGGTTGAGAGTCTCAACCATACTCGGTACTCGACCACCATCATTTTGAAGGCTTTTGCGCTCCTCTGCGCTCACGGTGTGGCAGAGTTTTCGATCATTCAACAAGTCGCAAGTTCTGATGCAAACATCCCTCACAGATTCTTCCATGTCATCGTCCCATTTGAAAGCATTATATCGGTCGCCAGCACCAGGAGAGATGCGTGCTACGATACTTTGCCGTCGTGCCCCGAGCTTCTCCATGGAGTCGATGAGATTTCCAACGACGTTGCGAACGAGGGGCTTCCAATCCGCGTGGGAAAGGCCGAGTATCCGCGTACATGGGTCATACAACAAGATTGCTGGACAGTCCGCGCCTTGCACAGCGAGAACACGACCCAGGGACCGAGTTGCGATCGCGTCGTATGCGACAGGCTGATGAGTCTGCGTGACCGGCAACAAGGTTTGTGATGTCGGGTGCGTGACCCATCCCAATCTTCCTGCTTGATGGCTTCGCCAGAATGAGGCCTGGCACCGTTAGGAGGAAGCACATTTCCGGGCTCGAAACCAACATTATGAGCGCGCTTCTGAAGGTTTGCACGGGAATGCCTTGGAACATGCCTGGAATCCGAAGTTGCTGGTCGGTGGAATGAGAAGTGTTTGTTGTAGGACCCGACCCTTTCCGCGGTGAAAGCACCTCCAATCTCTTTCCATTGCTCGAAGACAGGGCATATTGGGTGCTGATAAAGAGTATCTTGATGTTGCGGGCGCAATGTCATCAACATTATCAGTCGATGGTGAACTCAACGAAGGACGATGGGAGGCGGTTCTAGCTAGATCCAACCAAGAAATACTCCCCTGCGATTGTCTTTATGCAGTTGCGAGAGGCATATCCTCAAGGAGGGGGGGGGCAACACATCATGGACAAGGCTTGACAAGGCTAATACGGACTCCCGAAGTGGCTATGGCTCAGCCAGCCCAGACGAATTCATGCACCGCCACATGCGGCCAGACCCAAGCGTGCGTGGCGTACCGAGAGGATCATTCGTATTCTCTAGCATTGTAGAGTTAGAGAAAATACGGATTTACCACCGGTTGGAGTTATCCTGAGAAAGTGAATTTGCGGTACCACACTATTCCGGAGCAGGAGAGGGAATTCACCGATTGCGTCGCAGCCTTGCGGCGGTCGCAGGACCAACCAAAAATTTAACCGGCGGACACCCGCTCGCCTTGCCAACCGCGCAATCATTTCCAGACTTTGCTGCTTGGATATGTACAGGCGTTCTTGACTTGTATCGTGTATCTGCATGGGTTAACAAGTATCTCAGCGGTGAGACCCCCGCTCGTTGTTGCACCTTCTGGATGTCGAGCCAGCCCTTCACCTTCCCTCCTCCGCCTCCGCCTCCCAAGCGAACCGAAGGCGCGTCCCAGCCAACCCAAGCCTTTCAGAACAGCAGGGGGTCGTTTAGAGGGGCTCATTCTTACAGAGGAAATACAAGAGGCGGTCGTGGAGGACATGGAAGTTATCGTCCGGGACCCACTACCTCATCCGCGGTGTACGGCCAGAGTGTGTCCCATAAACCCTTAAACAACGGTCCACAACGGGGTGGTTTTCTCAACCCGCCACAGAAGCGGGATCACAACACTGCATTCCACCCGGGCCACCAACATCGTCCGCGTCCTACAGCTGCGCCCGCGGTACCTAGCTTCAATGCCACAATCGAACACCTTCTGGCCCGCAGGCCGTCTAGTGAACAAACTAGCCAGAACTCACCGGAACCAAAGAAAGTAGAGCCCAAGAAACACAACCTCCTTGGATTGACTCCCGCAAAATTTGACCAAGATTCGGATCCAGAAGACGACGAAGATGAAGAACAGCGCCTGGCGAACAAGACGACGCCAGGCGTGGGTAGTTATATGTTCGAATATAACGGCCATCCTCTCGCTCTCCGGACTCGAGAGGAGATATTAAGTTGGCTTGCAGAAAGAAAACGGCGATTCCCTACACAAGCGAGGATAGAGGCGGCAAAGAAGGAGGCCGAAGAGAAGAAGAGAAAATGGGAGGAAGAGCAGAAGGCGAAACGGGAGGCCAGAAAAGAGGCTCTAGCCAAAAGAGACCAAGAAAGAGCTGAAAAACAAAAGGCAATTAGAAAAGCGAAACAAGCACGCGAGCAGGAGCGGAGGCTTGACAGGGACGACAAGACCGAAAATATGGATGCTACCGCTCGAGCAAAATTAAAGGCCGATAAGCTACGAAAAAGAGCTCTGAAGGCGCAGCAGGAACTAGAGAAGGCGGAGGAAGCATTGCGGCTTGCTGAGACGAAAGAGAATACTTCGGTATCTCTGAGCGGCGCCACGGGACCCAGTCCATCTCCTACCACAGAAGCCGCCGACGTCTCGTCCAACTCGGATCTCACAGACTCAGAAGCGACCTCGTCCTCTGGCTCATCCATAACTTCTGGCTCAGACTCCGGCACAGATTCGGATGCTAGCTCGGATTCCGATTCTAGCCCAGAAATCACGAGCAGTAAACAGGTGTCTCGTGCTCATCCCTCTCTTCGACCAGGGCCGCGAACGGCAAGAGGGCGAATGCCTCAGCCCTGCAAACACTTTGTTAAGTACAAAACTTGCAAATGGGGTTCAAGCTGCCGCTATTCGCATGATTTGCCTCGAAAGAACGGGAGAAGCGATACAGGAGCACGCATGAGCCAGGGCGAGAATTTGACAACTACCACTGCTGGCAACGTGCGGAGAAAAGGACTGTGGCAAGTCATGGTCGAGAAGGAAAGAGAAGAGAGTAGGAAACGCCTGCTAGCTGCCATCATTACGCTGGGCGAGAGAGGACTGCTAGAAAATCCATTACAGAAGGCGGATGATACTGGATAAGTGTGCCAACATTGTCATTCCGCGTCTATAATACTATACATAATTCTAACAGAGCGAAGTGTTCACGCACTCACCAGCGTCTCGGAAATTTCCTTCCGGTTATATATCTCCCCTGAATTCTCCCGCTCATAGTCTCTGCAAAGCACACTCACCAAGAATTCTCTCCCTTCTGTCCCTTCCCGAATCCCAGGCCTGCCGCCGCGTCCACCACCCGCCAGAGGGAAACAATGCATTTGGCCTTCCCAGACCAACCATCTCCCCGACACGCCGAGCCTCTGGCATTTGCGCATGAATTCCAACCCGTCAGGAGCTAGCACGTCGTGCGTGCCCAGGACGCCGTGCACGTGTACGTTTCTAGCCCGCAGCGCGTGGAAGGCTGTGTCGGCGTTGAGGAGAGGCGAGACGCTGGGGTCGGATAGTGGGATGGGTTCAGGATTGTGTGAAGAGGAGGACCGTTGTTGGTCTTGGTCCTTCCTTGCCTTCCGGTTCGCATTGCCATCGTCGTTGTCGTTACTGTTACTGGTGGTCCCGGCGGTCCCGGCCCAGACCTCTGCGACTTGTCTCGCCATCTGCGCTGTAAGGACGCGGTCGAACTTGTCTGCTTTGCGGATTTCCGGGTTGCTGTGCGTCAGGTCCGTCGGACCCGAGATGTTGATCAAGGATGTGAGCGGGAAGTTATCATTCGTCCTCGTTCTTTGTGTCTCTTTGGGTCCATCGTCGTCAGCAGCAGCTGGCGAGTGGGCTCCGGAAGGGGCGTCCTGCTTCTTCTGCTGTTGCTGCTGTGGTTGTGGTAGTGCCAGTTCATGGTAATTCTGCACGGCCCAGAATCCCAGACTCAGTACGACGTTGCCACCGCTGCTGTCGCCCATCAAGCTCAGCGTGTGCCCATTTTCCGATGCCGCGTCCATCACCTTCCCCAGCCACTTCCTTAGAATCTCCAGACTGTCACTCGCCGGACTGTTCGGTGCCAACGGGTAACTCACGAGAACCAGTTCGATCTCTGCGCCTGGCTCGGCATCCTGATCCAGGCCGTTCGCGTGTTGGCCCCTGCCGGCCAATGGTCTGCTGCAGTAATGGCTCGCGAGGTCCTGCGAGAGGTACGTCAGGAAGCGCCAGTGCTCAGGCGCGGGAGGAGATTGAAACCCCCCGCCGCAGAAGTAGTAGACGCGGTGTTTGCGCCGGACGCCTGGATGATGACCCGTAGTCCGCCCTGTGCCAGCGCCAGCGCCAACGCCATCTTTCACCAACTCATCCGTGGGATTACCATCCTTGGCCTTTTGGACGTTCCCTCTCCCCTCTCCCTTCCTCTTCCCCGGAGCTGGGTGGAAACAATACATCCATACGCCTTCACACATCGTCTCTTGGATCACTACGTCCCGCTTCCTCGGCGAAACAAGACGCGGCGAGCCCGCCGGCTGCGCGCGATTGCTGGGCCGAACGAGACGGGGGCGAAGCGGTTTGATCACAGCGCGCAGGACGCGGTAGAGGAGCGAGAGGTCAGAGCGGGTGGTTATTTCCATCCCCGTTTCCGGTTCCAGTTCCAGTTCCATGCTGGACCGTGATCCTTGCGGCCTCGATTGGGCTTCGGGGGCTGGTGATGGTGATTTCCAAAGTGAGGCTTTGTCACTGATCTCCTGCCTCCCCCACAACGTGGTGAGTTTGCTCCGTAGTGCGTAGTTATATATGCATCGACCGCCATGTTGGCACGCGGAGGATACCAAATCCAGATCTCGGGGCGGAGGAAGAAAGTCGGCGACGTCACGATCCATTCACGGACTCGCACGGACAGACAGTGAAACCTGCCTCGCTACCACTCTTACCTGCATGTACACCGAGTATTTTGAATACTCGTATGGAGGGGAATTACTCCTGTCCTCTAGAGCCTCTCGTGGATGCAATTGAGCCGCACTCCCCTTCCTTCCATCCATCCCATTCCGTCTCATCCGCTCAACTAAGCAACCGACAAATTGACGAACCGACACAAGGCTGAGAAGTCAATCAGCTTTAGCCACAGAAAAACTACGAGCCGCTAATTACGCCACTTTCGTGAGAAGCGAGCGTACCTTGAGCCAGCATTAGTGAGTTGATCAACTGCCAGATCCGCCTCCCCCTCCTGCCGAGATCTTTAAATGCCTAATAAAACTAATAAGACGGGCCAGAAACTATTAACCACGTTCACTACAGGCAATTACGGTGTACAAGAACTCACTCCAGACCATGACTGGACCAGCTTTCCAAACAACGATGGATATCCACATATGGCGTATAATGCCACGCTGTCGGCCGCTGTGTTATATTATTGCTGTTCAAATGCCCGAGGTAGACAGACCTGCACATTGGCGAAAAAGGAAATCCCTGTTACATCTTTTGACAGTCTTTTCCGTTCTTTAGCCACATGGCCCCTCTCAGACATTCGGAACTGGGGCCTGGACCAGAATCTCCCTCTAGTCCATCCATTCTCTCGCTCTGCACCCAAGTCCTCTTTGGATTTAAAAACCACGCTTATCTGCGGGCGTCATTCGTCTCGGTCTGGCTCTCATTGCGGCCAATGACAGGCATCCCAATCGAAGCCTCCGAAATCCACTCCCAAGTTTTCAGCGACTCTTGGCAGATCCATATGTCCAGACTGCGGAGGTAGGTCGGCACCGTGTAAAACAAACCTTGAAAGGTTGAGAGGTTTTTGCGGAAGGGACGCATATGATAAGCATGGCATCGTGCTTTCAACGTACGGGTTTTCTGTCGATAAACCTGGGACCGGGGTAGACCAGAAAGGATCGGACATTGGTGGGACTCGAGGTACCGCCGACCAAGTTGCATTGCTTCCAGCTGGATTCGGGAAATAACCAGACGCACTAGAAGCCCCAAAAATCGGCTTCAAATTGCCATATGTCGCTTCCGGTGAGACAGCTTGATCTCCGGAGTTCATCTTGTTTAGTTCGTCCTTGCTTTGTGGCGCTTGAGCAAGAGGAGCATATAACGGAGGTTGTGGTTGGGTGATCTTTTCTGGCCTTGGTGTATCCACGAGAGGATCTGCCCTAGAGGGTCGAGACGAACCTCTACGACAGTTGGCCTTGGAGGCAAGCCGAGGGATACGTCTAGGAGGTAATTTAGGCAGATCCGATCGTTCCCAGGGAAGGGATTGCTCTTTAGATAGCGGAGTGGACGACGAAGATGCGTCTGGTTCGGAAGAATCAAGGCTTGCAAGAACCTTCCTTGATGCTCGCTTCATGCGAAGATCGCGTCGACGTCGCCTCGATACGTCAGTTTCATCCAAAGACCCACGACAGCGACAGTAAGCTGTGTTGTTCATGTTCACTCCACATTTGTAACAGAAACGCGATCCACACGAGCAATTCATGTTGCTGCAGCCGTCAATTCTCTCGACCAGATTCTTGCAGCCAGGACATTGCTTCCATTGCTTGCTTCTAGCAAGTTGACGATCTCTCACGTCCATTAAATCCTCAAGACCCTTGCAGGTGGTTCCATCACCCCCCACATGGCCGTCGCGTCCTTGTTTGCATTCGGCACAGGTTTGGACACCACATTTGCTGCACAAAACAAACTTTTCCGTGGTGTTCTGGATCTGGGTCAAGGGAATGTGACGACTGCAGAATTTGTTTGAACAGTAGACCGGGTTGGGGGTTGAGTATTCTTCCTGCACATCAAGATAGCGAGAGAGAACTTCTTGGTCAAGATACTGCTGAAGTGGGCCCACATCTACGGGCTGCCAACCACCGCAGCATTTTGGAGGCCACGACATTTTGTTGGCGATACCAACGCTGACAAGATGATTCAGACAAGGCCGGCAGTAGCAATGGCCACAACTTAGGGAGATGGGGTCCTCCAGTGGATCGAGACACGCTCGGCAGGTTACGATATCGCTACTACCAGACAAATCGGTGCGAAACCCAGGCGAGGTAGACTCCAGAGGGCGCTTTCGGCCGGCGATGGTCTGTGGATCCCTGAGTACAAGGCTAGGATAGGCGGGATAGGACACGGAACCATCAAATGGCCTGGTCATCCATTGATGATCCCCTGAGAAGCTGTCTGAAGGCTCTTTTGTTAGAGCCGCATGTTCAGTAGTACCTCCGGAATCGTCGGAGACAGGGCCAGGGACGAGATCCATGGGATCCACTTGACGCGGCTGGCTCATCATTTCGTTGCTTGAGCCTGCCGTTTGTTCAAGAACTTCAACATTGGACAGAGTAAAAGTGTCCGATTCTCCGTACCAGAATCTGAGAAAATCAAGGAGATCTCCCTGGGTAGATGAATTATTCTGCCCTACCCTGCGCAAAGTGACGGTCGGTAGGGTTGAGACAAGGCTGTTTGAGACCGGCCCAACCGCAGGGTAGACACAGTTCACACGACGCCCTGAGCTAATCTGACTCCCTGCTCCTCGTCTTCTTGCATTGTTCACCATTCTCCAAACTGTAGGTAGCGGAGGAAGGAAATGGGAGGTTGGGGATGTTCGGGCGTCGGGGGGGACCAGAGTGGCACACTTCATGTTGCAGCCACCTAAGGAACAAGTCCGGAGACACCTAGGAAGATGTCGAGGAGATTTCTTTGAGCTGCGCCAATGTGTTTTGAAGCTTAACGGTATTCAGCCTTGTGACGCTGGAGAAGACAACATCAGTTGCAACAATGTGTGGATGAGAGATCTGTTTGTCGTAAGCAAGGAAGGAAAATAGATAGTCTACAGCAACAGTGACAGAGATGAAGAGGCAGTCAAATATGTCCAGGTAACAGGTGGGAGGACGAGGCGAGCAAGGAAGGACGAGGACATGTTGGACAAGTTACTGCAATGACCGTCGAGCGGTGATTGACGTCGATAGGCGGGGAAGCAGCAAGCTGGTAGGCAGTGCTGCTGTCACTTGCTGTCACTTGTTGTCACTTGTGCTACCTTGGCAGCTCCGAGTCGTCAGTTCACGAGGCAGAAGGCAGCCATCTGTCTGCTCTGCAACATGCGCTCAATCCCGGACTCCTTCTCGGTCCTAGCCAGCCATTAACCTCACTGTCTTGAACAAGATTGTCTAAGCATTCTCCACCCAATCGTCTCCCAAAAGTGGGCAAGATGCACGCAGGCAGATGAAAAAGCGAGCACGAAGAAAGAGGGGGGCACAAATTGAAGCTGCCAGTGAGACAAGAGCTTGCCCTTTCGTCTGGGAAGGATGCGCAACAACAAAGATGGTGGTGACAGCTGGTTTTGAGGTGAAGCAGATTGTATCCCTTCTCGTTCCCCGGCGAGGATTCGGCATGACTTTTGCCCGATGGGGTTTGTGAGAATTCGTCACAATACACGACAGGTGTATAGAGAAGAGGAGGAACGGGCCAAGAAGAAAGGACTTGATTCATCATGGAAGCCTTTGTGGCATCGCTGCGGACGCTTTTGGAGGAACATCGTTCCACTGACTCCTGGGGGATGTTTGTGATCATTGTTCGCCACGTAGACAGCATGTTTTCCCGTTTGCTGCTGTATGATATCGCCATCATCATCGTTGCTGCTTCTCTATTCTGCTCTCCATTTTCCAGACTCTACGAAGACCTGCTCAAGTGCTGATGGTGCTTCACTAGTGCTTCAATCACTACCTCGACATATTGCTTAATCACCATCTATTCCTAGCTCAACCACAATGACTTCCGCACCGAGAAACATATCCAACCGTCCAGCACTACCGGTCTATCATGCCGAATGCGATGCCCCCAGCTTTCCCACCAAAACTCAGGCATATTCTGAGAGTGAAAGTCCTGACGCTCTCACTCCGATTTCGTCCACCAGTGGCCAACCTGCCACTCCGGCTGACAGCGAAACCAGCGGGTCTGCAATCAGCGAAGTCACCGCCAAACTGCACCCTGACCTTGACCGGAAGCTGGAAGCCCTCGTCTTTGCGGAGGAAATAGTACCTCCTCGTGGACAGTCTGCGGATGATCTTCCCACCGAAGTGCCTGCCCCGACTTCGAGAGATCCGTTCGGATTCGTGTGTGCCTTTGGGTTCACGGGATCATTCGACGAGCCACCGGCCGTTCCCAGGACGAAAGGTGCCTTCCTCACTGCAATCAGAGGCGAGATTGAGGGAATCGGCATGATCCAGAGAGGGCTTCAGTCGTACCAGAACGCCATCAATTCCCGAAAATACCATACCTTCAGCCCCAGATTTCTCATCGATCAGAATACTGCCACTGTGATTACACTCGACCAGTTGGATCAAATAACGACCCACTTGAAGAAACTCGAGGAGGAAGTTCAAGAGATGGAGAATGAAGAGGAGGTCCGGGAGGAACTTATGGAGGCGTTCAGGCAAGCGCAACCTTGGGTGATGCGTACACGGGCCATCCTACGACATTGCCATGTTTTCTACAAGATCAATTTCGTCCTGGCCACTGGGACGCAGAACACACAGCATTGAAGAGGTGGACATGTTTGAGAACAACAGCCATGGCACCTTGGCAAGCAATGAGCGCATGCAAATATGATACAGCACAAGGGTGTAAAAGGCTCTGTCTCGAGGATGGCTCGTTGAAGTGACAAGAGGAACACCTGCAGTTGCCTTGGTTGGGAAAATGATGGAATCTGTCTTCGTTTTCGTGTTTCACCTCGTTTCTTCCGTAGAAACCACCGGCTCACTTGGCCACCGTCTCTGAATTCCCTTATCTTCTCTTCCATCCTCGATCTAAATCATGTCTTGCCGTAGCCGGAGGTTCATTGGCTGCGGCGACCGTTCTCTGTTCACGGACACCGTTACTCAGCAGGTATGCAGAGCCCAACGATAAGCCGACATGCCGCAGACACCGCAGTGGTGCTGGAAACGAGCCAAACACCTCAACCGAGCCAACAGCTTACCCAATGGGCTGATAAGCGGTCTGCTCCCTCGGACCCAGCTATGCCAGCACCCAATCGTGTCTGTCTCTTATCACGGTCTTGCAGAGGTCAAAGAGGTCCAGACTTACCAAGACTGACGCAGCCGGTCTTCTGGGCCTCCGTTTTTACCGACCAAGAAGAGCCCCATAAAAGGATGCACTGGCTTCTGCCATCGGACTTGGTCAGGGTTCAACGGGTGGCGCTGGCTAAGGAAAGGCCGATCTTCAATCACCCCCTGCTGCCTCACGGCCCTGACATCCAGGCTTCGGGAGATGCTGCTAACTATCTTAGGCCCCAACTCCAGGCATCGAGGGGTAAGCAGGGGGGGGAGGAAATGAGGGGCAGCCAGGGGGGAAAAATCCCATAAACAATAGTGACAACAATGAAACAAGTCTGAACTGGCGAGCTGGCAACTGACCATCCGCTGCTGATCGACGGCGGTCTTCAGGCCTTTCTGCAACTTCACATGCCATTCGCTCGCGAACCTCAGTCTCAGCATCTTCGATTCTTCACCGCCTGAAGCTCGACCGTGGGTCGAGTTCGCGCACACGCGAACTTGACCCCTCCATCGTCTCAAAGCTAACGGCACCGACTGCGGCGACATGCGGCGCCTTGCTCGATCCAGCGGGCCGTCACCAACGGTCACGCGTTTTCATTTGGCATCAGGATCAATCGGTGAGGACCATGCTTGCCCTGATTGGGTCTTTCACACACGACGTGGCCTTCAATTCTTTCGCTTTCAGGCGTGGGGCTAGCCTGAATCAAATTGTGCAATCCACCCTGCTCCCAATCGAGAGTTTAGCAGAAGGGTGACTTTCTGAAGGAAATGAGGGGTGGAGGGGCAACACGATGGCCAGGGTGAGTGGTTATATAAACAACGCCGTCCATGGTGGCACGGCTTTCTTCTTTCTCTTCCTCTTCAAGCTTCTCAAAGCCCAAGTCTTGTACCAGTCCCTCTTCCAGGCAAATCATACTTGACCCTCCCAACTATATCCTCCACCCCACAACACATTCGCCATGGCCGACGAAGCTACCAAGGCACACCTCCGCACCAAGTTCGACAAGCTCACCGCTGACGACTTCAAGGAGGTTGCTGGCAACAAGGAGGCCCTCGCCACCAAGGTCGCCGAGAAATACGGCATCTCCAAGGAGGAGGCCACCAAGCAAGTTGAGGAGGGTTTCGCCGGCAAATAAGTAGCCAAACACCTTTGGCCCAGCGGTTCAACCCTCGAAGCTCTTCCCCTCCAGTCAATTTATCCAACCCTTCTCCGCCAATCGAGACAGCAGTCGCATCACCTCCAAAGGGGGAAGATGGAAAGAAGAAGAGTTTTGGAAATGTTACATACCGTGCCCACACGCAGTTGGATGGGTTCTTCATAGCGCAAGGAGTCACAAAAAGCCTGCCAACGATTCATCATGCCTCGACAAGCTCAAAGAGTTGATAGAACAAAGGGAACAATGCATATTTCCATAAGGACATTCCGCAGCACTTCGTATTGATCTCCTGGCTTTCTGCTTCCGTTTGTCAAACTCTGTGCTATCTCGAACCGAGCTTACGTGCCAGTGGCACGCTGTGTTACCCACATGACTGACTGCCAAAGCGAGCCCAACGTGCTTTTTCCCTTTTGTTGTGCCCCTTTTTGTTTCAGCCTCACGCGCCATATATGTCGCAGCCTGCCTAACCCGGCAACGTAGTTATGTACAAGGGGCCCCCAGGGGATAGGCAGCGTCGTCCCTGGACCTTGATCCGTTCCTGTTTCACACAACTCTGCCGTGCCGTGTCTATCCGTCCCTCTGATGTGCTGTCATCCCCTTACCATACTGTTACCTTATCCCGCCAGTCGACAAGTCGAACCTCCAACGCCCAACGCCCGATGCCCAATGCCTATAAACATTGCTCTTTTCCACGGAGAACTCGGCCCATGGGGCAGGCGCCTTTGAGACTCGCCTCGCCTCGCCTCGACTCGCGGGACATCCTCGATGATGCAATTCTTCACGTCTCTCGAATTCCCTCAGCGCCCAACCAATGCCTGATGCTTAAGCCAACAATGCCCTGACACGTAACAATAACTTCACGCCTTCCTTCCTTCCTTCCTTCCTTCCCTCTTTAGTGGGGGGGGTTTTTTTTTCCCGCTCTTCTTCTTTCCTTTCTATTTGCTTCCACGTATGTATCCCCGGTCCACCCCCTTCAACTAATTATGTAAATAAACTCTTCTTATAGGGGAAGGAAAAAGGGAAGGAAGGACGCTATGCAAAGGAATTTTGCATGTACGAGGGACCTGCCTCTGGTATCCGTATCTATCCCTCTCCATACCTGCTGGCAGCTACATGCACACTACCGAATGCCCTTGGCACAGCACAGCCATGCGATTTGTGGAGGGGGAAGGAGGATGAAACGGGGGGAGGGGGAGGGAATTGCCAGCACATCTGCGACGATGTCCTACACCCTAGACTCATGTCCATGTACGTGTGTCTAAGGCCAGGACTGGGACCGGGATCGGGCCCCGTGTTTAGGACCAGGCCGATCGAGTCTCGTCGTCGTTACTCGTACGGGTAGGGTAGGTATGTAGGTAGAGTATCTAGGTGCACAGGTACCTACCCGTAGTGTACCCTGTCTCCCCGGGGGTCGCGATGGGCAACATGGGTACGAGTAAAAGCGAACAAGGCGTGCCAACACAGTAATAGATAGGTTATGAACCTTCGTACGGGGTAATAGGTAGTACTCGCAGCCGCCGGTAAAGGCGACGGAATCCATGGACCATGTACTTTGTACCTTTAGTTGGCGGCCCCTTTCCCGACAATGTTTTGAACTTTGAACTCACCGTTCATTTTTGTGTAACTGTAAAATACTCAAGTCAGATACTAGATATACTAGGGACATAATTCTTGTACGGCTCTGAAGACGCCACGCCAGCCTGGGTCCATTTCGCCCCCCTTCCAGCATAGAAATCCGGGCAAGGTGTTGTTCGTTCTTGCAACCAACGACAGGTAAGGACACGGCTGAGATGCAACCTCCGACCTGGGCAAAGATGACATCCGACCGGGCTTTGCCTGACTCACGCGCGGTGTGATGGTCCCCGTCGTCTATGTACGAGCATACTGATGCAGCCCCCAACCAAGACCGAACTCATTTCCTGTCCAATGCTTCGTCGCATGCATACCAGTCAGAGAGAGAGAGAGAGAGAGAGCTCCCATCCTCCCCTTGTCAACACTCGTCATTTCAAACCTCTTCCTCATCATCCAATCCATCCCCCAACAACTCATCATCCTCCACAACCTGGGAATAATCTTGTCCTCTTCTTGCAAACGCATCTCTCGAGCGATAGGGGGCTCCATACCCAGCATCCGTTCCTCTTCCCGCACCAAACCTCCCTCCTGAAGCACCACCACTCCCAAGAGGCATATATCCTTTTGCACTCCTCCATAAACTCATCACGAGTAAGGGCGTTGCCTTCGCTACCGCAACCACACCACTCACCACCGCCACAGGGATCTTGATCCACAACGGATCACCGCTCGCTCCGGAAGAAGTCCCGGTGGCGCCCATGCTTTCTCCCAGCCGAATCTGTCCAAACGAGCCAAATCCGCTCCTCCATTGCGTATACACCCAATAGCCAATGCCGAGGGCGACCGTAATAGGGATCACAATCGCAAAGAATAATGCCACGCCTGAAATGCCGTGCTTCTTCTTATATTCCTTTTCATGGCCTGGACAAGGTCTCGACTCCAGCTTATCCAATTCCCTCCCCCCCTGGCACGTCGTCAGTGGTATCCTCCTATAACCCGTGGGATACCAGAACTCGAGCTGATTTGGATTATCTCGACAGTTCTGTTCGTGATCGGCTGGCTGCAGTCCCGGAACCAATTGACACGTTCCATCGGCTTGCGCCTGGTAGTTGTAATCACACTCAAAGTCCTGGCGCGTGCAAGAACAGTTTCTCGCAATGTTGTGCACGTGACTGATGACCTTGCCGTTGTAGCATTTGGCGTCAACACGTTTGCGGTGATATTGAGCTACGTGGCCGAACAAGCAGTTTGAATCTTGCATGGGATGCTTTGGTTCCCAGAGCGCGTAGTCACCTTTCTCGGGGTTCTTCTCGTCGAGATCGCATTTGATTTGGCGTTCTTCGAGGCCGGAAAAGTCCAGGTGCACAGTGAAGATGCCACGTTTGGCGGTAGTTCCCAATTCACGACCCCACAGAAGGAAGTTGCGAGAGTTGTCCGATGGTACGGTGGTAATGGCGTCGATCTGCATTTCCACATCCGGGGAGAACACGAACTCTCGCCAAGTCTTGCCTTCGTCAAGGGTGTAGAAGAGAGATTTGGTGGGTTGGGACTCCTTGACAATCACGATGATGCTGCCTTGGTCGCCGTATTCCCACATGTAGCTGCCCTTCTTGACGGATTGCCAAGTGATACCAGCGTCGCGAGTAATGAAGGTGTCTGTGGCTTCATCGTCTTTCCGGGCGAGGTATTCACCAACGTTCCCCACGGCCATCATTAATCCAACCGCGCTAGGGCTGGAGAATGTGGCTGACTTATCGGCCCGTTCGGTATAGCTGTGAATGTGCAGGGAGCATTTTTCGGTCGCCTTGTTCGCCTCTTCCACACAAGGGTAGTTATTTCCCAAGGCATCCTCCTTCGGTGGTGGGAAATACGCCCATTGTGCACCGTCGTTGTGGGTAATCATCGACTTGAGCTTCTTCCTCTCCCCGTTGTTCGTCTCGTCGATATTAGACACGACGTTGACCATGGCAACTCCTTCGAGACCCTGCATTTTCTCGAAATCGACATAGCCTTCGGTGTCCCGATTCACACCGCCCAGAGTGAAGACATACGATGTTCCGTTGCTGTTCGACTTAATGATCGCACCGTACTCGTGATCTTGAACAGCGTTTACGGTGACATGAAGGAACACAGCGTGAGTAGAGCTGTCCAAAACCGTGTAGGCTTGTTGATGCTTCACTTGAAAGTTTCGAGGAAATTCTGCAGGCGCAAACGTTCGTCCATCCACACTCGCATCCACCTTCAAGCTCTGCCTGTCTTCAGTCTTTGCCGCAACGATGATGAACTCTGACATGGTCGCAAAGTCTAAAATGTCCGGGAAATGCACTTTCGACTCGGCAAAAAAGTTGTCGCTGGATAAGAGCATGAGGTTCTTGTCTGGATTTTCGTCTTGATACTGTTCACAGTATATCAACTGGTTACCACGGCCTTGACTTTCTCGTGTGATAAATTCGCATTTTCTTGCATAACGAACCAGTGTGTCCCAATGGTCGCCACGGTCTCTGGACAGCCAAATGTTTGTGTGGTCGTCGTTTCCAACGGAACCAGACCAGAGTAGCCAGTCCTTGTATTCGGAGTGGAATCGCAAAGTTGGTAGCCGTAGGGTGCTCGGTCGTTCTGGAGCCGTGAACTTATCGAACCTATCCCCTCGATCAATGGTGTAGTGGACGGTTTTTGAGCCTGTCAGGAAAAAGACTGAATCGTGATGGTGAGGGTTAGGCGCAATGGCGGTGATCGGCTCTCCCTTGAGAATTCGTTCCCAAGTTTTGCCATGATCCCGTGATAAGAAGATATCTTGCTCGCTCGTGCGCATGACGATGGTCTCGTCATTTCCCTTAGAAGTACCACTTCCTCCAAGATAGTACCATTCGGAGAAGCGATCAGCGTTGAAGTTGGTCTTCTCAACAGTGATCCGGCCCGAAGCAGGCGTCTTCACCGAGTCCGAACATGGCCTTTCGATCTCCTTGTCGAGTTCTTCACCACCCTTGCGCAGACATTCATTGCCCGGAATCATTCGCCATCCGGACGGGCCCTTGAAGGTGTCTTTCTCATTCTTACATGCGCCCTCTGGGACAGCAATCGGCTGTGCAGGATTGCATTTAGTGCGATCGTCGGGGTCTCTGACAAAGTTGTAGTCACACTCAAAGTCAGCCATCGTGCAGACGCACGGTTCGAACTCCGGTACAGGGTCTTTGAATTCCTCATCGATGAAGCAGTCAGCATCAGCCTTGCGTCTCCTGTAGAATTGCTTGTGTCCCATGAGACAGCTCGGTTTGCCGTCCTTGTCGACGCGAGCGGGCCAACGCTCGAAGTCGTCCTTGCCGCAAGCTCGTTCATGCAGACCCTCAAAGTCGATTTTGAACATAACCCACTCGGTCTTGGAACCTGTCCCTTTGGCACCCATCATGAGGAACTTGAGGGTAGTCGAGTCTGGAACGGTGGTGAGGAACCTCGCTCGGACTTTCTCTCCAAGATCTGCCTTCTTCCAGGTCTTTCCATGGTCGATCGAATATCTTATGTGACCGGTGGAATCCTCATCGTCAACAGCGACAATAACTGCTCCCTGATTGCCAAACTCGTACAAATAAGCACCATCAAGGCCCTCATACCATGTGACACCGGCATTGTCCGAGACATACAGATCGCCGTCTTCGTAATCCTTCAAGAACTTTCCAGTATTGCCAATTCCCATGACAATGCCGGGGGCCGGACTGGAGAAGATCCTTCCTGTTTGCCTTGCGTCGGTCACCGAATGGAGATGCAGCCTCTTGTCCCCGACTTTGAGATCCTGAAACGTTCTTCCATCATCGAAACTGATCTGAGATATAACCTCTTTTCTAGGAATAGTCGAGCCCTCGACATCCTTCCAATTGTCGACAACATTCACCAAGACGATCCCCTGGATCGCCTGGACTTTCTCAAAGTCGACGTTGCCAAAGATGTTGCGATTGGTATGGTCAATGTTGCGCGTGAAATAAGTGCCGTTCGAGTTCGACGTGAAGAGGTAACCCATAGGATTGGTAGGCCGTGATCCGAGTACGTCAACCTGTAAGCTGTAATTGGTGCTTTCCAGGATGGTATAGGCATCTTCATCGATCCGATGCTGTCCGAACTCTGCTCGGTGCCATTGTGATGCGTCTTTTGTCACATACAACGCCAACTCATCTGTGCCCTCAGACTTTGCGGCTGCAACCAAGAATCCTTTGACCGCAGCCATGCTAATGATCCCAGTCACGGCCCGGCCATCATCAAGTGCAGGCTCGACCTGATCCCGATCGAAAAAGTCGTCGGACACGAGCAGTCGATTGTCCTTGGGCCAAGGGGAGTATAGCCCTTCCACGATGCAGAATATCCGATCTCTTATTTCAGGAGCAATCTCTTCTCCAAAGTCGGGGGTGCTGACAGCCCACTGGCATCCTCGCGTCATATCACCTAGTCTGTTTGTTGTCTTGAAGTCATCGTCAGTATAAAACGCCCGCTCGATGCAGGCCAGGCCGACACAGTGCTCGGCGTTCCATATTACTCGTTTGGGGTCCCGGCCATGGAAGCTCAATGGGGCGTTGCGGAATCTGGCAAGACCATCACCATCGGAAGAGAACTTCCTCCATGTTTCACCCGCATCTGTTGTCACCCAATGATCGGAGTCTAGGCCAATGATATATGCGCGCTGATTGTCATAGGGATGTCGATATACATCCAAGGCATTTCCTGACTGTCCTTGGTCGTTGATTTCCTTCCAGGTCTCGCCCGCATCGGCACTGCGCCAGACGATACCGGTCTCTCCATCATATCCAATTACAACATCTGAATCGTCGAAATAGAAGACGTTTTCTAGAGGATTATCGAATGTTGTGGAGGAGATGGTTGGGCCGTCTTTCTTTGCTTGCGTAGGCTGCGGAGAGGAGGCGAGTAGTAAGAGGAGGGCGACCGACGAGACGACAGCGCGACGACAGTAGGATCTTATTATCATCTTTGATTACCGCATCGAGCGGATCGTAAGGACCGAACTACAGTCAGAAAAAATAATCGCAAAGGGCTCGAAAACGAAGAAAAGTGATATGGACACAGTTGTCGGATTGGAGATGCAAATGGCGTTGCCTGCGATCAACAATTCTGTGAGGCTCGTGGCTCACCTTGCAAGATTATGGCCTCTGGCCGGATGGGGGTAAGCGTCACCACCTTAAAACGCGGCCTCAGCGGGAGCTGGCTCGCTGCGGACTCGCTGGGAGCTCCTAAGTTAACTGCGCCAGAGGCCAGCGGCAGAAGGTTGACCCCGGAACAGCTCCCGTCGGTCACCCCTTACGAAGATAGTGATCCCAGCAATGCTGTGAAGAAGAGGGTATTATTGATCATTTTCGTTAAGCGGGTTTGCCTTCATATCCCTTTCCTTGGATTGTGACTTTTATCAATCCCATCAAGCTCCCAGAGAGGATGCCCACCCACCCCCTTTGCAAATGCAGCCAGGTCGTAGTTTGCTTCCTCCATTTTTCCCTTGCCCATGTTCCGAGTCCGCTCCCTGGCTTCAAAGCGATATCTCCCGGCCTGAACGCCTACGCTCAAAAACGGCATTGACATATGTATCTGGATATCCTATGCTGTCGCTTTATCCAAACAAAATAAAAAGTCGATTAGTAACTCTCAACCGTCAGTTGGCCAAAATCATTTGAGCCGTAGTTTTCGGAGAAATCGTTTCATTTTGGATTCTTCGGCGGGCAGTGTATCCCATATGGACACTGCGTTTCCATCCGCGGGCGCGTCAGGCCGCTCCAATGGTGGTTTGTGGATCTTCTTTTGACGGTCTCGTTGTGATTGTTGTTCTTCCGGTGAGCGGAGATCTGGTCTCGTCAAGGTCATATGCAGCGTCATCTCCCGATCTGTAGGGATGCCACGGGCATATGTTTCGGGCTGTCTTCGGATTGAAAATGGTCTTAGACCTTTGGCCCCATCGACACTGTTCCCGTGTGATTGTCGGTGCATGTGGAAAACCGCTTCTTCAGGGGTTCGAGGGTCAAATATCGTATCCGGTTCGTCGCCATCGTCACCATCATCCCCCGATAGCGATGGTGTGTCGTCATGGAAGAAAGTTCGATTAAATTCAGGCCTCGGTTGTGGGCTTGTCATCGGTCTGTTGTGGTTCCACTGTTCTCGCTCTTCTACGGAAGGAAATCCAAACTCGATGGCCTCATCGAACTTTTGTGGGGAGGCAAGATAGAGCCTGAGCTTCATTCGAGCCGCAGGGTCTTGGTAATGCGTTGCTCGAGGATCGATAGATGATATTGACGCTTGAGACCGCAGGTGTTTCAGAGAAAACGAAGAGGAACGGGTGTGAGGAGGTCGCAAGGGTAATGCCGGCGTCGGAGGCGCTTCTATAGGAGGACGGGATGATGATGTCGAGCTGCGGCCACGGCGTATAGAAAGGCTCGAGAGAGAAGGGTTTCGCCGTGAGCGACGCTGGACTGGTGCCGACACCGACATTGTGCGGCGGTTTGTTTCTGCAATCGCTGCATGGTAGTCGTCCAACTTGAGATCGAGATCTCCTTCATCCTCCAACCATCGAAAACCCTCTATTGAGTAGTCGCCCATGTCGATAGCAGAGTCAACCCGGAGTTCGTCTTTGAGTTCTTCGCAGTCCACAATGGAGACGCCGTCATCCGAGGCTCGGCGTTCAAACAATGCAAAATGACCAGGATGCGAACTGCGGCGGCGGAGTGTTTCGTCTGCCGAGTCGAGGATGATGGTGTTTTTCTCTTGGGAGTAGAATGAGCACTCTTCCCTCGAGAATAACTTTTTCTGGACGGCAGGGGGCAAGGAAGCGAACCAAGCGACAGTGTTTGGAGTGATGTCCGCTGCCGAGCAGCGTCTCCTCTGTAGTCTTTTACCGTTGAAGAACTGGCCGGTCTGTATGATTCCGTGGGTCAGGATGGTGAAAGTGTCGGAAGGTTGAGTCGTGAAGCCGGCATTGTTTGTGGGATGAATCGACAATTGGGAAGGGGGACGTGAGAGGTGTCTGCCATCTTCAGCCAACCTGAGACGTTCTAAGCTACTAAAATACTGGTGCAACACATATGTTAGCCGTGGACCTGCAGCCTAAGCGATCGAATGAGGCTATCATCTTGTCTAACGGTCACACAAGACAAGCCCCAAAGGTGGTGGAGGAAGCCATTGGGATTCTGCGTCGTGTTGGTGGTCCCTGCTTCGAGGACGGAGGATCGTGCCGCGCCCAGGATGCCCAGGGCTCCCCATTTAGGCTAGGGGCAGCATGCCTAAACCCCAAGCATCTCAAGCCCAGAGCTGTTGGCGGCCGGCGGTGATGATGGCGCGGATTCGGCCTCAGTGGTGCGGTGGATGCAGGATGATCTGACTGGGAATGACGTGGGACGGCTCAGGCGAACACGGGCGTTTTGGACGGAGATGGCAGTGATGTGCATCCTTCTGCTGGTCTCCCTTACCCCCCCTTCGAAGATCATGGCGAAGATCCTGTTTCACTCCAGCGAGGCGATCACTAGGCTGTCGGCAGAGGTGGTGTTGAATTTCGCCAGAAGCGGGTGCATCTCGAGCGAAATGAGGGAAAGAGAGATGGGGTAGAGACTAATAGCAAACTCACTTTTCGAACCACGACGGGAGGTAGAGTGTCAAAAGCCACATCACTGGGAAACGAAGGGCGTCGAGAGCGCCGCATATTGGAACAAGTCTGGGTGGGAGGGTTTGGACTAGCAGTGGTGGCAGTTGTGGTGGTGTAATAATTGCTCCGCTTTGGCATTGGGATTCCGCCGCATATTCTTGCCGTGTCCTCTCAACGCGTCTCACCCAGAAGAACAAACTTCTGGAGTCGGTGGCCGTCGATCGGTATGTAGGTAGCTTGGTAGGTCACTTTTTTGGCTTCAAGAGAGCTGAACCGTTCCTGAAAGTGCCCCGATGATCGACCCTGATAGCTGCCTGTACCGTCGTGCACACACTGGCTAGTCTCTCGCTTGGGGCATAAGGGGATGCTTAAGCGGACAGGCGGAAAAAGGACATATACCTATGGGGACTTGGGATAAAATTACACGAAGCTGTGTGTGTTTGGAGGGAAAGAATGTGAACTATTATAATAGTAACAACAACAGAGGCCGAAGTGAAAGTCCCAGGAAGTCTGTAAGGGGTGAGATGATGAGGCGCTGTCATCTGGCCTGGATATATGTCACCGATATGTCACTTGAAGAAATGAGCATTTTCTTGAGCCGTGCTGTGCGTGGCCCTGGAAGCCCTGGGCTGAGATTAAAATCGACTCCGTGCATGGGCAAGGAAACCCTGCCCACTGACTGCCCACGATGCAAATGCAAATACGGCCTAGATACAAAGCCCTGCGACGTCTGGAACCATCGTGGCGCTCCTGCTTGCTCGTCTAGACCTGTACTGGCCCTCGCCGGCCCTCCATCTCTCCTCATCCATCTTGCTGCTCTTGCCGATTTTGACGCATGGACCTCACGCCGTCAGCTGCTTTTGAAACGTCCAATCCACACAAAACTCTTCTGTTGGCGCACTATCTTCCGCGAGGCGTCCTCGTGGTTCTTTTTAAGCGACACCGAGTTCATGCCGCCATGCGAAACCTCTATTGACCAGACGTGAGCTGCCGACCGAACCCGCTAGATGCAGCAACGAACTGCTTCAAATGGTGTGGAATTCCCCATCCGCCTCAGGTATAAGTCCGGAATATTGTGCCACCAATTTATCTGGCCAGCTCCCACCCTGTCTGTCGCTTCATACTTTTGTACAAAAGGACTTCGAGGCATGAACATGACGCTAATGGAAGGGGGGGGAATGTGGCACCCCACCAAAGAGAACTCGAAGAAAAAGACACGGTCCACTTCAGACAAAACAAATCTGTCAGTCTGCCAGCCGACATGTCATATTTTTTTTTTCGGCGAGAGCCCCTCGCTTAGATTTCAGATTCGCTGCATTTGATGCTCTCCATTTCTTGCGATCCAGCATTTTTTGACTTCGTCCGGCTGGAGGGCTAAGAGATTTGGAGCGTGATGTCTGGCGCCTTAAGTCGCGTGGCCAACAGGGATCAGAGAATGACATCCTGCCCATCAGCTCCATTCAATGCACAGAACACAACTTGTGGCTGCAGAAAAGTCTCAGAGGTCAGGAGATCGGAACGCCAACAAGCGAAAGAGGCGCACGGAGGAGCGTAAGTTATCTTGATGTGGTTGAACACGATGCTGTCAAGCTGCAGCCACGTCAGTTCGAAATTCAAGGTACTGCTTCTTCCGAACTGCTGCAGTAACCACGCTCGAGAGCGGGGCGGTTGTGCAAACCGTCTGGAAGGAAAGGCGAGGACAAGCTCTTCGTGAACCATTCCGTGTCCCGGCAGCTAGAAATTGCTTCTCGGACCGACACGGGAAAACAAGTGAACCGGCGCCTTGAACACCTGTCCACTGATGTTTAACTGTGCCACCCTTTGTTTGGCTTCATTCGAGCAGTGGGGTGCACCTCTTTGGGAGTGTCTTAGAGCGACCTGCTATACTAGAGTATGTTCGATGCTCTCGTGGGATGCACAGGCCCTTTCCATCCCCACCATCTATATCTGAGGTCAGCTGGGAGCAACAGGCATCCAGAAGGAACCACCAGAACCGAACGCTGACGATAATTATGTCTATGTGGTCAATGGAACATGCGTTCTGTCAAGTAGTTGAGATCAACAAAGTCAGGTCGCCTTTACCCGTACCCGGCTCGGCAGGTACCGAGTACTTTCAGCTCGCAAAGAGCTAGACGGCAACCGGGAACCACAAGTGCAGGCTAACGACGGTGGGATTGGTCCTTGTTGTCGAAAGATGCAGCCATGTTGTTAGCATTGAAGACGAACAGGGTTGTGGCTCAGCACGGCGCGAAGAGGCGTGCAGCATCGCGATTTGTTCTGAGGTCGTCCAGGAAGCAATGCCTGTAAGCTGGTGGTGTGACCGGTACCGGGTACATATAAGGAATACCAAGCAGATGAAATGCTGACAAGACACCGGAGTTCGGTCCCAATTTCTCCCTGTTTCTGGGCATCTTGGGTGGACAGCCTTGGTAATTTGCGGGATATTTCCCTGGCAAGGACCAATCCGGGGCTTTACTCGTGTCTCCTTTTTTTTCTTTTCTTTTTTGTTTACCAGTTAGAGGGGTGTCCTGGCAAATTACCGGGTAGATAGCAGAAGACCAGTCCCTGCGAGTTGGACAAGCCCGAGGGAAGGGAGTGGGGGGCTGACTAGGGGTTGGCGGTATCGGACCCTGTCGAGACTTGCAAGGTAGACGAAGCGAAGGAGGACCTTTAGAAGGTTGGGTTGTAGCAAGTAAATAACACGTTGAATTAAGTATTGATAGCGACAAAAGGGCCTTCTATTCTTACAGACTGCAAGATTCGCCAATGCAGCTCGCAAGTGAGGTCTTGGTGAGGGTCCAACGAGAAGAACAAGCAGTCCGGAGGGAATCTGCAGGTCTCTGAAAGGCCGCCAACCACGACGCAGTGCCTGGAACAAGGTCCCATTGATCCGCTGATGGTGTCGAATGCGGGGAGGCAAGTCGACAGCCAAGCGGTGATGTTGTTGGTGGTTGCCGCTGGTGATGTTAACGAGTGGCGGTGGCTGCCGTGGTTAATGAGGGCGACGCTCAAATCAAGGCTGAAGAAATAAGTAGGGGGCCACACCGGGGTGACGGGCTTGGATGGGCCACTCGGGCGCCTCTATTCCGCAACCCGTTAGGCTTCCCTGACGTGCTCGTGCTGCTGAGAGCTGCTAGAACCGCTAAGCTCCTAGCCCAGGCGCCAAGTGGCCGAGACAGGCTTGCGATGGTGTGTGGTTGTCGCGGCAGGTTCCATTAGCACCATTAGCACCATGAGCAACCATTGGCATCATTGGCATCGCAACCCTCAGCCAACGCGACGGCGCGGTTGAAGAAACCACCCCCGTGTCATTGTCTCAAACAAGCAGTCAATCAACATCTGCGCTTTTTTGCCTGCGCCCTCCTGATTTTTACTTTCGTCGTCTACTGACACACCATCCTTCCTCCTCAGCTGAAAAGTCCTTCCTCTGCTTATATCTTCGGCATCGCTCTTGCGTTGATATCTGTAGGACTTATCTCCACCGAGTCCTCTTCCTTGTACCCAGCACCAACGCTTACGGGCATCGCGCTTCATCCCTCGGCCACGCCTTCCTCTTGCCTCAATCTCCCTACGCTAAAGATGCGTTTCGCACACGCCTTGGTCGCTGCGCTCTGCGCAGTCGTTGCGTCGGCCCAGCAGAACAATGCCATCAGCATTCCTGGTGGTCAGGGCACTTTGGACGTGACGGCAGGCCAGCCCCTTACTATTGAATGGACAAATCCTTCAAGCGGCACCGTTACCATCAAGCTGCAGCAAACCCCCATCACCCCTGATTCCGGTGTGGTCCTGGCGTGTATGTGAAGACCCTAACTATCCTTCCGTTCAGAAATAAATGTACTCACCTAAATGTAGCTGGTGTCCCTGCCTCCGCCCTAACGGCAACCCTCCAAATCCCACCCCCCGAGGATGTCAACTCCCACGTATACACCATTGAAATCATCGATGATACGAACCCCAGTAACATCAACTTCTCTCCCAATTTCGGCATTCAAGGCGCGACGGGGACGGCCACTGGAGTTGCAACTGGTACCGTGACCTCCACCGCCTCTGCCAGCACTTCCGATAGTACCTCTGGCAGCAGTACCGATACCTCATCTGGCACGAGCACGGATACTTCAACAATCACTTCAACTGACAGCTCTAGCAGCTCTGCTACGACCGCAAGCAGCAGCGACAGCAGTAGTAGTGAGAGCTCAGCAACCACCAGCAGCTCCCAGGAGACGACCGCATCAACAACCTCTGCGTTGCCAACTGAGACCACATCAGCTCCAAACCCCAACAGCAACGGAGCTGGCAGTCTAAAGGTTCAGGGAAGCCTTTTCGCTCTGGCCGCCGGGTTGATCGCAGTCTTGTAAAGTGTGTCCGGAGACGAAGTTCAAACACAGAATCCGATTCTCTTGTACAATCTTGGCATCCACTCCTCCTGCATATGGGTATGTGTATACCTCGGCAGCAGTCTGTGTTTATAACATCCTGGCTCGAACTCGGGCTTTGAATTTTGTCCTGTACCACTTTATTCACTCTGACAAAAAGGAGGTTCTATCAGCGGATATCGAATGGCACATGATTGCTGAGCGTGGACGCGATGGGTGACAGTACAGTCTTGTGGAGCATAATGGAGCATATAGGTGGATTTCCGGGCATGGCGCTTGTTTGATCAAAAGAGATGCGGAAGCTGGGTCCTGGATAATACATGTTGTGCTTTGAATAGCATAAAAAGGGATAATAAAATGTGTCAGCTGAAAGAGTGTTGGGTCTTCTTTCCATTTTCCATTGCGCGTGCTAATCTCAGGACAACGGCATTCGCAGAGACAAGGAAATAGAATCAGTGGGCAACCATTACTCAGAAAAGGCACAGATTCCTCACACAGACACAAACACAGATCAGACATCAGCAAGCAAACAAAAACACATTGAGCCGGTGACGGTTGTCGACGCTTGGGCGACGCTCGGGCACTGCATTCCATGCGGGAAAAGAGCAGACTATCAAGGCGGGCACCGGCAGAAGGGAGCAGAGGGCCAATCGGTCGCTTGCGCAGGCGGATGGAGCATGAGTCTGACCTTCCTGCTCAACCTGCTCAACCTGCTCAACATTTTGCTGGTGCTCCGGTCTTATCGGATGGTGGTAAGACGGCTGGAAGCCTACGCCGTTGAGCACCACTTACAGTCAAAACAAAGAAGGAGAAGAAAGGTTAATCCTGGTTCAGGTCGCGAGAACCCTAGGACTTTTCAAACATGCGTATGGGAGGGGAAAAACTTGAGCCCATTGAGCCTCTCACCCTCTTTTTCTTTTTTGTTTACTATAACGGAACGGAAGCAACTCTGTCGACCTGTTTTTGCACGTGCGATACCCAGGGCTGCAGTTCACATCAGCAACGTTCTTGCAGCACCGGCAGAGCGACGTGCATTATCAATTATCACTCCCGCCCCAGTATAAACCAATCAAGCTCGCAAAGAATTCCACGTCGTCTTTGTTTTCACCGCCATCTCTTTGTCTGAGACGATAATGCGAGCAAATCTTGTCTTGTTTGTCGTCTCGCCTGGCCTGCCTGCCTCCGCCGAGACACATCCTCCATGTTGTTGAAATTTTTATCTCTCGCTGCTGCGGCGCAATCAATCGTAGGGGGGCTACATAGATCACTCGATTCAGTAAGTTTTATCAATCGAAAACTGGATACTGGATAGCGAAGAGGAGAGAAGAAGAGAAAAACGAGAGGAGAGGAGAGTATTCGGGTTGACTCTCGCCCTGCATCCACCCATTTCCACCTGCTCTTGTCCTCGTTCCCGCCCCCGTTGTTCTGTTCTGCGCTGCGATGTGGCGCAAAAAGTCTGGACGTTGTTGTTTCCTGCAACACACTCACTCTATGGCAGGAAGAAATGGAGTACTCCGTGCATAGGAGACCGAATTCCGCGCCGTGCATGCCATGCCACGCCATAGCTACGCCGCGCAATGATATGGCTACATATGTGGGAACTTGGCATGGCTTGGTCTATCACATCCTCTGTCTGCTTGTTAGGCGCCAGATGTCCCTTCGCTATCACTGTCACAATCACTGCGTATCCGGCTATCAGCTATCAGCTATCTGCTACATATCAGCTATGTACGAGCTCTCGGCTGAGCGGCCTTGCGCATCCAGCCAGCCTTGAGCATCCTGTAATGTATGTAACCTTGCCTATCTCGCCAGCTATCCACCTGCCCGTTCTCAGCTAACTTCCTCACTTCTCACAAACGGCCACGCATCGATCCACTCGACACAGTAGCTGTCCCGGTAGCTAGTCAGTCAGTCAGGCAGGCAGGCAGGTAGTTCATTCAGTTGGTTAGCTAACTAGCTAGTTGATGTGCACACGACGCGCGCGTCCAGCACCAGCACCAGCACCAGCACCAGCACCAGCATCAGTACCAGCATCAGACACCGTCAAACCATCCAAAGGCTACAAGCTACGTACTAGGTTCGTTCGTTGCAAAGGCCCCGCCCTGAGCGCCCTCCCTTGCTGGCATGTGTATGTGTGTGTCTGTATGTACTCCCGCGCTTGTAGGAATGGACTTGTTAGGGAATGAATGGAGGAGGAGGACGACAGCTAACCCCTCGCTGGCCCCGATTGGACTCGGCTTGGCCTCGACCTTTGCCCCTCGACTCGCCCTCAACTCGCCCGACGAAAAGCCGTCCGTCACAGCAACGCTAGGACACTATAGTTCGCGGTCGACGTCGACGTCGATGTAGTCGTGTAATCGCCCCCCAGTCGGCGCGGCTACATACATACTCCGTTCACACACATCTTGTAGGCACGGAGCACGGAGTCCATACATCGGGTACGTGTTCAGTCGGATTTCGGCTGGCCACTGGGCTCGCTACCCACGGTACGTAGTTCAAGTAGGTAGCGAGGTAGGCAACCCCCAAGCCGGATTCAAGTGGCACAGTTTGCACGGTCAGTCACAGATTATGTACCTTAAGAGTGCTTTATAACGTCAAAGCGGCCGCTATATCGAATATAATTGACAGTATAGGATGAGTGACAGAGGGCCACTATCCCTGAAGGTAAACAATCTACCGTGAATGGAAGGGCATCTTTGGTCGAACACTGAATCACTCTAGACCGTGCCACTTATTTTTGAATCCAGCTTGTCTCTAAATGCAGCCCTAAGTACTACGAAACTCATCTGTCTGGTTCTGGTTCTGGTGCCGGTTTCGGTTGCGGCGACCGGATGGATGGCGCACTTGACTACGAGTTCCTCCAGAGTTGTAACATGGCGAGATGGTTGTTGTTGTATGTGGTCCAGCCAACCAGCCAGCCTTCTCCATGGCTGTGAGCGAGCCTGCTTTGGCGCCCCAAGACCGAAGCTCAAAGACTCTGCGGTGATGGGCGTTCTGGGTACTCGGCCGGTACCGCATCGTTGGAAGGTAAGTAGGAGTAATCGCCCTGGCTCGTGGTCAACTGCCCTCCACAAAGTCAGTGGTATAGGGAACGGATCCTCCCCATTGATCAAGTCTCGATTTTAGTTCGCTATCTCGATATACTTTCCTGCCTTGATATGTCCCCTCCCTTCTTACCCCCGAGGAGACGTTGTGTGGCATTTGAACATCCTTGGCTCATATATGTAGGGAGATAGTGGGAACAAAGAAGCCCAAAGAAAGCCTGCGTGTCACTTGTGCGGACTTCCCGATCACGACTTCATTAGATGCCGTGGTAATGGACGATCATGAGCATTTTTTCCCTCCTTCTGTCAAAAGTTCTCGAGCCATGAGCCATCGCATCATGTCTGTGGGCTGGAGTTACTCGCAGGTAAGACATACTCCGGCGGGGGGACGGGGGAGTGTGGTGAGACAAGCCTCAACCTTCGAGGGAGGGACAAGTCGAAAAGTTAATGGAAAGGTTTCTCAAAAGATTTTCTTGGATAGGGAATTGCAGGATCCTCGGCAGAGGCCGTGGCGACTGCAATGGCGGTGGTGGTGCCATACTTCGCCATCACGATGTGTTGCATGAGGTGCTTGTGGTAAGTTTTCAAGGCCTCAGTCACCTAGTCAGTTAGTCGCTCGCTCGCCAATGAGACTCGACGGCGAGAGCGTCAATAGGCTGGCTTGATGGCTGGGCCGGGGTGTTGGGGGGTGAGGGTCGATCCAACATGTGAAGGTCCGCTTGGTTGCGAGGAAAGAAGACATTGAATGACAAGACGTGGGGCAAAACCCAAAAACACTACACGGAAGGTGACACCACCGTCAATCAGCCTCAACTCCTCAAGTTCGGGCTTTTGATATCCTTGCACGCTTTTGGACCCTGGCACGTCTTCCTCCTCGTCGTCCTGATCCTCCTCCAGGTCCTCTCCTGAATGTTGCGTGCCTGTTGATCTCATTACGTATCAAGTTTCTCGACTCCAACCGCCGACTGCCCCCGATCTGCGTCTTGGGTTGTTCTTGGTCCAGACTCCTGCCTAAATGGGCATCTCTAGACCTTTGACTTTTGATGTCTCCATATGCCCCATGTAAACCCTGTAACCTGTAGGCTTCTGCGCTTTGACCAGTACGGGCTTGTCTCCTGCTCATTGGACGCTTCGGATACAGTAGCGCCGACGCCATCGTCCCAGTTTTTGCGGGGAAAAGGGTGACAAGACATGCGCCATGCTCACTAGGGTTGGTCACAGAGATGACGGTGGCCGGGGGGGAGAAGGGGATGGTGGCGTTTGCAACACGAAGCAAAAGATAAGGAGACCGCTAGGAGCCACATGAACTTAGGTAGGTACTCGTCAGTATTGAGTAGCTCAATACCCCGGGGTATTTGTGGAGGGAGATCAATGATCGCTCTGCCATTCCATTCGATACAGACTTTTGGCGGCACTTCATGCGTCTTCTTGTTTGTGCTATCAAAGTGGAATGTTCATCATCCCCCGTATGAATGCAAGAAGCATTTTGAATGCTTGATCGTCTGGGGAACCCGAGGCCCGAACATCCTCCACACCACACAGCCTGCCGGCGAGCACTGCGAAGCACGCACGCGAGCTTCCATCTTCACATGCGACAACACCACCACCTTCTGCGGTTTCTTCCGATATCGTAACACCCTTCTGCCGGGCTGCTCATGTCCTCTCGGTTTCACGCTCTCTTCTATTGGTAGCGCTAACCTGTCGAGCCGTCTATATCTTTCGCCAAATCCTTATCCCATCCTCCCAGCCTTGTCCGATTTCATCCGATCCAAATCCCGGTCAAACCGGCTTCTTGTATACAAGGCTGCGCGTATCTCCAGATTGCTGCAGTCACCTGACTCATATAGGCCATTCCAGATTTCATGTTGATTCTTGGCCCAAGTTCCGGTCCTGTAGACCTCATCATATAGGACTCGGTTTTGTCCCAACTTGGTACCGTAATTACACTCGTAATGTTGCAAAAATCCCAAAGAGAAAAAGAAAAGAAAAACACCACGCTATGCTGATGGGAAAATCATGGCGGAATGTTGTCCCGTCCAAACCGGTCGTGAAACATGTCATCGTCGGTTCCAGCCCACATTCCATACCACATGGGCGATATCTCTGAAAGTGTTAACGGCATACATTGCCTGCCCGAAAAGGGTATGGTTCATGGCTACCTCGTCCTCGTTCTCGTCGTATGGCATAAACATCCCAGAATCGGTGCGTCTCATGGTTGGGTGGCCGTCATTTCCGTCATCCTCTTCGTCATAAGGGGACCGTTCGTCTCCGAATGAAGATTGAGGCTGCCACGGTTCATCAACGACTTCCGGATCGTCATCAATGAGGAAATTCTGATTCGGCCGGGGAGGTCGCAACGTCTCTTGGGATGGTGAGGGTGAGAGCTTTCGTCCACTAGGCCAGAATCCATTCGGGGGATTAGGTGTCTCATGAGGTTCGGGGGTATCAGTCCTGTATTTTAACGTAGTGGATGGCAACGGCACAATGGTCTTGGACTCGTTGCTGAAACTGCCACGAGGCGTTGTTCGACCACTGCCACGACCCAATCTTTGTGCTGGGGCCATCATCAAACCACAGTCATCGTCCTCGTCATCCTCGAGAATTACGTCTTCATCATCATCATCATCATCATCGGGTTTTTCATCCTCCTCGGAGTCAATGGCTTGCACTTGTCTGACCTCTTCGTCGAAAAGAACGTGTTTGCACTCTGACGGAGTCGGCACGTCAAAGGCGAAAGAGGATCGTGGCCCACTGAAACCAGGTGTCTCGTGTTCGGCAGGAGTGTTGACCACTGAACTGTCATATCGCGGCAGAACAAATTCGGAGTTGCCTCGTCTTAGGATGGGACGCCCGCTAGCCGGACTAGACTGCTGTATCCGGATGATATCTCCCGCCCGCTGTAGAAGAGAATGCTGTGACCTCGACCGTTCCAGGATGACTGCCGATGCCGACTTCTTCTTCAGGATGGGTTTCTTAGAGATGAAAGAAGATGAATGGGATAATCGGCTGGGTGGAGGAGAGGTGTTTGTCAATGATTGAGAGACGCTCCCGTTTGTCTGGAGCGGGCCGTATAGCCAAGTCACGTCACAGTCCTTGAGCCAATTGAGAGTCTCAGGCGAAACTGTCTTGAGGTGGTTTTTGGCCTTTGTCCAGGACCTCCAAGAAGCATTCTCTAGCCGAGTCCCGTTGGTAAGACTGCCCCGCCTGTGGATCACGTAGCTCCATGACTTCCAGATCTCTTCTTCTTTCCATTCATGTGAGAGGTAGTCCACGTGTCTCGTGGGTTCCGCTTCTATTGCCTGGTCGTCCTGAGTCTTTCTCCCCGTGAGCGAGCTGTCGTCCGTCGGCGGACTCGGTATTTGAGTCGTTAAATCATCATGTTGTTCGACTGACACAGCACCGTCCTGATTTGGCTTGCTGGCCAGATCAGAAGCCTCGAAAGCAGGGAATGCCATGTCCTCGTCCTCGTCCGTCATGTCCCTGTGATCCAGGGACAAGCAACTAGCCGGCGTTGAGGCATAGGAGTCCCGTCTCGAGGAATAGGTCAATTGGGGGGAAGAGGGTGCGGTCGAAGGGCCGGAATCAGGATATACTTTGTCATAGTCGTGGCGAGAGTAGGGAGAGGATTGGGAGTGGGGTTGACCGAAGGATATTGAAGGGTCTAGAGAGGATAGATCAGGGTATGAGCTATTAGAGCGTATTGGGCTCGACGAGAAATGCGAGGCTCCGGCAAGAGGAGCCTGTAGAATGGTCGTCATGAGCGGCACCTCATGAGCCTTCTGATCAGGCGTTTCTGGCGTCAAGTAGAATGGTCTGGGAGGGAAAATGCAAGAGAAGGTAGATAAGCGTCGCAGATCAGGTCGGTATAGATTCAGAATTGAAGACCGAAGGAGGCGAGATTTCTAGGCCAATTCGTCCCCGGTTTCCTTGTCTGTAGAGTATGGCGTGCTTATGTGCTGTGGGCTGGTCCTTAAACAGATGGGATTGCTTCGACAATATTTCGGTTGCTCAGGCCAAAGTGTGATGGGCAGCCTAGTATAGATCCAAAATATGACAGCAATGGAAGATGAATGGTAGCAGGATAGACCGTCCGGGGAGCCCGCTAGACCGGGCGATGCGTTGCTTAGAATGATCTGCAAGGACGCAGAGAGGGTTGAGAGAAGAAAAGAGATCGAGGATCAAGCGGCGCGGACGTGCATGTTGGACGTTTGGAAGCGAGAGTAGAAAAGAGGCGTTGAAGATATGTGGAAGAGAGGTGTGGAGTTTCCAGGTTGTAGCGAGATGTATGTCACGGCTGTGTGGATGGATGGAAAAAAAAATGAGTGAATGAAAACTGTGGGTGCGCTGTAGGTCGAGTGGGGGATTCGACCTGGAGGAGGGACCGGGAGGGACGTATGCGAGTCTCGAAGGATTCGATCAGAGAGGAGGGGTTAGCGACTACCCTTAGCGGCGCTATGCCAAGGGGGGTGTCCTTCCTTAGGTACCACCAAGGGCCTAGCAACCCTAGTTGCTTAGGGGCGAGGTGGGAGGCAACAAAGACGATAATAACTGTGAAAGCACCCGTCGAGCCCGCATCGAACAGTGGAGACAGTTGCCAAAGAGCCAACCACCCACCGCCCGGCCACGAGAGCGGGAGAGAGGACGACCGTGCAGTTGACTCCTTCCAAGCACAAACTGGGTCTGGGTCATTGTCCGGGGGACCCGACTCTGGAGGTTTACCAGAAAAGTTGATTTGAGTTGCCTCCTCCTTCCCTCTCCCACCTCTCGAGCCAGGGTCCGTGGGCATGCAGCGATTTGAGTGGCTTGGGACTCGTCGGATATGACAGTTGTGGTGCAGGCTCAGGGTAGAAAAGCAGCCTAAACAAAGCTGGCCGCGTGGGAGAAAGGAAGAAAAGGCCTCTAAAATGACCAGATGGTGGTTAGATAATTGCTATCATGCATGAGGGCTGGTCAAGGCTGGTGCAAGCAAGATGAAAGGGGGAAGGGGGAGGGGGATCCTCGTCCCAAGGGCAAATTAGAAGGCTAGTTGGCACAGGCAGAAGGGGGGAATAGTAGGCAAGCCCAGGGTACTGCTGGGGGACAAGAACTGGGGGGCGCCAGGGTTAGCTAGACAGCTAGGGATTACTGGGCATGGCTCGCTGATACTCGCCGTGGTCCGAGGCGAGAATTGCCTTGGTCGCCATCGAGAGCGGGTTGGTGTGATAATATTGCTCGGTCAGACAAGAGTAGCGGTGATGAGTGAGCTGAGACGTGAATGACGATGACCTCCACTACTTTGTATCCCTATAGGCGGGGAATCATCGTCCGAAGGTCGAACAGTCAATGAGACCAGAGCAAGAGATCGGTACCTCTAGTCTCATATAACTTTCGCTTACGCACGAGGTATTTTAAGTTGACTTCTGACTGCAGATCAGATCGATCATGATTACTTGAGCAAGAATTCCCATCACCAGCCAGCTATTCCTCGGTCCCGAACTTGATGGCAAATACCTGGTTTCAGTCAATCAATCCACCGTGGTGTGCTCAGGAAAGAGACTGTATACGCATCATTGACAGCCTCATATTCTTTGTCTTTTCATTCTATCCCCGGGCCCTTGGGTTCTTAGACTCTTAGATCATTTGCGTCTCTGTACCCCTCCTTCACCCTCCTTTCCGAGCAACTATGGCACCGCATCCCCTGTAAGAAAGAATGACATCCCACGCCCTCCCACTGATGATGCCGCAAGCCTGCAAGCCACACACCCGAATCCTGCCTCCCGGATCATTCACCAAGCCTTCTGTCCGACCTCTCGACATGGAAGCTGCCTGCTCATACCATTGCTCTCCATCAAGGGGCTACATTCACGGTAATAATCACTCTTGGCTAAGCTGATGGACCTTAGTGTTGCACCACCTTTCGTGTTGAAAACTGCATCTGGACATGGACCTGGCCAGATACCTCTTCCTTCCTCTTTGCATCAGAGATCACTCGTATAGATCACCCTTCGAGGTATGAAATTTTCATCCAATGGTCCTCAACGATCCACCCAACCATGCATCCCACTCTGCGTCGCAACCATGAGCCACAATTCCGGATACGCCACCCGAAAATTTCCTGAGACTGCTTCCGCTAAGAACTGAGGGCGGCACGGGTAGTCCTCTTCCCTATCCACGTCCCCCGTGTCCACACTTCAGCCTACGAACTAGGTAGATGGAACACCGAAGCTCAATGCGAAAAATCCTTTCGCGGTCAAGGTCTAAAGCCCTCCATTCAGACCTGGTCAAAAAGACATTGGCACAATGGAGACTGAGGGCATCTCCGCTTGCTAAATCCAAGGGTCCGTTGCCTGTAACATGCATATTATCCACTCCACTGACTTGCAGGGATATTGCATCTATTGCCTGTCCGAGCGCACCTCGTTGCGTTTCAACTATCTGACCATTCTGCTGCTCCTACTCGCAGCGCACCTAACTAGCAGCGATTTTGATTGGTTGCTCCTTCGTCCACCCTTCTGGCCGGGCTTGACGTCGGAATATTGCGTCCTGTCTTGCCGCTGAACGTGCTCGAGACAAGGATTGGACAACGGTGCTCCTGCCTTTAATGAAAGAGCCATGGACCGAGGATCAGACCATTCCAAGCCTCATGATGCTTGTAGCCAGGAAGATGGCGTCACCTAGCCTGCGTCCTTTGCCACCGATGAGCGATATATGCACAGACCTTTGGAGATGCACTGCCTTTTTACGTGCTGCTAACAAGGATACCGGCGGACGGTCCATACAGCAACCCAATGCCAATGATGACGAGGAGCGCCCGCTGATAAGGCTTTGCTAAATGGGTCAGAGACGAGTGATCAACAAACGGCAAATGCTGAAACCCAAAACCTATCTAGGAAGGCAGAACCAATTGAGGATATCATCATATTGAGACTGTTCATAATCGTCGACGACGGCATGGCTGCTCGTCGGGGCTCGGCATCCGTCGATTCTTGGATAGACCTCGTCCGCATCGGTTGGCACCTGGTACGAGTTTGAGGCATCATAGCAAACCTGCTTTTCATGGGATGTCTCTGTGTCAATGTACTGAGCAGCCTCCAACTCGATGGCCTACATGTGTCTTGAGAGATTCATCCTGATAATTAGCCGTTCGCAAGACCCATCAAGGTAGGCTTATAGCATTTGTCAAACGTGCTAGAGGGGTCGCATTCCTCCGCCGTCGACAACTGAGGCCACAGTGAATGGTTCTTCGCGATTCTCGATTATGGATAAGTTGATCCTGTTGTAGGGCTTTGCGGGTTCATATAAGCTGATTAATGTGTCGGCAAGCCTTCTTCTGGCCTAGGCGGACGAGATTTGTTTTTGTTATTTCGGCTGGCCAGTCAATGCATGTCAGCGACGAACGTGTGGATGAAGCTGTCTCTATTGCATGGGGATGCGCAATCGTAAATACTGGGGATATTAGTCTACAGAGGCAGAGGTCTCCCACGGACATAGGTATCAGGACATCGCTACCTTCTCTGCAGTGTGTCACGGGCTGTCACCTTGGCGAGACCACTCAGAGAACGGTGATGACATCCAAATGTTGAGTACCGCCCGTATTCTTGCGAACTCCCTGTTCCTCGCTGTCTCCCTTGACCGTCGCTCTGCGAACAGCAGCGACAACTTCATCGAACATTGACGCGCAGCTGAAAGCTCCGCTGATGGCCGCTTCTAGGGCGCCCATGGCTCCAATAACCTCTTTTCACGCTACATCGCCGAAAGGATCAATTGGTGGAGCCTAGCTGTCTTCATGTTCTCCTCCTCAGAGGCCCTGTCCAGCTCCTTAAGTCTTAGAAAGGGACCTCGCTGTTGACCCACGAGGGGGAGTTTGTTAGACGAGGCTAGACACGGACCTAGTCGAGGAGGAACAGTTGATTATTCGCAGAGGTACCAATTTTGGCACATTCTAAACAAGCAGTAGGTTACGGAACCCCAGTCTACTAGCAGAAGGAGGCTTCGCCGACTTGTTCCGTCCTCTAGGTTGCCTTTGCAGCAGTGGAGAAAGCCTGGACCCTAGGCTTTCGCAAGAGACAATGTTGGTGGCAACTGTATCCAACCTCCGGGCCCGTCCTAACCTTGGCCTGCCATGAGCGACATATCTCTCACCCAAAGCAGAAATTGAGGAGCCCCGAGATGTGATTGTGTGGAGGGAGTCCACCGCAGCTGATGGGGACTCCCAGGACGTTGGGGAATGGAGAGAGAAATTTTGATCCATCTGCAAGTGATCGATGCACGTCCGTTAATTCTCTCATCGCGGCCACTACGGGCCTCACATTGGAAACTGAGTACAGCAGTAGTCATCCACGTCGATCAATCAGTTGTGCCTTCTTCCTGTCGTTCGATTCTTTAGGTGAACTGTCATATCAGTGTGTCAAACATCGAGGGCCGGTGGCTTGAGGATGCAACGGTGGAGAATCTTGCAGTCGGCAATTCTCATAGCAAAAAGGCTTACCATCGCCCAGCAGACTCGATACGAGAATGCAGGCGTCTCGCTTAAAGGGTGAGAACATCACCACTGGCAGAACTACTTCGATCCCAAGACTTAACCAAAAGGGACCGGGTTTGATGAATTGGGAGGAGACTGGTCAGATAAACTGCGTAACACTGGGTAACACTGGGGAAAACATTGATAACAATGGAGACCTGGCGCAACAGCTTCGAATCAAGTCAAGGGGACGGATCCTTGCCGTCTTCTCAAGGATGCCACATTTTGAAATCCCTTGCAACTTGCACGTGAAAGTCAGTCGAGATATGCAGGTCAACGAGTTAATGTGGGAAGCAAGGAAGGCAAGATATCAGTCGTTGTTGTTGTTGTGTGTCAGCAAACGTTGGAGGCCGAACATGTGACATTCAAAACATTGGGCAAGTTTCCCCACCCGAAGATTTACCGCAGGCGGCTTGGCACCCCATGCGCCCACTGCAATGTGCTGTACTGGGTACCACGCCTGCACAAGGACCAGCACACTGCGGGTGAGACAGTGCAGTGTCGTATCTGTTTGATGAGTGGCCGAGACATTTTGCGACAAGCCACATGCAAAACCATTGTCGGCGGAGTTTATTATTAACCACAGGTGTGACTTGAATACATTAATCGTGATTTTCAGCCTAAAATCCAGATGTCGACGGAGGTTGTGACAGAGCCGGCCACCAGTGCTGGTGCTGCTGCAGGGCCTCCTGCCAGGAAGGTTGTCTATTGCGGAGGTGGGCGGTCCTTGCACTCCGGACAGACCCAAATGGATTGAGAAGTGATGCTGATGCTGAGACTTGGACATCTACAGTTTGCTCTCTGCCACCCGAGGTACGTCTTACATCTCCAAAGGCAAAAACTTCAAATGATACCACTGGAGGAGAACTGACTCGAGTTTGAACACATCAGTATTGCGAATTCGGCGGGACGGTCAAGAAATGTGAAGAATGGCTCCAGAAGAACCACCCTGACATGCACCAGAGGTTGTACTCGGAAGGTTTGCAGCACTGTCCTCTCTTTCTGTCTAGCGGTCTAACACGAACCCTGCTATAGAAGCATTGAATGCCAATCTATCAGCCCTCTCTGTCGATGCCCAAAAACGAGCAGAGAAAGACGCTGCCAAAAAGACTGCCAAAGCCGCGGCGGCAGAACAGCGCGAGGCGGAACGGAAAGCAGAAGCCATTGTCCTCATAAAGCGCGTCGAACGAAACAAGCGGAAGTACGTCACTGTTGTTTCGGGCCTGGAGGAGCACGGACTGGATTTGAAAAAGGTGGCCAAAGAGCTGGGCAAAAAATTCGCAACGGGAAGCAGTGTCACCAAGACGGCTGCGGGAGGCGAGGAGATTACTGTGCAAGGCGATGTGAGTGATGATTTGTACGACTGGCTGGTAGAGAAATATCCAGAGATACCAGAGGACAATTTGGATATGAAGGATGATACAAAGAAGAAAGCTTGAGGGAGCAAACGGTCGGAGGTAGGGCTGTGTGAGGAGGCAATTATTTGGTCGAAAACGCGCTCTGCTTACAGGGGCGGGCAACATGTGCTGAGATTCAAAAAAGACAATGATCTTGATATGCATGAAGATGTGACCTGGGACGGTGAGCTGAAACTGCTTAACAGGGAATCAGCAATATCAAGCTGAATGGGAGAACCTCTTGACACTCTCTCGAACCAAGAAGCCCATTGAGGCGCAATGGGAGGACACGAGGGTCACTTAGCGCCAAACAGTTCAGCATGCTTCACTTAGACCATTGATAGCGGCGTATCTCTGTCGTCGTTGAAAGCGAGACTTCTCAGAGCAACATCATCTCAACAGCCTTTTCCTCTGAGCTGTCCACCGTGTTTCATGATCACAAATCCCGTCTGTGCCTCGCATATCAAACATGTCTGGCCGCGAGCGTACATCCTCAAACAGCTCATCAGACTGGGTGTCCTGCAGCAGCAGCAGCAGCAGCAGCTCTTCTCACATTGTCAGCGACGGGGTCACTCCGAGTGCTGGATTGCTGTCGACACTGAAACGGAATTGGCAGTTGACGTCATGGTCACGCTTGCGCCCACGATTGAAGGAGCCTGAGGGCAGTGGCCCCAACGACGCTGCTTCTGGGCTTGCCCATTTCGCTACTAAGAGGTAGGTACTCGTATTATATCAGCTGAAACCGAGACACCAGAGCCTAACGGGTCTTCTCCTAGCGGGGGTGCCTTGGTGCCTCGCCCTCAATCGCCAGACAATCTGTCCCTGAGCAGCCACTTGAGTAGCGCATCCTGGGCTCGCTCACTATTCGCCCCCCATTTCAGTCGGCGCCGTCAACAACGCGAACCTCCATTGTCATTAGCACCAGACAGACCGCGCAAATTCCAACATGGCGACGACAGCGAGATATCCAAGGTCTACCTCTTGCCTTCTGACACGCTGACCTCGACTCTTCGGCTGCCCTCAATCGCTCATGTCTGGTCCGAGCTGACTAGGATGGATCCTAATAACCCGACTCTGAGTCCCAATCTCGCAGACCTGCTCACCGGTCTCTCGAGCCCAGAAGATGCAAGCCGCAAGATGGCGGCTTTTAAGCTGCAGTCTCTCATTAACGACCCTTCCTTTGCGGAACAGTTCGTGCTTGCTGGCGGACTGTCTCGACTACGCACACTCGTCCTCGAGAGCAGTGGAAATACCCTCGCATACAGTCTTGCCAGCTTTTCCAGGCTATTAGAGGTGGACCAAGGATGGGAGGCTGTCACCGACCAGGTTGTCCAAAAGGCAAGGTTCCACTCATCGAGGTTATCACCAGAGAAGAGCGCCACTGACTGACATTGCTTTCTACGTACAGGTGGTGGAACTGGTCGTCTGCCAGCCTCTGGTCAATATCCTTCGAGGCGCAATGGCTATTCTTGTCTCAATTGTTTCCCGGCCGTACCATGCCGATCGATCCTCCCAAATCAACACCAATAACAATGCCGGCGGGTTCCAAGCCCTGAAACCAGCCCTTGCTGTTTATCCGCAATTCCTCGAAATGCTGGTGACAAGATTATCTTCTGCAGACCATGCTCTGTGTGCCAATGCCCTTCAATTGATCAATTCCCTAATGCGCGACGCAATCACAAATGACAACGAAACCGAATGGCCGAAATTTATAAAGCGGATACAAGATCTTGGAGTCATCAAGGCAGTGTATGTGCTGATGCAGAGCTCTGCCCTGCAAGACCTGGCGCATCCTTTACTCGAGTTCCAAGCATTGACAAAAATATTGCTAAGGAGATGGAGAGATGTACCGGTGGACCTGGTTAAACCCGAACACAGACGGACCATTAAAGCAGTCCATCTCTCGAGCAATCCGGAAAAACAACCCGAATACGAAATTCGAAACGGGGAATCAAAGGCAAAGCACAATCCGCACAAGTGGAGACGAATTGGGTTCACCAACGAGAATCCGGAGCCAGATTTCGTGGATATGGGCTTTCTAGGAATGATGGATCTTTCCGATTATGTCCGTAAATACCAAGATGAATTCCAGAATGTTCTTCTGGAACAATCAGTGATGCCAGAACAGCAAAGGTGTCCACTGGCCCGGGCAAGTTTGACGTTGACCGCAATTCTCTTTGAGCATTTCGAAGTAGACAAGATGGATCTGGAGGATTCTAAAAGCTACCTGGCATTGGAGAGCCGGACTAATTTTGACAAAGTCTTCAAACCTCTATTGCTGCACTGGAGCCGTCTACATGTTGCTGGATTACATGCGTTCTTCAGGTTATGGAAGGCAACGGGCGCCGAAGTCGACGATTTCCCCAAGATTGTCGAGCTTGTCCGGATCTTGGTGGAGAGCGTCGTTGGCGGAGCCGAACGCACCAAGGGGATTGAAGATATCGAGAAAGAGATGGCTGCCTTCGAATACGGCAAACTTCGTGAGCTCCAGATGGAACTCCTAGAACTGACATATGAAGACGTCTGGGGGCAGCATCTCCGTGGAGTGAAGGAAGAGTTGCAGAGCGAAGCTTTGCAATTCGTCAAGGAACAGAGGATTCGGTGCCTGCTGGCTGGAGCGTGGTTCCCCAACGGAACGTATACCGATCAAGAAGGCGGAGGCCCTGTAACGGAGGATAGTTTGGTTCAAAACGCGGCGCATGGCTATCGTTTCATCAGACTTTCTGAGAACCGAAAATACTTGCATTGGGGTGACTTTGAGGAAAAGGAGGAGCAATCACCGGCCACTACGAGTCTTCGGGATAAAATCGATCTATCGATTGTATCGTCTGTGGTTTCCAATGTAACGGCCAACGACAGGTCATCAATTGGCTCGGATTCGACATTGAAGGAATTGACACATGACCGCTTCACCACAAACAAGATCACGATTCATGGCTACCTGCCAAAATCCCGTGGCGGCCGAGAAGGGCATTCGAGAACTTCCTCAAAGACGTCTTCGGCCCGTAGTGCGTCCAAAGAATCGGTTCTTCTTACGTTCCACCCAAACAGTCACAGCCTTGCTTCGGAATGGCTCGACGGACTTCTGATGCTCCTGGACCAACAACCGATCACCGCCGAGACGAACAGACTGATACACATGATCAGTGACTATGGCCTCAAAGTCCGGCTCCTGAACGTGCGATTCAATGACGAGGATGGAATTGTGGAGGGTATGGATGGAATCGACGGTCCTGAGATTCCAAGCCGGGAAGGTTTGGATGATGACTACTATTATGAGATATGATGTCGAGGAGGTTTCGAGGCGAGCAACGAAGCAGGCGACCAGGACGAACCCCCTCTTCAGACTTCTCCTTTGGATACAGTGGGATCACAGTGCTTGATGCTAGTTCGAAGAAAACAGCAAGGCTATGTTTGGGCTAGCGCTGGAGTCTGCAGGTGCCCAAACAGGAGGTGGGACGGAGTTTTGAATGCGATTTCCGTCGTTGAGATACCCTGATATCGGAGCTACGCAGGCGCTCGGTTGGTTGGCGTCCAATTCGAATCCATTGAGATATCAAAAGGTTGTATCGCATGGCCACGCTCAACTACAAGGTGTCAGCTGGAGGCACAACGTCTGTTAAGGAACTTGTTCAGACTGGGTTGAGCCTCGGGGCCACCGAGGAAAGGCCCTTCTTTGTGTTTGAGATTTCGACAAGCCAAAGACTTACCGCTTCTCTATTGACGATAAGTCATGCGACCGTTTGCCATCACAATCTTCCACGAGCTCTTCGAGCAAATCTCGGCTTAAGTGGTCGACGTACACGTGCTGATGCTGGTGCCGCGATTGGTGACCGTTCCGATGGGTAACAGAAAACGGCAAATGAACAGAGAGGGATGATTTTCGCACTGCATTTGCCATTCCCGAGCCCGCCAGCACCACAGCAGGTCACGCTCGCCACGCCCAGCGTAGCTTCCTGGCGCAGGATCTAGCCGATTACAGGGCTGTTTAACCAAGACCTTAACTGTCTTTTGCAGTGCTTGAGGCTCACTGCAGAGACCCTAGGCCGCACCGGGCCTAAACCCAGCGCCCAGAACCCTCGACGCCAGTGGCACCCCGCCATTGCCCCGCGGCTGGCGAGATGACCGAATCACCGCAAGCAGCCTGCGCCTCTGGTGCCTCGGTCAGGCTTGGAGGCGTCGTCTTTTTCGAACCAGATCTACCACACCCAAGCTTGACCCAAGCCACCAACAACCAGTGCCATCCTTCGCCATGGCTGCTGCTCAGGTCGTTGCTGTCATCAGCCTTAGCAACTCGGATTGGTTGCACAATAGCAATTCGATGCAGCGTTACAGCAAAGCTCGCCCGTCGTGTGCTTTGTGTGCTTGTCGCGTGTCTTCCAATGGTCGAGGGGGCATGCCCATCCGATTAGGTCTGGCTGATCGTTACTCTGGCTGTCTCCTGCGATCCATACAGCGCCCACCCAGCTTGAGCTAAACAATCTAGCTTTGATGTCAACTCGGTGACGGCAAAGGATCGTTCCCTCGTGCGCATCCAGGGAAATGGCTTGCCAATCGACTGCCAGAGATATGGAGCAAGGGCCCACGTCCACTCCGAGCTCATGGAATTTTCTTCGGATTGATAAAGCTGCTGCGATCCCTGCTTCTCTACCTTGGCCCTTCTCTTGTCGCCCTCCACCTGTTTTCCGTGTGACAGGAGAGAGAAAAAAAGAAGAAGGAAACAACCCGTCGGGAGAAAGAGCGAAAGAATATCTTCTTCCTCAGGTTGCGAGCCTTTCGATAGGTGCAAACACCTGCGACTTTTCCATACCCGACATTACCGCATTGCGAGCATACACCCCCCATACACTAAGAGCTAGCAATCATGTCTGCAGATTATCCGACAAAAGAGGTGGTTGAAGCCCAAGCCGACCCAAAAGATGGCCATCACCACCACCACTCTCTCAGCGAGAGAGTGCGTCACAGCATCTCCGTCCAGTCCCTCGATGAGACTACTGTTGAAGGCCAAATCTTCTCCATGAACGACGTCGATCCCGTCCTCGACAAGAAAATGCGCCTCGTTAACAATGTTGGTGATCCCTAAAACATGCCAGACACCTCTCAGCTGCAAGAGCGAGAAAATACTTTAAGAGGTAGCGTCTGCTGACCAAAGATTGCATAGGCCATCGATGAAATCGGCTGGACCAACATGCATTTGAAACTTTTCTTCCTCAATGGCTTTGGTTATGCGGCCGACTCTTTGATTTTGCTATTGCAATCAGTTACTGCCGGTCAAGCCGCACTCGAATTCAACCCGTCTTTCAGCAATGGTCTCACCGTGGCTGCCTACTGCGGCATGTTGATCGGAGCCTTGTTCTGGGGATTGAGTAGGTTCCGCCGACAGTTTAGAGACGAGGCCGTGTTACTGACAAGTTCTAAGGTGCCGATGTGATCGGTCGTCGCTTTGCTTTCAACGTCTCCCTGTTCAGCTGCTCGATCTTTGCCATCGTGGCAGGAGCCTCGCCTAATTGGTATGCTCTGGGCGCTTTTACGGCGTTGGCAGCTTTTGGCTCTGGAGGCAACTTGATTCTGGACACCACCGTGTTCCTAGAATACCTTCCAGGCAATATGCAGTGGCTTTTAACACTCATGGCGTGCTGGTGGGGTTTGGCACCCGTTGTCGCGGCTGCATTTGCATGGCCTTTCTTGTCAATATCTAAATACAATTGCACAAGCCACGCGACCTGTACTTATGACAACAACATGGTAACATCCCATCCCTAACCCAAACCCTAATTTTGACTACCAGCCAAAAATATTTGTGGAGTAATCAACCACTGCTAACAGCTCGCCAATAGGGCTGGCGCTATGTCTGGTACTCCAACGGAGCATTGGTCTTCGTCCTCAGTATCCTGCGGGTGACGGTCATCCGGCTCAAGGAGACGCCAAAGTACCTCCTGGCGAAAGGGCAAGATCAAGAAGTTGTCAACACTTTCCATTCGATTGCTGCCAAATACAATCGACCATGCTCTCTTACCATTGAGCAGCTCGAGGCATGTGGTCCAATCAAATCTACTTACGGAAAATCGCGATATGGATTTTCGGAGTTCGTGGCTCATCTGCGAGGTCTTTTCGAGACAAAGAAACTGGGGATTTCTACTGGCTTGATTTGGCTGTCTTGGACTTTGATCGGTACGTGGAGAAGAGTCAGTGTCGGTCTAGGGAGGGGGCGAGACTAACAGTACTGTACCTAGGTCTCGCATATCCTCTGTTCTACGTGTTCTTGCCCCAGTTTCTCGCGAGTCGCGGGGCTCAGACAGGACAAAGCGGCGCGTATTACACCTGGCGAAACTACATGATCACGAATACGGTTGGCATTTTCGGCCCCGTCCTCGCAGGGTTCATGTGCAACTGGAAGTTACTGGGACGGAGATATACTATGGTGATCGGCGCTCTGATCTCCATGGCCTTCTTCTTTGCCTACACTGCAGTGCGCACCCCTGCTCAGAATCTTGGGTTTACCTGTGCCATTTACTTCTTTGTCAACGTGTACTATGGCACCCTTTACGCATATACTCCTGAGGTAAGCCCTGCAGGGCCCAGGCTGAATATCTCAAGACGAGAGACCGACTAACGACCTGTTTAGAGTTTGCCATCTGCCCATAGAGCCACAGGAAACGGTATTGCAGTCGGCTGCAATCGGGTCATGGGTCTAGTGAGTGCATTTGTGGCGGCCTATTCCAACACCGCCACAAGTGCACCTATCTATATCTGTGCAACCCTCTACATTGCCATGGTAAGTGGATGTCGTGTCAAGAGGCCACAAGTCACCTGAGGTACTGACAAGTGGTGCAGGCTCTCGTGGCTGTTGTCATGCCTTTCGAGCCTTACGGAAAGAGGTCAATGTAGAGAGCAAGATACGATAAGTGCCGTAGAGACACGGTCAATATACATGATTTATGATACCCTCGCCACCATCGCTTAACTACAGATCGAAAATATATTGCTTCCATACCTTTTCAAAGCATAGGACTTGTCCGCGGGGACTCGGTTTCAATGCCACGAGTTATGGCATGGAAATTGGCCGCCTTGAGGGCCACTTTATCTTACTGTCTGGCCACCTGTTGGACTGGTTGACTGATCGACTGATCGACTGATCGACTGATCCGGGGTCTTGTACATACCTTCCTGAAGCGGTTTAAAGTACGCATGAAGATCCCACTTGGTAGCATCAGCGCCATTGACGTCGCTTCAACCTATCAACTCTGGAGTCTCTGATCTTCTCTTCCTCCCTCCTATCTCTATCCAGCCACGCGCAGCTCCAAGCACTCTTCCTGCCAGAGCTGGGCCGATTTGCCTTTCGCTCTTGACACTTTCCCTGAATCTCTACGTGCTGATTGATGCAATCTCAGCTTGGCGACCTGAAGCAATGCCACCTGTGCGCCGGGATTGCTTATCCAACCCCGGCTTTTTGCTTCATTTCTGATGCAACATCTGTTGAGTCCCTCCTCTGTGCCCTATCAATGGTATCGCAACCTCATAGCCGGGATTGTCTCGGTGGAAATCCCGTTGGAGATAACCTCTCCTTCTGTCATTGATGCTAAAAGGTTCGTGGTTTCTTTTTGTCCGATGTCTCGTCTTTGCAGACTCCGTTATACCTCTGTGCTTTTCTCTGTGCGGGTTACACGACGGTGCGGTGTATCGTGTAACAGATTCGACGCTTGCCCCTTCGATTTTGTTGGTGTTATCTTGCTTTCCCCTCTCACCTCGACCGGATTCTTTATCACCCAGATTGAGGCACGCGACGTCCGTGCACGACCACGATGGGCGACATCGAAGCCAACGAGAAGTCCATCGCCGTCCACAGTCTTCCTGGTGGCCGTTCTGTCTCACCCGTGAATATAGAGGAGCGACGAGCTTCGGTAACTTCTACCTCAGCTGCGAAGCGGATCCTCGAGCACAGCAACGATGCCGATGAGGCCATGAAGGCATTCGCCTCGGGCGAAGTCGTCGAGATCGACGAAGCCACCAACAAGCGTCTTCTGCGCATAATTGACTGGCATCTCATGCCGCTGCTCTGCGTCATCTATGGGCTGAACTACCTCGACAAGACGACCTTGTCGTATGCCAGCATCATGGGCATCAAGACCGACATCAATCTCGTGGGTGATGACTACCAGTGGCTCTCTAGCATGTTCTACTTTGGGTATCTGGCCTGGGAGTATCCCACAAATCGACTGCTGCAGAGACTCCCGCTTGCCAAATATTCTGCCTTCTGCGTCGTCGCTTGGGGCACAGTGCTGGCCCTATTTGCAACAGTCTCCAACTTTGGCGGCGCTGTTGCTATTCGATGTATGTGTGTGCTTTCTTCTATTTCCCATTTCTCGCCCCTAGACGACCCCGTTGACTCCATACGTGGATCCACCTAACGCAACTTAGTCTTTCTGGGAGTTATGGAATCTGCCGTCACGCCAGGTTTCGCCCTGTTCACTTCCCAATGGTACACGAAGCGCGAGCAAGGTACCCGCACGGGCTTCTGGTTCTCCTTCAACGGCTTCGGCCAGATCTTCGGCGGTCTCGTCGCGTATGGGATCGCCGTCGGCGCTCGCAAGCACGGTACGGCCATCGCACCCTGGAAAATTGTGTTCCTGGTCAATGGCTGCCTGACCGCTGTGTTGGGAATTGTGTTTTTCTTCGTCATGCCCGACAACCAGCTCAATGCGCGGTGGTTGAAGCCTCGCGATCGGGTGCTGGCCGTCGAAAGGGTGAGAGTCAACCAGCAGGGTATCGGCAACAAGCACTTTAAATGGTATCAGTTGCAGGAAGCCTTGCTGGACCCACTGACCTGGGCGTTCACCTTCTACGCCCTTACAGCGGATATTCCAAACGGAGGCATCAGCAACTTCTTCTCACAGTTGGTGAGTCTGGCCTCTCTTCTCTGGTCTCTCCCGTCTGCCGTTTTGCACCGGAAACCCTTGGTTGCGCTTGTTCTGATTGTACTTATTTAGATCGTATCCTTCGGTTATACGCCCGAGCAGTCTCTCCTCTACGGCACGCCTGGCGGCGCCGTTGAAGTTGTTTCTCTGATGTTCTGTGGCTGGCTTGGCGATCGCATCGGCCAACGAATCCTCGTCTCAATGGGTGGCTTGACGGTTGCACTGGTTGGCATGATTCTCATTGTCGCCCTACCCCTCAGCAACAACGCGGGGCGGCTTGCGGGCTACTATCTAACTCAAGCATCTCCAACTCCCTTTGTGGCTTTGCTCTCCCTGATCTCCACCAACGTCGCCGGCTACACCAAGAAAACGACAGTGGCCGCACTATATCTCATTGGGTATTGTGTGGGTAACATCATAGGGCCCCAGACATTTAGACCATCCGACGCTCCTGAATATAGGCCTGCAGAGATCACCATCATTGTTTGCTGGGGCACGTGCCTCCTTGATCTCGCTTTCATTTGGTGGTATTGCAGGAGGATGAACAAGCAGAAAGAGAAGCAGAGGTCCGAGCCTGGATATGTCAAGCTGGAGAATCAGGAGTGAGTCTGATCCGATCCTTTTATTCCTTTGGCCATTTGCGCCCGGTGGAAGGAGGCGTTGAGATTGAGAGAGAGAGAGGAGCGGCAGCGAGGTCAGGCGCGATGAACATGTCTTCATTGGCTTGCCGGTCTGCCTTCCTCCTCTGAGATGCAACTAAACTCCTTTTCCTCACCTCCAATCGTTATCAATGCTGTCTGAGTATCCAATGGCTGACACTCACATATCTGTGCAGGTGGCTTGATCTAACCGACAAGGAGAACCCCGAGTTCACGTACAGCCTCTAAATCAGATTCCGTGGACCCGGCTGGAAATCAATGAGGACATTCACCGTCGCAGGGTGGGGAGTCGTGGTGACGGCGACTGCGGATGATCTCGTTGTTGCCCGCCCGCCTCTGTCCAGGATATATGCTACTGGAAACGCCTTTAGAGACTCTGTAAGAAGGGCGAGAGGAGTGAAGTTGGCATTGCATGCCATGCCAATGGGGTAAATAGAAGGACCGTGACTGGGACCCTTTGAGATGCGTCTGGGGCTGACTGAGTGCTTGCTTGATATATCTATTCATACCGACAGACAGAGACAGTGCCAGCGGGAGAGAGACATGAATGCGAAGCTCTTGTTGTCCGTCCTGCTGGAGTTAGCAACCTTGATCAAGACCCATGTCAATGATATTCATACGTATGGTGGCCTCAGAGGCTCGACTCTTCCAGTCTCTCCCCCTTTTCCCCCCCCCTTTGATTCCTCGTTTATCCCCCTCAGCCTCGTCCGCCCGCAAGACCCCGGCACGGGAGAAAGGATGCTTATACTCGTCCTCGCCCTCGCCCTCGGCCACCATCCTTTCATCATGTATACACTCTGCTCTCTCCCGTCCTTTCAATCTTTTCCTCACTCTCTTTTTCTCTCTTCCACGCTTTGTGCATGTGTCCCTCTCTCCCACGCACGCGCCGAAACCGGAGTCCCAATTGCATCAAATTAGATCCGGCCTGTGCCAGCCATTGAATCTGATATCGACTAGCGTAGCCCCCCCCCCTCTCTCACCTCTATATTGTTTTTCGCATTTGCCTCTGATTGCGTCATCGAGGACAGCCTGTGTCATCACACCTGTGCCACTGTATGGGTTGTCCATGTACGAGAGCCTGTCATCCCCGTGTCCCGAGTCGTTCGGGTGCCCGGTGGAAAAGAGGGTCATGCATATGCCGGCATCAATGGCAAATGATGGCCAATGTGCCACTGGAGTAGCAACCCCCCCCCCCCCCCCGACCACGTCTCCAGCGCACGCTTACCCTGACCAAACCAACCAGACTCTCTATATACTTGTGTTTGTCGATCGTTACACTCCAGCCTGCGCATCGATGTCCTGGGGAAGAGGCACGGAGCGGTGGGACATGGTTTCTTTCTTTCCCATCGTCCGAGGGCCCCTGTGCCGGATGCGAACACGAGTTCTAGACACATGCATATTACAGCACAACAACGCACCATGCGTCCCCTCGGTCGTCGTGAGATGGGGCACAGGTGTCTGATCTAATTAACCTCGTGAAGGGACACAGCGGTTGCTCAAATCACACCATGGGTTGTACGAAAGCATCTGGTGTGGGGAGCGTGTTTTCCGTAGGGTCGGGAGCGGATGCGTTTTCCCATGCCCTCTGGCGGGGTGTCACGGCCGTGATCGTGGCTGAGGATGTGGTGTCGTAGTGTGTGTTTTGGTTTGTAGTGTATTATATTCCACGAATCTGTCAAAAACACCCATACGCAAATCAGAGGCGGCCCAATCAACCGCTTTATACTCACTTATATCCGACGACTCCCCCTCCGCCAAAACTCACACCAACACACACACAGAGAGGGCATAGGATGACGGGACGGATGGTAAATGGTGGTCCAAAGAGCAATGCCTCCTCTCCTTCCAGTACATCGCGATTTCGTCCATTATTTTCTACCATTTTTTCCCCCCTTTCATTCCGCCGTGCCAAAGTGAGACGTCAACATAAACCCGCCTCGCCCTCACAAATCCTTCTTCCTCCACATCCCGATGCGCTCCTGCACATCTTCGTCCTCCCAGTCTTCCACGGACATGTACTTTCGGAGGAGCGGCTTCTTGCCCATCCACAGGGCCACGTAGGCGCAAAGGCACTGGAACAGCCAAGGGATCCACCACCGGAGGGGCCCGAGGAACCAGAGGTTCGGCAACATGATCAACGCAGTTGCGGAGACGTGCCTGATTTGCGATTTGCTTAGAGATATGCAACCATAGTGAGAAGCGACGGGGGAAAGAGAGGTCAGAGTTAGTAAAGGTAGGACGGACTAAACGAATCCGAGGCGAAAATATATGTGCGTGGGGTGACAAGGAAACATGACGGAAAATAGGAGATGGTAAACTTGAAGATGGAGAGGGGGGGGGGGAGAACATACTGCATCAGCATTACCTGCAACAGACTCAACCGCTCCTTGCCTTCGCTAACGTCACTAACGTACATCAACAGGTTCTGGAAAAAGATCCGATCCATCTTGTCGTCCATGTCGCTGGGATTCGGATGTGCCCAGAGCAGGATCGTACTGTCCTCCTTCGCCGTGGGCGACGGCCAGAAGCGGTGAGGCATCCAGGGCGGGATGTGGTGGGGTTTGGAAGGCGGCGTGTTCTGGGCCGTGTGGATGGTGTCGATGCGGGAATAGCTCGTCGTCGTGCCGACTTCGCCGGAGAGGACGGCGAAGGATTCAGATTGTTGGAAGTGAAGGTGCAGAGGTTGTGACTAGGACAACCCCCGGCAAACGGGGGGGCGGGAACATCAGCATGGTATCCTGTGTATCTATCCTGGGAGTCCTTCATGGTGTGGACACACGGTCCACCAAAGAAAACCAGAGGACGTGGGACGACAAACCTGAGAATGGCCTTTCCCTTTCTTACATTGCGGATGATCATGTTTGTAGGTCGCCCGCATCAACACGCTGTAGAGAACAGTCGTCAGTAAGTGAATGGGTTCCAACATCGTCTGTGAGGCTCGAAAACGTGACGGATTAGATGGATCCATCAGAAGTCGAAACTCGAGGGTGTATTCCCAGCCTTGCGGCAACTACCTCAACCTCCCTAAGCCATGTAACTAGGTAGGTATGCAGGTAGGTAGGGTACGCAGGCGGATCCAGAGTCTGGGAATGGAGGCCGGTCCGAGTCCCTGCGACCCGGTCCGGTCCGCATTGAACATGAAGAACGAATAAATCAAAAACGAGTCAAGGAAAAGGGAAGTAGACTGACGAAGCATTCCTGGACGGCTTTGGCTGGAGAAACTCGAGCACAAAGGACCCATCGTACAGCGAGTATGGGCCTGCAATAACCGGTTCTTCTTCTTCTGCTGCTGCTGCTGCTGCTGCCGCGCGGGAACTGCCTGCCGTTGGTCGGATTGACATTGTTGTCCTTCTTCCCTTTTCTCCTCCTCCTTCCGCTCCGTTGTTCTTTCCTTCCCCTTTTTGCTTCCGGTCGGACTGGACTGGATTAATCAGGGGCGAGTGCTCTTTCGAATTTTGGCAACAAGGCAATGGAAGATTTTTGCGCGACGACGACGACGACGACGACGACGACGAGGGCAAAGGTAAATAGTAAGTACAAAAACAAAAACAAAGAAGGAGGATAACGCGCGGGTTAGATAATATTATATAGGTTTCCGAGCCTTTCGAAGATCCTACATATGTGCCTCGTAGGCCTGGCTCAACTGTGACGCTCGCCAAACGAAAGATTCAGGTCTCGAAGGGGCCTAGTCAACTAAAGTGTGCCGTTTGGATTATTGCCGATTAGTCCAGATCGATCCAACGTTGCGTTGGGGGCCAAATTGATGATGGCTGACAAACAACATTCGCCAGCGAGTGAGTGCGTCGGTGGATAGGGTAGGATTCAAAGTTTGTCGTCGAGCAAAGGTCATGCCTGTGTACATAAAGTAAAGGCGCAAGGCGGGGATCTTGCCCACTTCTCTTCGACGATGGAATTCGATTAGAGAATACTCCCAAAGGGAGGATCGATATGAGAAACCGAAAGGTGGCTCAGGCTAGCGGCGCCACGAAGGAATACGGTCCCGGAATTCCTGAGTCGGACAACGAATAGGAAATTGTCCACTTCCATCGTGGCAGGACCATGTCAACTCTTTATTATACTTGTTACCTACAACTAAGCAAGGTCGGGTCGTAAAAATTAGCTAATGACATAAAGAAATACTTCTCCAGAGATATCGCCAAAACCACATGCCTTTAGACAGGTAGCAGAACCTCCACCAAAGTCCACAATCTTCTCGTGCAAGGATAAGAGCTAGGAGAAATTCAGCAATAAACTTCTCATGCCATCGATAATCCTTGTGACCTCCTCTTCGGAAAGCATGTCTTCTGGTGCGAAGATGCCAATACCCAAGTATCCGTCTTCAACTTTGGCTTCGACGTCAACAGCAGGCTGCGACAAAGGAAAATGTTAGCCAACTGAATAGTCGAGGGCGCCGAGGCTCAACATATCGGAGGAACTCACCAAGCACCACGCCGTGGCATCTGCATCGACACCGATGCCCTTGAAGAAAGGCGACGGCGCTTCAAGATCCTGAAGTCTATCCTTCTGCTCGGGTGCCAATTTTGCATGGGTGACTCGTACTTCGCTGCCCTCATCCCGAAGTGACCATGAGTCCTCCTCGTCGCCCGGGAGAGATAGGAAATTGACAAAAGTGTCGACTTTGATGCCAGTCCAGGCATAAATGTCCCTCATACTAACCCCACAGTTCTCTGCCTTGGTGATTTCGCTTAGATCATGCTGGACTTGCAGAGCTGATAGAAGAAGGTTCTCCTGGTCAGCTTGAATTCTTAGCGGAACAATGCTGAATGTCGGAGCAGCCAATTGCATGATTCCGTCGATATCAACTGACCGGTTCGCAAGATAGATCCCAATCACAATATCATTTGACCCGGGCTTTGTCACATGTTGTCCTGCGACTGGTTGGCGACGAATTCTCGCATATAATCTGGCGTATGCGCCAAAGAACAGTGCTTGGATGCTAAGTCCATGACGCCTCAGTTGATCGCTCAATTGGTCGACTGGCAAAACCTTGGGATGGAATTTCTCAATGCGCCGTGCTACAAATGAGCCTCGGCTGATGGGCCCCAAGGAATGTTGATCTTGATCGAGATAATGCGTCCAGAACTCTTGTGCCATTTTATGAGCGGCTCTGTTGTTCGAGATAAGAATGCTCATGTCTGTGTTAAGCTGGGTTTGCGTGCCCTTACCACCGCATAGTCTCTCGAGCCGTGTGATCAGCAGCTGGAAGCTCACAGCATCATACAAGGCGTGGTGAATGCGGAGAGCGACGATCACTTCGTTCCCCGTGGTATCGAACCGCACGGCCCGCGGGAGGTCATACTTCTCGGCCGCCTCGTTCTTGACAACAACTTGAAACGTTTGTGATCTCCCACCGTTATTGCTATGAATAAAGAGAGTCCGTAACAGTGGTATTTCTCGGACGAGCTTTTTCGCCGCTTGCTGCAAGCCCTCCAATGACACGCCCGATACTTTTAGCCAGAAAGTCGGAAAGAACAGCTGGCCATTGCTTGCACTCCACATATCAAGCATGTATATCTGACCAGCGGAACAAGGGATGATCATGTCGAGGTCGCCCTCTGGTATTGCAAGACTCTTCTTAACGACTTCGGGAATCGATACATCGGTCGTGGGCCGCTCTGTCGCCCGGGCAGCTTCTCCAGCAGCACCTTTGAGCTGTTCAGCGACCACTGCCATCTTCTCAGGTGTCTGTGCTCTAATGATCTGGCTCACTGGAAGCTTAACGCCCTGCTTCTTTAGCAGACTAGCCACTCGGATGGCACTGACGCTGTCCAACCCAATGTGAAACAATCCGGTGTTCTTTTTGATCTCTTCTTTTTCCAGTTTGGAGACCTTCGCGAGAACGTCTCTAATGACAATCTCTATTGGAGTCCAGATTTCTTGGCTTCGGGACTGCCCTCGATCTTTATCATGCTGAGACTCCGTCGTTTGCTTGCGAGGCTGTAGTTCTACTCCTGGAAGACCGCAAATTGAGATCTTTTCGCCCTCTTCTTGCAGAAGACCTTGGTCGGGATCATTCATCAGAGCTGCCAAGACGGAATCAAGCTTGCTTAACAGTGCTTGTCCAAATGCTTCATTGGCCACTCCGTTCTGGAATGCAACAGTCCAGATTAGACCATTAGTATCGCCCTCCAATTCCACGTTAATAGGATATGGCGGCGTACTGGATGATGCATCAGGCGAGACTTCCTCGTATAACGCTGGAAGGTCGGCCTCGGCCGTTGGGAGCTTTTGAAATGTGAATAAAGTATCGAACAGTTCTCCATTCACTCCCTGTCCTCGTGCAATATGAAGAGCTTCACGTAATGGAAAGTGTTGATATTCTGAGATTCGCACAGCTGCATTGTGCACCGCCTTCAGGGTCTGTGCTCTGTTCATGTTTTGCCCAATCAAGGGTCTGAAAACGACGGTGTTGAACGTTGGGAAGATCAGTTGATCCGAATCTTCGGTTGTGCGACCAGAAAGAACGAGCCCGAAGCATACATCTATCTGGCGGGTGTAGTGGACAAGCAAGATTGTCCAGCAGGCAAGTCCGAAGGATTGGAGTGTTACTCCTTGCTGCCTACAGAACTTGAGGGCCTCGGTCAGGGTGGTCTTGGATTGATAGCGGAGCAAGAGCGCAGAACCGGGGTAGCCATGATGAGCGGCTTGCGCTTCAAAAATGGTGGGTTGGATATTCAATAGTTCAGAGTTCCAGAAAGTATGAGCCTCTGAGCTCTCTGCCTGGCTGATTACCTCCTCAAGGTGTTTTTGATACTTGATCAATGCGGTCTCTTTGGCCTTACCGTTTGGCGACCGGTAGGTTCTGTTGACTTCTTGGTGCAGCAGGTACAATGACCAGGCGTCATACAATGCATGCGGCATGGCCAGCACAAGGAAGGATGCGCTTTTCCCGCGTACAATAGCGACATTTGTTTCTTGATTTGCCAAATTTTGCTCGGTTGGGACCTTTTTGAAACCTCTGACAACATCATCCAGTTTTGTGTCGTCAAAAACCGTCACCGCGATTCTTTCTTTCATCGCATATTGGACAAAAACCGTCTCTTTTTCCGAAGATTCGATGAGTGCAAAATGAGTCCTCAGGATTGGCTCTGTTCGCGAGACGCTTTGCCAAGCTCCGATAAGTCTCTCGATATCAATTTTTGGGTTCAATTTGAAAGCCATGGCATTCATATACTTGTCCGATTCTAGAAGAAGACCTTCCTGCATCGGTGTGACTGGAAGGATGCACTCTACACTTTCAAGGTCGATCCCATGACCTTGAAGCATATGTCGATAACTGGTCTGGCAGTCCCCAATAGAAGACACTTTTCTCCCACCGTGGGTTGCTGCTCGGCTTTCTGCGCCTGAAGTGGCCGCCGCAGCAATGCCCGCAACAGTGGGCGATCTCATGATTGCGCTGACGGCGACTCTCAAGCCAGCCTGTTTGACCCGAGCTGC